ATTAATTAGTTAATAAGTTTATTTTAAAATATTTTTAAATATATTTAAATAATAATAAAAATAAAGAGAATTAAAATTTAAGTTTTATTATTTTAATATTCTTTAATATTAATTAAAGAAATTAGTTTTTATTTATTTATACTTTTTAATACTAATTAAAAAATTAATCTTTAATTTATTTATACTCTTTAATATTAATTAATAAAATTAATTTAATAAATATTTATTTATACTTTTAATATTAATTATATAGGTTTTTAATCTTAATTACTTTATTTATATTATAAAATATAAAAACTCTTTTATATATTTTTTTACTTTTATTAATAAACTATTTTAAATAAATAAATTTATATAATATAAATTTTATTAATTAAATAAATATTTATTTAATTTTAAATTAAATAAAATTCTTATTTTAACTTTTATTATATTACCCTTAATTAACTTTTATTAATTAATTATTTATTATATTTTAAATATATTTTAAATATAGGTTTATCTTTATTTAATTAATAAATAAATAAACTAATTATAATATAATATAATAATTCTTAATATACTCTTTTATTTTTTATTTTTAAAGTTTTATATTATAATAATCTTCTTTTATATTAATAAAATAAAAGCTATATATTATAAGTTTTAAAATAAATTATAAATAATATAATACTTTTAAATAAAATAATATAAATATATTATTTATTAATAAATATATTTTATATTATTTATATTATATTTTATAATAATAAATAATATTATAATTAATTTAAAATTATATTAAATCTATATACTTTAAAAGTTAATCCTTTTTTTAAAATAATTATACTTTTATAAATAATTAAACTATTTAATCTTTAAATAATTTATTAATTTATAATTATAGAGTAAAAGTTTAAAATTAATAATATTTAATTTTTAAAAATAAAAGTTTTAATAAATATTTAAAATTAAATATAATAAGTATTTAATTTAAATATAAAATACTCTATTAATAAATATTAAAAGGTATATATTTTTAAATAAATTAAATAAATAATAAATTATATTATTTTAAGCTTTAATTTATATAAAAGGATTTATAATTAATATTTTTATATTATTTATATTTAAATATAATATAAAAATTAAAGTTTTTATTTATATTATTTAATTAATTTATAAATTATAAAAGTAATAGAAAAATAAAAGCTATTATTAGTAAATTTTATTAATAATAGAAAGTTTTATTATTTATAATTAAGGTAATTATTTTATATAAGCTTAAAAGTAAAAGTAGGTTAAAGGAGGTATTAAAATAGGTAAATTTAAATACTATATTTAAAGTTATTTTATTATTTTTAAGTATTATTATTTTAATTAAAGTTTAAGTTTAGTTTAAATTTATTAAATAAAAATATTAGTTTAATTATAATAATAATATAAATATATTTAACTTTAAAGTTTAATAATTTTTAAAATTATTAATATAAATATTATATTTTATTTTATTTTTTATAATATAATAAAGTAATATAATATTATTATTATTTAATTATATATAATATAGGTTATTTATAATATTAATTTAATACTTTATTTATATAATATTATTATTTAAAATATAAGAAATACTTTATAAAAGTATTTTTATTAATAAAAAATATTAATATTAATTAAATTATTAAATTTATTAAAAATAAATATATTTTAAATTAAATTTTAATATTATTTATATTATATAATAGTTATATTTAATAAAAGAAAGTTTTTAATAACTTATTTAAAGGTAATAATTAATTTTTATTAAATAATTATATATTTTTATTTAAATAATTAAAAGGGTTTTAAGTTAATAAACTTTTTTATATTAAGTTTTTAAAAAGTTTAAATTAAATTAATAATTAACTATAAACCTTTATTTTTATAATAAATTAAATTAAGATTAATTAGTTTAAAAGGTATAACATAATATTATATTATAATATAAAAATCTCTTTATTTATATTATTAATTAGTTAATTTTAACTTTTTTATAAATAGTAAATAAAGTAAAATATAAAGAAGTTTTAAACTTTATTAATTTTTATTATTAATATTAAATTAAAATTATTTATAATATTTTAAAAAGTTAATTATAATAATTTTTAATATATAGTTTAATAAGTATTATAAAATTATATATAATAAAGTTAATATTAAAGTTAGTTTAATTTTATATACTTTATATATTTTAATTACTTTAAATATAAATAATAAAAATATCTTTAAAACTTTAATTTATTAAATTAATTATTAAAATTATAATATTATATTTAATTATTATTTTCTATCTTTACTTTAAACTTTATATATAATTTTATAAACTTTAATTTATAATATATTAAAATATATATTATTAAATATATTAAAATAACTTTATTAAATAAACTTTACTATTAAGTTTAATTAAAGTTTATTTATTAAATTTAATAATAATAAAAGTAAATAATTATAAAAATTAATATATTTAATATTATTTACTTTTTAATAAATATTATTATAAAGTTACTCTTATAGTTTCAAAATATATTCTTTTAAGATTTAATCTTTTTTAAAAAAATTCCTTAAATACTCTATCTTTTAAAATTTACTCTTTACTTTTAAAAATAAGTTATATTTATTAAAAATTAAATAAATATATATTAACTTATTTAAAAGATTCAATTAATTATAATTAAAAGTAATATTTATTATAATTAAAAGTTTATATTATATTATCTTTTAACAAAATAAATTAATAAAAAAATAAAAAAATTATAAATAAAATAAAAATATTTAATTATATTAAAGTATAAAACTACTTTTTAATATATATTTTAAATTAAAATAAAAATATATATATAAATTTTATTTAATAATAAAAATTATTAAGATAATATAAAATTATTATAATAATAATTATAATTATTTATATTAATTAAAAAAATAAAAATTATATAAAATAATTATAAATTTAATAAAGATATTATTATTATTTTATTATTATAATTATTTTATTATTATTTTAATAAAAAATTATTATATAAAAGTTAATAATAATAATAATAATAATATAAATATATTATTATTATTAACTTTATAAAATTAAATTATATTTAAAATAGATTATATAATAATAACTTTTTTATTTTATTATTTTATAAAGGATTTTAAAAATTTAATAAATAAATAATTTAAAGATAAAAGTTTTAAAAAATATAAAAGGTTAGATTAATTTTAAAATAAAGGGAAAATTAATAATATATTTATTATATATATTTTTAATATAAAAGGTTAATTATTATATTAATAAATTAAATAAATTAAATAATAACTATATTTTAAAGTAAATAAATAAAAAAATATTCTTTATATAATAATTTAAAAAACTATAAAAGTAAAAGAAATTATAAAAGTAAAAGGTATTATAAGGTATTAATTATATATTTAATAAGCTTTTAATTTAAATTATTATTTAATAAGGTAAATTAATTATTTATAAACTTTTAAATTATTTAATTATTAATATAAATAATTATTTAATCTACTTTATTTAAAATAAAGAGTATTTTATTTATTTTATATTTAACTTTATTTCTTTAAGTTTATAAAAGTATTAAAAATTAATTAAATTAACTATTTTAAGTTATTATAATTAAGTTTTAATTAAATATTATAAAAAAGAGAACTCTTTCCTTTAAAAAGGTTAATTATAAACCCTATTTTTATTAATTTTACTATATATCTCTATAATAATAAAATATTATTTTTTATAATTTATTCATATAAATAAAGTTATTACTTTTATTTTACTTTATTTATTATTACTTTTTAAGTAATAAATTAAATAATTTTATTATTATTAAGTTTTATATTATAAATAAAAAGTTAAAGTTATATATATTTTAAATTATTATATTTATTAGATATATTTTAAATATTAATTTAATAATTAAATTATAGATAAATAGAGCTTAAAGATTTATTATAAATAATTAAAATAATATATTTAATTATTATTTTATAAAAAAGGAGAAATAATATATTTCTTTAAAAGTTACCTTTTTTAATACTTTTATAAAGTAATATAGCTTTTATTTTAATTATTTAAAGTAATATTATTTTAATATTTAAAATATAAAAGCTAAGCTTCTCTTTAATATTAAATATATTAAAATTATTTAAGTAAAGTTAATTATAAATAAATAATTATTATAAGTTTAAATTAAAAGTAAATATAAAGTTTAAATATTTAATTATAATAAAAAATAAAAAATAATAATCTAAAAGTAGATTAATTATAATATTTATTATATAGTTTAATTATTATTTTTTATTTTTAAATAAATAAATATTTTTTTTTTTTATATTTTTAATTTAATTTAGTAATAGTTTACTATTAATTAAAGGGAGAAGGGTAAAAAAATTTTCTTCTACTCTATAGGTAGAAGGGGGTTGAAGAAAGGGGCTACCATAAAAAGGGCTTACCTCAGTGTGTGCCCAGAAATGTAATCTGTGCGAAGCTGAATCGGTTGCTCTGCCCTTTCTCAACGCGAGTATCGCAGTCACGTACCACCAAACAAATCAAGGTAACGCCAGGTAATACCTAGGTACGCGCTCTCCCTTGATCCTTGTCGTACAGCGACTTCTGAGGCGTCAGTGATAGCCCCCGGCCCCCGCCCCCCGCCCCCCGGCCCAGATCTGGACAATTGGCAGTCAGTACACAAATACAAAGTCAATACCAGCTTTCTCCGCGAAATGGCTCAGACCTCAAGGTAACTCAAATGTAGTGTTAGTACGTGCTGATGGGGGGGGGGGATAACCTCCAAAGGTATATCCTCTTGTAGGATGACCTCACGTGCTTCCATAGAATAGACTTCTACGAGGTACTCCGCTACTATGTAATAATATCATGTAGAGGATTCCAATTCCTAGTCCTAACCAACCAGGCATCGGGACTTACCCAGGTACTGACACCGTGGCTCATTAATGATGGTTCCCTCGTCTCTGCCATTCAAGTTGTCAACTTCTGCGGACCTTCAATGTTGCTGGATCGATCTGCCTTAGACAGTCCAAGTCCAGCCCTCCCTGAAAGAAACACCACGGCTCACCTCACCCCTCTAATCATCAACTCGTCCACAGCTATTGCCCCTTCGCTAACGACAAACCCAACGCCACCACTCTGGTATGCGTCGCCCTCATCATCCGCCCTGATCACCCGCAGACTATCGTCGCCAGACCCCGAAGGACAAACCTGGCCCACCAGGCTACGCCCATCGTGCTCAACGCCCACGTCGTACGGGACGTCGACCTCCCACGGCACCAGCATCCGGGCCAACACCGTCCTCTTCCCATCCCGGTCCTTGACCAGAGCCACCCCATTCCCCGAGTCCTCGCCCCGCAAGAAAACAAGCCCATACCACCTCCGTAATCCCTGCACGCCGAAGATGACACCGCACGGACCGCCAGCCAGGACGCGGAAGCCGCGAGCCACGGCACGACACCGGGCCCACTCGCGCGTCCCGACGCTCAGGAGGCCCTCGCCGCGGTCCTGCGCCAGCCGAAACGTCGGCCCCGTGCCGACGTGGAAGTTGTCCACGGACCGGACGAACATGCGCCGGAAGTACGCCAGGGGCTCCTCCGTCTGCCGCGGAAGCCTGAGGGCCAGCTGCGGGGGGCCGTCCCAGGAGAGGCGGTCGAGCCAGACCCTGCCGGCGGCGGCTGCGCTGGGCGCCATGGCCACGCCCGCGGCGAAGATGGGCCGGGTGCCGTCGAGGTGGCCCGAGGTCGGGATCTCGTACTCGAGGGCTGCTGTGGAGTATGTCGTGTTGGGGTTGGTCGCGCAGAGATCGACGGGGGGGCCTTGGAAAGTGAGCACGGTGTTATCGTGGTCGTAGGCTTTGATGATGATCTGGCAGGAGACAGGAAACTCGCACTCCCCGACGTCGACGTGGAGGGTGGCCCTGACGGTCTGCCCCGGGTACAACAGGGGCGTCGACATGAGGTGGTATGCCTCGCCGGACGTGGGTAGGTAGAGCGGATGGAAGGTGTCCGTCATGATGGCGATGGGTTCACTTGTCGGGGTCAGGCCTGTTAGATTTATGGCGAGGCCGGCTCTACCAAGACGGTCGAGGCCCTGGGCCACTGTGGCGGCCTTGGGAGGGTGGACGGTGAAGCCCTGGACGCTGCCTGGGAGTGTGAAATGGTATTTTGCTCCGTCCTTCGGGAGATTTAGGGGCTCGAGACCCGCAAGCGTTCGCCCAAGGTCCGTGATATCGTAGGCGAGCCGGGCTGCATTGTTGATCGAGTACCCTCCGTTGGCGCTCGAGATCAAAGCTCGGTCGGCAACGGGGCCTCGCCAGTCTGGCCCGCCCTCAAGGCATTGCAGACCGTGCATGATGGCAATGAGACACGCCACATTCCCCGAGTTGCAGTCTGTGTCCCACCCGCACGTGTTGACAATATGCATAGCCTCGTGGAAGTCGTCACCCGCGTAGAGCAGGGTCATGATCATAATGGCATGGTTTGGGACAACGTGGGTGATGCCGCCAAAATGGTCGTAGCCGTATTTGTCGTCAATGCGTTGTCTTGTTGCCTCCCATTTCTTGTCGAGTGACACCCATTTGCGCACCTCTCGGATCATCGTTTCGATAAGGGAGCCTCCTCTTTCTTTGCGGATAATCCTCAGCCCTGTCTCAATCAGATGGTCCACATCCTTCGAAATGAATGCCTCAGCTTCCATAGAGGCCCACATCATGGCAGCGAGGACGCTGTCGCCATCATGGCTAACCGAGCCAGCTGCCTTGGCAAATGTTGCCGCGAGGTCAGGCCGTCCCGGACAGAGCATGGCCCATCCGTCAATGAAGATCTGGGCACCGACCTGCTCAGCCACTGTCTTGCCGTTCGTCCTTATGCTGCCGCTACCGGGTGCCTTGATGTCCTTCTTGAGGTTGAGGAACGCGGTGTGCTCGGTGGATATGCCTCTGCCTCCCCACCAAAAGACGGTCTCCCTCTCAATGACATTGTTAAGCCAGGTATCGCCAATCTGCTCAGACGTGATGTCACTGGTGATGCCGTGCTCCACGAGGGCATGGATGAAGGTGAAAGTGCCAGAAACGTCATCGTCAGTGACGACGGGTGGCCGCTGGCCGAAGCCTGGGAAGCGCGTGTGGACGTAGTGACGGACTCTGCCGAGCTCGGCGACGATGGCAGCGTGAGACCAACCCTCAAACGGCCGGCCGAGGTAGACGCCGATCAGCTTCCCGAGCACGCCGGCATACACTCTCGTCAGGTAGTCGGGAGGTATTTTGGTGTAGGTTAGCATGTTGAGCTTATCATGAAGAGCAGAAAGTCGATTTAGCAGACAATGCCAGTCTCAAACACATAGTAGCAAATCGGGTGTTGCGCGGACACCAATATTTACCCCGCACTCAGCTGATTTCATCCTTGTGTCAATCATCTTCGTGTTTTGGCCTGTCGTGATGTCTGATTGTCCTAAAAGAGGTTGTGCCATATAAGGTTGTCCCATCGGAGGTTGTCCCATGTCAGGTTACTTTCAAATGTTATAGGGAGCGATCCTATAGGACACTGCCCCCTAGAAAGCTGCCTCCTAGATCAGGATACGATGTAGGAAGATATTATTTAGGGCTATAACAGCTTCCTCCCAATCAGATTGTCTTGTAGGGGCTATAGGAGGTGATCGACTAAGAATCTGTCCTATCCTCTCATGTGAGATTGTCCTAGAGTTCCAAGGTTGGGTACCTACTAGGTAGGTATCTTGTGGAGCGGGAGATCCCGTGGAATGCCACCACCTGGGCAGCTAATACTGGGATGTTGCTGCATATCAGGGGAGAGTTACCGTAGACTCGTAGCGAATTAGCAACCTTGGAAAGCCGTTGTACTCGTGAAGTGTATTAGAAGTTGCCTTAATCTAGATGACTTTTCAGGGTTGCAATTCTTGCCGGTATGGGAGGGGTCAAAACGTATGTTCTTCTAGTCTTTTTCGTGGATGATGTCCATCTTACTTTAAGCCAAGACTTGTTTCTAAATTCCCGCACATTAGCCGTGTTTGGGATCCTCGAGGTCAAGCCACACAGGCGCCTATCTTGCTGCTTGGGGACAGGGACGGACAGGCTGAACAGGCCAACTCTGAACAAGCATGTAAGCCGGCTAGTTATCAGTCCGTTCCAAGGCAGCAGTCTCAGGATTGAGGAAACAACAATTTTGCTGCTTGCAGTGGTCTTACCATTCGGTTTCATAATAAGAGAAAGTTCACTCTCAGTACTAATGGATACCGGTGCAAGCCTGGACTTGATCTGAAGTGGCACACGCAGCGTCCTCTGTCTTACACGAGAGGCCCGGGCTCTAGCTGCGATCGGTCATGGGCCGAATATTATTCCCCGTGTGGACGGCAGCAGTCAGCGCTGTTGCCGCCTATGCGACTACTTCTCCCTCAAACCACCCCGACATCAACAGTGCCCACGAGAATGCATTTGCCATCTTCAACTCAATCCACTCTGCGATGCGCCAGTGGGGCTCGTCAGTTAACCACAACGGCCTGTCGTTTTATCTCGCCACGGCGCCCGAGGGCAGCATATTTTACCACGGGGGATTCAGCCCAGACCGGCCGGACAGCTTTGAGTGGCTGGCCTTTGAGGTGGAGCATGCTGCTCAGTTCGCTGCCTCGTGGGAGTTCACACAAGACCCGAGCCTTCAGATCAGATCGGGTTCGACGGGTTTCAATGAGACGGCCTGGAAGGCTCTACTCAGCCACCGAAGGTCTCATGCCAGGCCGGCGTCTGACGCCACTTATGCCTCGCCCATTGGTGACGGATCTTTCTCGCAGCGTCCCATGGCAACGGTGGACGACGACGGCGACGACGACGGCGACAAAGACCCCCAGCCCAGCCTACACCCGCCATTCGACGAGCTATGGCGCGGCTACTTCCACGTCTACCGCGCCAACCGCCCCCTAAACCTCCTCTACATAGACGGCCAAGCCGCCGCAAAGGGCCCCCTCGGCCCCCAGGACAGCCAGGACCTGATCCTCCTGGGCCACGCGCACCCCGGCCCCGGCGCGCCGACCTACGGGGAGTGGCCGCGGGCCGAGGGGCTCTGCGACCTCGCGGGCGAGTGGCCGGCCCCGGGGGTAGGGGGAGGGGCCAGGATCGACGGCTTCATACGCATGGAGTGCGGCTTCGAGATCATCTACTGCGACTTCTCGGAGCGCGGCGGGCTGGACCGCCTCTCGGTGCAGTCGAGCTCCTTCAGCAACGAGACGGGGCTGGCGCCGTACCAGGTGGCGCCCGCGTTCGAGTGGATGCGCGCCTGCGCGGCGCGGTTCCACGGGCTCCCCGCCGGCCGGGTGGACGTCGACTGGAGCAGCATGGTGTCGGCGTACTTCTACCCCGTCAACATCTCGAACCCGGACCCGCACAGGCGGGACCTGCCCAGGCTGGCCAACGCCACGCTGCAGAGCAGGCTGGGGGTGCGGGACAGGCTGAGGGACGTCTTCGCCGCGCGGGGCGGTGAGGAAGTGCCGCGCAGGGAGGTCGTGAACTGGCAGGGCGTGGTCGACAGCATCGTGACGCGCTTCAGCGGGCGGCTGGGGTACATTGCGAGCAGCCGGTGGTCACACGATGGCCTCCTCCTCGCCGTCGGCACCATACTCGACCCGTACATCAGCTACACGGACCGCAGCCCCGCGTCCGAGCAGCGCGCCGTCGACCGTTGCGCGCGGCACTACCTGGATCCGTCCGCACTACGGCCCGAGACCTGGACGCCCGAGGACCACGCCATCGCGGCCGCGGTTGAGCGGGTGTCGCGGGATATCTGCGACTCTCTGTTCGTTGCCCGACGTATACTTCGGGCGAGCCGTGGAGAAGGGGTCGATCTTGACCCCCTCGTGGAGGAGGCACAGCAGACCATCGTCGAGCTCACCGAACGGCTGCGGTGGAGCACGTGGAGGGAGTGCGGCAGGTGCCCGTCCCCGGACGAGATCTGCAGCATCCCCATGTTCCCGATGGGCGTGTCTGAGGAGGATTACTTCCACCCGAGCTGCAAGAACATCAGTGCGCTTATGCAGGACTTTAGCTACTGGCAGAGGGAGTTCCACATCCCTGGTTGAATGTGGGACACGTCTCGCAGGGTGGACTTTTACCGAGGATAGACCAGTCATCATCTTAGAAACCCGTAGCGTATTGGCACTACATAGACAGGATTATACACATACCATCGCCGTCGCCATTACCATTCCTCCCCCACGCTCACGCTCACGCACACAACACAGCCCGTCCGTCCCTTAGGCCTGGGAGAACCTCTTGGCCACGGTCTTCCAGTTGATGACGTTCCAGATGGCGCTGAAGTACTCGGCCTTGCGGTTCTGGTACTGCAGGTAGTAGGCGTGCTCCCAGGCGTCGATGCCCAGCAGGGGGACCAGGTTGCCGGTGACGGGGTCCTGGTTGGCGCGGGTGACCAGGCTCAGGGTGCCCGTCTCCTTGTCCTTGGCGATCCAGGCCCAGCCGCTGCCCTGGATGCCGGCGAGGGCGGCGTTGGTCTGCTTGACGAGGGTGGAGTAGGAGCCGAAGTCGCGGTCGATGGCTTTCTGTTTAACCCCAATGGTGCGTCAGCATGCTGCATCTGCATCTGTACCCCAACAGAGGTCCTGCCGGGCTCCCACGTACCTTGAGCTCTCCCTCTGGCTCGCCACCACCGTCCTTGTTGGCGGGGGCCAGGTTCTCCCAGAACAGGGAGTGGTTGATGTGGCCACCGCCGTGGAAGTTGAGGAGGGGTGCCAGGGTGCCGGCCTTGGCGGAGTCGCCCTTGGCCTCAGCCTCGCCGAGGGTCTCGAGGGCGCTGTTGAGGCCGTTGACGTAGGTCTGGTGGTGCTTGGAGTGGTGCAGCTCCATGATCTGGCCCGAGATGTGAGGCTCGAGTGCGCCGTAGTCGTCTGGGGGGGGGGGGCGACGGCGAGTTAGCATTCCGATCAGAGGTTGATGATATTGGGGAGATTTGAAAGGGTGTTTCCAATGTGCCCACGTACAGGAGAGGTCGGGCAGGGTGGCCTTGCCGCGCACGAACTGGGTGCTGGCCATGCCCATGACAGGCTTTGCAGCCGAAGAAGCTCGCAGAGCTCCGCGCATGGCGGGAGTCGATCGGAGGAGTGTGGCCGACATTTTTGCAGTTGGAAATTCGTACGTGTGGATGGTGCAGAGTGCAATTGGTCCGCAGAGACTGGATGGATTTGGTCGAGGTAGGGCGTGTACAAACCTGGGCGAGGACTCGAGGTGAGGTTGAAGAGAGCAATTGTATTAATAAAGTGCTCCAGTCTTTGGTGATGTCAAGCCCGTCTGGCCGACCGGCTCGGACCCCACACACGCCTCAGGTTCGGTCGGGGTAGCTGGGAGCTTCGGATGCAGTGGGCTGCGGGAAGCTCCAATGCTGTGGCAGTCCATCTCACACTGTCGTCATAGCGCCGTGGGAGCTCATCACCCAGCACCCAGCACCCCTCGGATTAGTCATACCCCTGCACCAGCCCGTCGCGTCTCGCTTCCATTTTCCACCACCGCGTTCACATGTCAATATTGTGAGGTGTGGTGTTGGACAGCCAAATATCTCCAATTCTCTCGCATTCTCCCACTAGTCTATTGTATATCTTCCCTGAACCTACTTGAACGTCCAAGACAAGTATTCGAACCACAAGATGTCGTACTACGACATTGACGCGATCCTCACGGACGCAGAGGTACGGATGCATCTGTCCAGTTGGTCCCAGTCATCATTACGTACGATTGCTAACACCCTCTTGGCCCGCAGAAGATCCCCTGCGAGTTCAACTTCGAGATCCCCGACCTGGGCCACCTCGACAACAGCCCCGGCCTCCCCCTCAAAGCCGGCGCCAAGCTGGCCCTGCCCCTCTGGCTGGCCGAGATGCTCGCCCTCGCAAACACATCCGGCCCCGGCACCGCTGACGACGATGCAAAGTCCTTTGTGAACCTGTCCCTGCCGCCCGCCCTGTCCAGCGAGGTCGTCCAGGCCCTCAAGGCCGACCCGCGCGCCGTGCCCCTGCGCGACCAGAGCACACACTTCTACGGCCTCGCCACCCGCCTCATGGACCTCTTCGAGGAGAGGGAGCTGGACGGCGTCCTGCGCAAGACCTTTGTCACCCGCGCCGCCGACCTCGCCCTGCACGCCAGGAAGGTCGGCGGGTCCACCGGCAAGGAGGACGGGAGCAACCTCGGCGTGGGTGTCGACGGCGAGTTCCTCCGGGGCCTGGACGAGTGGGAGAGGGCGCTGCACCGCAAGGCGCACGATGGGACGAAGCTGTCGAAGCAGTGGATGGAGAACGTCAAGAAGCACTAAGTGCCAGTGCATTGAACTCCCAAGGCACCCTTATTGGCACACTCCACTGCCTGGCTCCCGGGCTAGCAGACCCATGATCTGGCTGCTGCAGTTCGCCTTGGCGACATTAGCCATCTGGCTCCACGCTCCGAGGAATGCTATTGTGGCAGGAGCCAGCCTGCCTTGGGGCCGTGGTAAGTGTTCATTGAGGATTTGAAACAAATACTTGTTTGCGCGGGAGACTAATAGTGCTTAGAGCTTATGAAAACAATACTCCAGGGCCGCGCCACGGAAATCGCCTCGAAGGCTACCGGCGCAGAATGCACCGAGGTTCTGGGTCCAAGTTCGCAGTCGTCGGGCTGGACCTAGATCATTACAAGGATTTGAACCACATGAAACGGAGGTCGGCAGTACACCGATGTGAACAGCCCAGGAAGAAGTAAGGCGAGGAAGGAAGCAGGTCCCGTTTTGCTTTCACTGCATATCCGCGCCGCAAAATTGACGAGGCCCAGGTCGTCACAGTCCGCGTCCGCAGCAGGGCCAGCGCCAACAGTGCTCGCGTTGGTCCCCGGGTCGTCTACAATCGGCTTGATCATTCTCAAAGCCGCAGCGGATAGGATGCCTGGCCATGAAGTGGGAACACTATACTGCACACTTGAACGAGATGAATATACGAATGGATAGGTCTATATGCGGCTTCTTCTCGTTGCATCTTTCGTGTCCTGGTCCTACTTGCTCTCCAGTTATTCTTGGCCCATCGAGCATCTTTCAGCCGTCTGATCATTGAATAAGTCTCCCAAACACGCTTCAATATTCTTACACAGATCGCCGCCGTCGTTCTTATCCTTTGGGCCGGTCGCCTCGTGTCTAGCAAAACCAGCGACAATAACACATCTCTCGAGCTAATTGAAAGACATCTGTCAAACAAAGTGCTTGGGCGGCTTCCTCTCTTCGGCAATCCGCCTTGTCAGCTCCGGAATGGCTGTGGTCTGCACAGTAATTACACCAGATCCATCCAGATAGGGTCAACAAATAAGGGCCCCAGGGCGTTTCCCATAAGCAGGGAAAAGGCGCCGAGCTGCCCGTCGGCGAACAGTCTGCCTTTGACAAGCAAACGGCAAGCAATGTGGCATAACTGCGAATGTTTATTTGATCCCATGGATCGACATGAGCTCCCGAAACGAATCGTCATCCAAGAGCTGCTGGGCGCCGATCCTCTGCGAGGGCTGATATCGAAAACCCTTGTGCATCACGTCCAATATCAGTTCTCGCTCCCGTGGCCCAAGGTCCTCTCTGGTACGCCCCAATAAGCCCTCAAGCGAGTCCTCGGGGACCCTCGAGTCGTCGTACCACTTGCTGCGCTCCTCTTCAGGATAATGATTCGGCCACCTGTAACGGCCTTTCCACTCCTGAGGCAGAGGTCCAAGCATGTCGAACATGCTGCCCAGGGTGCCAGATTTATCGTACGTGTCGAACGGGCTGAAGGCGGTCATCAGGGTGGTAAAGACACACATAAACCCCCACATGTCGGACTCGTAGGTGGGCTCGAAGCCCTCGTGGAAGAGCTCTGGCGGGCAGCAATGAAATGGTGGGAGCGCGTGGTCGGTCGCTGGAGAGTCGATATGCCTTGTTAACCCGAAGTCGCCTAGGAAGGCAGTCTTGCCAACCATGCTCCACGGCCACTCTATGGACGAAACAAGATCACCAGGCCGCCATATCATATCGCTCACTGGCATTGGGAACTTCTCTGGCCGACCGACTTGTTTGTAACGCTCGGTTGGTGTTGGTCCTTGGTCAAAAGCACCAGGGACGAGGCTGACCATCACGTTGCGGTCGGTGATATCTGTTTAATAGGTCAGCCTTTGGCATCTAGACGCGATGTCGACCATGGGACACACGTACCTCGATGAATGAATTTGTGACGATGTAAGAAGGCTACTGCTTGAAGAATATCCCTGGCCATACGAAGTCTTGTTGATGAATCCGGACGATAGACCGGCGGACGCATACGTATATCAAGGGGCGGCCCCATTACCGGTAGGACCACTACTACATGGGTATCATCAGGGAATTGGCCAGGAAGGGAGAAGGTCGAGGTGGCGATTAGTAAGTGGCAATCGCTGGGGTCCGTTATCAGCCGTTGTAGGTCCTGGTGAATCTGACTCTCAGCCTGACCTGCTGTCGTAAGGGTGCGATGGATCTTAAGGGCGACCGATGTGTTGGTCTCAATTTCATATGCAAGCCATATGGTTGAGTATGCTCCGAAACCAAGCTTGTGCTCTATGCGGTATGACTTGCCACCGCCTTGTATGATCTCGCCGATTGTCACAGGGTAACAAGGCGGCCCGGGAGGACCTACGCGCACGACGTAGGCGTCAAATCCCTCTGTGGCACCGGTAACGTATTCCTCGTACTCTTCTGAGATGTAGTCACCCCAGTCTTCCGGTTGAGTCATGTTGCTGTGTTGCGCCATATTTGCAGCCGTCCAGGTTGGTCCGCCAGGCCTCAGAGTCATAGGGACATGATCTGTGGGAGTGCAGGATATATGGCAGCGGCGATGCTGATTTTGGGTAGGTGGATGAGCGCTTTGGGAATAAGGGCCAGAAAAACTGAGCCCCTCACAGAAACAAGAAGAACCGTGGAAAGAACAAAGCAATGGAACCGCCGAAGTAGTGCTCAAGATAATAATAAGAGATCGGATTTTTGAAGTGAAGGCATCCATGGATATTGGATTACATAATACATTCCCGCCTATTTCTATCTTGGGAGCCTAGAAAGTGGGCTGAACTAACGTCTCAATTGTGGAGGACCTGTTGGCTCCTGACTTGGTAACAGAAAAAGACGAGACAGCGTGTTGGTTCTGAATAGTGAGTCCACATAGGCCTGTTAGCCGACCTGTGAGCTACTAGTACCTAGGTATTCTCGTATGTGGAACCAAAGGGCAAGCACAATCCCTTGATGAGCCTAGGCTCAATCTATGGCCAGGATAACAGCAGCCGATAATCCAAAGATACGAGGTTTTTGACATTAATAATAGATCACAGATCGAAGCGAAGCTCACCTATCAGTACATCGATGCGCGAGCCAAGTTCCGAGAAGCTGTGGCCATGACCAAACCACTATTACTGGTTGAAATGACCAACCCCCCCCCCCCGGCGGCCAGAGGTACACTCGGTTATCCCAAATGGTCAATAAGTGCTTCGGGAATGGCCAGGGCCAGACGATGACAATGGATTATGAAAAAGGAACTAGATGGTACAAGATGCTGCAACGAAGAAGTGGTCCAGAGCCCAGTCGCCGCCGCCCCCGGCCGGGCCCAAGAAATGAGACTATGGGACAGGTGAGATGAACATGTCCACCTCTATGGATTAACATGATATGATACTACGGGACTGTATCTTTGGGTTTCTGGGCGAATAGGGTGCACAGAGTTGTGACAGTTGGAGAATGAAGTTGTAGGTTCTATTATGTTCCTATTTCCAATCGGTCACATGGAGCTGCCCAGGTGGCATGAGTAGATCTCTCCTCTACAGATCTGTTCGGGTTAAGGCTCCCAGGGATTGGACACGCTGCGTCATTATGCATCGTTGGTTATCACGTGCATTATTGGAGAGATCTCCAGATGTCCAATGCCGTCGACACCGAGGTAGGTGACTGCGCCTCTTGCAGCTATTAGCTGTATACTTCACTGAACTCCGGATATTAATACTTTTGTATTAATTTCTTTAATGAAGATGTCATGAAGATTCTCTCATCTTATTTGAAGGATTTTAATTTAAAGAGTTATATGCGGTTAAGAAGTAACTTTCGTGGGAAACACTGCCATAGGTGTTGCGGGGTTTTGGCCGTTGCGGAGTTGTGGCGCTACATGGCCATCGCCGTTCTCGGGGAAAAGGAGTTCCTCTAAACGAATTCCTCTGTGCGCTTGCGTGGGATGGTTAGACATACACTCATAGATTTGTTGTACTCTAAAGATTTCGTTATTGTTGGAAGGCCGCACGGCTGTCGATATTAAGCAACAACCTCACAAGGCCCAACCTTGGAACCTTGGAAGCCACCATGGCCCGCCGCTACCTTGGCGGCTCAGGAGAGCGCCTCACAGTATGGATCTCCATTGCAGCCTCAACAGTGCTCATATTCTACGGCTACGACCAGGGCGTCTTTGGAAACGTCCTCGTCTCAGACGACTTCCTCAGGACCATGGGCTACCCGTCAACAGCAGACCAGGGCACAATGACCTCGGTGTATAACCTCGGCTGCTTCGCCGGCGCCCTGTCGACGCTCTACAGCGGCGACAAGCTCGGGCGGCCCCGCACGCTGATGCTCGGGAGCTCAGTCATCGCCGTGGCGGCTGTAATACAGGCCGCCTCCTACAGCGCCGGGCAGATGTATGCGGGCCGTGTCATTGCGGGCCTCGGGACCGGGATGAATACCGCCACTGCCGGCGTGTGGCAGTCTGAGACGAGCAAGATGCGGAGCCGTGGGAAGCTGATTATCATCCAGATGGCGAACTGCATTACGGGCTTCGCCATCTCGAACTGGTTGACGCTGGGTTTCTCGTTCGCGCCGGGGAGCGTCTCGTGGCGATTCCCGCTGGCATTTCAAATATGTGAGTCGGTCCGGCTACTGATTGCCCACCCCTTCATATTGATAAAGTTCCGTGTTGAACTTTGTGGATAGTCTTCTCTGTACTTGTCTTGCTCATGTGTCCATTCCTGCCCGACTCGCCCCGGCTGCTCATACGCAAAGGTCGGCATGACGAAGCTATGGAGGTTCTCGCCGCCCTTGAGGGCCATGGCGCGACGCCGTCTACAGCCTCCGTTCGCACGCAGTTTTCCATTATCAAGGACGTCCTCGATCGTGAATATGCTGTCGAGTACACCTGGTTGCAGCTCATCACCGGACGCGGTCCTCCAGGAGCGCTGCGGCGGATGATCCTAGGCGCCTGGATGCAAGCCATGTAAGTAGCGGTCTGATCGCTTGTCCCGCGACGCTGCTTGCTTATGATTCACCTACAGGAATCAAATCTCGGGCATTAATGTGACTTCTTACTACATGACCTACGTCTTCATACACGCGATAGGATTCAGCGAGCTGACGGCCAGGATCCTCGCCGCCGCCGGGTCCATGGACTACCTATTCTTCTCGTTCATGGCCTACTTCGTCATCGAGCGGTACGGGCGCCGCCGCGTCATGATGGTCTCGGCCGCGGCGTGCTGCACGTGCTGGACCATCATCGCCATCGCCACGGGCCTCACCGAGACCGGCCGCGGGGACAGCTACCGGCTGGGCATCGTAGCCGTGTCCTTCTTCTTCGTGTTCTTCGCCTCGTTCGCGATGGGCGTCCTCGGGGTCCCCTGGCTGTGCCCGACCGAGATCAACGCGCTCGCCTTTCGCGCCAAGGGCGCCAGCCTCGCGATGGCGACGAACTGGATCATGAACTATATGGTCGCGCAGGTGACGCCGCCCGGCATCGAGAACCTCGGGTATAGGTTCTGGGTGATATGGGCTGTCATATGTGCCTCGTTCATACCCACGACGTACTTGTTCTACCCGGAGACGGCAAACCGCTCGCTGGAGGATATCGACCGGTTCTTCGAGGAGAACCACCACGTCTTTGTGTTCCGGAACAAGCTGGCCACGCAGCTGCACCGCCCGACCGTCTATGAGGATGCTGATAGAGAGATCGCGGCTAAGAATGAGAAGTCTGGCAGCAGCGCTGGACATGTTGAGAAGACTGGGAGCGGGACTGGGATAGATTAATGGCGTACTAATCAGTTGGCCCTCATTATGGGGCAAATATTCCGCTTTTCAGTGGTGAAAGTGCACCGGTGCATATGTTATTCGCAGTGCCGCAAGCCTGATGAGCAAGTGTCGAGCTTGGACGAGACCTTAATTGATGGAGAGGGAAACATTCTCAAGCCGTACGCCCCGCCAGCTACTCTAACATGATAGCCTGACCCTACTCGATGAACTACGAGTAGACCATCTCAGAAACAAGCTTTCCCTCGGCATCCTTAATAAGAGAGACTCTACCGCCCTCCGGCCGCAGTACTGATTTCTGTAGGTCCACCCAGGTCTCTCTTTTCTCAGTTGGCTCTGACTCCGCGCCTGTGAGATTGGGAGATAAACGTAGAGTAGGGGCTCTCTAGGGCTTCGGCCACATTGTATTTTTTGTTTAATTATATATTTATTTATTTGTTGTCTTCTTGACTTTTGGACTGATTATTAGTTTGTACTTTAAGTATGAAGTTAATAATTACTTAATATATACTCTTAAATTTATCTATATATAGTAGAGTTACTAACTTCCTTTATAGGGTTTTTTTTTCTATTATATTCCTTATATATTATATAAAAGTAGATAAATTTTTAATAATAAAGTAGTGTCTTAGAGGAGGAAGATTTAATTTTTAAGTGTTTAAATTTTTATTTTTTTATATAGTATTTATTTAATATATAATAAACAAACTTTATTTAACTTTTTAAAAGGGTTTTAATTTTTATAAAATTTATATAGAAAGGTTTTTAAATAGGTTTATTATTATAGTGTTATTATTTTATTAGTTATATATTTAGGATAGGGATTATATTAGTTTATTTAGTAAGGATAAATTTAGGTAGTTATTAAGTATATTAATAGGGAAGAGTTAGTTTATTAAATCTTATATTATAGAATTCTTTTTTTATAAAGGTTATTTTAAGATTATTTTAGTTTTATTATATAATTACTTTACTAATTATTAGTCTTTAAGCTATTTATATTAATAATTTCAATATAATATTATTAGGAGTGATGCCTTTTAGCTTTATCTATACGGTATAAGGTTTAGTTATATATTTATATATTATATTTTTTTTTTACTATTATTAGTATTATATTTCTTTAGATGTTGGGTCTTAAGTGTTTATTACTATATGAAGGTGTTATATATATTTTATATATATGGGGATTAAAAATGAAACCATTTAGGGGCTCTCTGGGTAAAACTGAAATGTGGCAGTGCCTTAGAAATGGAGCTGATGGTGTTAGGTTAAGGAGTCTCATGTACTTACCTAGGTAGGTAGTCCATTAATGGACTTCGAGATGGGTGCTATTCCACATGTCAAATGCGCACCCTGCAGGAAACAGAATAGCTGTCTTAAGAAGACTATAAACATTTGTATCATGACGATCAATTTATTATTTGTTCTGAAATGGATTAATTTAAAAAAGACATCCCGGCAGAGACTCATGGCTGATTTTCCATCGGTCATGGTGTCCATGCTGCGCAAACCCCCATTCCTGGACAACTGAGGCGTGAACTGCATTCCCAAATCAAACAGCATTCATGTCCCCGAAAGAATCTCGTCAGAACCAAGTGCTCCTAGCAGCCTGTCTCCACTTTAGACTGTCTATAGCGGAGCACGTAGCAAGCTCACAGTCTCCGGTGCTTCCTGGAGCGTCTAATAAAACGTATAAACATGCATATTTTCAGATTACCGTGACGCTGGCGCTTCCGGTTCCGCTTCCGGTTTCGCTTCCTCCCACTCTTCAACGCCCTCAGCGGTTGAAGACTTGGTCATCTTCAGAACCATGGCGGGCTGTGGTCTTCGCAGACGCTGGAGCTCAAGTTGGCGCGCGGCGTCATCTTTGCACGCTGGAAGCCAGACCTCGAACGTTTCAGCGCGGGAGCAGGCCCTTTCGATGTGCCATCTTCTTGGGTAGTTTTTCATGGTTGTATCAGAAGCCTTTAACAGCCGGGGAACCCTGCCGAGCGTGCAAGGGCGCATGGGAAGGTGACTCGGGGGGAAGGGTCTGAGCCCGGGTACAACGGTCCTGACGTCGGAGATGATGACTGAAATTCGTTCGACATGTTGGAAATCTACCATCCGCCGCGTATTGTTATCACCCATGTCGAAATAGTCACTTCGAGAACAACTGTTGTATGGTATCGCGATGTGTCGTGCTTTTCGTACCTGCAGCACATGTACGCAGGTGGGCGATGCGGGACCGGCGGTTCTCAGGAGGTCTGCGGACGCAGACAGGTATTCACGGAATCCATCCTTTTCGGGGTAAAGAATGTCGACATCAGGGTCATATAGTCTTGTGGGAGGCCCCTGGGGAGGAAACTGATAGCCGAAGGCATCGTAAATTCGTGCTGTCTCGTCACGAATATCGCGGCTGACGTATCGCAGCTTGGGGGGGTCGTCGAAAACAAAAAGCGGATCCGTACCAATCCCTAGAACTTGGGCGTTTTGATATTGCTTGATGACCCGAGTGAACTTGTCATATGATATTGGACAGAGCCGTGGACTTGAAGGGTTGGAGATTACCATCTCATAGATGATGTTGCGTAGCTCAGGTGGAAGCCTGAAGAAAGACCTACGTGTCATGGGCTGATTATGGCAGCATTCGGTCGACATGTTTGCTAAGAAGTTAGGCAGTTGGGCCTTGATTGAGCAGCGGTATGTTGGAATGCGTCCCGTGGATGTTGTAGCAAAAACGGCTTCCAAGGTTGTTCCGGTGGTTGTAAAGAAAGTCGAAGATGGATGTCTCGGAACTGGATGCACATGTGCACTTGAAACCCATTGACTGGGACTTTCTTCTAATATATCAGGCACACCTGTAGACCAAAAACTGAAAGAGGGGAAGAGAAATTAGTGGTGAATGGTGTCGGACTAGTCTCAGCTACCAGCACCCTTATACACACCATTAGTTTCCTTGATGCCCTCCTACGGGCATTATTTGGTTTACATTGATTCAGCTAACAAAAACACCGCTTTTTGTATAATATGAGTCACGGATGCTTTCCAGCTGTCTGTGCGGCACGAGACTGAGCCACGTGCCCACAGACGTACTGTATTCTCTTTCCACTGTTATTAGCACTGTATTTCTTTTTAAACGCTGAGTCTTGAGCGTTTAACATTGCATGAAGGCGCCACATACATTTTATATGTTACAAAACGAAACCACACGAGTCACGAGTCGTCACCCTTCGCTGGTCGTGTCGTTATTCCAACAACACGCCAAATGCTTTTTTCAGCAAAACACTAATAAGCTGGGAATAGGAGTCAGCCCTGTCATATCAACTACCTACCTAGCCTGAGGTGCTTGATGAGGCACTTATTTAGGTCCTCCCTAGGTCCTTACCAGCTTACTTACCTAGGTAGGTACTTGCCTAGATACTTACCTACAAGCACCTATCATATTATGACTATAGTTATTAACATCGTGTCCTTTTCAAGCACTAGGTCTTGAGTGCTTACCATCATATAAAGGCGCCATGTATGTCCTCGGATGTATACGGAATAGAAGCGGAACCACTTACCTATTAGTACGGCTGCTTATATGAACTAGTAAACTTGGGAGATGCAGATCACCACGATTGGAGCACTTGAGGTCCCTCACAAGCGGCTGTGGCATTTTCTCCGCCGGTCCTCCGTCGTCTCGCGCTTGTGTCCCTCCGTCCGCTTCGCAGGCTTGAGCACAGCGACTGCTTGTTGGAACCAGGCTTACAGGTGTCCTGTTTCCATGAGGTAGCAGCCTTCAAATGGCTTAGGTCCAGGGCCGACTTTGTCAGCCCCAAGGAGCGGTCGGCCCTGGCGCTGGCGATCCCCAGGGTCTAATCTTGGGGGAGGGGGCTGCATGCCAAGCCCTAACCCTACCCCTACCCATCGAATCTTCTACCTCACATATTCCAGGCATCTCCCCGGAAAATGGCGACGTGCGGCTCCACCTGCCAAATGAGCTAAGGCGAACGTCACCCCACGTTCACACGGCATCAGACATCTGGACGGTTGTTTCTGTCTGGCTGTATGCTGATCCCGTTGCGTCTTCTACGATGGTTTGATGTCTCAGTGCAGTGCCTGCATTGGACTTGCCTCCCAGCTCAGTACTACCAGGGCCTGAAAGCTGTCAGGCCACGTTGAGGTATCGTTGGCGGGAACACGCAGACGACGCAGCCGACATCATACCACTCTGGCTGTCTGGCAGTCCCCCATCGATTCTTTCGCCTTCCCTGTGAAACGTCGGGTCCTTCCACATGGCAGTCTCGCCATGTGTGCCTGCCAAGCAGGGCTGTACTGTAACTTGAAGTGATAAACAGCGGCAGCTGCCTGAGCTTGCAGGTAGGATTTGTACCTAGGTACCTAGGATAGGTACCCCAGTACCAAGGGCTTGGACTAGATGTTTCCAAGCATGCCCAGGGTGCCCAGAAGTCAGTCGCCTGATGTCTCATAAACACCGCGGCTGCTCGTCAGGAAACGGCAAAGCCACATAGATGGCGTCACAGCATGCAAGTTCAAGTTGTTTTCAGGTTTAGTTAGGTGTAGGTGCAGGTAGGTACAAGGTGCAGCCAGCACCTGCACCCGTTCTCAGGCCCGGTCTCGATGATATAACCCAGCTGTCATCACCACATGTGCCCCTATTTCCACTTCTTTTCTCCTTGGACTGTGTCAAGAATCACGCTGTTTTCAGCTGCTCTTGTCTTGTATCATCTGTCTCACTCTCCTGTCCACAAAGCCCGAGCAATATGACTTCGGCTGTTGCTCCGACCCGCCGCTTCTCGGATGCCTCGATGCATCGCCAGCGGCGCATGAGCCAGATCGTCGACAAGGAAGGCCGCTTCAAGGCCAACCTCACCACCCTCTTCGTCGGAATCTCGGCCGTAATCGCAGGCGACAACACCGCAGCCGTTGCCCTTGCGATCCATGACACCGTCTACCTCGTTGACTTCTCCGTCAAACACATTGTCCTGGACGACCCCACGAAGACCGGTCACGACCTTATTGCCGACTATGTCGTTTCCGCATTAGAGGGCTATGAGCATGAGAAGTTCGCCAAGTTCATTGGTGCCGGTCTGCCGACGACTGTCGATACCATGAGCCCTTCCCTCTGCTCCCGCCTCTGGTTAGAGCTCGATGTCGTACCTATTGTGCTACGACCTGAGGTGGATGGTACTGGCAAGGACATGAGCTTCTGGGGTATCAAGCGAGTGGATGAGCAGGCTGATAGTATGGCTAGAAAATGCATCATGTAAGTCAAATCTGACCTTGCTTTGCTGCCTCGGTACACACATACTATCGCTAGGGATGGCCTCACATCGTGAGATCCGACATTCGCACCCATTAAACGGAGGTCCACCCGTACAAGCATAGCCCCATATACACATCACCTACGAGTCCTATAGTACACACGACATGACTCTGCAGTATATCGATCCCTGAGTCACCTAGCATTGGCTTTCCCTCCGTTTTCGCGAGTGTGCATCTCACATCTCTGAACCCTATCAAGCAGATCCACTGCGCTTTGGATTCTGCCTCTGACTCTTTATAGGCATTTTGGACCATCTCTGGTGCCGCTCCTTCAGGTCGGCTTCCGTGGCGTTGTCCAGACCGATGCCGCGTTCCGTGCCCACCTCACGACGGTCCAGAACCACAAGGACACATGCACATCACCAACTTGGGAATCCACGGTCAAGTATGTCGACCAGCTTCGCAGCAAGAAGACCAAGATCGCCTTCTTCAGCAGCACACCGCAAGGCGGCGGTGTTGCCCTCATGCGTCATGCGCTCGTCCGCTTCGCTCGGCTCATGGATGTTGACTTGACGTGGTATGTGCCAAAGCCTCGACCTGGAGTCTTCCGTACCACCAAGAATATGCACAACATCCTTCAGGGTGTCAGTCACCCAGACCAGCGCATATCAGACGAGGAGAAAGCCAGTATCATCGACTGGATCACGGACAATGCTCAACGTTATTGGTTCTCGGACGGCGGCCCCCTCTGCAGCCGAGGCGAGGGCGGAGCTGATGTCGTTGTGATTGATGACCCACAGATGCCTGGACTGATCCCCCTCATCAAGAAGCGGACCCCAGACCGGCCTGTTTTGTACCGATCTCACATCCAGATAAGAGCGGATCTGGTCGCCAAGGAGGGCAGCCCCCAAGCCGACACGTGGGAATTTCTCTGGGGAAACATCAAGCATGCGGACATGTTTATCAGTCACCCGATCCCTTCCTTCGTCCCTCACAACGTCCCGAAGGAGAAAGTTGCGTACCTGCCGGCCACTACCGACTGGCTTGATGGCCTCAACAAGCCGCTCAACCGGTGGGACTCGGGCTACTATGGCCATATCTATAACACCTCCTGCCATGCGCAGCGCATGACGGAGCTACACTATCCTGCACGCAAGTACATAGCGCAGGTGGCACGCTTTGACCCTGCCAAGGGCATCCCCACTGTGATCGATTCTTATGCCGAGTTCCGTCGCCTTCTGGACCAACGCGGAATCACCGACACCCCACAGCTCGTGGTCTGCGGCAATGGATCCGTTGATGATCCCGACGGAAGTATGATCTATGACCAGACGATGCTCCAGATAGAGCAGACTTACCCCCATCTTGTCGGAGACATTAGTGTCATGACCCTCGACCCAAACGACCAGTTACTCAATACCATCATCTCCAACGCGCATGTCATCCTTCAGCTGTCAACCCGTGAGGGGTTTGAGGTCAAGGTTTCGGAGGCGCTGCACGCGGGACGTCCCGTGATCGTCACCAAGTCCGGCGGCATACCGCTGCAGGTGAAGCCCGACGTTAACGGGTTCCTGGTCGAGCCGGGAGACTGGGCCGCCGTGGCCAAGCACCTGGTCGACCTATTCACGGACGACGAGCTGCACAAGAAGATGAGCCACGAGGCACGAACCGGTGTGTCGGACGAGGTTGGCACGGTTGGCAACGCGCTTTCTTGGTTCTACCTGGCCGCCAAGTGGGCCGAGGTTGGTGTCAAGAGGGGCGGTGGGCAGGGGGGCCTGGATGGGAACGAGAAATGGGTGAACGACATGGCTCGGGAAGAGGCCGGATACCCTTACGGACCGGGTGAAAATCGACTGCCTCGGGCGTTTACGGCGAAGAAGGAGTAAGGATGATGACGTTTAGAAACACTCAATGGGATGGGTTCTGGACTTGCTTGTGGGGTAACACTCTGCTCGTTCATTTGCCTTATTACTGTGTAGATGGGATTTCTTGTTGCGTCGACTTCCAAAACTCGCGGCGGTGCCGCAAGTACATAAGAATCGACCGAGTCCTCGGAAAAACTGACCTTTTTTGGAGAATCAAAAGGGCCACAGAGCAGGGCCAAGCTGTCAGTTGACTGTACCAGGCACGGCGTGGTCTTTACGTGCCACCCGCGATGTAACGATGCATGTTCGATTCTGCTTAGTGTCCCGCGCGCTGGTGAGGCGGCGCCCGCCTAATATTACCATGTTTGCGATTCCGGTTTACGTTACCGCGAGTCCCTTGGCGAATTGCACCGATATGTGTCAGAACCCCAACATAGTGGATCAGTCGAGACTCCTCACAAGCGGAGCGGCGAGTGGGACATTTACGAGAAACCCCGGATTCGGGTGGGTCTGAGGAGAAACTACCCCAGATGCGGGAGGCACCGTGTTTCCTGGTTGGTCTGCGTCTGCCGGGGTATATCAAGCATCCTCAGTCTTTTGCAGCAATACCCCAGGCAAAGCAGGCAAAGCAGGCAAAGCGTGCAGAACAGGCCCGAATGAATGAGGGGGAGCACTGCGGCATATGCACATCACCTGACGATTGTTACCTACCTTGGCCCTAGGGAGGTACGCCGGAGATTATCCATAGGCGCGAACAAGCTCGAGAATAAGAAGCAGGGGCATCCCGAGGTGATCCAGGGCGACCAAAAAAAATGGCCGATTTGTAGTTTGCGAACCTGGTCGGTTTTTTCATGTTGACCATCGTTAGTTACCTTAGGGTAAAAGAGGGCGAGCACCGCGGCTGCTGAACTCCAGACCATCTGACTCTGTTGATTCCCAACAGCACAAGCAGCAGAAGAAGCGAAAGAAAGGCGACGATCACTATGGATCCCACCGCCGAGTCGTCGGCCGACGCCCGCACCAAGCTCGCGTACAAGAACCGATGGCACACCGTCCTCAGCAACCCCAAGATCGTGGTGATCGCGCTATTCGCCTCCTTCGGCGGCTTCGAGTATGGGTACCAGCAGGGCGTCCTGGGCCAGTCGCTGGTCATGCACCGCTTCAAGGACAACTTCCCGTCCGTGGTCGAGTCGTCGAGCGCCACGGGCTGGCTGACGTCCATCCTCCAGGTCGGCGGTATCATCGGGTCCGTCTCGGCTGGCGTGCTTGGTGAGGTGTTCTCGCGGAAGTATACCATGTTTATGGCTTGCCTCTGGGTTATCCTCGGGAGTTATCTGTACTGCGGCGCTTCTTACCATAACCCAGCCATGCTGTATGCCGGGCGGTTCTTTACTGGTATTGGTGTTGGAACATTCAGTGGTGTCGGGTGAGCAACAGACCAGACCCTAAGTCTCCGAGGGCTTGACAAAGAGTCGACCGGTGCTGACGACCAGAACAGACCCCTATACAACGCAGAGCTGTCTGCCCCCGAGCTCCGTGGATTCTTGGTATCATTCTACCAGTTCGCCACCATCTTCGGCATCATGTTGTCGTTCTGGATCGGCTACGCCAGCAACAACATCGGCGGCCAGGGCGACACGCAGACGAACCTGGCCTGGCAGCTGCCGACCATCATCCAGGGCATCCCCGCCGTGTGCCTCGCCCTGGGCATCTGGTGGCTGCCCTTCTCGCCCCGCTGGCTGATCAAGCAGGACCGCGACGACGAGGCCATCGCCACCCTGGCATACCTGCGCAGCCTGCCCGCCGACAACGAGCTGATCCAGGTCGAGTACCGCGAGATCAAGGCTGAGTGCCTGTTCGAGGAGAGGCACTTTGCCAAGTCGTTCCCCACGCTGGCGGCCAAGGAGAAGAAGAGCGTCTGGACGCGCCAGCTGGCTGAGTACTGGAATATCATGAGGTCGTGGGATAATGCCAAGCGTGTCGCTACGGCGTGGTTGGTCATGTTCTTCCAGCAGGTAAGCCTCTCTCTTCACCTAACCTACTCATGTCGCAAGGCCTTCCGTTTCGTGGGGCATGTCTAACGCCGATGTGACCAACAGTGGAGCGGAATCGACGCCATCATCTACTACGCCTCGAACGTCTTCCTCAGCCTGGGCATGTCCAGCACCACGCAGGCCCTCCTCGCCACGGGCGTCACGGGCGTCGTCTTCATGGTCTCGACCATCCCCGCCATGTTCCTCATCGACCGCGTAGGCCGCAAGCCCCTGCTGATCTTCGGCTCGGTGCTCATGTGGGCGTCGATGGTCATCGCGGGCATCATCGTCAGCCAGTTCTCGCGCGACTGGACGCACCACGCCGACGCCGGCTGGGTCGCCGTCGCCTTCATCTGGGTCTACATCTTCGCCTTCGGCTTCACGTGGGGCCCCGTCAGCTGGACGCTCGTGTCCGAGATCTTCCCGCTGTCCATCCGCGCCAAGGGCGCCTCGTTCGGCGCCTCGTCGAACTGGGTTAACAACTTTGCCGTCGCGTTCTTCACGCCGCCTATGCTTGAGGCCTGGGAGTGGGGCACGTATATCTTCTTTGCCGTGTTCCTTGCTATCGGGATCGTGTGGGTGTGGTTCTTCATCCCTGAGACCAAGGGCGCCACGCTCGAGGAGATGGACCGTGTCTTTAAGAGCCACTCGGGCGAGGAGGACGCCCGGATGCTGGCTGAGGCTAGGAGGGATGTTGGGCTGACCCATGAGTTGGAGGTCACTGCTGAGAAGGCTGTTGTTGCGGAGAAGGATGTTGGTACGCCTTCGCATATGGAGGAGGCCAGCTCTCGCTAGAATATGGCGCGGCGATTCAAAAAGGGGTGGGGTGAGCGCACTAGGAAGAGTCTACGTCGGAGTCTGCGGTGACTTCGAGCGCTTGACTGGCCGGTGTTCGTGACGGGGACCGCAAGCCATGCCCATATATGCCCTTCGCCCGCTATGGATGAGGACATGCAGGCTGTGGACATTGCGTTCCAATTCTTGAAGATGCCTAGATACCCAGTATGATTTCAGAATGAGAAGTCACACATGCTATAACCGTACTACCACTACCCAGGTAAACCTTCAAAATTTGCAAAATTTCGTAGAGGATTCCCTGTGACTGACTATCCCAAGGTACTTCTTATGTTTCTAAATACCTTCCATATAATGGTCCTCCAGAATGTTGTTGGTATCAGGGGAGAATCTTGTTTGACGGTGGAGGGTGTCCCATCAGAGGTCAAGGGAGAGATGCCGCAGACTCGCAGCGGACATCTGAGCAGAGCTCATGGAATTAAGGAAATTCTACAAAGCGTGACTTAAATAAACTAGCTGTTGATGCCTGTAGGCAGGACCAACGCTTGTAGTGTCTGATTCATGCGTCCTCTCATCACCAGCAGAGCAACACAAAGACTGCAAGAGCTTTTATTTATCCAATCTACTACAAATCCACGACGTGCTTACGTCTTTCTGCACATTAATACGATTCAGTGCGTGCATAACTAAGTAACTTTTACACAGCAATGATCAAAACAATAGAGGACTTGGAGTCAGTTCATCCTGGTCATAGAGCCAATTACAGCTGAGAAAAACTACAATTCTGTTTCTTTTTCCGGAGGGCTTGGAAACCTACCTAGGTACACATGTGAGTAATCAGGTAGATATATGCCTCCAGCTCATGGTAGGTAGTATCCATGGGCTTCGGCTGCCTCTTACCCACTGCTGGCATGTTAGCGGGCAACCGGAAGGTCTGGACCCTGGGTAAGCTTCAAGCCTTGCAGCGCAGATGTGGGCTCTTGCTGATGGCAATCCACCAACCTGTTTCACAGCCATGCTGACACACAAAATTTCAACGACTTGATGTCGTCTACTGCTGTTTGCAAAGCGAAAATTCATAACGTTGACGATCCCATGCAATCAACGGATTTCAGGTTCGGAAGTTGATTTCAGGCTCGGAGGCTGACTGTCAACCCTTTCCATGGCAAGCAGATTCGATAAATTCGATTGTTCGCATGACCAACGCGCATGCATCATTTTACCATGGTTGGCAGTTGAGAACGCGCCATAACAAAAAGTGGGTTCTGGTTCTATGTCTACATCAGATCATGTTGTAGATCATCTTTGTCAATTATAGATACTAGTGATTTGCTGAGTCTGAAATAAGCAAGGGCGTGGGCTCACAACGGCAATTGAAAGACCCATGCCATTGTTACCATAGCACTGGGACTGCAGATCAGACATTCAGTCAACAGGGGCTGTCGGAATGGGCAGCTAGAGTGGATACACAGCTTGAGCCCACGGCGCTGCATCTTGCGGACCAGCTGCTGTTACGTCCTGAACAAAGATCGAGCCTTCAAATATTGCAGAACATTTTGCAAATCTGGTCAGACAAAGCAGCCTCTCAGTCCTTGATACTAAGATATGTTCTAAAATTGTTGTTGATAGTCAGGAGATATTTCTATGGGTGCTGAGTAAGCATCGATGTACGTTTTTGCTCCCGCGGAGAAGCCAAATGCTACGAAAACCGGCCGGCTGCGGGTGTTGCGGCTCGAGCCGCCATGCTCTCGATCTCGCGTGTTGGAAGAAAACAAAGTGCCCTGAAAAGGCGACCCACACAACCAATCACAATAATTCTATTACTCCAGATCCTCAATGGGTCTGCCAGCGCCGAGGGTCTTCCTTCGGCCATCGCACACAGCGGATGTCCGAGCGGTGGCATGATTTCCAAGGTTTCCAAGGTTTTCCCAGGGGTGTGGGAGCGACTGACTGGAATCATGCTCGCGGCCAGCGGGACAATGGTAAATAGATGGAGTGGCACGATGATGGCTGAGAACTGCATCTCCGTGGCAGATGAAAAATACACCAATATTAATACCAAGCTGCAGCCCGTACCTGCATCGTGTTTGAGACCTGACTCTTGTAACAGACTGGCACATCACCGCAAACACCACTCATCATTCTTGCCTAACACCTCACTTGGCACTCACGACAGTGACTGACCGCTCACAACAACCACCCTGCGACAACCTTACAAGACACCACGCCGTACTTGTACCACCGTATTGGGATCTCACCCTCGACTAGGAATACATCACCACAATGACCGTGACACCCAGCACAACAGCAGGCCCAAAACCGGGTGACGCCACCAATGGCGACGCTGTCCCCCAAGCAGCGCCCCTGAGTCAAGCTCAGCTGGCCATCATCAAGGCCACTGTGCCCGTTCTGCAGGTCCATGGTGAGGCTATCACGAAAACTATGTACGACAACATGATCGGCGCTCATCCCGAACTGCACAACGTCTTCAGCACTACCTCTCAGACCACCGGAAGGCAGCCACGGGCACTTGCGCGCTCAGTTCTCGCGTACGCCATGTACATTGACGACCTGCCCAAGCTGGCACACGCCGTGGAGCGGATAGCCCAGAAGCACGTCAGCCTGTTCATCCAGCCGGAACAATACGACATCGTGGGGGGATTCTTGATAGGCGCCATCGGCCAGGTCCTAGGTGACGCAGCCACACCCGAGATTGTGGACGCCTGGACGGCTGCGTACGGGATCCTGGCCAGCGTGTTCATCAACCGCGAGAAGGAGCTGTACAAGGCCGATGAGAACTGGACGGGCTGGCGCAAGTTCCGCATTGCGAGGAGGGTGAAGGAGGCCGAGGACGTCGCGAGCTTCTACCTCGAGCCCGTGGATGGGGCCGCGCTGCCAAGCTTCCTCCCCGGCCAGTACGTCAGCCTGCAGGTTTTTGTGAAGCAGCTGGGCTACAACCAGAGCCGGCAGTACAGCCTGAGTCAGGCACCCGACGACGCAGGCAAATCCTACCGCGTCAGCGTCAAGAAGGACCGGGACGCCGAGGCGGGCATCGACGGCCTCATCTCGAACATGCTGCACGACGGCTACAAGGAGGGCGACGTGGTCGAGCTGTCGCACCCGCATGGCGAGTTCTTCCTGGACCCGTCGGATGTCTCAAAGGAGGGCGCGCCCGCCGTGCTTATCTCCGCCGGCATCGGCGCGACGCCGCTCATGTCCATGCTCCACGCCTTGGCGAAGCCCTCGGCAGTCAAGAGGCCCGTCTCGTGGGTCCACACCGCGCGGTCGAGAGCTACACAGCCGTTTGCCGATGAGGCGACCGCCACGCTGGATCAGGGGGCCATCAAGGACAGGGCCTCGACTCACGTCCATCTGAGACAGGGGCTCGACGGAGAGGGAAAGCCAAGGTTGGACATTGCGGCTTTGGGCCGGGAGGGCAAGCTCTTCGTGAACGACTCAAGGGCGGAGTACTTTATCTGCGGACCGGAGAAGTTCATGTTGGAGGCGAGAAAGGCACTTAGGGATCTTGGTGTTGAGAAGAGCAGGATCTACCTGGAGTTGTTTGCGACCGGCGATGTGGCGGATGACGCTTAGACGACGGCCGTGGGAGGTCAGTTCTAGAGATTTGGAAACGTTTGTTGAAATTAAGAGGATTCAGATGCCACATTTTGGACAATGGGCTGCCAGAAGAGTAGATCATGGTGGCAGGAAACTCCTACGATATCATTTCATTTGGGGCGGCCATGGAACTCAGCTCACCTTGTAATAACAATTGTCTTTTGTAGTAAGGGATCAAAACTTTACCACCAGCCCAGGCACGTTAGGGTGTTCGAAACGGACCGGAATTTGGCTGTTCGAATTGAAGTAGACTTGGCCTACGCCCCCTGCCAGTAACAGTTATCTGATCGAACGAGCCTTGCATCTGACGGCCGCCATGTTCCAGAATGTGTCTCATTTGGTCCTGGTCCTTCATAGCATCGAAAGTTCCAGGAGCTGCTTCCATGCAGGATGCCTAATCCGATGCACAGCAAATCAAGACATCAACACGCGCGTCGCGTGTAACATTGATGCTCAATCATGGCCGCGGCATATGACCCGTGGACGTTTTATTTCCACCTGTTCCCTCATTCCGACTCGCTGCACGGCTGCTTGGCCCCGAGAGCTTGGTGGCTTGGGATCCATTCCAAGGGTTGTCCTTTTCGCCTTCCACGGGTGCCAACGCAGTGGTCTGGTCACAACTAAGGATGACTGCATGTCAGAGATTTCACGACCTCGGCAGGTATCTGAGAGGCCTTATCCGATGTTGCAGTCTGTTACCTCGGTTCGAGGGCCATTCCACAGATCCATCTAAGCTTATTGCAGCTTTGTGGCACCGATGGCCAAACATTTGGGGATACATGTCGTTCAGCATCGCAATACGACATTCATCATACCGTAAAAAGACGACAGATACCAATTTGCCATGCACGGAACAAACCAGGGAGAAGTAGTTGGGTAGAACCATCTTGCCATTGACTTCAGCATAAACATGTGTTCGCAGATTGCGCAAGTACGTACTGACAAATGATGTTTCAAATGCGAATGATTTGCGCCTCAGCAAAATGTAAATATAATGTGCCTTAAGGGTGAATTTTCGATCCCTCCAAGAGGTTAAGCATATAACTTTCTCTTGCCAACAAAGTGGCTCTTCTTGTCGCACTCAGTCAACCGATTGCATCAAAAAGCAGCCCTGGAGTTCTTCCATTATAATGGTCCACGGGTATCTACTACCTGAGCCAATAGCCACAGGTGCCTCCGTATCGCTGAAAGCGTAGTGGATACTGGTACACGGTTCGACCCAAATTCAAATTCGATTAAAGGCATGATTGAAAACCCAGACCGGACACAGAAGCTGCGTTACGTGACTGTAGCGGAAACACACATGGGCACCGGCTTTGCCATGTCTCACGAGACTCAATAAGCTCACTTGCAGCACTTCCGTGACCTTATTGCTTTCAGACACAGCCAGCCAGTCCCACCTGTGCTCTTTTCGGAGCCAGGACGATTCCTTAGGACATAACACGAAAGGTTCAGTAACATGTTATTATGTATTTACCTACAAAGGAATCTCATGATCAAAACCTCAACCAATTTCACCAGCCCTTGGATTGGGGCGCATAATTAGTGTCAAGGTCAAACATGCTGCCTATTGGTAAGGGAGCCTGGAAGGGGTAATACCAACAAATACTATGGCTCACAGTTCAGCAGTATCTTCAGTCCGATGGGGAGCCCACATGCCATAGTAACAGATGTGGTACAAGACTTGCATCGGGAAGGAGCAGAATCTGGCACCTTGTCATACGATCACAGATCCAAGCTGTGCTGCCGAAACTTCGATCGGCTTGTCATGACCTCAATTTCAGTGCCCTGAGGACTTCCAAATTGGGTTCCCAGAGAGTGGCCGCATCCTGCTGGTGTTGATCGCTCCACTCAGAGATTAATTGATCGCTTCGCTCAAGGATTGTGCGCAGACGGTCAGATATACGTCGTCGCTAAGTACTTTGACTCCATATAATTCACGGTCAACTCAAGTGCCCATTTAATCTTGTATCCCCGCACCCATGTCCATCAATCATTCTCTCTTTGTATCTGGTTTTGCTTCTATTCCGTATACTTCCGAGGACATATATGGCGCCTTCATCTCTCTTTGTATAAACCAGTATTTCTGATGATCCAAGTATCTTTCAACCAGTACTAAAACCAAGAGCCCTGATGAACAAATCTGTCAGCAACATTGTCAGATTTCAGGCCATAGATCATTAAGTGTTTACCCATTAGCTGGAATTTGCTACAATAGACAGCAGTACCCCAAGTGTTCTTAGGGTGCCCAGATGGTCAAATTGACGGAAGAGTCTTGGAGACCGCCGGATTGTTTAGGAATAGTAAGGAGACTGAGCTGAAGACTAACAGAAACTATTGTGTGCCAATCAAAGGAAAGAATGCCCTGCATTAGTGAAGTATTTGGCGTGGTGGTTCCCCGTTGGCATGGGATATGTGCCTACTGCCCCAGATAGGAGCACCATGCCAATGCCAAGAGGCGATGGGTTGAGCTGAGCCAGCACGCAACTCCTAAGCTCCTTCCAGCTCCCTATTGGACACAGCTCAAGCCTGGAATAGCATCCCGATCATATGACAGTATTAAGGGCCAATATCATGTGCCTTTTCCACAAGTAGCGCTTAGTCAGAGCATTGAGGCTGGCACAGTGAATGAGGGTTGTCAAGTTATTTGTGTTGAAACACCCAGTGCCAACACCTGGGTGGCATTGGAAGTCAGATGAAAACAAGTTGCACATACTCATTCACTTGCATCACGGATTGAGCAAGTTGTTTTCCGGTCCCCAGTTTCTTTTGTTTACTTGAGTGGATTGCCCCACCCAGGTACCTTCTGAACCTCCCACCATAGCTCAGTCAAAGAGTACTGTGCCGGTTCCTTGTTGCGGTGCACCTGTCACTGCTGTCTTTCACTTTCACTCTTGGGTCCGTGTACCTGCCTCCGTCAATTTTCCCAACCAACTTCCTGCGAGCCAGTCCTTGTTGTTTCATTGAATTCCCTTGTTCCTCGACGCCTTTAATTCTTCGGCGCTCTGCCATTTCAGCATCGACACAGAGCTCCTCCACAGGTTCTTGGTCATTCTTCAGCAGCACACAGTAGGGTCTCGTTTCTATTCTCAACGTCCCTGATACCAACAAAGCTGTTTGCACACAGCCGTCACAAAGCGCGGGTCATAAAATCCAAACAGCCTTTGGCCTGTGGCCTGGAGCCAATAGCACGACGGCGACCAGGTGTGTACCTTTGGAGGGCAAAGTTTCCCATCACACTCATTCCCAAGTTGTCTTGCTACCTACCCTTGCCTCTGCCGGACCACTTTCCGTTACCCGCTTCCAATCTCTGTCTCAGTATTTACGGCCGCAAGTGCTTACACTCTCTTCAAGCCACGAGCGTACGGCTTGGAGGACAGAAAGATGCCTCCCGAGCCAATCGCCCTCGTTGGTAGCGGTTGCCGATTCGCGGGCGATGCGACTTCACCTTCTAAACTGTGGGAAGTCCTAGCGGACCCCGTTGATCTTTCGCGACCGGTACCCGCGAACAGGTTCTCTTCGACAGGTTTCTTCCACAAAGACCCAGAGTATAATGGCACAACGAATTCTCCTTATGGGTACTGGCTGAGTCAGGACGTGGACAAGTTTGACGCCGCCTTCTTCAACATTTCCAAGAGAGAGGCCGAGTCCATGGATCCCCAGCAACGACTCCTTCTTGAGGTCGTGTACGAGGCCCTTGAGTCCGCTGGGTACAGTTTGAAGACGATGGCCGGTCGCAACGTTGGGGTCTACACCGGTGTCATGACAACGGACTACAGGTCTCTCTCCGAGAGGGATGAACTGAACGCGTCGCAATATGCGGCCACCGGCAACGCGAGCTCCATCGTCGCCAACCGAATTTCGTACTTTTACAATTTTAACGGCCCGTCCATGACCATCGATACGGCGTGTTCGTCAAGCTTAGTTGCTCTGCACCAAGCCGTGCTGGGCCTCCGCTCAGGAGAGACATCCATGGCCTGTGTCGCCGGCGCCAACCTGATGCTTACCCCAGAGCAGTTTATCTCTGAGTCTGACCTGCACATGCTAAGCCCCACAGGTCATTGCCGGATGTGGGATTCAAAGGCTGATGGGTACGCGAGAGGCGAGGGAGTGGTCACCATCCTCATCAAGACGCTCACCCGTGCTCTCGCCGATGGCGATAGCATCCAAGCTATCATTCGTCACACCGGAGTGAACTCGGACGGAAGGACACAGGGCCTCACAGTGCCAAGCTCAGTAGCACAATCTGCACTGATCCAGCAGACATATGAGAAGTCGGGTCTGGATCCTCGAAACCCAAATCATCGGCCGCAGTATTTTGAGGCCCACGGTACGTCCTTTCATCTTGATGTATGTCAAATCTCCCGCAGCAGCTGACAATCTTTAAGGAACCGGAACTCCTGCGGGTGATCCAAGAGAGGCTCGTGCGATTGCTGAAGCCTTCTTCGGTGAAGGCGAAGATCACATGTCACTGTCAACAATGTCACATGACGCCAAATTGTTCGTTGGCTCAGTGAAGACAGTCATCGGGCACACCGAGGGCGCAGCAGGACTTGCCGGAATTCTTAAAGTCGTTCTCGCGATGCAGAACGATTCAATCCCAGGGAATATGCACTTCGAATCCTTGAATCCAGGTGTGCTTCCCTTCTATCGCAACCTACAAGTCCCCACCCAGATACTCGACTGGCCATCCCCTCCAGAAGGACAGCCCATGAGAGCGAGCGTGAATTCTTTCGGTTTCGGAGGCACGAACGGGCATGCTATTGTTGAGAAGTATCTACCAGAAATTCACGACAACGAGGTCCTAATAGCCTCACCCACAGCCGACTACCTCTCGTCTCTGAATATCCCCACGACTGGCTGGTCTGAGAATAAGGGAGTTTCATTACCTCTCTTGATTACAGCTGCATCAGAGGAGTCCTTTATTTCAACTCTCAAGAACCTTGCGTCATACATTCGAGAGAACCCACATTTGACTACTCAAGAGCTGGCCTGGCATCTCTATAGTCGCCGTACAGCGCACGGTCTGAAGGTGTTTGTGGTCTCGGGACCTGGGAAGGTGACCCTATTGATGCCAACCCTGCGAGCGTTGATTGAACGGGCAAATAAAACCTCTCTCATCCAGAGTGGTACTGTCATCCGATCCAAGAAGACCTCGAATACTCCACGCATACTTGGAGTCTTCACAGGACAGGGAGCACAATACACTGCTATGTCAAAAGGCCTTCTCTTCACAAGCGCGGTCTACCTTGACACCATTAGGAGGCTCGACAGCATTCTGCAGAACGACTGCCCTGACCCTCCAGAGTGGACTCTGGAGGAGAAAATCAAGTCAGAAGGCGGCGGCCCAGGCGTGAGCACGGCTGCTTTAGCCCAACCCCTGTGTACCGCGGTTCAGATTGCCTTGGTGGAACTGCTCGCCAGCATCAATGTATCTTTCAGCTGTGTTGTCGGACACTCTTCTGGAGAAATTGCAGCTGCTTTCGCGGCTCAACGATTGTCAATGCGCGACGCCATATTGATTGCCTATTATCGGGGCCGGTTTGCATACCTGGCTTCAGGGAATGGTGGGAGAAATGGAGGCATGATGGCATGTGAAATGTCAAAGCAACAGGCCGAGCACTTTTGCTCCTTGCCTGAGTATCACGGCCGTATTGGCGTTGCGGCGAGCAACTCTCCTAGCCTGGTCACCTTATCTGGAGATTTCGACACCATTACTGCTGCATCTCAAGTGCTAAAGACTGAGGGGAGATTGGCAACAATTTTGAAAGTGGACACAGCATACCACTCATTTCATATGGTCCATTCGGTCCAAGAATACTCCAAGGCCTTATCACAGTGCGGCATCCAGGCTCGCCCGCTCCAAGGTGATGCCCCGCCCACGTGGGTCTCGAGCGTTCACGGCCAGCTGGTTGACATTCCTGCTGAAGACTTGGCAATCGATTACTGGAGGGACAACATGCTAAGGCCTGTCCTTTTTCATGAGGCACTTGGAGCAGCCCTGAGTGGCTTTGGGCCGTTTGACTGCGCAATCGAGGTCGGACCTCATCCCCAACTGAAGGCCCCGGCCATGGAGACCATCAAGAGTTACATGACCGCTGAGCTGCCTTATTACGGACTACTCCATAGGGGCAAGCATGCGGAGATTGCATTCGCCGAATTCCTTGGGTCCATGTGCATCACCTTTGACAACGCTGCTGTAAACATCCGCAGCTTTGTCCAGCAATCCTCTCAACCTGATCTCGTCAACTCGCGCCTTGTCGGTGCGCCGACATATGCTTGGGACCACACGCAGGCGTACTGGAGAGAATCCCGGCTATCATCCCAGTACCATTTCCGAGATCAACCACCACATGAGCTTCTCGGTGTACGCACTCGCGACGATAACCAATTTCAAATGCGGTGGCGAAATATCCTCAAGGTTGAGCAGATCCCGTGGGTAGAAGGGCACAAGTTCCAAGGCCAAGCACTGCTCCCAGCGTCAGCGTACTGCATTATGGCACTCGATGCAGCCAGAATTGCTCTGAATGGACGCCGTGCATCGGTTATTGAGCTGCAGGAAATGAAATTCCTCAGCGGTATTACCTTGGAAGCTGGTTCTCTCGGGGTGGAAGTATTGTTCACTCTTTCCATCCTGCCTGCACAACAGTCTCAGCCGGATGGCACAAATACCATCCAAGCTGATATCACACTGACCTCAGTTCCTGTCACCTCATCCAAACCCAGCCCAATGAAGAAGAACTTCGAAGGAAGGATCGTCATCATCCTCGATGATCCCTCTCCATATTCCCTACCTCCTCGATTCTCTGGCCCTCTCGCAGAGACTGCGCCCGTAAACATAGGTGCATTCTACCACATGATGGAAGGTATTGGACTGTCGTACACAGGTCCTTTCCAGGCACTCGAATCCATTGATCGGCGTCTCAACTACGCGAGAGGAACTCTCGGCAAGGTCCACCTGTCAGATACGACACGTCTGGACATGAGCCCAGCGTTTCTCGATAGTTGTTTCCAGGCCACCTTTGCAACATTTTCGTCGCCCGGTGACAGGTAAGTTGACAAACCGGCCATTCCAATCCATGCAACCTCGAAATAATGAGCATATTGCGTGAGTACTAATCATTGTCCACAAACAGGGCCCTTTGGACATCTTTCCTTCCCACGAAGATCGGCAGAATGCGTTTCAACTTGGCTTTGTATGGCGGTCAGCGTTCTTCGGAAAAGATGACCGTGGAATGTGAGCTCACCAAGTTCGACCATTACTCCTTTGGCTCTCCAGCCACCATCACCGCCGACCTATACATCTACAGCGACATCGGACAGACGGCGGTACAGCTTGAGGACCTGGTCGTCTCCTCTTTCTCCTCAGCGAAGCCCCAAGATGACTACGAGTTGTACCTGCACACAGTCATAGACTTGGACCCTGAGTATGGAATTGCCACCTGGCGTGACCAGCCCAAGTTTGTTCGCAAACACATCAAGGAGAGCTGTGATCTTGTCGCCCAGTTTTACATCAAGGAGTCGACGAGTATTTCGTCGCCCGACACGCCACCGAATTCGCCCCGAAGTAGCTCACCCGCGACCGATGCAAGCAAAGGCTCCATTGAAAACGAGCAAGACATGGAAATATTCATATCGAATTCTCCATACTACCATGCGTTGGACCTGATCCGCAGCCCTCTTATGGTTGGATTATCACAATCAGATCCGCGTAGGTTGCCACGTGTGTACAAGTCTGTTGTTGACAGCGCGTATGCCGCGGAACACATCAGCGCACATCTGGGCAGAGTCGTTCAACAGATCTCACATCGCTTTCCACGAATGGATGTCCTTGATCTGACCTTTGCGGAGTGGACATTTACCGAAAACGCACTTGAAGGCCTGCGCGGCTCATTCTCGTCATACAATCTGATGGCGTCGGAGAAGCCCCAAAACTTGCTGCATCGTTGCCCAGATCTGCATGGTAACAAGAAGGTGTCTTCCGTAAACTTCGATTTCGATGCGATGGAAGATGAGATGGATCTAGGTGATACGGTCGGTACTTACGACTTGGTCATCCTATCAACCGTTGTATTCTCCATGTTCAACGCCGGCCAAGCAGAAATCATTCGAATGATCAGAAGGCTGATGAGGATGAGAGGCTTCATCATCATAGTCGACGCACTGCCTGTATCGACACTTGAGCGCATGGTTGGCCTAGAGCGGGGGCGATTAAGGCAGCTCATCTCGGATGTGTGGCAACCCTTTGATGCTCAATCACTGCACAACGACTTGTTTTTGCCAGAAACTGAGAACTCCACACAAACCTTCTCTTCTGGTTGGTCGATAACTGTACGACAAGCAAGTGGACATCTTCCGATGCTCGATGACAGCAAATCCAGCGAGTCGATACTCCTGGTCGGCCCAGGTTCATCAATAATCGTGGGTAGTCGACTGTCTGATTTCTGTGAGGAACACGGATTACTCCCAAACTGGGCGATTCTCCCTCCCATTGGTGAGGTAGAGGATGTTACGCCAGATGTAGCGTCCAAGGCCACTGTTGTCATAATGCTTTCGGATTTGTACGCGCCGGTCTGCACGAATATGACTGAGGGCGGCTTGAACTCGCTCAAGTCCCTCATGCAGCCTGGAAAGACCATCATGTGGGTGACGACTGGCGCGCAAAACAGCCCGGAGACAGCGGCATCCCTCGGCCTGACAAGAACTTTGAAGGCGGAGAACCCAAACCTGATTTTGCAGGTCCTCAACTTCTATGATACCGACAAACACACAGTGGGCACGATTATAGACCGACTGATGCAACTCATTCAGTACCGGGATCATCTCCAGCCCGCGGAGAGCCTGAAGGAGAGGATGCTTTTCACGCTCGAGCCTGAAATCCACTTCCATGGAACCGAACGGGGTGTGCCCCGCGTGCTTCCGTACAAACCGGCGATCGAGCGTCTGAACTCCAGTCGAAGAGAAGTGTTCAGGACGTACAATAGCCTCGAAACCTGTCTGTCTATCGGTAGTGCCCGAGGCAACGACGGTGTAACTCGGGTTGAGGTTTACCGCTCGGAGGATCCGATGAGAGGTCTTGCCGGAGATTCAGAAGTTGAGATTGTGGATGTCGAGTTCACCTCGCTGTATCCTCTTTTGACCAGGGGCGAAACGCAGCTGCACCTGTCCATAGGCCTTTACGCCAGCACTCGCCGTCCAGTTGCAGCTTTGGCCCCCCATGCAGCCTCGAAAATCCTGGTCTCGGATACCGTTGAGCTGGGTGATCATGTGGATCGACGAGTGCTCGTATCGTGGTTGGCGCCGATGATCTCCGCCGCTGCCATAGGTGTCTGGGCCCGTCCTGGTGACGTGGTCTTCGTCGAACCAGATCCAATATTCTTTCGCTGTGCGCGGGAGGTTCTGGCGACAAAGGGATTTACGGTCCATGCCTTGACGAGCGACACGGATCTGGCCAACGAGCATGCCGACGTCAAGTACATTCACCCACTGAGCAACGGCCGGCAGCTGATCAAGCTCATCCCACGCACGCACCCAACCGTTATCAACTTCCAACCCGAAGGGAAGGACTTGTCAAAACTCATCCGAAGCCTCTCAAACCACTTCGAGTATGAGCAGTGGCCACCTTCTTCGACAGCCCGTGGTGCCCTAAGATCAGCAACGACGGGGCCAGAGCTTGCCAACTTACTGGTTAAATGCATCAATATGACAGGTCCCAATCCATTACCGGGCAGGCCTTCCACCTTCGTAACCCCATCAAGCCTCCATGGAATGAGCGAACCGAGGCCGGCTTTCACAATTGTGGACTGGATGTCCGAGCGCTACGTTTCTGTTCCAGTCAAAGCCCTGGTGGAGACCCGGTTATTAAGCCCTGACAAGACTTACATCCTCGTTGGCATGACCCGTGATTTTGGCCAGAGTGTGTGTCGGCTGTTCATCAACTACGGGGCACGAAATATTGTCGTGGCCAGCCGCAGCAAGCCGAAGGGTACTCCAAACTGGATCGCTGAGCTGAACGCGGACGGGGCCAACATTCACGCCAGACAATGTGACGCCACCGACATAGAGAGCGTTAAAGCCTTGGGGCAGAGCCTTCACAATGTTGGAGGTATAGTCAACGGTGCCATGGTCCTGGACGATAGGAGTTTCTCCCAAATGGACATCGAGACTTGGACACGCGTCATGCGACCCAAGACGCTCGGGTCCAGCAACCTTGACAAGGTCTTCAACCAGAAGGACCTGGAGTTCTTCATCATGACCTCCTCATTCGCAGCCATCGGCGGACACGCGGGTCAGTCTAACTACGCCGCCGCAAACATGTTCATGAACGGCCTGGCTGCCAACCGACGACAGCGCGGGCTCGCCGGATCAGTGCTGAACATCGGCGTCATCTACGGCATCGGCCTCTTGGCGCGCGAGCAGCGGAACCAGGTTTATCACAGCCTGGAGAGAGAAGGTTATCCGCCCATCTCCGAGCGCGACATCCATCACATGTTCCTCGAGGCAATCGTCGCCGGTCGGCCCGTGCCTGGGCAGATCGTGGACTTGACTACTGGCCTGGCGCGGTACCGAGTCAATGACCCAAACCCGCTGCACTGGCACCGTGACGCGCGCTTTTCTCATTTCACCGTCGACGAGGACACCGATGAGACAGGGGCACAGCAGGGCGGCGGCGCGGTCGACAACCTCAAGGAGCTGATCGGTTCGGCGGATTCGGCTCAGGTGGTCTTGGACTTACTGGTCGAGCATCTTTGCGCCAATCTACAGACCACCCTCCAACTTCCACAGGGTGGCGTGGCTGCCGATAGCCATATTATTGAACTCGGCGTGGACTCGCTGATGGCGGTTGAGATCCGGAATTGGTTCTACAAGAAAGTGGGAAGCGATGTTCCGGTCATGAGGATCCTCCAGCCCCAGAGCATTTCAGAGTGTAGGTTCTTGTTCATTGTCCTATCTGAAAGACGTTCCTTGCTGATTGGTTATCGTAGTGTGTCTTGATGTTGCCAACAAGATCGTCGCCGAGAGGGGTTGAATGTTCATGGTCTGATGACTGCATGTGTGTAAGAGGTACCGTGGCAGATGTCGAGGGGAAGAAAAAGATATGCAGCCGGTGTAGGGTTTACTTTTTTTCTGTTTGGCAGAGCATGACACTTTGCATGGAGTTGCACATTGGCACCGGGTCTAGGCGGCCTCGTTCAAGTACTAAGGTCTCCGAAAAATCGTACAATGGATGTGACTGGCAGTGTAAGCGCCAGCTATAGATAGGATGAAAATGTCGACGTCATGAGGCTGAAATTGAACAGTTACGGGTTCTACCATAGTACTGATTAGAAGGGAAAACGATATTCCCCGGATGCCGGATGCAAATCTTGCAGCCAGGGAATCTGACCACTCCCTGAGAATTTTGAGATGGTGGGCCCAAATTTTCGCAGATTTGTAGGCTGACGAGTCTAGAACACATATCCAGCTCGCGCACGCCGTTCGTATCAAAGATGGACCTCGTCCGTAAATCCGATACCCAGCCCCTTTTTAAGGCTGACGACAGAGTGGCGGCGTGCTGCGTGTGTAGAACATACGGTCCGTCTGTGGAGCCCTGGAAGATTCTCTGGATCCCGCTGCGCCAAGCCCCTGAGCCCACTGCCCGAACCCACGCAGCTTAAAAACATCGACACTGTCCGGGATGTGTTACCGATTAACCTCGGGACGATGTCGATATAGTTGAGCCTCAAGATTCGGCCACAACTACATGCCTGCATCATCCTTGATCGTCAATAACTTTTGTCAAATATTTCAACTTCATCAACGGATAGCAGCATGCAGGGGCCAAGTTTGTATCGGCAGCCCCTGACATCCAACCGCCACTGTCTTGACCAACAATCCCTACATTTTACCGAGGGCTCTGCGTACTCGGCGTGTCATTTGTTTGACGGCGCACACGGCCGTACGCCTCTTGGGTCGATATACCCAATTACGAATCTCACCGTTGCCCTTACGGTGGCAAATCTTCCATTTTCGCACCATCAATACAGCCTGTCTCTATAAAGTCATTTGAAGCAATTGTGAGCTCATCTCCGAAAGCGCTCGTGAGCAGCCCATCGACTCGTAGCTGGAGTCCAGTGGATCTGAGCATTTGGTGGATACTCAAGTATGGACTGCCTAAGTAGGTATCCGGTGGATGTCAGTTCTCATCATTACATGTTGAACAACCGGCAGCGGGCAGGGCGTGTGAATCTTCGATTTGTCCCTATCGGCGCCTAGTGCCGCCGGCGACGGTCCACATTACGTCCCAATCCCGCGGGCTGGATCCACCCACGACAGCATAGTGGCGAGACCCGAGGCCGAGAGAGGATCTGAAAATGTGGCACCATATGGGACCGCAGGGCGTGTTGTTGGTGATGAAATAGCACCTTTCCCCCCAGGGAGGCTTTTCATTTCGGGGAAATGGCTGAAACAACGAGGCTCGCGCATCCGCCATACCACCCAGTCTTGAGACCTTGTACGAGTCGATGAGCCCCCGAAAATGCATGGCGAGGCAGAGCTGACGAGGGAGAAGACCCAAGACGAGCGTGGTGCAGCCGTCCCGTCCGTTGAGCATGAGGCGCAGTCGACACAGTCGGACACCGATAGCGATGGCCGGCGATCATCATCACAGGACGATGTCGTCCCCGTGAACTTCCAGCCCGGAGAGCCTGCAAACCCACACAACTGGTCCACGGTGAGTGCCAACACCCAAAACTCTCAGGAGGTGTCCTATCTGACGGTGTGAGGGTCTCAGGCCAAAAAGTATTACATCCCAATTGTCGGCACCCTACTCTCAATCAACTCCACAATGGGCTCAGCCACAGCCGCGAACGAAGTCCCCGCGCTGAAGGAAGCCTTCCATTTTCCTGATGGCCCGCAGTCCATGCTCCCAGCTACGACATACCTTATCGGGTTTATCCTGGGTCCTCTCTTCTTTGCACCGCTGAGTGAGCAATACGGCCGCAGACCTGTCCTCGTCTCCACGCTATGTCTTTACATCATCTTCACGATGGGCACCGCGCTCTCCCCCAACTGGGCAGCCTTCCTGATTTTCAGGTTCCTGAGTGGCACTTTTGCAGCACCGCCGATGAGCGTGACAGGAGGTTCCATCGCCGATGTCTTCGACGAAAAGATTGCCAGGGGAAGAGCAAACATGCTATGGTCCTCTGCTACCCTTCTGGGCCCTCTTGCCGGCCCTGTGATTGCCGGCTACACCTACCAGTATTCATGGAGATGGGCCTTCTGGGCTTCCATGGCGTTCGCTGGCATCTGCCTCATCGCTCTAGTCTTCCAGCCGGAAACACTCGCTACCAAGATCCTGCGGGACCGCGCTGCCAAGCTGAACAAGGAGAAGGGATCCGAGAGGTACATCGCACCCGCCGACATGGACAGGCCTGGACTGCTGGTCACGCTCAAGATTACCACCACGAGACCGCTGTACCTGCTCTGCACGGAGATGCTTGTCGCACTGACGTGTGTCTATATGGCCTTTGTGTATGCTGTCTTCTACATGCTGCTAAAGATATTTCCCAACATCTTCCACGGCATCTACGGCTTCACACCCGGCGAGTCCGGTCTCGCATTCGTGATGATGTTCGGAGGATCGGTCATATCCAACGTCGTTGGGTACTTCTACGATATTTATGCCCAGGTCCTCATTCGGAAACACCCGAACAAGCACGCTGAGTACCTCCGCCTGCCGCTAGCATGCGTCGGCGGCCCGGCTTTCGTCATCTCTTTGTTCTGGCTGGGATGGACATCACGACCATCAATCCATTGGATCGTTCCGCTGTTGTCCATGCTTCCATATGGTTTTGGCTACCAATGTATCTTTATGGCAATGATCAACTACACGGCCGACGCGTACGGCATCTTCGCTTCGTCGGCCCTGGCAGCATTGGCTGCGTGTCGGAGTATCGCAGGTGCGGTCATCCCCTTGGCCGTTGACAACATGCTGGACACGCTGGGAATCGCGTGGTCTTGCAGCGTCCTGGCCCTGATCAGCTGTGCTTTGACTCTTGTCCCGTTCGGCTTCATTATCTGGGGCGAGAAGATTCGGGCTGCGAGCAACTTCAGCAAGAAGTTGCAGAATGCACCGCATCCCGAGCTGGAGTTGACGAGGAGCGTGTCAATTGTTTGATTTTGGAAAGAGCGAACTTGACAGTTAATGATCATGAAAAGTGTTAAGGAGCAGTAATTGTGATTTGTCAACGAGCTCCCGGCGTACCACGGAGGTTTTATACTGTATATAAGTAATGCATATGTCTTGCACATGAAAAAAATGACATCTGTTTATTCTTCATACTCTTATTATGGTGTTACTCTTGCACTATCTTCCCAAACGCACGATGGTTTCGTGCCATTGTGTCGAACAGCCACACAATCGCCTCGCTACTGCAGCGGGCTTTCCAGGAAAGGGGTATTTTGGTGTATTCCGGCATTCTGATCCCGAGTGTCTCAACGAGCGTAGGAAAGCTGAGGAGACCCGCCCACAGCAAAGGCATAATATGAAACGACTTCTCCAGGATCGGTCCATCCCAATGATAGCAGTTGCCAGCAGTGCGGTGTGACAAGAAAACGGTGTTGCCTCACTCCACTGGCAGGCTTGATGTCCTTTCTACCTCTAGCAAGTCATTAAGCTCGAGTCGGTAGGGTATTCTTGTGCAAAAGTATAGATGTGAATGGAGACGTGAAGCGAAATTTCATCTATGGTTTTCAATAGAGCTTGAAATTGTGAGCAAACATTAGCCTGATACTTGTTCGAGGTAAAATTGTAGAGTACTGTTCCTTGTACTAGGGAAAGACTGCATTACATGGGACAAATTAATGTAAGTATTAACAAGAAGATACAGAAAAACCAGTGTACTCCAGCCTCTACAAGCAATACTAGTTGGAACTATCAGTTCTGAGGTCAGCAGCTCTACTAGTAGTCAGACATTACGCATAGATTCCAAGCAGGCACCAGGGGTAAGAGAAAGATCATACAAGTAAGGTAAGGACGACTCGACGACTCATGTCCTCGAAGTTTCTATTTACCAAAGTCTTGCAAAATTCCCAGGCAACGGACACGCTGAAAAGGAGCTCAGCACATGAAACAGTCGCCCACAACACTGGGAACCAGATTCCCTGTTCACACAAGTCAACGGGCCCGGGATTCATGGGGGACCAGAAAAGTGCTATTATGATCCCATGTGCTAAGACAGCAAAGAGGGTTGGTTCTGCTGACACCTGTCTGATGGACAGAAATAAGCTTCTTGCAGTGAGGTCTGGTGTTTCCATTAATTGCTCGCTCTGTTGCGTGCTTGAAGTAGAAGCAAGAAGGTTTCTGTACTGACTCTTGGCACGCTTTTTGTCGTCCACGCCGGCGTCTAGTATGCTAGACGTTGCGGGCTGAGGCTGATTCCATGATACTTGGTACCGATATCCCCCTATGTTTTGAGGTTGAGCGTTTCGGAAGCGAGTTCCATCCATGTTTTACTCGTCACCTGCGGAACTGGTCTGGAATTGTGCTTGGTTGAATCTAGAGCGTGGATATTGAATTGAAGAAGAAAGAGATGGAAACAAAGTGGCACGGCCACCAAGGGCCAGTGTGGAATTTTATGCACATGATAGGCAGACGTCATTCCTGCACACAGCCCCAAATTGTCGAATGTTGGGAACAAATGTGGTAAGCCACGTATCTGGATGTTGCTTGGCGGATACTCAAAGGGCACCGTGACCTAGGCAACCTCAGCGGACAACACACCAAAACCTCTCCAAGATAGGATACATGTGTCTAAGGAGAGATCTAATTGGTTTTGTTTCTATTCCGTATAGGTCCGAACCTTTGAACCTACACGCGGCTTTGTCATACAGTGGTAAACGCCCAAAAACCCGGCGTCGAACTACCTTCTTCAAATATCTGATTAGCATTCAAATGTAGTCAACACTGCTGTCGGTAATCCTAGACTTGCGGTGCCTTGTTGTGAGCACAAAGCAATCGTAGTTGAAGTTGTCCACCCTGGTATGGTACTGTCCTACCAGACATAAATCGGTGGATGGCCCTGCAAGCGAATCTCATTCGATTCAGCAGCTACCCCAACAGTGCCATCGCCAACATTTGATCGACGGACGCTTTCTGCACCATTGCTAACCCAAATTTTGCATGGCTTCGAGAAGGTTATATTATCAAGCGCAGGTCCAGTCCGGACGAACGGCGTATTGGGACGCCCTTATTTGCACACTAGCCGCGGGAATTCTGGCATATTGCCATGGTAAATATAAGAAGGCCTGAGAAAAATTCATATTTGTCTTTGGACCTTCGGATCGTTTTATAGAACCAATGTTTCCTTCATTCAGAGATAGTCAATCAGTTGATAATAATGACCGGTATTGTAGTGATGAATGAGCGTTCTTGTTTGTGCGCCTGCGATCTCACCCCGGTGCCCAGGGGTGTGAGATGTCTCGTAGAAAACAACACATCAAGTGCGTCGTTCCCGAACCTCCTCCTCGCCTCGTCCATACTCCAGCCCTGCTTCTTGGCGATCTGACCTAGGCGGAAGACAAACTCCTTTATCTCACGCGCATAGGACTGCCGCACATAGTCTATCATTGGCTGGCCCCGAACCTTGAAACTGTACCAGTCCTTGGCCCAGTGGGGCCGCGTTGTGAGATACTCCCCTCGCGAGTCTTTCAAGTTCATCCAGTGGTCGAGGACTTCCTGGGCGTAATCCTGCCACAGCCTCCCTCGCATATTCTCCAGCGTCTGGATCCCGATACATGCACTCCCGAGTGTGTGGCCACGGTATGGTGCCATGATCACCTGTGATGGACCTGTGATGCGCATCGAGAGTGGCAGGCGTTGGGGGCATGTGTCTTGGTACTTGTAGGCAGTGAGAATGGCAGCCCACCACGCGCGCTGCACATTGCTGAAGTCAATCTCGTTTCTGAACCTAGTTTCAGAGAGAGGTATTCCAGACATCGGAAGTAGCGGGATTTCCATCTCCGTGTCCAGGCCCCCGATGCTTGGGGATGCGCGACTGAAGTGCAATGCGTTGGGTAGCTTAGTCTTGACGGCTGGCTGTTGATCTGTAATGTCAGGCATGCCGTAGAATGAGAAAGTGGACATCAAGGTGACCTGTGCCCAAGGAAGTCTGTGTTGTAAATACTGAACGGCTTGAGATACTTGCAAAATCCGGGCCAACACGGTCTGGAACCATTGCAAGATAACTTGGGCGTCCCTTGGATACTCAACCTCGCCCTCTGGATCATCTGTTATCGACCAGCAATTGACCCATACCTTGGAAGTGTAAGGAAACCAGAACCATTCCGCGTGGAATTTGTTTCGGGCCTTGTCTTCAAAAGCGGCTTGTGCCTTGGCGCGCTGCTCCTCCGTCATATGTGTTTCTGGTCGAAGACCGGGCGGCAATTGGTCGATCCTGATTTCTGCTACGTATTAATAGCTGTTTCAAGTGATTAGAAAAGATTTTGACAGAAGAAATGTAATCCCTACCTGGTGGGGGCGGGATTGCTTCGGTTATGTGTAGCTTCTGCGGCCTCATGACTGCGTAGGCCATTGGGTTCAGCTCGAAGGTGATGTGAGTGACGATTCCAAGCAGTCCAAAGCAGCCGCTTGCAGCCTTCATACCCTCAGGGTCTGTGTCCTTGCTGAGCTTCTGGATGGATCCATTTACATCGATGTATTCGATTGTGTGCACAAGATCACTGAGGGTTGGATGGATTCGGCCTGCTCCATGACTTATCGTAGCGTTGGATCCGCCAAGCGTAATATCTCCCATGCTGACGTTCATGGGCATCGTAGATGCAAGTTTCCCTTTCTGAGCATTACACCAGCGTCTCAACTGTTCATTCGTGACCGCTGCGCCCACACGGACTAGACGGCTCCACCCAGCCCTAGGTGGTCCCTGGAAGGTGATCGTGTTGAGTTCAGTTGGAGATTCGCCTTGTTCCGAGACAGAAAGACATGAAGTGTTCGGGGGCACAGGAGCCTTGTGATCATCCGAGATGGAGATCATAATTTGTGCCTGTCTCCCAAGCATTGGTGACCAGGAGTGTCCATAACCCGCCGCGCGAACATTTAAGTCAAACGCCTTCGCATGCTTTACAATCTCCTGGACTCCGTAAGACGTCGTCGGGAAGCAGGTGATCTGGGGAACGTTCTCGGCAGAGTGACGCCCGCCTTCGAATTCCTTGTTGAAGAACACAGGAACCTTCTGCTTGTGATCTGAATCGTCATATATAGCGAAGTCTGGTTGAGAACTGATCCAATTCTGGACTTCATCCGCTGGGGACTTGGCTTCATTGGCAAGTTGATCGCAATGTCCACCTGCAGGTGAGTGACCTCTCGCAGTCGGCTGCTCCGAATGAATGAAGTTATCTAGCTGCGAGTCAAGTCCATCAACCATTTCGATTGCACCGGATGAGAGTCCGATGTGAAAGTCTTGACCAACACTGGAAGCTGGCTCTGCGTCAATAACGAACCTGTTGAGGAGTCGCTGTTCCTCGCCACTGTACATTGTTAGGACCTGAGAGTATGACAGTTCGGTTGTCGAATCCTTGAAAACCCGGATCATTCGGCGTATTACGTCTTCCTCAGACGGTGTCCTGATGCAGTCGGTTGCGTACTCATCTAGCAAATCAGCGAGGCCCGGAAGCTGTTCTTCGTTGAGGTTTGTGTCACCACGAATGAATTTGACCAGCTCGGAGAGGCGCTGATCAGAGGGCAAATGTAGTATGTTGGATGGAGATTGGAAACCCATCTTTGAAAATGGTGTATGAGATTGAAGATCTCGAGATCGTGTAGATTCTATTTTGAATTGGGTGTCGTGGTAAGAGGTGTAGGAAACCACTCGAGTGGTGAGCGGCTCGTTTAAGTACCTAGGTATTGTGCTCATGAAAGCTTTAGACGCAGCATGTGATTTGCACCTGATATACATCCCCGAGTCACCGCCCAGCCAATCTGAGGCTCACACCACACCAGGCCTAGTCGATCATGTTCCCGTCGGTCTTTGACATCCTCCACTTTTATTTCCAATCAAGAAGCTCAAGACCTTCTGTGCGCGGGAAGTAGTGTCAAATGAAGGCTAGGGGATTCTGTCAATGTCCCGCACGTGCTGAGTTATCAGCCCATCTCGAACGTCAAAGAAATTGGTGTGTTGATTTATATCACTTGCTGTCGGAGTTATGGCGCACGGTATGATTCCTTAGGGAATACTAGGAGTGAATTGCTTGGTTACTAGCAGGTCTTTGTGCGTGAAAAAGAGCTACTATGGCGCGCTCTGCTAATCCAACGCTTGGCTGCTGTCAGAGCGGTCTCATGAAGATCTTCCTTCAACATGTGTTAGTCATCGCTTTGCTTGCTAACGGTGTTTTTGGTGTTTTGAACCCAAATTTGAAAGAGGAACCCGCTGTCGATGGAAGAAGTTGTCCGAACTCTGCGCGTGCCTGTGTTTCTGAGAAACTCGATGAAATGTCACGGTGTAGTTACAACTTGACTGGTGAAGTTAGTATGCAACTCTTGAACAGCTTGGAGCGAGGTACCACAACGTAGACCCGTCGAAAAACACCGCAATGGGCTTTCAGCTGCTACGAAGTAACTCATCGCATCAAACCACTCCTGTGGGTTATTAGCAGCAAGAAAAACGAAGCCGTTGCTGCTGGTAGAACATAGCGCAAATTGCGAGCGACAGCTTCACGTACTGTGTAGTCGACAGCCACCGTAAGCCCAGTCCGAGTCTATTACCGATTAAATCCGTTCAAATGCTTGTGGCTTTACGACCCACAATTATCTTCGCCGTGCTTGGTGGGTACCAATATTGACGGAGGAAAAGCTACCCTACCTACCCTTGTAGGGTAAGGCCAGGGCACTGTGCAAAGTGCCTCTCATCGCGTTTGCACGGCGTCAGAGGATACCTGGCGAGGATTTTTTCGTGATGGCAAAGTCATGATGAATCACCAAACAAACTTGGACCAGATAGTGGAGGATAGACCGCCACAAGTCCGCTCTGCCGTGGTTGATCTATGATGGAGCTTCGCAGAGCGGCTGCAGGCTGAGTAAGGCGGGAAGTACTGTACCGGCCCGTAATGCGCATAAGATTCTGGAATGCGAAAGACCCAAAGCAAAGGACCAGAAGATGTAAACTGGTGGAGAACATCGTGGCCACAACATATATACAGGATGGAGGCTTTTCACAACAAATAACGTGAAGCCTTTTGATTCCGCCAGCACAGCAACAGAGCACTCTGAGCAAATGATTTTATCAATAACTAGGGTACCGCTCCTGCTCGGCGGTTTCACGTTGCGGCGTTCCATTTATAGTCCGCGAACAAGCTGAAAGTCAGCCTGCCTAAGCCCCAGCTGAGCCATCTCGTCCCACTGTATTTTCACCGCCCAATGTCAGGCTCGGCACCTAATAAGGACAGGATCTGCGTATCAGAATTCCCAATTATGCGGAGCCCCACAATAAGAAGGCCAGGGATCAGAATCCATGGCCAGCTATTGAAGTTCATTCAACATGTTCGCGTCTCCCTCCCCCTTTTCATACAAAAGTCCACAATTCCTGGGCTTGATACGGTGAACGACCATAGCCGACTACTAGTACGCTATCTGAACACCTAGGTAGCCTTGCGGGATATTCGGACTCTATACGGTCTATACAGCTGCGCAGGTACTTTCGGAAGTCGTACAGCGCAGCCAGGCCGGTCATCGCGGTGGGCAAGCGCCGAAAAAAGTCCATATACAAAATGGCAAGCTCGGATCTTCAAAACAGCTATGGGCCCGAGATGGCCCCTAACGGCCACGACCTCCCCCAGACCGTGGCAGTCGATGGTCTCGAAGCGTTACCACCGAGCCAACAGTACGCGTTAGCACCGCCGTACAACGTTCAGTCCTCAAAGAACAACGGGTATAACTCGCCACATGCTGAACAGCCTGACGAAACAGGGAGGAGGAAGAAGCGAGTCGCCGGCCTACCCATCGTCGCATTCTGGGGTATCATCATAGGGTTGGTGCTCATCTTGGCGATAGGACTAGGAGTTGGACTCGGTGTGGGGCTCAGCCAGCGAGACAGCAGTGGAGGGAGTCCTGCAACGGCAGAGGCGACTACCAGCGCGGGCGCAGATTCCGCCACAACGTCTGCCGCATCATTAACGCCGTCGGGTACAACCGCGAGTACCAGTAGTACGACGAGGTCGACGACGACCTCTGCTACATCTGCGATTGCGACGGCGAGGAATGTGGAGATTTGCAACCAGGCGTCTCTGGCCTCTGACTGCACGAATCTTACTGTGCCAGTGAACACGTGCAGTATGTTCTCATGCAGCTCTGGACAATTGCAAGTTGTGCCTGGTCAACGAATGTTATTGCTAACGTTGGATTTATAAGTCAACTTTCCATCAGATTACAACGACAGCGTTAGTTCGGTGGATACAGGAGGTCCTGAATGTTATTTCTATACGTGCGCTCCTCTACCCAGTTACTGTTTCTATCTGTTGCTTGGCTAACATGATAATCTGGCAATTTAGCGACGCGACGTGTACAGGGGATCGTTGGAATGCGAGTGGTACAAACTATCTCATCCCCGGGAAGTTCAACGATAAATTCAGCTCGGTGGCTTGCTTTGTCTAAAGTGAATAAAAATCATAATAATGTGTGTCGACACCACGTCATGAAAGATGAAGACAGCAGAGCGACTAGAGTACGAAGAGATGAGGAACGCCGGCTCCACTTATTATATCAATTGATACAAAGGCTCGGTCACCAAAACAACATCCAAAACGCTGCAAGTGTACGCGCAAGCCAACCTTGGAAATAATGCGCCATGCTGACGCAGATGGTGTCTTCGGGTCTGTCTCTCGTCCATCCACTGTATGAAGGCGCCACATACCGAGGTACGTTTCATATGTCTGGGGATTAGAAACGAAACCACTTCGATCAGGTCACCCTCTCTCGTCAACTTTTATGATATATGAAATCTGACAAGAAGCAACAGTACTGGAGAAATTCTGATGTCAACTAATGTGAAAGGGTCGACAAGTTTTGCAGGAATCTGAAGGCCAGGGGAAGCTTCATGACGCATGGAACGACTGGGTTTCAGGTCAACTAAAAGTTCGTCCCGGGAGTCAAACAAAAGGACTGCAATGGCAATTTTATACTTCATTGTGTCTTGGGTACGGCTAACTGAAAACGAAGAATCGTGCTGCCTAGATTTTAGAATCTGTTGAATCCATAATTATGTGGAGCAGTCTATTTCATGATTGCTAACGAAACCATGCCTCGGCAGGTTCCTCGAACCCTGGAAGTGACCCATCAACTAAAATTCCCTTGCCCGTAAAGGGGATGAGAACCACCCACCATCGAGCGCATGCTGGTTTCTACGTTGCTCCGCACTCGAGCCGTGGCGAGAGCGATCACATGCAGACTTTGCTGGGTGGGTCGCAAGCGCTTGGAATCAATGGCGAGGACCAAATTGATAGGCCGGGCTGCTTACGCTGCGCGAATCAATTCCGAATGGTATAAATGCCGATAAGCACACCTCGATCTGTCAGCACAAGAAAAGTCCTGTCTTTAGCTGTCTTCATACTTCAGTCATCATCCAGAACTTGGCTCGAATGCCGGTATTCGGGATGGCTACCACGAAGTCGTTCGAACTCGATGGGGTTGGACTCGGTATGCTGCTATCGGCGAGAAGCCTGGCCAGCCTCTTTGGAATATGGTTCGCTTATCGAGTAGCCATCGCTTTGTACAACATCTCCCCTCTTCATCCTCTTTATCGCTTCCCAGGCCCCAAATTGGCTGCGATGGGATTCTTCTACGAAGGATACTACGACTGGATCCTGGCTGGTCGCTACGGCCATGAGATCCGACGAATGCACGAAGAATACGGTACCGTATTGAGTCCAAGGTGGCCAAAACGTCTTTCATCACTGACCGATCGAAAAAGGCCCGATAGTGAGGATCAATCCCGAAGAGCTGCACTGCGACGACCCCAGGTTCGTCGACGAGATCTACGCCATGGGCAACAGGAAGCGCGACAAGTGGCAGCACTTCCTGAACACAGGCGCCACGGGCCCCATCCTCCTCGGCGGATTCTCAACCGTGTCGCACGAGCTGCACCGGACACGGAGGCTGCCTATGAATAAGTTCTTCTCCCGCGGCCAGATGCTGAAGCTCGAAGGCGAGGTCCACGACTTCACGCAGCGAACATGCGACAAGCTGCTCCGCACACGGGGCGTGTTCGATATCAAGGAGGCTTTCAACTGCTACACGGCTGATATCATCTCGCAATATTCGTTTGGCGAGCCGATGGGCTTCGTAGACCAGGACGGATGGCTGCCGAACTTTGGCAGCTGGGCAAAGAGCTTTTTCAACAGCGCTTACATGATGCGCCACTTGGCGCCTGCGAGGGCTGCGGTTGCTGTTGCGCCGTATTTTGCGAATTACATGGGTGAGGATATGAAGAACCTGATGTACCAGTTGCAGGTGGTCATACCTGGGCACATTCAGAAGGCCATCGACAACAAGGAGAATGGGAGGATTTTCGCCGACCTGATGGCCAACGACCAATTACCAGAGCAAGAGAAGTCTATAGATCGCCTCTCTGGAGAAGGATTCAATCTCTTGCTTGCTGGTACAGAGACAACTGCTGTATGTACTCCCCCTCTCCCCCAGGCTCCTCGCATGTTTGACACAATGTATACTTAAGTACTGACAACGGTACTCCTTAGGCATCCCTCGCTTGCATAACCTACTACCTCCTCTCCCAACCTGAAACCCTGGCCCGCCTGCAAGACTCCCTAAAAGGCGCTGACCCGCTAAACCTCAAGTGGACAGACCTCGAACAGCGGCCATACCTCTGGGCCGTGATCCACGAGACCCTCCGCCTGATGCCCGGAATCGCACACCGATCCTCCCGGATCGCGCGCGACGAGGACTTGGTCTACAAGAGTGAGGACGGCAAGACCGTCTGGGTTATACCGCGCGGCACACCCTTAAGCATGACCTCCATCATCCAGCACACGAATGAGAGCTTGTTCCCGGACCCCAAGGAGTTCATCCCGGAGCGGTTCCTGCTAGAGGACGGGCGGCAGAATTATGCGCTTGAAAAGCATCTCATCTCGTTTGGAAAGGGGAGTCGGGCTTGTCTTGGCAAGGAGTGAGTGACTTAGATAATGTCAATGTGTTTTGGACTCATTCAGCTGACCATTGATTCTAATTTAGCCTGGCATATTGCGAGCTCTACCTCCTCACGGCCGCTTTGGTCCTGCGAGTCCTGCCACGGGCGCGGTTGGTGGACACGACCATCGAGGACATCGAGTACGACCACGACGCGATCGTGCCTCAGCCAAAGAATGGCTCGGTCAAGGTTCAGGTCGAGATCTATTAGAAGGGCGGCGTACCTAGGTACTACCTAAGTACCTAGGTAGGCTGGCCCGTGTCATGGGCTTGGCAAGGCATGTGACAAGCGCATGAACCAAAAACATGATAATTGGACTTGGAAATATGTGTATCAGGCCATAATACATGACCGTGAAGGCCGCCTCTCGTGGTTGCAACATCCTGGAGCACCAGTCTTGCAACATTTTGTGAGTATTCTGGAAGGGCTAGGCAACCTCTCATTCCATCCGTCCCTAATCCTTCCATTGCTTCTCGATAGGCCTAGCTGAGGCTAGCGAAAGCTTCTTAGCTCTTATTTGACTTGGTTCCGGAAAAACTCCTTCACGTCCTTCCAGCTTCCAGACCCAGAGGTGGAGGATGACACCTTGCTCAGGACACTGCTCCGCCGCCGCTGGTCCAACCGCTCGGAAGGGAGCACGTCGTGGACAACTGCTTCGGCTCTGGTGCCTGTTGGATGGATTCATCAGAAAAGCTTTACTCTCAGGACCACAAGATCATCGGCTCGAGCGAGCATGTGACGTACGGATGTTTCCAGCACCGCCGATCCCAAAGGACCGCCTCCTGTCCTCTCGGCTAGCTTGCACGGTCTGTATGCCCTTCATAGTCTTTCTTCTGGGATATGGATAAATTCACATCGAGCAAACAATGCAACAATAAAGACCGGGAATAAGGGCCATACAGAGGTCATGGCCCTTGCGACAAGTTGGTAGTTGATATATAATCTGCCTACCTGCCAGTCGAACCACCCCAAGGCTCAGATAAGTCCAGCCGAGGCGATTGGCCCCAAGCTCCGTCACCGTGCGTCTGTGGCGCTGCACCAACAGCATCCCTCCGCGAAGCTTAGCCTACCTAGCGCTATTCCCGGATCGGCGCGCGTGAGATAGTTCCTCGGTTCCTGAATGGCAGGAGAGCGCCTAGTGGGGTGGTTCTTCGCAGCGTTCTGCAGACGTCACACGATGTTATCCAGATCGATCTTGGATCCTGAACGTGAAGGGGCGCCTTCCTACAATTGCAGACGACCATGATGGGCCAAATCGTCAACCAGTCGGTGAGCTGCATACACGTGCCAACACTGAAAAGCTTGTAGGATTAATGTCATATTATACTAGTATGCTTCTAGTTGCAAGTACCCAGGTATATATCCGGTCTATCGCCCACCCTTGGTCATTGCGTTTCGGGGATCCAGTCCCGAGATACACATCTAGACCAAGGCAGGTAGCCGTGCAACAGATCAAATGTCAAAAGCGCGAACCACACTATGAGCTGTCGCTTCCCTTGACCTTGATCTCGGGAGAGGTCTTGATTCCGTCCTCGGGGATTTGCTCGCCGGGAGCATGTCCAGGCGGCAGTGCGATGCCAGTGATGGCGCCTTCAGGAATATCTTCGACATGCTTGACATCCTCGACTTCGTAGTTGGTGTCACGAACGCCCCACAGGACCCAGGCGCAGAGCGGGAGGGAGACCAGCAGGAGGAGCCAGGAGACGAGGTGCTCGGCGAGATATGGGGTCTGAGGTGGACTTTAGCAATGGCCGAACAAAGAGAATTACAGAATCATGGTGGCGTTTCGAAGAGCCGGACTCACCTTGACGGCATCCATGCCGAAAGACACAGCAGCACCAGCCGATTGGACACCCTTATAGTAACCCGCCATACGGGCAAGCTTGAACGGCTCGTTGGTAAGGGACGACATGGTGTAGTAGGCGAGACCCTGGAACATGGCATCGGCCAAGTAATAAGCCAGCAGTAGTATGATGGGTCCCGCGGAGACGCCGACGGTCCAGTCCCAGGGAATCTCGACGCCGCGGACGGAGGTGTTAGCACGGTTGAACTGGACCTGGAATCCAAGGCCGGCGCCCCAGATGACGCAGTTGAGAATAGCAACGGCTGCTGTGGCCATGAGGGCACGCTTGCGGCGACCACCAGGGAGGTTGTCTGTGAGCTGTCCGATGATGATGGAGCCGAGGATAGAGCCGACACCGGTCAGGAGTGCAACCAGGGCTCGCGTGCGGCCGTTGAACAGGGCGGTTGTGATTGCACCCTGGTATGCGTAGAAGTAGTTGGACGAGAAGAACATGGGGAAGAGGGCAATCATGCGCCAGTCCCTCAGCAGCTTCCAGATCTCCTTGAACTCCTGCTTGGGCGTGATTGCTTCCTCGATCTCGACGACGGTTCCGTCACCGCGCACAACAAGGTGAGGCGGCAGAATGAGCCAGGACGTAACCACGGCCGTCAGCATGATGATCAGGAAGGCCAGGTAAACACCAGTAGAGACACCAGGGAGGGTCGAGTGTGCCTGGATGCCGAGTGCAATGGCGGCGCCGACCAGTGTTCCCATCTGGAAGAGGGCCCAGAACAGCGAGAAGGATCGGCCCTTGTCCTTTTCAAGGGGCTCCGCCATCATGATGGCTCCCTGCGCCGCCCACAGCAGGGAAGCCGTGACGCCCAAGATTCCACCGGCGAGAATGAGGAACCATCGTGTGCCGTGGACCTGGAAAGCCCAGAGAGAGCCGATGTAGAGCGCGTATCCCGTTGTGCCGATAGAGAGGGTGAGCCTCGGGCCCAGCATGTTCTGTCAGGGGGCAGTCAGCGATCGGCGCTCGGTTCCTTGCCACCGCAGTGGGCTGGCTTGGTCTGGGGTTCTGGGGCCAATATGCCAATGTCCCGCGGGGCGGGTGCGGCGCAGGTCCCCCCATCTCGCGCTGACTCGACTCGCCCAGGGGGGAAGGGGAATCCAGGAAAAACACGTACATTTACCGAACCAGCAAAGAAGCCGGCGATGGCAAAACAGCCATAGAGCACACCGTTTGCCGTGTCAGAAAGCTGGGTATCTTGTGTGCCACCAGCGCCCAGGTTCGAAACTGCGCTGAACATGCCCACCGAGCAAAAGGTCACGAAACCGAGGATGGTGACCTGTGTCCATGGCGAATTATCTGCGACGCGGCAGATTGGTCAGTATACAAGACAAGTCGGGGTCGAATTGGGTTCCCACGCACATCGCACAGGGCCAATCTTTGTGGCTGCGAGGTTGACCATCTTGGATAGCAGTCCGGGTACACCGCCCGTGGTCAGGGTAGAGAGGTATGGACGAATAAGGCGAACAGTCAAGCCGGGCCGTTGGTGTTGGCAACGGATGTCGGACCCGCGCTGGAATGGGCAGGATGAATTGGCACGATTCCCGGGTCAAAAAAGAGTAGGACAAGCCGACAATAGACCGCTGTGTCTGTCGCGGGAGCAGACGGGGAAAGACGCACGACCGCGGACTATTAAATTCAAGCGGATCTCAGCGCGTACAAAAAGGGGACGGCGGATTGGGACCCTGGGGTAAGAAGTGCCCGTCCCTGTCTTGTGTCCCCTGACCTGGACTGAGCTGATAGCAGAATGGTCCACGTTGACGGGCAACGGTGTCGATACGAAGAAGCCCCGGGGCGACAGGGGTGCCCGGGCCAGAATCAGATGTTACCTTACATTGGGGCCAAGGATCGAAACACACAGACAGGCACGACAGGCATGCAATCAGCACGGCAACTGGACAGCAGATCTAGGGCAGTGGGCAGGAAATGGCTTCTTATCAGATGAGTGACCTCAGACTTGGAGAGTATCATCAGAGCGGTGCCGAGAGGGTGGAAATGGTGGCAACGGGATGCAACTCTTGATTCCACACACACTGGCAACAAACGTTGCACACGCTGTTGTGCACTAAACCAAACGGTATTCTTATCTCCAACCGCATTCACACTAGGATCAGATAGGTACAGGTCCAGACTCGGGGTGGAGGGGAATGGAGACTGGTGCTGGTCCAACAGTGGAGAAGGTCGGCTGATAAGGTCAGCAACAGGAATGACCATTTCAGCCTACTGATATCTACAGTACATAGTACTCCGTAGACAGATACCACAGAACCGTAGATGGGCTCTAAATATAGAGCAGTGATTCGATCATGACTAGAATGGGCAGACGATGCATAGGCCTCGAGGTGGCACTGCTGTTTGCTCGTGTGCCCGTTGCGAGAATTGCTGCCTCCCGTGTTCACTCCCCTGTAAACTTCGCACGTGTGCTGGCTGATTACCTGCGTCTTCGCCTCCCATTCCAATCCAATGCTTGGTTTTGGTTGGAGCTTGCCTGGATTTGCCCGGCACTTGACCCATACCACCGGGAGCCTAGGCCTCTTATAGCAGTCGGTGGAGACCTATAGTTTCTTCCCCCTCTCCCGCCAACTTCCCCACGCCGAAATGCCTGAGGGCATCCCGTAGTACCAAACATTAGAGCCATTGCCGGGCAACCGGGGCAGCCTGGAAGCCACATGCGCCTCCCCTGTGTCAGATGCGAGGGTGGTTGCATGTTGCAGCCCCGACTTCCCCCCGTCCAGCTTCTATACTGATTCCATGAAGCTTCCACTGCATTTCTTTGTATGGTCACATCCATCCAACCTGCAACACAGCCCGCCGTGATTGTGCCGCAAGCTGCATACTTTGAGTAGCCAAGTAGACGGGCATACCGTTGAGGGTGTGCGACGTCGGCAGACGCCACATGCCCACGGGCTGACTGGCCGACACTTGCGGTCGATCGGATCCGAATGGCAGGTTTCATCAGGTTACTTGCAACCATCACCCCACCCCCACACGCCAAGTTCAACGTCAAAGTCAACCTGTACCAGGACTCCAGGAGCTCACCGTCACCAATGCAACCTATTCCACTAACAGTCTTAGGTAATATGTCTTGCTGCCCTGTGGCTGTTGCGACGTCTGATTGGTCTATGAACGTCAGGATGCCTTCATCTCAGCATCCAGGATCCACACTTGACAGCAGTGATGCCTCCCCATCCACAAGAATCCAGAGGTAACATTGAAGTCGTTGATAACCGAGGTCTTTAACAAGAGACAAGACCCAACGCATTTTATCATGCTCATCTCCCTGGTCGAGTGCGTCTCTGGGAATCCCACCGCACAACAGCGAGTCATGGCATGGACCTGAGGTGTCCTGGCGTGTAGACTACATCACATCGTCGTGCTTGAGAGATTTTCTGTTCGCAGTGGCGGGAAGGCCAACCACGCTCCACTGCCCTGTGGCTGCTTTGAAGAGTATCCTATTATGAAGCTGTGTAAAGTCACCCACGAACTCGCCCCGTGCCTAAGCGCAAACTCCTACATATCAGTGATGATTTATCAGTGAACTCTGGACCCATCCTTCGTCCGCACTTTAATATATGTCACCACCTCAGCACCATCGTCGGTTACACTCCGCTCCGCTACCACCTTGTAACCGCCGATGCTGGGCAGCACCTTTGTCCAAATAGTCCAGTAAAAGCCACCGAGTATCAGAACACCGACGCCGACTACGGGGAAGACATAGTACGGGTAGCCCTCAGCATCCCAGCTGCCTGTCGGCGGTATGAATGGCACGATGGCTAGGAAGACGTTCATCGCGAGGAACAATAGTGTGACCGGGAGGTAGGTGTGCCATGGTGACGACCAATTCTCTGACTTCTTGAACTGTAGGTAGATGAGCCCGGCTGCCACGAATCCGTTGATCCACACGCCAGGGTACGCTTTTGGCCTTGTTAGTAATCTGCTCGGAGCATGGAGTCACAGATGACCGAGACTGACTGTATAGATCAACGATAAAGTTGTACGCGGGGCCCGCAGGTGGCGCCACGAGAACGATGACGGTAATGAGCCAGTGCAGGAACAGCTATCCGACACATTTAGCAACTCCATCTTCCTAACAGCTTCCGTGAAACTTGGCACTTACCGAAGCCGCAGGCGCATTGCTCGGCTTGTTCGACGCCCAAAACCTGCTGAAAGGCAGCATGCCCTCCTTTCCCAGCTCCTGGTTCAGTCTCGCATGTGCGAAAGACACAGCGAGGACGTTGCCCAAGTTGCTCAGAGCCACAAACGCCGGGAGACTCCTGGCACCTGCACTCTGTCCGAAGACGTTGCGGAAGAAGAGCCCAGCCACGATGACCTCCGACTTGGCTAGGTCGCTCTTGGGGATCGCGGCGAAATAAGCCACATTCGCAAGCAGGTACAGCACTGTGACTCCGCCCACGGCCAGCGGCGCGGCGACGGCGAGCGTCCGCTTCGGGTTCTTGAGCTCTCCGACCACGTAGTTCGCGTTCTCCCACCCCTTGTAGCTATAGACGATCCGCAGGAGGGCCGTCGCATATCCGTAAGCGCCGCCGTTCCCATAGCCATCGCCTTCCTCGATGCGAAACGCGTTGTCAAAGTTGTGCGGGTTCGGCACCAGTCGCCGTCCCGCAAGGGCGGCAAAGCCGCTGAACACGATGAACAAAAGGATCACCACCTTGAAGACGCCCAGCACGTTCACAAGCCTCAGACCCCACTTCGGAAGCACGGAGTGCAAGCCCACGGCGAACGTGACGCACGCGATACCAAGGCCTCTAGCCGTCCACCCGTCCGGCTCGGACGACCCAGAGGCGAAGAGGACGTAGCGCCCAAAGGCTAGCGAGTTGCCCGAAGAGAAGCCCAGCAGTATCATCTGCGAGGCGAGCACGCAGGTCGCCAGGTACCGCGGGTGGCGGTACACGCGCTCGAGGTAGTTCTTCTCGCCACCGGACCTGGGGATGGCGAGGCCGAATTCGAGGAAGACGGATAGGCCTGCGAAGGTGAGGATCCCGCCGATCAGCCACAGGATGATGCTTATTCCGACCGAGCCTGTTGATGCGAAGATCCCGGACGGGGTGGAGAAAACTAGTTGGTGGTTTCCGTTAATATTTGCGCGGCACGGGGGAAAGTTCTTTGTGTGAGGTTGGGCAAGGGGGGCTCACTTCCTGTCCCGATCATCTTGTTCAATATGAGGAACACGGCCCCCGTCACGCCGATCTTCCGCGACTCGGAGAACTTGAAAGCCTGCTCATCCTGGACCTGCCCGCTTGCGTAATCGGGAGAGGAGTCGCCGCCATGGGCAAGGACCGAGTTGTATTGCTCGGCGTCTTTAGGGGATGCGGCCCCTCTGTGGTCGACCATCGTGGACTGTGTCAGTCGCAATCACAACACAGCCTGGTATGTACTAAGTAAGAGGTAAGGTGGAACCCTCATGCTAGATAAGGACAGGCCCTGGGCAGCCTTTATACCTCCGCAATCAAAGGGTAACGAATGCACGACGATGTGCCAAGCGTAGCTAGGTACCGATCATACCTCTCGGCGCGTGGTGGTCTTGGTATCCGCACATCATCCGCAGCGCGAGTGGTGCAACAGTACTTTTGCCTAACTGTGATCCAATGCTCACCAGTACATTGCTCAGTATTTTCCAAGGAAATTATCACATAACTGAGTGGCGTCCAGGGCGAGGCCAGGCTGGATTTTTCCATTGCTTCTAGTTCCCTTCCTTCGCAAGGGTCCAAGTCGGTTTGTGCCGAGCAGAAGCCCGCGCCAAGTGTTGTTCCAACCGGCTCAGTGGGTTTCTCACATACCCTGTGAGACATGCGTGCTCTTCTGTGGTACAGTGGTTACATGGGTGCTGAGCCACCTTCCGAAAGCGATCATAAGAAAACGGCCTCCCAGCCCTAGATCTCACCCGGCTTGTGTCGCTTTTGCTCGTTTTCAGCATATTCCGTGATCGAAGGCGTTATTGCACCAGCGCTGCCGAGACACTTGGCACGCAGACTGCACCCAACCAGCGGTGCTCACGCCTAGGCATCGGTGGTGAACAGTTAATCAATTCCGGTGCCAGTGTTCCTTTGTCTTGAATTTTAGTGCCCGTGTCAACGGTGCCTTGCGCGAGGCTCGCATCCACCATGCAGTGTGGATGAGTAGCTGTGGACCAGCTGACCGAACGACCGTGTTCATCCTTCTTGTGGACTTCCTGGATCATTTAATTCTATGCTGCGAGGAATTTGAACCCGGTTGTGGGCAACGTAATGGCAGGTAATGACCTGAACACACGGCGGATCAGTAATGCATGATCTTGACTTTGTGAACAAGTCAGGCTTATTCTTCGGTCTCGCAGACTGTGCCCGCAGATGCTCCCAAATCATGATCATATATGTGGCTTCGGTCAGATCTTCGTGCATGGCAGCCACGCCCGCGATCTTGGATCTCATCTCGTCCCGCCACGTTTGAAGCTGCTTGGCGTCGCTAAGACTTCTCGTCACGATGACCGGGGGGACCTTCTTTCACAAAAGCTCGACCGCATTCCCCTGGACTTCCGGGGTCAAAGACATAATTAGGGACAATATTTGGACGACCACAGCCTTGTTTAGTCCAATTTACCTTGTGAACTAGCTGGCGAGCCAGCGCACAAGGCCGTGTGGAGGCGTGTTGGATAGCAATGAGGAGCTGGTCTGCGGCAATTGTAACAGAAGAAGAGGGGCAATTATGGGGAGTGGTCAGATATCTCCAAGCCATATGAGTCTCGAGTGGACGTCTAAGTGTGTCAATTTTCGAGAAGTACTGATTGAGATTGGTACTGAGTTTGATTCGATAATGCGCCATTTAATAGAGACCCATGGACTGCTATACCGAGGACAAGAGGCATGATGCCATGGCAATCTTGGAAGGCTGGTCACCTCAATCATAGTGTAAAGTTGGCGAGATCACAATGTCATTCAGTCTTGTATCTTAACTACGTTTTCCTGATGTAAACCAATCAAACCCATACTTCCACAGCTCTTCATATATTGCTTCCAGGCACTCCTAGTTCTTGTTGCACGCCAGGTAGCCTTGGGTCGCAGCAAGTGAGCTAAACACATGAAACAGTCAGTGTTGGTCCGCCAAAAATATCCCACAGGGTTTTAGCAAAACATACCATGCATTGGTGCAGTCCGTAGCAGCCGTGTCACCGCAAGCCTCGAGACAATCGACCTGAGTTGCGGCGACATCCCTGTAGCAACCAAACAGGCTGCGGCTCTCAAGCTCGATCGGGGTAGCAACCGCAGCAGCGGCGAGCGCCAAGAAAACCGATAGTTGGAAGAATTGCATTTTGAAGAAATTGTAGACTGATAATGTCAATGGTTTGTGATGAAAACTTTGAGAATGTAGTGCAGGTGAGACTGTTGACGTTGATGTTGATTGTGATGTTCATAAAAGATTTCTGCGAGGCCTCAATCTGACTCTTATACCCAGTCATGCGGTAGTTTTGACATGGAGGAATACTCGCAAAAGGCTACGGTAGGATTGGATGCAAAGCGAGCGGTTTCAGCCTCGCCTCTTCGCCTCTTGCCACGATGTCAGCCACTGGAGACTGTCAGCCAAAATGTCAGCAAGTCCGTCAGCAAAGATGACAACCGCAAGGTGAACCTAGGAATCCATCTACCAAGTAATATATTTTAATTTGAAGAAAAAGTGAAACCTACAAGTTACAGCAAGCTTTTCTGTTCTCTGTGTATTTCCTCGTACGGACGAGGTGGTGTTGGCCACCCCGGGGCCCGGGCGTCCCGCATCGATACACATGGCCAGGAGTGTATCGCTCGAGATCAATTGCATGAGCATTCTCCAAAGTTATTTGACAAAAGGGGCTGTAGTTGAGATAGAAAGTATTGAAGTGGCGGGGCAAGCCTCGATTGACCTGGTCGTCTGGGTTACGAGTGGGAAGCCAGTCACTCACCTCCGTCACGCCCCATGGGCCTCCTGCCCGCGCACGCGTCGCGACCGCGTCACCAGACTTCATCCCATCACCATGGTGATTCACTGGGCCCTCCAACAACCCTGCACGCAAACAAACCAGCGCTTCGACCTTATAAAGGACCACATTACGCCATCATTTAGGGCAGATGGCTCAGCGGCGGGGACGTCGAGTTCAAAACCCCAGCCATCTGTACCTGTCGCCAACCCCGACCGAAGCCCCCGAGTTCAACTCCCCGATCGATCGAAAAATTCAGCAAACGGCGGACTGCAGGACCGTCGGTGAGGTTCACATGGCAGGTAAGGCGACCACGGAAGCTCCCCGGAAGCTCGATGAGCGTCTTCCTAGAATGTCCGGTAGCCCTATCGAGGATCACCTCTAGGAGGAATTGCAGGACTTAACATGTAGGAGAACGGGTCAGCTTCAGCCTTACCTACCATGTGGGCCAAAAATTCCGCGCTGCAAACAACAACTTATCGGATCGACGACAAGAGATTAGGACATACACCAATCCCGCCGGGTCCGAACTCTTTTGCCTTTCTAGCACACCTCGACACCTCATGCGTAGGCTACCTTTTTCGTTTTTACTAATGCAAGTACCCACTAACATTGTACACATTCTCTTGAGCACAATGCTAACGGAGCATTATGACAGATTTAGACTTGGGACATTAATGCCGATGTCTAGGTATGTGCCCAGCTTCGCAAACCATTCTTTTCGTTCCTTCACACCACATCCTGTCCACGCTTAAAGCCTAAAACTTAAGAGTCGTGATGGTCCAGGACAGGGAGGCCACTCTAAGCTTCGCCATACCTGTGATGACTTGGTAAGGGACCATAAAGCTAAGCAGCATATTTCACAGCCTCCTTGTGGATAACTTTAACTGTACTTAGGTAGGCGATTCTCGTACCCTATCGGCCGGGCTATCACGTGGAACGATGATGCTGACTTGGAACAATATCTGGTCGCCATGCAGATAAACTTTGAAGCCCTCGTCCAAGTGTGGACATGTCACCGTCGGTTAATAAGATTGAGCTGGCCATGGCAGAATCGACCACCCGAATCTCAGTTTTGATGAGCCATCATCAAGTGTCCAAAAGCCAGCGTCCACTCAATCCACTTGTCCCGTTTCTGGGCAGCTAGTACTAATCACATCCGAAGCGATCATGGAATGCTCTAATCCACAGCGCAGGAAGATGTTAAAGTGCACCTCTATCCTAGTACGAGAAAAATAACTGGCGCCGCTCATGCCCCTCTCGGTCTGCCGTTTCTTTACGGACTTATCTAGAGGCAAGAGTCCATAGGAGCATGATATTGAACTCAACTTGGGCAATGCGAATCCTGAACAGGTTCGGGGTTTGCCGCGTATGGTGCCCACATGCAGGTGTTTAACGTTACAGGCTGCTCGCAGACTCTTTCTAAGTTAGAATGTTCGAAATCCTGTGTCTAGTATTTATTTATTCTGACTTTAGCGAACATACCACCTTGATGATTCATATACCGGATTTAAAGTAGGAAATATAAGATTTAAAAGTTGACTTCTAAAGTTTACGCTAGAATTGCAGCAACCGCCACGAATCTCGATGTCACGTGCTAAGACATTTCCACTACCATTTCGCCCGTGATACCCTAACCCTTGGGGTTTGAGCGACTTCAATCTTGAAGATGCAATCCGTCTGCCGACGGTGTCTCTTTCACGCCGACCATTCGGTTGTTTCATCAGGTTTGTTCTTATACAAAATGCACACACATGGCTGGCTGGTGATCAGGCCCGCCCCAACTCGTCGGCCACCGAGGCGGCGAGGGTGCCCAGCGTCCTTTCATGGCTGAGAATGTCGAGGAAAGGAATGTCGACCTTGAAGGCGGCCCAGATCCAAGTGCGAAACTCGGAGGCGATCATGCTGTCGACGCCGAAGTTGGCCAGCGACCTGTCGTCCTCGACCTTGTCGGGGGATACCAGGATGAGGGAGGAAAACCGCCTGCGCAGCAGGTTCAGCACGGCCACCTGCATCGTGGGAGCATGTGCCTCGGCCTGGAGGGCCTTGCGCACCGTCGCCGGCAGGCTGGAAAACCAGGCGGCGCGGGCTGAGTTGCTGCCAGCTCCGTTGGTGCCGGCCCCGTGCCCACGGTCCCGTGTCTTGTTCCTTGCTTCCTGCTCGGCCGACAGCGCCGCAAACAGCACAGACGCCCGTGGGTCGTCCATGGACGCGTGGGTCACGTCAAACCCTTGGTCCTGGAGGCGCAAGACGCCGAGCGGCTCCAGTCCCGTCAGGATGTGGGCCGTGTCCGCCCACGGGCCCCGGGGCTGTTGGCCCGAGACCTGCCCGGCCGTCCCGGACAGGGCGAGGTCGATCGTCTGCAGGAACTCGGCCTCAGTCAGGGGCTGGATGCCCCGGCGCAGGAGCAGCGCCTCGATCTCGGGGTTCTCGTGCAGGTAGCCCACCTCGGAGATCATGCCCAGGCCGAGGGACACGGCCGTCTTGCCCTGCGAGCGGCGCCAGTTGGCGAAGGCGTCGAGGAAGCAGTTGGCGGCGCAGTAGTTGCTCTCGGTCGCGGTGCCCACGCTCCCCGACACGGACGACATGAGCAGGAAGAAGTCGAGGCTGGCGTGGCCGCTGGCCGCAGCCTCCTCGAGCACCTCGTGCAGGTTCCACGTGCCCTTCACCTTGGGCTGGATCCCGGTGTGCCACGCACCGCTGGTCATGGACGCAAAGAGCCCTTCGTCGAGGCCCATCGCAGCCTGGACAACGCCGCCGACGGGCTTCCCGGTGGCGATGCATGCGCCTACGGCGGCCTCGACGTGGGCGCGGTCTGTGACATCGCCACGGACGACAGCTACGGTCGCGCCGCTGGCCTCCAGGCGCCTGACCATGTCTCTGGCGCTCTTCTTATCCGCACCCGTGCGGCCGAGGAAGACAAAGTTGCGGGCGCCGCGGGACAAGAGCCAGCGGCTGAGGCTGCGACCAAGGCCGCCGAGGCACCCGATGAGGAGATACGTCTTGTTAGGATCTAGGGTCGCGGTGTATTTCCGCGGGGCAAGCTTGAGATCTGTCAGTCATATATTCCAGACCAGGCTCTGACACATACAAGGAGACAACTTACCAGGATCAGAGATGACTCGTTCTCAAAAGAAATCACGACCTTGCCCACCCGGTCTGGGGTGGAGAAGAATCGGTAGGCCTGCACAACATCGGACACATCAAACGTTTTAATGGGCGGTGCTTTGATTTCACCAGCACGATACAGCCTTACAACGTCACTGCCGAGCCTATGAAGAGAGAACACATTAGCTTGAAACTCACGCATACCTCTCGAGAGCCCCGGGAGGAGTTGAGAGGAACACATGTTAGCATCGACCTGGGGACCGAGGCCATGCCCACGCGACACTCGGAATGGAACTAACCTGTCCCACACCTGGCGGTGATGCTCGTCGTCCAACATCATCAAGTCGTGCAAGTCAAAAGCAGTGAATGTCGCACCGCGCAAGAAGACGTCCATGTCCAGGCGGCCGCCCTCGATGAGGTCGCGCTTGCCCACCTCGACGAAGCGGCCATAGGGGCCCACGCAGCGCCAGCTCTCGTGGAGCAGGTCCCCGACGAGGAAGTTAACGACGACGTCGGCCATGCGGCCGCCCGTGGCCCGCCGCAGGCCCTCGACAAAGCCCGCGTCGCGCGACCCAAACACCCGCTCGGCGGGGATGCCGAGCTCGCCGGTGATGAAGCGCCGCTTGGCGGCCGACCCGGCGGTGGTGTAGACGACGGCGCCGAGGCGCCTCGCGATCGTGATGGCCGCCCAGCCCAGGGCGCCGGCGCCCCCGTGGATGAGAACCGTCTCGCCGGCGCGCAGGTTGGCGCGGGGCCCGAAGGCGTACAGCGCCGTCATGTACACGGTCAGCAGGGTGGGCATGACGGTGAAGCTCTCCGCGTCGAGCATCACGTGGGCGTCGGTGGCCCTCATGCGCATCGTGGTTGCGAGCTGGCCCGGCGCGCAGCCGAAGACGCGGTCGCCGGGACGTGGCGTGGTGACGCCCGGGCCGACGGCGGTGACGATGCCGCTGAGCTCGTCTGCGTTGGACGCGGCTTGCGTCTCCAGGCGGCCGTTGAGGGCGTACACGTTCTTGGCATTCAGGCTGATGGCCTTGATCAACACGTCGATCGAGCCTGCTGGGGGGCCCTCGCCCTGGACCTGGGGTTGGTCCTTTGCCTGGAAGTGGATTGTTTCACTGACGCCGACCCGGCCGATGGCGAGCTGCGCCGGCCGGGCTTCGGCCAGCGGGGTGAGTCGGATATGGTCTCCTTGCTGTGCACTCGTCTCGGGATTCCCCAGGTGCATGCGGTTGTTGAAGGTCGTGTTCAGGACGGTGTCGGGGGTGAAGCGGCTGATGTAGACGAGGCCGTCATGCTGCACGAACTCGCTGTCCGCCCGATCAGCGTGGCCGACGGAACCCGCCAGCACGCTCACGATGTTCTCGCGTGTCGACGGCAGCATCCACTGCGGCGCGGCACCCACGTCCATGACCACGAAGCGCAGCGCCGGCTGTTCCAGCATCACGGCGCGCGAGAGGCCGTTGCACAGCGCCAGGTCAGGCCGCGGCTTGCTGCCCAGCGTGTCGGCGCCCGTGAGCCACAGCAGCGTCTTGACGCGGCCCGTGACGCTGCGGAGCCGGTCCATGTCCTCCTGGCCCATGGTTGCCAGGAACTTGTCGGCCACCTCGACGAGCGAGATACATATCGTGTCCTTGGTCAGGCTTGTCTGCGGGGCATTCTCGAGGGGTACCACCTCGACGCTGCACGCGCCGGCCTGGTCCTGCAGCTGTGTTGCTATGGCTTCCGCAAATATCTCTGAAAGGGGGCATGGCAACGCTTTTCGGGTCTGTGAACGTGGTGGCAGGAACGGTCAGCCTGGTCCTGGGGTTGTTTCATGCACACACTCGTCTGAGAGGAGACTTGACTTACCAGGATCACAAACCGCTTGCCTTCAAGCAAGCCGGCTGGACTGTCTTCAGGACGGACGCCACAGATGAGTCCGTTGCCCATCTCAACCACCCTGAATCCTGCCTTGCGAAGGACCTCGGCGCTCACGGCCGTCTGACGAGTGATGACGATACCTCCTCTCGCAACTCGGGAAAGGATGTCGGTTGGATGCTTTGCCCAATACTCTCGACCCTGCTTTCGCTGTTGTCGAGACATGGTCAGTAAAGAAAGACTGTTGCGCCTCAAGACGGAGTTAGAGCCAAGACTCACGCTGGTAAGAAGCACCACATCAAACACATGCTCGCTCGCATGATCGTCGTCATTATCATCACCACCATCACCACCATTGGGAGCCCCCTCAATGTGGTCAGTATTTCCATCGGCCGGACCTAGGTTCATCGTCTTCCACGACTGATACCGCTGTGCCGCAGTCCCCTTGTCCAGGACGGCCGTCCACTCGGCCGCCCTGCAGCCGCACTCGTCCCCCAGCTGCAGCACGCGCATCCGCGGGTTCCGGTGGCCAGCGAGGTCCAGCAGCGCCGCAACGGCGGCGTCGCACGCCGTCTCGGGCAGGCCCGTGTCGGGGAGCCTCTGCGGGAGGTGGTCCACGAAGCCGGCCAGGTAGCCGCGCAGTGCCTCGCCCGAGCCCGCGCGCAGGTGCCCGACGTCGGGCTTCCAGGCGACGCGCAGGCAGGGCTGCCGCGGGAGGAGGGCCGCTGCGCCCGTCGCTGCTGGTGCCACCTTGGCCGCGTAGTGCGACACGAGCACGTCCTGCAGGTGGACCAGCGGGGTGGCGCTGTGCGGATCCCTGAGGGTGGCGTCGACCCGGTGGGTTGAGAGGCCTGTCTTGCGGGCCCGCGCGTCGATGGTCCCTTGGGCTTCCGCCGTGGCTGCCGCCGTTGCTCGGGTTTTGTCGCCCCCGGCTGTGCTGCTTTCGCCGCAGTTCCCTCGGACCCAACACTCGCGGATGGAGACGGGAACGTGTGCTCCAAGGGCACTCATGTCTCCCGCCGCGGTAGACATGATGCCTGCCTGGATGCAGGCGTCGATGGTGATCGTGTGGACCGCATCCTGCCCAACCTCGTCAGGGCTGAGCTGCGTGTTTGTATCAAACTTCTGAGGCCGCAGCAGGGTCGTGGCCAGGACCTCACGGTCGTCGCCGGGGCTGACGATCCCCGAGACGGACTGGAACTGGGGCCCAAGGCACAAGCCCTCGTGCTCAAACTTTTGGTAGTACGATGCCGCTGACGCTAGCCCTTGCCCTGAGATCCTCTCCTGCAGGTCGTGGTCTTGGTCGGGCCCAACCTTGACAGTGTCTGCGCTGAAGTCAAGCTCGGCTTGATGGCCTCGCACACCCCCAGCGCAGTGCACCCTCGTCTTGCCCCCCGCCCACGACGAGATGGAGAAGTCGTACCAGTCGGCCGACGTGGTCGTGCTCGACAGGGCTCGCGGCGACATTGCCGTGTGCAGCTCGGCTTGTTCTGTCCCCTGGCTTCCCTTCTTGTCCTCATCGTCGGCCACCACCAGCGCCGCATTGATGCTGACGTTGCGGAACTCGAACCAGAGAGGGCGGCCGGAGGCCGAGTTGCCGCGCCTGGTCTGGTTCGAATCATTCTTTGGCCTGTCCTTGTCGCTAGCGACGCTGCGCAGGTGTAGTACCTGTGACAGGGCTTCGATTCCAACCGCGAGGTAGCCCGCGGCAGGGAACACAACCTGTGTCTCGATCTTGTGGTCGCGGAGCCAGGGCACCTCCTTCAGGCTGAGCTGGTTCTTCCAGTGCCAGTCGAGGTCGCTGCCGGCGACCCTGAGGGAGCCGAGGAGCGGGTGCCGTGGGAACGGGCGGTTGCGCGTCTCGATGCTGGCCCGAGGTTCGACCCAGACGAGGCCCCCCGAGTAGTCCCACGGGTATGGGGGGAGGTGTGCCAGCTGTGGGCCTCGATGCCCCCTGCTAGTGATATTGATGTTGAAGTTGTCGTTGACGTGCTGCCAGGACAGGCCCACGCCCTGGAGAAACAACAAGCCGGCGAGCTTCTTGGCCGAGAGGTCCGCGTCCTGGCCTCTGACCAGCGCGCAAGAGTAGGGAGCCGCGGCCTCTTCCCAGCCCATATGCTTGCGGATCTGCTGCAAGGGCCCCTTGAGCGCGCTGTGCGGTCCAACTTCGACCAGGTGAAGACCACTCCTCCCCCTTCTCCCCTGCTCCCCTTTTCCTCCCGACCCGGCGGAGCTCGCCAACATGTTCTGCACCGCCCCCCAGAACTGGACTGGCCGCTCGAGGTTATTCCTCCAGTACTCGGTCGAGGTTACGGTCGCACTGTCGGCCCTTGCGACGCGATCGCCATCGAAGCCCACCGACGAGAACATTTGCGCGCGCCGCCCTGTGCCGTTGCTTGACGAGGCCACGGCGGCAGAGACCTCGGGCCCGCCAACGAGATGGGGTGCGAGCAGGTTCTCATAAAGGGCGCCAACCTGCTTCATCATGGCCGAGTGGTACGCCCTACCCCCTGTCTGCAACACCCGCGCAAACCTGCCCTGCTCCTGGAGGCTGGCCATCAGGAGCTCGATCCCAGCCGCAGACCCGCTCAGCGTCGTGCTCTCGGGGGAATTGACACAGGCAACGCATACCTCGTCGCCGAGGCCGCTGTCCCGTATGAGCTGGCCGGCAGCCTCGGGGCCCAGCCCGGCCGCCATCATGGCACCCTCCCCGCGCAGTGTGCCAACGGCAACCCCGCGGAAATATGCCACCAGGATGGCCTGGCGGGCACTCAGCAGCCCTGCCGCGTAGGCAGCGGCGATCTCGCCCGACGAGTGGCCAACCACCGCCGCAGGCGCGACGCCCCAGCTCGCCAGCATGTCGACCAGTGCGATCTGGAGGGCGGTGCAGACGGGCTGGCTCCGGGTGACGTGGCCGATCTGGCTCGACTCGGCTGGGTCGACGAGGGTCTGCTCGATTGTCCAGCCGGGAGCTTGACCACCTGGCAGCCCCTGGAGCACCCCGTCGAGGTCGCGGATGGTCTTGCTGAACGTGGGGCATGTGTTGAGCAGCTGTTTGCCCATGCCGGCCCACTGGGCTCCCTGGCCGGTGAAGACGAGGCCGAGGGGCAGCGGGATGGAGCTGTTCGTTCCCTCGCCGCCGTCATCGTCGAGCCGGCACACCTCAGGCTGGGACCCGGGGATATCTTGTACCTTGAACAAAAGGGCTTTCCTCAAGTCCATGTGGGATCTGCGCTGGCCGAGCGTGTAGGCCACATCTCGCAACCTGCGCCTGATGTCCAGTGACTGTGAGTGTGGACCTGTGCCGGCTATCTGTGTGATTACCTCGGCGACCTGGGCGACGCGGGAGGCCAGTGCTTGACTTGTCGCTGCTGACACTGGAAGCAGCAGATGATGCTCATGGCGGTGCTCCAGGAGACTCTTTTGCGCTGTTTCATCTTCTTTCTCTTCCTCTTCGGGGCTTTGCTTTCTGCCTGCAATCTGCCGCAGAAAGCTGTCTTCTGACTCTAGTATCGCGTGCGAATTTGCGCCGCCATAGCCAAAAGAGTTGACGCTGACTCTCCGAAGCGCCCTCGGCCAGTTGACGGCTTCTTGGACGACGCTTATGTTGTGTGAGTCAAGTTGCACTGCGAGGATAAACAATATGTAAGTGATGTGGCCATTTCATACTGTCACAGGGCGATGGGGAAAAGAGAGTTATGTGTAACACTCACATTTTGGGTTGAGTGTTACGATACCACGGGTCGGAGGGATCTTGCCCATGTCCAAGGCCATAACAGCCTTGATGATGGCAGTGAGCCCACTCGCCGCCTCGCTGTGGCCAAAGTTGGGCTTGGAGGCCCCTATCAGCAGACGAGTGTCTCTTCGCTGCTTTGTGAAGCATCGTGCGATGGCCGCGACCTCGATCGGATCTCCGATCGGCGTACCTGTACCGTGGCATTCGACGTAGTCTGTATCGAGGACATCGAGCTTTGCCGCGGAATATGCCTTTTTTATCACGGCCTCCTGGCGCTCTGCTTTGGGCTGTGCGATACCGGATGTCCTGCCATTACTATGATGGGGAGTTTGCCGTCAGTATCAGTCGATCCTGGCCACTGGCAGTACCTATCTGCTTGCTGCCTGTACCTGACAAGCAGAGGGCCATGATGGGGAAAACTTACGCGTTCACTGCGGTGCCGCGAATAACGGCCCACACCTTATCGCCATCTCGTTGCGCCGCAGAAAGCCTCTTAATATAAATGGCGTTGACAGCTTCGCCTCGTGCGTACCCGTCGGCTTCGGCGTCGAATGTATGGCAGATAGCCGAGGGCGACAGGAAACCACCTTTCGCAGTCCCCAGGCATTGCTCCGGCGACATGATCAAGTTGGCCCCGGCCACAATGGCCCCATCGCATTCACCGCCAGCAAGCGCCTGCACGGCATTGTGGAGGCAGTACAAGGTAGAGGAGCAGGCCGTGTCCAGGACCTGGCTGGGCCCTTGGAGGTCGAACACGTAGCTGATGCGGTTCGCGAGCAGGCTGGTGCCGACGCCCATGGCCGTGTAGCGGCCGATCGTGTCCGGGTCCCGCAATTGCATCGTCGCGTGGTCGACGGTGAAGTTGCCCACGTACACCCCCGTGTTGCTGCCCGCCATGCCGCCCAGCGTCGCGCCCGCGTGCTCGAAGCACTCGTACACGACCTCGAGCAGCTTGCGCTGCTGCGGGTCCAGCCCCGCCGCCTCGAGGTTGTGCGCGCCGCCGAGGCCGCCGAAGAAGCCCGCGTCGTACTGGCGCACGTCCTCGTCGAGGAAGTATCCGCCCGGGACGTCCATGACGCCGGCGCGGTTGCGGTCCGGGTGGCACCACCCGGACGCATCGAACCGTGTCGGCGGGACGGGCCCGCTGTGGCAGCGCTTGTTCATGAACGTGTCCCATAGCTTGGACGGCGAGTCAACCCCCCCTGGGAGGCGACATGCTGTGGATTTGTGTCAGTGACCTCTGGTAAAGACTGCGAGATTGGAGGCAATTCCGGCATGCCCCTGTGAGGAATATAATGCATCGAATGGTTAGGCGGACGTACCCATGCCGACTATACATGCGGGATCGTCGTCCACGACCGGTTCTAGCCCAACATTGTGCAACCTGGGCGAGTCCATTGTTGTGTTGCAGGACGATTCTGCATCATGCTGTATTCCCATGACGAGCTTGAAGCGATTAGGATCAATGATAGCTCTAGAAGACCAGAACTAAGGTATGCTAGCCGTAGAGAAACAATATAAACTGCTAGGACATCAGCCTAATAGATGTAGCTTGATCCTGTGTGAAGTTAACTTATGGAAATACTCAACAGTATTCACTGCCAGTAATTTATTCGGCTGTTGTGATGGTCTACCGCCCATGTACTGCTTAGAATTCCTAATCCTTCGGTCACCAAGGTTGTTATTCTGGTCTCTTGAGCTGTGCGGTCTACAGCAAGGGACTTGCAATCCTCACTCGATGCCGTCGGACCTACTACACATTCGGCTAAAACATTCTACTAAATTCTACAATTTAATATTAAGGTATTCAATACAAGGATTTTTATTAAGATATTATATATATTATTTTATATAGATAAAGTATAGTTTAAAGACTAATTATAATATATAAATAGTAATTACAAGTATTAAGAATATAGTTTTATATTTTATATTAATAGAATTTAATACTTTTAATATTTTTTTTAAAGTGTTTTATAAAATATATAATCTTATATAATTATAAGTATTATTTCTTTCTTTTATTTAATAGTTATTACACTTTAAATATATTTAATATTAATATATTAATAATCGTTTATATTTACTAAAAACATAGTTAATAAATTTATTAAATTTTCTTAATAATAATATAGTAGTATTCTCTATTATTAATTTATATTATATAATAAGAAATAAAAATCTTCCTATCTTTAGAAATTCCCCTAGACACCTTATTATCTAGTGTGGTGGGTATGTTAACCCGGTTAAACAGAGATTTTAGCGGTGAATCTAGGCCTAACGTGCCGCAGCCACGTTGTTGCAGAGAATCATGTCCATCGGAAGTGTACCCAGGGCATCCACGGTGGTCAGCGCTTGAGGTACTTCACAGCCCTGCGTTGTCCCATCAAAGTTACCGTTCCTAGGGCTCATCTACGTACCCCACGTACTCATGTACTGTGTACTATCCTACAGGCAGTATCCTTGACCTAGCGTTGCATCCGGGCGCTTATGGAAGGAATGGGCCGAGTGGGCCATCGAAGGAGTGATTATAGGGTTGCCTGGGCAGTCACCCTCCTTATCCTTGTCGATAATAAGCCCAGAGTACAAATTCGTATCTAAATTGGACCGCTGATGTATGCAACCATTGCTATGCCGCCTGCGCGCAGCCTACGCGGATAATGTCTAGCCCGGGCTCGTCCGGTCGTCCGGAATTCCTCCTCTTTGTAGCTAGTCCAAATCCTGCCAGATGTCTCTATTCTGGGCACATGCCATGGTACAGTCTCAGCTGGGAAGACACATGCATCTCGCCATAGACCCAGTCTGGACTTCCAGACCGCGGGTTTTTCACCAAGAGTTCCTAGACACATGCAAGCTCTAGTGCTTCCCTTGTGCCGACCAGTCCGTCAGAGAAGAAAGAAGACGGAAAATACAGCATGGCGATTACCAGCAGAGACAGATTTGCTCTTGTAACGGGGTAAGTGTTGGGCTCAATGATCAATGTCTGCCATTGTCTGCCAAGACGTTTGTCGCTCACTTGCTAACAGAGAAACTAAGCTGTGGCCAGGGAGGCATCGGAGAAGCATTGGTGAAGGAGTATCAAAAGCGCAGCATTCGGGCCATTGCCACAGTTCTTCCGTCCGAGGAGAACAATCACTTGACTGAAGCTGGCATTACCTGCTTCTCCCTTGATGTGACGGATGAAGACTCTGTACGGGAATTGAAAAAGAATATCGCCGCCCTCACTGGTGGACAACTTGACATTCTCGTTAACAATGCGTTTGTGCCTCTCATGTCCGTCCGCTAGATGAGACCCATGCTGATTCACTTCGTCTATGTAGTGGAATAGGTGAGTGAGCCTTCCTTGGAGTAATCGATCCGGTAGAAGTGATGTTTTTGCTCGAAGAAGTGGCTGATCGCTTCAGCGTACACGATGACTGCCATTGACACAGACGTCAAAGAGGTCCAGCGCATGTTTGATGTCAACGTCTTTGGCCCTATGAGGATGGTGCACTGGTTCCACGACATGTTGATAAACTCGTCCGGGACCGTTGTCAACATCGGCTCAGTCGGCGGTATTGTCCCATATGTCTACGGATGTAAGCCCCACACTTGAGCCGCTGATGCGATATGCGATCCATTTCAGAGATGTTGGTCAGAGCTGAGCGATTGGGCCTGTTATAGCATCGTACAACGCTACCAAGGCGGCCCTCCACCACTGGTCCAATACACTAAGGGTGGAAATGGCGCCTCTGAAGTGAGTCGTCGTTTGCACGAGTAAAGCAATGTTCACCTACACCTAGGCTAATCATAAAATAAAACGATAAAAGTGTGAAAGTCCTTACAGTAAGGCATAGATCCCTTGGCTCTCTCTCACGCTCCATCCGCCCCGCCCCTTCTTTCTTCTTTTCTTCTTCTATATCCTCTTTTTGGTTTCTCTACTCTTTTTGGAACCAATTTTTGACCGCATGTGCAAATAAAGATAATCTCCGGTGAAATTGGGACGAACATTCTCAGAAGAGACATGTCGAGGGAACTGCCACAAGGTTTGTCCATTCTCCGGGTTTGGCAAAACACTTAGCTTGTACATCTTGTTAAAGGTTATAGGGTCATACTTCGCTCCCCTTTCTGAAGAATTCAAGAAACACGTGCAGAGGACTCCCGGTAAGCCTGAGCCCGTTTTATGTCGGACCTGGGCAATCAGAATTTATGTTCCACACAATCTGACCCTAATTTCAAGTTACTACGAGCCGGTTTGACTACGCTCGCAATGTCGTCTCTGAGAGCATCAAGCAGAGCCCGGCAACATGGTTTTGGTATGGAAAGACTACTTTCATTGTCCGTTTCTTGGATACCTTCACATGGCGCAGAATCTGGGTAGGTGCCAACCTTCATATGCATGCGAAACGTTTTGTATTAGAAAATTCAACTAAACCCCATGTTCGTCAGGACTACATGTTCTGGAACACTTTCAACTTCGGCAAATTACACCGTATGTTCCGCTTTACTAAGAACAAGGACCGGTAGCAGTGGTGTGTAAAGCTGGTGTACCAGCCGAGAATTCATCAGGGCTGGAATTATGTTTTTCTGTCATCCTCAGTACTACTTTCAGCTTCATCAAACCAGCTACAAATATTCTTGTTTTGTTTTCCAAAAATTATTTGAGCTCAACTTTCACGTCGAAGTGATGCATGATAAAAGTTCTCTGCGTCAAGCTCTGACAGGATTTGGGCGTGCGAGCAGATGAACGTCTACACGCAGCGTGAGAGTAGTGGTACGAGTAGTTATTGTAATTAAAAAGAAGCCGCTAATGATTTTGCCCACTCTCCTTTTATTTTGCCTCACCTCTTCCCATTTAAAGCATCGAGGTCTTCCCGCGTAACACTGTGCCATGTCAGAGCCCCCGCTATTTCCGATACTTCAGGATTTCGAGCATGATGTGCAAAGACATAGAACCTTTTCCCGTAATAGTTGTCATTTTGCTATCTGACAATATCCCTAGTTCAACGGCCCTGATAGTACTGGGCAAGGTCCCCAAGGTCCTCCTGTGCCTCCTGACCATTAAGTACAAAAGGCTTGCAGTCAAGCAAGACCCAAAGCATGCGACCAGGCAGTGTGCCATTGCCTGTCAAATTCCGCCATGCATGCATAGCCCCTCGGTTCACCGAGAAATCTCCCTGCCTCATGATGCGCGTCTCCCCCGAGTCCAGAGTCAGTTCAAACTCGCCTTCGATTACAACGCCGTAGTCCAGTGAGACTGCTCGGTGGAGGGGAGATTTGACCTGGAATAGTTCAGTATGATTGGTCTTTCACGTTCTATAAGGAGGGTGTGTTGCATGCTCACACCAGGGCCAAAGTCCACCATTCGAACAACAGTACCATTATGGTAGTGGAGTGGGGGCTGTCAGATATTGTCAGTTGCCAGGCAGGATGGCACAGGGACAGTTAGGGCTCACCTCGGCCTCTTTAGCCTTGACGACGTCAACATCACCTCCCATGTCCACCGGACACTCCCTGGTTGAGTAAAGGATGTTGGCAACAGCCTCATTCTCCCCCATGATGCGGTGATGGTCACCGCAATCAGTGGAAAGGAAGATGCCCTTGCCCTCGGCGTTATGGCCTGTGATGTACCGTACTGTTCGCCGAAGCCCTGCGGCTGGGAATCCATGCGTGATGTACCCCACACCTGGCCCAGGCTTTTGTTCCTCCTCTGGCCCAGTTTTGGTGGCCATTCTCACTGCCTGTGTCCTGGTCAAACGATGGGCATGCTGAAGACCTCGAGCCCCCCTGGATAGCAACCGTGTCGAATTCATTGCTTAGCTTGATCACTGTCAGTGAAGCTGAGAGTTGAGGGATGGAATGAATGACGAGCCAGATCTGAAAGGGTAGTACGTCGAGTCCAAATCGTACGCAACTTTCAAGGCTCGAGCACGTCACCAAGTCTTAGTACCAAGTCCATCGGAAGAAACTTTTTCTTTCGGAATTGTATTTTCAAGTGAGCCCTGGTTCTAGGCTCCAGCAGCTCTGCCATCAACAGATCCTACGTGTTCCTCATAGGGCCAGGTAAAATTGCCTCACTCTGACATATGCAGCTAGCAGCTATTCAAGAGGTCTGGAGTAGGCTGCAGGCAATCCCCTCTGCAAGAATTCGATCCCACTGCAACATTGAATTATCACGTTGGATCTGGGCAGTTGTGACATTGAGTGACCTGTCAGCCCTATCCCTAATCTGAGTATGGTTGCCTACTCAGATAGCTAGGCCTGGGTGAGATGCCAAGGTGCCATGGTGGTTGGTGTTGTAACGGTCCGGGGTCCACGGGTGTAAATTGCCTAATACGGAGGGGAGCATAACACGGCTATATCAAGATTACTGACTCAAGGAGGTTGGTTCTCCCAACTTGGACGAGAGAATCCTGTTGGAATATTGGGACCACGCGTCCCTGACCAGTTACATGCGTCCTCGGCCTTTTTGGATCTTGCATACAAAGTCAAACACTCCGCCAGATCCTCCCCACAGCTCGCGTATGCACCGCCATGTACCAGCATATGCAATGTGACCAACAAACATCTGACTCGAACACCTGCATGTACTCGTCCAAAATAGTACAACACAATTAGGCGCTCAAAGGACTCAGCATGGTTCCGCCGTCAAGGACCAGAGCAGAGCCGGTCATGTAACTCGATCTCGGGCTGCAGAGGAACATCACCGCATCGGCGACCTCCTCGGTAAGCGCAATGCGGCCCATCGGCACAGCAGTCCTGATGGCGTCCCCCAGCCCTGGAACCTGGTCTATCGCACGTTGTACCATGGGTGTGTTGACCCAGGAGGGGCACAGACAGTTAACCCTAATGCCGTATTTCGCGTTGTCAAGGGCTACAGATATCGGTGTGGTGAGCTCATGCGATGTCTTAGTGTACTTGTGCACTCGTAGGTTGGATGATAAAATTAGACATACCGGCATTCCTAGCCAGTCCGAGCACCGCGTGCTTGGAGGTCGTGTACTGCACCATCCGTGGCTGAGCGCCAAACGAAGCAGCCGAGCCCATCAGGACGATGGAACCGCGCGTGGCGCCGCGGCCCGGCGAGCGAGGGTCGATGTCCCTCGGAGCCTGGGATTTCATGAGTGCCGAGACGTGCTGCGTGACCCGGAAACTCCCAGTGACATTGACGTCCATGAACCGACTGAAATCGGCCGCGGAAGCCTCAGCCACCTCAAGTGCAACCTCGATACCGACCTAGGAGCCCAGAGTAAGCAAGATTGCATGCATGTATGTGTCATTCTGGCTTTCCTCGCTGCATGAGGGTGGGGGCGAAGGGTTCTAAGTTCAATATTTTGACTGTTTGGGTTGCACTCACACCAGCGCTATTGACGCAGTAGTCGACGCGTCCGAAGGCCTGCACAGCGTGCCGAACCATCAGGCTGACAGATTCCTCTGACGTTACATCGACAGCCAGGGCCTCGACAAGGAATCCGCCCGTGTGGGATGCCGCCGCCCGGCACAACTCGGACACCTCCCGCGCGGCGTTGAGGTTGACATCGGCAACCAGGACGCCCGCGCTACCCTCCTTGGCAAAGGCAATGGCACACTCCTTGCCAATGCCACTCCCTGGGTCGATACGAACCATGTCAGCACTAAATCATTGGTCCAGGATATCCAGCCGCACGAGAAAGAGACCGCGTCTGGACCTCGGACGAGGGCCGTCAAGGCTCTAGAATTGGGAATGGGCCCGGGAAGTTCGGGGTTCGTTAGACCAACCTGCACCAATCACGAGGGCAAATCCCTCGATGTTCATGACGTCCAATGTGCACAGATCGGGGTCCTCTGGCCGACAACTACGCCGGATCGTATATTGGGCTGGGTGTGGGGGCGAACAGAACCTGGTCTAGTCCAGGTTGTCTGGAGTTCTGACGCCTGGAAGCAACAACGTGAAGGCAGAATGTCCGATTTTTATAATTACTTCTACCAGGCACGCTAGGGACCAGACTCGTTCAGACTGGGGTGCCACGAAGAGGCGCCATGCCAGTGTACTCCAGACGCCTGCATACCTAGGTACTCAGTACGTACCTAACTTTACATACCTAGGCAGTACTTACATGTGGCTATATTGACAACTTGAATTGCTCCAGTGCTAGTGCTCATTGCTGTCAACAGGTCGCAAGAACTGAAATGTTGCCCATCCTCTTCCACCATGCAGGCACACTAAAGTCAGGGCAAGATGCTAGGGGTTCCTGATGCCGTCTGAATGCTGGATCACACGCTAAATCAACACTCAGTGCATTGATACAAAAAGTATAGTCCGCATACAATACGATTATGTACTCTTCAACAATTATATACCTTCCTGACGATCAAGAATTGTCTAATTACCACCAACTCTAGTGTTTGTACGATAGGGGTACTGGATTATAATATGAGAAAACCCTGTCAGGATCCCATTGAGCCTTCAGAGCAGAAAGTCGAGGAAGCTTCTCTCGACTGTACAACGCCTCCACCGGCTCGTTCCCGTGGGCGTAGTTCATGTAGCATGCAAGCCCATCGTAGCCTGCCGTCGACGCAAATGTGTCTCGAAGGACAGGCCCCTCTCTAGCAAGAGCCTCCCGCCCGGTCTGGTTGTTCCAGGTGAAAACCAAGGCGCTGCAGTAACGGAGTCAGCCCCTTTATCAGCACATGAAACCAGCCTGTGATGGAAAGACACTGAAACAAGACTTTTGCCGCATCTTAAAGGTGAGGAGAAGTGCTTACATGTGGCCCCAGGCATCTCTGTACGGATATGCTGTGCTGCTGTCGGGGATGGCCATCTGTGCTTTGTTTGAAAACGTCTCAATCTGAATCGTGCTGCCACGAGTGTCCGGAAAAGTATTGTAGATTTCCGTGAGATTATCGAACACGGTCTGGAAAGTTGGGGCCGATAAGTTGCGGAAAGTGACACCATAGTAGTCTATCGACTGGCCGGCCTGGCAGAGGGCCGCATCAAATTGGCCGAAGCCCTGAGAGGCAAGGATCTTGTTCCAAGGCACCATCGTCGTTGAGATTATGGGTGCGTTGAGGGCGTAGACCGGAGCAAGCGCCTTACGGCCCTCTTCCTCGGACCCGAAGAATACCCAGTTGCCCAACACATGGGGCTATTTGTACTGTCAGTCACCTGAGCTGCGCAGTCGACTGAACTGAATGCCCTGCAGGGTGCGAGGGGTTCGATAAGAGTAGTACAGAGGGAAGGAAGTGCTTACCGAGTTGAATGAGGTATCCCAGCCCATGGAAGTGATCTGTGCCAGGTTCGCAGGCAATGACCCGTCAACATGATAGGACTCGAGGAGTTCAAAGTACGTGGTGCTCATGTTGGGGGGCAGTATCAAGTCAACAAGCATGACCTCTCCGCGGTCCTCTGGACTGTCAGCGATACGGCGGAGCTGGTAGGTCGCCGAGGCGACGATGCCGAAGTTTTGACCAGCTCCGCGGATGGCCCAGAACAAATCTGGGTGCGAAGTGTCGGAAACATGAAGCAGACGCCCATCAGCGGTGACTAGGCGGACCGACAGTAAGGCATCGATTTGAAGGCCGTACTTGCCCGTGAAACGGCCAATGCCGCCACCGAGCGTCACGCCCAGCTGACCTGGGCACGAGCAAGTGCCTTGCTCTACAGCGCAATTCTACCTGTCAGCATTCGGCTCTGGCCCCACGCGAGGGACACGATTCCGGCTTGTAACCAGAAGGGGGAGGGGGAGCGGCCGGGGGAAGGGGAGAGGGCCGGAAGAAATAATTGAGTGCAACATTGGGCCGTCGGCGGAGAAAAACTTACGCATCTCAAAACCGGCTTCATAGATGGGATCCAGGATCTCGCCGATGGTAACACCGGCACCAATCGTCAATGTGGCCTTTTCGGAATCAATGCTGACTTCGTTGAGCTGGCTGAGGTCGATCTCTAGGCCCTGGTCCAGGGCATCGAGTGTGGTGGAGAAGCCATGACGACCACCGGTGGCCAAGAAGGGCAGCTTGTGCTTTCTCGCGAGTTGCACCGTCTTGACCAAATCGGCCTCGTTTGCCGGGCGAAAGACGCCTGCAAAGGTCGGCCCGGCGATGATGGTCCACCTCTCTGTGACCCCGTCAAAGGCCGCATCCTCGGGGAGCACCAGGACCGATTTGGGATCCCATTCGTCACAGTCTTGGCTGAAGATAGTGCTGAGGTTCGTGGCGGATGCAGCAACTTGGGAGAGCAGGAGAAACAATACGACTCTCAAGAGTGACTGTTTCATCTCATTTGGCGTGACCATGTTGGCGTTTCAAATGTACCACCAGTATGTCTCCAAGTCACAGCCAGGTATTCCTTGTGGACAAGAGCTGTAGCAGGAGACGAGAGAGGCTCCGGTGCTGTCTTTTTAGATTGATGCGAGCTGAGCCTCTCCGCCACGAGTCGAAGTCGGACAGAACTTGGGAGGTGGATCTCAGTCTCATGGAGGATTATTGATTTGGCTTAGTTCCACTAGTCTTCCCGATGCCCTACAATGCTCTCTCCCTACTGTGGTACACCCTCCTGTGGTACAGCTCGTCACATGGCCACCGATCAAGGAAACGACGTCGCAGGGTGGGTTCACTACCCCTAGCAACCAGCATCGGCCCGCCTCCAGGTGTTGTTCTTGGTAGGCCTCAAGTTGCTATACTATCAACATACATTTACTAGTACTAAATGTAGCTTAAAATAGAAGAAGTTTAAGTATGTTATTCAAATAATTAAGAAGTATAAATAAATAATTTATAACTTAAAGTTAATATTATATTATTAATACTTAAAAAGTAATATAATAGAATAGAATATTTCTATTAAATAAAATAAAAAATAAGTTTATAATTATAACTATATTTAATTTAAGTTTTAAATTATTAAAAACTGCTCTTTAAAGTAAGATAAATACTAATAATTTATATTAAATAGATGTATACTACTAGTAATTACATAGATAGGCCTATAACTAAGTGATACTAATTTGTGGGCCGATGCTAGCTGGCCCCCTGGTAAGGCACAAGCTGGCAGGTCCTGTGGTAGCTTACTGGTGGTTAATCAATACCTGAATCCTGAGGGATCTGCAAGGGTGGGGCGGCAAACTCTAGTTCAGCCCTGCGTTGGGCCGGATCTGGCACATATAACACAGGTTAGATTGCGTGGTGTAACTTGGTACCAAGACTGGACACCTTACTTGGCGCGTCTATATCAGGCTGACGCCAACTTGCTTCCCAGGGTCATATGCAACGTTCGGGCTCGGCATGGCCTGGTGCTTTTCAAGTTCTTACATTAGGTGGTGTGTTGTACCGGTACATGCATGCACTTGAGTGGGATTCTCAGGATGGCCCCCATGTGCCAACGGACAACCAACCAAACACTGCGCTGGGACTATTGATTGCGAACAAGGCTAAACAGGGGGGCAATAACACACAGTGTAAGAGTCATCTTGCATTGCGACATCACTACAACAGCAAGTCCAGGCTGCCAGATTCACATCCCGTTTACCGAGGTGGCCAGGCTATCAGCAAGGATGACCTGGACACCCAGGTAGTAAGCAGCACGACCAGGGGCATATCTGGGGCATTCAACGACTACGGAGCAAGCAACTAGGGTACCCACTAGCCGCCCGTTGGCCCTAACATTGGCCAATGCCGCTTTGGTGATTTCAGCCGCTGCAAAGCAACCCTTGGGAACATATCCATGCAGCATCGATGGCACCCCTCATCCAGCTGGAGCCCCCCGTCCAATGTTTTGTCTCATGCCAGTGTCCCTCTCTACTTCCCCTCTGACGCCCTCCAGCTCATTTTCTACCAGCAGTTGATAAATGCGGGCGGAGTTTGATGTGGCTACAAGTAGCACTAGATGAGACTGTCTTGTCTTTGAGCCTTCCAAGTTGATTACTTACACAGTAATAAGCATTCGTTCACTCGTTAAGTCCCTCTTGACAGCTCAAGCCAGAGTCGAGTTACTAGTCCCTGTGTTTAGTCTCCTCCACTAGCTCCGCAACAGGATCCAACACGCAAGATGGCCACGTCTAAGTACGACTACACGCCAGAAAAGTTCGCCACATTCCCACAGTGGCTGCGGCGGCAGCTGTTCGAGCACCCCCGCCCGGTGACAGGTGTCGACCTGGCAGGCAAGACAGTCATCGTCACAGGCGCGAACCAGGGCATCGGCTTCGAGATTGCCAGCCAGCTCCTCGTCCTCAACGTCGGCAAGCTCATCATCGCCGCCCGCGATGTAGCCAAGGGCCAGGAGGCGGCCGACAAGCTGGCAGCCCAGCACAAGGGCAAGGGCGGCAACAACTCGGCCGTCGAGGTCTGGCCGCTCGACCTGCTCAACTACGACAGCGTCACGGCATTCGCCGCGCGTGCGGGCCAGCTGGAGCACCTCGACATCGCCATCCTCAACGCCGGCATCTACCGGATCAAGATGACCATCAACCCCTCCACCGGCAACGAGGAGGACATCCAGACCAACTTCCTCTCCACCTTCCTGCTCGCCATCCTGCTGCTGCCCACCCTCCAGGCCAAGAAGCGCTCACCCACCGAGCCCGGCCGCCTGACCATCGTGTCGTCTGACACGGCCGGCATGACGCACTTCGTCGAGCGCGACGCTGACCCGCTGCTGGCCGCTCTCAAGGACACGAGCGGCAAGTGGAAGTGGGACATGCAGGAGCGCTACGGCACCTCCAAGCTGCTGGGCCAGATGTTCCTCGCCGAGCTGGCCACCCGCGTCCCGCCCTCCGAGGTCATCATCAACGCCGGGTCGCCGGGGCTCTGCTCTGGCTCGGGCCTCGCCCGTGACGCCGCCGGAACCTTCCTCCGCTTCCCCCTTGCCGTCTACTTTGGCCTGCTCGGCCGCAAACCTGGAGTTGGTGCCCACGTCATCCTCGACGCCGCACTCAAGAAGGGCGAGGACTCGCACGGCGAGGTTATCGAGTTTGACAAGATAAGGCCGTAAGTCTTACCTCCATGCCCATGACATGTAGTCACCACGCTTCCCCAATATCTACGCGCCTGCTGGCTAACATTTTGGAATCCCCTATCGTAGACGCGGCCCGTTTGCATACTCGGAGAAGGCTCCAGCCGTCACTCAGCGGCTATGGAAAGAGACCATGGCCGAGCTTTCCTTCGCCAATGCCGAGGCCATTGTCCAGAGCTTTGGCTCTAAGAAGTAATGTTGTGTCCGCAATGGATCTGATTTGGCATGTAGGATGCCTGTGTGAACACTGGCCGGGCCGCGCAGATTTATGTGCAGGTGTACTACACGAGCATATTCCGTACAACCTTTGCAACCATTTAATCCGTATTAGTACTCAATGTTACTTCTCTCCCCTGCTCGAACCTTTTCTCTTCGTCCAATGCGTCTCTTTTCTCATTTGCCCTGTTCTCACACTGCACCTACGTACTTTGCAACCATTTCACGCGGTCTTCTACTGCTAGATTAAATATGTAGTAACAGGGTAACGAATGTCCACTTTCAAGGCCCAGTCAAATTGATCGAGACCCTCAACGGAATTCATGCACAAGCTCTTTCTTAGGTTCATATCTTCTTCGTCATTGCTCGTCGTCCTTCATCGCACCAAAGGTCATGGTCAAGTTTCCATGGTTATCGCGGGACTCAAGCCGGGCTGCGACACAAGTTCATGCACTTGGTAAATGAGACTCTTGTCTTTCTATTCCCAAGTAACAAGCACTCTAGACTCTGCACCAGTATAGAAGACGCCGACTCCGAACGAGTGGCCGCGTGATACTATTGATACAATTGGGTACGAGTGAAATCAGGCCTCTCCAGTGCTCTAGAGCTTCCTCCAATTCGCTCATCGCGATTAGACTTTCAAGAGCATGTAACTTGCCTCATGTAACAGACACGAATTTAAAGCCCGATGCCCACCCCCCCCCCCCAACCCCATACTGTAGCTCAGACAACCTGAGGCGAGGTCTGAGGCACCGCCTTCCATTGCAGGTCCCCGTCCAAATTCTTCTCGGCTTCCTGCTGCCAGTAGTCCCTGATTTGCTGCGCCCTGTCGGCAGATCTTGGCTTGATATCTGCGGGAAAGGGCTTTGGCATGACGAAGAGGCCGAACTGCAGGTCCTCCATGTCCGGGACGATCTCGAGCCCCGTGGCCGGGTCCACGGCGCGGTTGAAGTCGAGTCCCCACAGCAGGCGCGAGATCACCAGGAACAGCGACTGGTCGACCAGGTTCATGGCTAGGCACATCCGGCGGCCGAAGCCGAAGCCGAAGTGGTCTCGCTTGTTGACGACCTCGTTGGCTGCCGACTCGGACGAGGTCGAGTCATCGTCGGCCCACCGCGCTGGGTCGAACTTGCGTGGGTCCTTGTAACGCTTTGGGTCGTTGTGAAGGGCCCTAGGGAGGGAGTCTTTGTTAGAAAGGCAAACCACTGCAGCCCATGAGAAATCCTGAAATTTCTGGTGACGAAAGCAGCCGGGGGAAGAGACGTAATCAGACAGGGATAGGAACAGTGGCGTCTCACCAGACATTGTAGATAACGGCTGTGTGCTTCGGAATCCTGCATCCGGCATACTCATCGTCGGCATCGGCTGAGTGAGGCACGCCCAAGATGGTGGCTGGCATCCACCGCAAACTCTCCTTGATGCAGCCGCGAATGTACTTGAGGTCTTTCCAGTCTTCAATGCACGGGATACGGTCGCCACACACGCGGTCGATCTCGGCCTGGGCGGTCTTGGCCACATCGGGGAAAATGACCATGGCCTGCGTAAACCCAGTGATAGTAGCTAGTGTGGTCTCCGCCGCGGCCTGAAGGAGCGAGCCTGAGTAGTAGGCCATGAGGTCGGGAGATACTTGGTCTTGTTCTTTCCTCTGCACCTCGATGAACATGGACGTTGCACAGGGCTGGCGTACTGGTAGTCAGCAATAGAAGCAGGAATATGTTTGAACGTTGGAACATTTGGGATTCGCCATACCTCCGCCGTGCCGGAGCGCAGTTTTCTCTCGACGTCCTGATACAGGCCCACCAGCAGAGCCTTTTCATCCTGGTGAAGCTTCGCCGCATGCTTGCGCGCAGGTAAGAAGAAATCTGGAAGACGTCTCAATATTGGGAACATGTTGAGCAGATGCGCGGTCTATATTGCTGTTAGTTATCGATGGTTGGAATTCTAACTTGGGCGTACGTAATGCCACTTACCTGGGTGCCAGAAACTCTGGAAAACTCTTGAAGGTGCTAAGTGACGAGCCATTTCAAATCAGCAAGACCTCAAATGTATAATGTGGACCACCGTGATGACGCACGTAAAAGATCTTTGCCACCAGCGGGTGGTCATGGGTTGGTGTCCGGAATCCATATGTGATCTGAGTGGCGAAGGAGAGTGAGAATCGCTGTAGGTGGATCATGAAATCCTCTGGCTTCTCCAAAAGACCTTGGAGCAATGCCGCACTCTCTAGGTACTGGTATGACAGGTACGTTGTTTTGACGACGCTCTCGGCCAAAACTTTCCGTCCAAGCGTCCGTGCAAGCTTGAGGTGCCATGAATACTTCTATCAATGCCGAAGTCCAGTCAGCCAGTCTGCACGTTCATATCGGGCCAGGGGAGCTGTAAAGGTTCCCAGGACATCATGGGGGCTGAAGTGACTGGTTGAGATGAGGACCATACCATGAAGATCACCCGGAGACTTCCACTAAGAACGTTGTGTGCCATGTAATGGTCTGGACGGGACGAGAAGTTGCTGCCACGCTTGACAAGAAGATCCCTGATCTTCTGCTCATCCGAGACCACAATTACGGGCTGATTGGGCCCCATCATCAGCGTGTACATGGAGCCATACTCTTTGGCCCATTCTGTCATCTGTTTGTGTCCTGTCTCCAAGCTCAACTGATGGATATTACCCAGTACGGGCAGCGTTGGTGGCCCTGGAGGCAGACCCTTTGGCGGCCGGCCAAGTTGTCTGATGCGGTGCACCAGCAGGTAAAGGCCTGCACAAAGGGCTAAGGGGATAAGGAGGTTCAGTCCAGGCATCGTAACCAATACACGTGTTCCAATATGAGATGACGATAGAAGTGAGACAGTTAGGTGACTAGTAGCAGCAGATGGATAATCCATTTCGCGATACAGTCCTTTGCTATATTTCAACCACCTAGGTATCTGACCAAGTTCATTTCCAAGGTTAGGATTCTGATCACGCAAAATAAGACCGTACCTGGGCTCCGACCTCATGGCAGCCGCTGTCACCGTCGGAGCCTCGGAAAGGACAATATCTCCAGCAGCACCGAAAGCAACCTGTCTACAGTCGAATGGCCACAGCCGTCGGCATCGTACGGTCCAGACTCGCGCACAAGGGTCAGTGTCTAACTTTAGAAACTCGTCTGGTAGCCGAAAAGTCCTATGACATGAATGTACTTTGCTGGTCTGCCTGTGGTCTTCAAGTACCTAGGTACATTGCTGCTAGAGTGGTGAAATGGACCCCAATATCGACGTTGGTCGTGTGAGAGTACCACTGCAAAGCCACTTCCTTCCGGCCGTAGTGCCATATGTGGATGGTGGCTACTAATAAAGGTGCAGCGCTAAATCAGGCCGAAAGTGAGGTTGGTGAGAACGGGTGAGCGACCACAATGAGACAGGGAACCTTGGAACCTTGAAGGCTTGCAGTTGGGATCCTTGAATATTGCCTTAGCCCCAGTTTGCCCACACCTCCAACTCGCCGGGTGCGCGGCGTGGCTGCGAATGATCTGGGAATCCCACACACCTCTTCATAGACACACTAACGGTCCAGATCCCACTGGCATATTGAGTCCTTATTCGTAATATGCAACGTTGGAAGAGGAGTGGCGCTATTGATTACAAGCAGACTGCCACCCATCAACCCCTGGAGCCCTTCGAGTCCTACCGTACCTAGGTACACGGCCTTGGCAGTTCGTTCCTATACTGTACGCCACGTTGGCATCCTTGCGCTATGGGATATACTTCTATTGATGGCTAAAGATCCCCCTAGGGCCAGAGTAAGCGACTTTTGTTATAGGAGTACGTGAGTTCTAAGATTCTCTATTTACTTTATTATAAGGTTAACCTAGAACACATTCTCTTTTAAAATAATTTTATACCTTTTTTAAATTTTAATAAGTTTAAGATTTAAAATAAAAGGTTTAGTTTTAAGTCTAATTATTTAATATAAATAATTTCTTTTTTATAAATTTATAATAACTACTTTTTTTTAATAATTATTTTATTATAAAGCTATTTATTCCTTATATAAAAGTAAGTATATAGTTATTATATTACGGTATAAGCTATTTAATATTAGATTTTAAGTTATAAAATAACTTAAAATTATAATTATTTAATTAGAGCGTCTTTAAGTAGTATTATATAAATTTATCTTATTTTATACTTTAATTTTATAATATTAATACTATATTAATCTCTAATCTTTATTTATTATAAACTTTTAATAGATTATTTATAAATCCTTTACTTAGTAATAAACTATTATTAATATTATATTATTATAAAAATAAATTATCTTTTTTAAAATATTAAGTATTATATATTTATCCTTATATAAAGGCGGTATATATATTTTCTTTATATAAGGATTAGAAATAAAAACACCTTATAAAAGGGAAATAATTTAAAGTTAAAGTAACACAATAGTAGTATTAATAGTATTAATAGTAATAAATCTTACATTCCTATTTACAGGCGGAAAGACTAGATTTCATTGGTCCATAAGGTTGCATTTCTCTACAGGCAAAGTCCCTATGTACCCAATATTAGTAATTGATCCCTGAGGCCTGAGGGTAGTAGGAACTATTAAACTCTATGCTACCCTAGTCTTCTTGGCCTGCTATAAGTGCAGGCTATTAAGACCGGGTAAGGTGGATGTACAGATACATGCGGGTAAGACGATACAAGACGTTGGATGCCTGCTGCAGGTGTTGTGTGCGACCAGACTGCTGTTTGGCGACTAGTGCTGACATCCATGCAGGCTATCCACCTTACCAAGAACTTCTCTCATATCGTACTGCATTTCAGCATCCTTTGATTAGATCCTGCGGATGCTCAAATATCTCCGGAGCACAAGATCTGCTGTGCTGCGACTAGCGCTGACATTCATACAGTGAGTCCACCTTACCAAGAAGTTCTCCCATGTCGTACTGCATTGCAGTATCCTTGATCTGATCCTCTGGATGGACAAAAATCCCCGGAACACAAGATCCGCTGTGCTGATTGGCGATTTGCCCCCACGAGGGATCACTTGGACGGAGTGTGCTCCCGATGTAGGTAGGCATCGCTCCCATCGCTCAATCCTGTCTTCATCGCCGCCCTGAATCAACACCAACCGGCAATAGAAGGCTACTTTCAGCCGCACCGCACGACATCGGCGGTGGGAGAGAATTAGTCGCGCCCAGTTGGGGAAGCCGGGCAAGCACTCTAACAATACCACCCAGAGCCCGTGGGCGCCAAATGCTGGCCATTCCTGGGGATCCTCTGCCCGACCATGACACCCTCTACCATCGATGCTAGTCAGTGGCTGCATATGGCCGCGGCCAGAGTCCATTCGGGTCAACTGCGGCGGCGTGTGGTTGGATACAAAGGTGCTGGAGCAGACGAGTTGCGTCAGGACTGAGGCATTCACACAATGGTCACGAGTAGACTAAGTAGTTTAGAAGCCGTTCTATCCCATCAGGCTGGACTTTGAAGCAGTTGTGCCCCCTCTGTTGACTCTCGCCGGCTCTCATCCCTTTTCGTTGGTTTTTCGAACATCGTTCACTGGCACGAGATGGCTGCTCCAATCGATCCCTCGATTCTTACCCCCGAGTACCTGGCGGCTGATGAGGGGCCCGAAGTACTGAGAACAATCACCGCCATGGCTGCCATCTCAACTCTCTTCTTCGGCCTCCGCATTGTGGTTCGGCTTCGGCGCTCCGGTTTTGGCATAGGCGCCGACGACTGGTTCTTATTTGCTGCAGTTGTACGTACGCCCCAGTGTGTCCTATCTCGAGCGACCAAAGCCGCTGACGCAAACATTCTTCTTGTCTTCAGTGCTTCAACTGGGCCCTTTACGGCTTCGGCACCCACCTGATCGTACTCCATGGTGGTCTCGGGAGGCACTTGCCTGTCGTTCTGATGGAGGATCCGCACATGTTTGAGAGCACACTACTCGTGAGAAAACCCCTGTGTTTGGAGCTCTTGCTTGCCCTTTCTTTTGTTTGTGGGGTGATTGAATCGCTCTGGACTCGTGCTGAACATGGCATGTCCACAGGGCCTCTACATAGGCGGGTTCGTCTATCCGTCCGTGATTGCATGCATCAAGGCCAGTGTTCTTTGCATGTACTTCCGCATATTCCCGACCAAATTCATCAAATGGGGCTTGATCGGTCTGGGAGGCTTCACGGCAGCCTGGTGGCTCACCGTCGTTCTGGTGACTATTTTCCAGTGCACGCCCATCCACGCTGCCTGGGAGCTCGCTCTCCAGCCCGCGGTCAATCCCAACTCCAAGTGCATCAACAACAACGGCTTCTTCATTGGAAACGCCGTGCCAAATATCGTCACCGACCTGTGCATTATGGTGCTTCCCCTGCACGAGGTGTACAAGCTGCATATTAGTAGATCGCAAAAGATCGCCCTGAGCGGCGTTTTCATGCTGGGTGCCCTGGTTATAGTGGCCAGCATCATCAAGCTGAACGTGACTGTTCAGCTGTTCAGTGAGGCTCACGCTGACTACACGTGTAAGTCCCTTCCTGAGGCTTTGCGGGTGTCCTTTGGCTACCCCTTGCGGAGAAGGTCTTCCCTAGACTCGGTCTCTGTGATGGTTGTCGGTGACAAAGCTAATGTTATATGTCTAGACCGCCTTAAAGACTTCATCATCTGGACTATGGTCGAGACGGGAGTGGGCATCATCTCTGCCTCACTGCCGCCGCTGCGGCCGCTCCTCACTGCAACTCTGCGCACTGTTGGACTTTCCCGCGACTCCTCCAAAAACCCGAGTGGCAAGTCAGACCGTATGACGATTGGTGGTGGTGGGAGTGGCAAGAAGTCGTATAAGAGTACCGGCAGTACCGAGACCAGCACTCTCGTTGCTGTCACCAGGACCGACGATACTGAGATGGCTCGGGGCCCTTTCAAGCAGATTCACGATCAGCACGACTACGAGCTCAGCCCTTCACCCAACCAGTGGCCAAGGGTGTATCGCTCTGGAATAAATACTGCGGTTGTTGACCGGGAGCACGCTACTATTAATGGGTATAGCCTTCCTCTGGACTCCGTCGGGGCTGTCCCCGCGCCGGTAAGGTAGTCGAGGTAATTCGGTTTGTTGTCATTTACTCTCCGTGGCAGGAACTGTGGGCTTCTCATGTTTTGGCTTCCACCCTGTTCGCCCAGTCGTGTATAAATAGATGTGTTAAAAATACCTGGTTATTGTGTCCATAATAGCTTTTGAACGCTCGCCGCCGCGGCGGAAATCACTCGCATTGCCTTACAAGGTTTGCAACGACCTGGCATCCCCAGGAATCCAGCACGATGAAGGTCACATCATGCAGCCATTCCATCACAAATGAAAATTTTCAACTCAAATATATGCGATTTCATGTACTTCCTTCACGAGGCTGAGGCAATGCGCTCACAAACATTTGGTGTTCAAAGTTGTCTTTGAACCGTTATTGGCATCGTGTTCCTTTTTAACGCGCTCTTAGGCGTTCACTGCTGCCCAGGCGCATGAAGATGCTAACCTGGGCACATACAATTGGTATGTATGGAGATTAGAAGCAAAGCTACCTTAATTCGACAACAACCTGAATAATTCAAGATGTGTTGAATGGTCTTTATCCATGAACACATTGGCATGCTGCTGTATGCGATACCTCAGGGTTAGGGTACATTTTACCAACGTGTGCCCCGCAGTTGAACCTGCAGTGCCAGCCCAACCTGGCGGTTCACTCGTCATTGCAGGCTCCATGAAAACTGTTCTATGGTTGTAACCAAGGCAAAGCTAAAGATCGGCAACCCATACAATCACTAGATGAACTGAGGTGACATCGGAGATGCTGACACCCACGGTACTTCGAGTTGTCCGTCCGTTCTTTGCGGTTGGTGGCGCACCTGCAGTGTCGCTCACACAAAACGTGCCCCAAGGCGTAGACGCCAACATTCTCCTGCTTGCATCCGGAGATGTCCGAGACATACTGTTCACAGCACACCATGAGAAGGGACTTCGTGAGTTCTATGCTGCACTTTTCAGTCACCCATGGCACGAGCTGACTGCGCCACAGCGACCAGGAACCTGGACATCACGTCGTGCGATGTTGAGGAGGCCATAATCGGTATGTTCATACAAGACCTTCTGCTGATATTCGCGCGATTACTGACTGATCTAAGCTCGAAATGCGCTGTTCCTCAGTTTGCTGTTCGCTCAGCGTGAGCGAGTGAAGCCCCAGCTACTTTGGAATGTATACTATCACCTTCTTCTAGACGAAGAGTCGGCTGAAGTTCTCAAAGCACATCTTGCCGCCTTGCTGACTGCCTCTGTCTCGCTCAAAGATTGGAGGGAGAGCGATTATGGAGGCAGATTCCACTTTGGAAACGCATCGACCCTCTCTTCTGTTCGCTGTATCTGGCATAAGTACGCAGAGTGTCTCGAAAATAGGGGCCAGGATCAGTACAGAGCCGATTTCGAGGCTGCTTTCCAGCACTCGAAGAGCCACAGAGATGAGATCTTTGGAAGCGAGGAGATCATTTCAGGGAGTATGCGGGCGGCTTCGCCTCTTGGAATCGAGGTCAACGAAGCGATGAGAGCTTCTTTAAATTCGTGGTGGGAAAAGGGAACGACAGGCCGAGTGTCCGCGGACACGAATATCCCAAATCCTCTCTTCGCAGCGACTTTGTCAGAGCATTTTGTCCTTTCCCCCCTCTCAAACCCGATTCTGGGCTACCACCTAGCAACGGCGAGTGTGCAACTCAAAGAGACTGCAGGGGACCAATCTGACGACGAGCACAACAATCTTTCTGAACTCGCCTTTGCTGCAGCTGCGCAGGAGCAGTTCGCGGAATGGTCTCAGGCATTCTTCGAGATGTCACAGAGACACCTGACTTTGCGGTTCATCGCAGCAGATGGTCTGTCAACGTGTATTACCCTCCAGCACTATCTCGAAACGGGCCAACTGTCAGCGGGCGTTTATCGACGCCAGCTTGCTATGGATCACCTTGAACTCGATCTTGATGAAGATGGACCGCATGCAGTGGCTCCGAAGCAATTCGATATCATTGATACATCTGATCTAGCAGAATCCTTGGGAGCGTTGAATATCTTGATTGCTGGTGCACCGCTATTGAAGCCAGCTCCGTGGGCTACGCTATACACCGAGGCCAACCAGGGTGGCACAGAGGGCGAAAAGGCGAAATTTGATGAGATTTTCTGCGGGCAAACCAGAACCATCGCAACTCTCCTTGGTATCAGCCCTGTGGAGTATTGGACCAACGCGACTGCAATCTCGAATGTGGACGAATACAGACTGGGTGTCTCTGCGGTCAAGTCGAAATCCGACCGTCAAAATGTCCACTGGCGCTTTGCTTGGAAGTCCCTCGAGAACCTGTCTCATCCAAACAGCCAATTGCCGCGGCTCAGAGTGAAGGAAGACACCGTTGCAGCCCTCATACAAAAGATCCACCGAGCCATGTTTGCTGACGAGGATATTTCTGGTTCCGTGAGCCTCCCAGCCAGCCAACAGAGCAGCAGGCTCCAACACGATACCTACCCCTATCGCCACCCGGGGGCTTTCGTTGCTTTCATTCGAAGGCTTCTAGAACGTGTTGATACAGATGAGAAAGAGATTTTCCAGAATGCCCTCGCTGAGATCACGCAAGACTCGAGTCTGAAGTCTGGCTCGAAATACTCAGAGGCGATTTCTTTGGAAATGTCAAGGCAGGGCTTGCTTACATTGCCAGAAGCTGGCCAAAATGTGTCCCAAGTATCTGATGGGACTTTGTTCACCAGTTGGTCTCACGTTCCTGATTCTGTTGCCGTTACGATGTTGATTCCTGCGGAAATTTGGAAGAAGCTTTCCCAGGAAGCCCTCGTGAACAAGCTCGCCTTTGTCGTCGAGGGAAGTTTGAGGCTGGTCCAAGGGGATGAAACCATCTGGCACCAAGTCTTTCCCGATGTCCAGGTCACTTTTGGCACAGTCTCATCTAGGGGCGATCGACAGAACAAAGATTTTGTCCTGGCCGTGGACGAGGACCTTTCGTCTTGGTCTGGGGGCTCTGATCTGGTTGCCTCATTCTTAGTGCCCTCAAACGCTCTCCAGGTGGACCCGAGTAGCACCAAAGTCTCTCTTTGTCTGCAAAATGGGGTTTCAGAAGCCTTATTATTCAACAAGCTCCAATTTGGAGACACTACGACGGGTGACACGATGAATATCTACGAGACGGATCTGAATGACAATAGTCACGTCTACATCACAAGGCATCGGCCAGGCCTGGACGAGGTTTCACTGTACAGAAATTCTGCGACCGTAGCCGCGCCTGCAATTTCACAGGATTGCATGACTTCCTTTACCGCAGATCTTGACGAATCTGGCAGCATCATCACTATCACAGGCCGCCTGGAAATATCAGCGCCGGATGGAAAGAGGTTACTCTCTGAAAAGGCAGTTGTCGATGTCCGGAAGATCTCGCCTTTCATGTTCGAAATAGTCCTCGGGGAAAGGGAAGCGGTCTATCAGTTGTGCTTCCCAGTTCCGGTAGTCAAGGATGGAAGCACGATGAGAGTCGCAAGAACATCCGCCTATGTTGAGGTTGTAGCACCCTTGGCCGATCCAGCGACTTCTCAAACTCTAGATGACTTCATTTTTCCAAGTGTTTTGGCAGACTCGGACCTCACTCCGCGGCTAGACCAGACAATCCCAGTACCCCTCAACATTCCGCACGTCAACCTCCACAACTTACCCGTACTCGACGTCACCGACAAGTCCCGTGTGGGCTTCCTTACGACCTTGACATCCTTCACGTTTTCGGCCCGAGAACGAAAACTCCGTGAAGAAGCGGACAGCACCGGCCTGGCGACGTCTGCACGAATGAACTTCAAAGAATCCATCTTTACCATGTTCATGCTCGCATCTGGGCTCCAGGGCGGGCAGACAGGACTGTTCGCGATCCACCATCCAGAAAAAGGAGGCGTCCACATGCTGATTTTCGTCTCTGCGTTCCGTATGGACGGCGCAAATGCCACCGTGGTTCTCGACGCGGCAGTCATCCCGTTCACGGTGGAGCTCATCAAGAGTGGGAAGCTCGAGTCCTTTCTGCTCATCCTACGGGAGCTGGACGCCTGCACAATTACCGTCAACGACGAGGAGCTCGTCCTCTGGAAGAAGGTGCTGCCGGCCCTGGCTGAGCGCTGCAGAGATTGGACCCACACGCCCGAGTGTGAGTATGCCAGGCCCGGCGCGACCGTCCCCCTCAGCACCGAGATGGGGAAGCAGGTGCTGTGCAGCTGCGGCACGGGGAAGCTGCCCGAAAACTTCCTCGGTCTTCCTGAGTGGGATGTTGCCTCACAGTTTGCGACCCGCATAGCGATCAGTCCGACATATGCTGTCCCGTTTGTCGAGGATATTGTTGACGACAGTGTGGTGGGGGCCTCGTCCGGTTCCGGGATGAGCGTGCAGGGCGACGAGACCCTTCGGTGTAGGAACTGTGGGACTGTGGAGGCCAAGGATGGTGGCCCGCTCAAGAAGTGCATGCGTTGCCTGAAGGTGAGGTACTGTTCTGCTGAGTGCCAGAAGAAGGATTGGAAGAAGCATAGGATGGAGTGCGGTGAGGGACGAGCCATGTGAGTGGAGTTGATGGTGTCAACTGGTCGCCATCAAGTTGGAATACATCGGTACCAGTGGACTGGCATCTGTCCGTACCTACCTACCTAGGTATGTAGTATCACCGCTTACAATTCTGAGTGGCACCGCTTGCCGATGTGGTCACTTGCAGTGTGCAAGTGTTTTGCGGGTCATGGGCCTCATCCCTTTGTACTGCCATAACGCTATGACATTCTCACTAGGGAGGATGATGGTTCCCAAATCCAGCTGCTGGACGTGGCGTACCTTTAGGGAAGACATGCAATGAGCTGGCCCAAGGTGACCATCGTTTGCTATTGTTGGTTCGTAGTCCACACTCGTACGCGGATTGCGGTACCAAGCGAATGCGACAATCATCACGGATGACCACTCCGACTCCCGGACCACAGTCCCCGCCGTCGATCCACCAACTACCTCGAGATTCGGACAGGTTGTACAATTGTCCCACTTACATATAGACCACTTTGGGGATGGAAAGGCATGGTCGGCTGGCGCAATGGTAGCGTGTATCACTCCTACTAAAGAAGCGATGATGAGGTTTTGGGTTCGAGTCCCAAGTCGATTGACCATAACATTTTTGCTTTTTGTTTGTCTTGACTCAGAATCTGCTACGTGTGCTCCATGGACGAGGGAGAGGAGCTAGAAATCGCGCTTTTGACAAAAATTAACCGGTTAGCGGCGGTCCTGCCGGCCGTGTGCGGAGTCGGTCCGGATCGCTGGGCCAATGGCTGTGGCTCGCCGGGTCTATGGGCTGCCATACTTCACACCACCACTTGAGTGGTTGGATGTGTAACGGAAGAGTGGGTGAGGCAACGTTGTCAACAGGTTGTATCACCGGCCACGCATACAGACACGTTCCAGAACGCAAGTGGTCCGGGGAAATGACAGATGGCTGGATCCGGGGAAGTGGTCACGCTCAGTCCATTCTGGGTAAGCTGTCTCTTGTTACGCCACGCTGTCACCCAATCGACATCGTTGCTTCCTCCACTCATGAACGACTCAGTTAAATCGTTCCAATCTGACACTGCATGGGGCACGTGCTAACCACCCTTCAAAAGCACATCAATAAGGCTAGTGCCCATCCAGTTGGGAATGATTAAGTAGGGGCTTGCCCCTGACTCTCGGTTGTCGGAAGCGCAGCTGACCTTCCTGCAGGCATGTAATCCACGAGGCCCCGGCGGACGCAACAGATGAGACAGCTGTTAATTAAGTCAGCCGAGGCAATTCATCCTTTTTTTTCGGTCCCTCATTGGTAACGGAAGATTTCCGTCGTCCGCAGGTCTGCTCTCGGGGGACGGCTTACACTCCCTCAAGCAAGGAGGTCAACGAATGGCAGGAGGACATCTGGAGCGCAGCCACTATCCAAAGCCCCAACAGTCATTGATCGTTGTCATGCGGCACAGCAGCGATGGACTCCAATCGTGAGGGCTTCTCGTTGCTACTAGGCACTTTGAAGACGGATGTCGTTTTCTTTGCCACGGTGGCTTATGACAGTGATGTGAGTGAATTTCAATCTTCAGATCCCGTGGAAGCGTTGTCAAGCAAGGGGTCGGTCTTTATTCACAGAACGAGGGTGGATTTCCGATATCTTATATCTTCTTCCGATGACCACTTCAATGTCGTCTGTCACGTTGTCGCTTATATCAGCGCGGAGGAAGAAACAGTCAAGCCACAGTGCGCAACTGAACTACCTAGGTACGGGACTCGGCTGTGCCCGCTCTTCGGATTCAAGGCGGCCATGGCTAGGGTAACACAAAGTAACAATAAATCAGATGTGGCGTAACTACTGTTTCTTATTCGTCCAAACCGGAAAAACTTCAAACCATGACTATCCCCGTTAGGTCACCGTCTATTGGTGGTGAAAGGGTCGTGACGACGTCAGTCACCCGCAACCTAACCCAAGGATCTCATCCTGTGTCATTCTGCCCGACCTCATGGCAAGAGTCTTCTGATACTTGGCGGTGGGATTTAAAGACACTTCCTGAGTCGATCAAGGGAGGAAAGATGCCGCGCACTGTTCATGTGGTGGTCTTGGGGTTGTATGTGGGTGATGCAACCCACGAGCATGTGGTGAATTCCGTAGGCGGACTATTCAGAGGTGACCAGGGTGAAGAGACAAACGCTGAAGCAAAGTTGATATAAAGCATCTAGTTCACAATCGGCAGAAAATGCATCGTGGACCTTTTGTGTACACCATTGTTCTCTGATCCAGTCTCGACCACCCCACGGTTTTAGCAAGGGGACGAATCCAAGATGAAGTCTGTCATCAATCTATTCGCAGTCCTTCTGCTTTCCATCGTGTCTCCTGTTTTTGCTAGGCCCAGTCATGCAATTGATCAACGTCAAAATACCGACAGACTGGTTTTCTGTCACTTCATGGTATGCTTCCCCAACATAAACCTCAGGCTTGGTGTCATCAAGGCCCGGGCCTCAGAGACAATTTCAGGTCTCATCCAAGATTAACGAGATGACAGATTGGTATCGTCTCCGACCGCACTGGTCCAGCGGACTATGACTCCGATATGCAGCGGGCGAAAGAGCTCGGCATCGATGCCTTCGCCCTCAACATCGGCGTTGACCCGTACACTGACCAACAGCTGGGCTTCGCCTACCAGTCTGCCGCCAACAACGACATGAAGGTCTTCATCTCATTCGACTTCAACTGGTACCACACAAACCAAGGGACCCAGGTTGGGCAGAAGATTGCGCAGTATGCCACCACCTATCCCAAGTCTCAGCTCTACGTCGACGGCAAGATCTTCGCTTCCAGCTTTGCTGGCGATGGAGTTGATGTGAACGCGATCCGCACTGCTGCAGGTGCACCGATATTCTGGGCCCCCAACTTTCACCCAGAACAAGGGACGAACTTCTCCACTATCGACGGTGCACTGAATTGGATGGTGTGTTTTCTCATGCTGCCCACCAGCCCAGTGAATGATCCGGCACGCTGACTCACTGTAACCAGGCTTGGCCAAACAACGGTAACAACAAGGCACCTACACCTGACCGCAATGTCACCGTCGAGGAAGGTGATGAAGCATACATCAAAGCGCTTGCTGGCAAGCCATACATTGCTCGTGAGTCACTCCCAAGCAATATGAAATTCCCGGCACTAATGCAGTCACAGCTGTTTCTCCGTGGTTCAGCACCCATTTCGGGCCGGTAAGCCAATGCATTCTCAATTCACACTCCTCTCAGCATGACCTCAGGCTCTTTCTTCTCTTCACAGTCGGCACCTCAAACTAATACTGGTCCTGTACTCTAGGAGGTTCCGTACAGTAAGAACTGGGTGTTCCCCGGAGATTTGCTTTGGTACGACCGATGGAATGAGATCTTGAGCCTTGGTCCACGTTTCATCGAGATTGTTACTTGGAACGATTATGGAGAGAGTCACTACATTGGCCCACTATCCTCAAAGCACACAGATGACGGGAACTCGAAGTGGACCAATGACATGTGAGTAAAGAATATCCTGTGTTCTGTGGCTATAGAAGGCTGACAACTTCGCAATCTAGGCCTCATGGAGGCTGGATGGACATGGCCAAGCCTTTCATCTCGGCTTACAAGGACCAAGCGACGTCCGCTGACTCCTACGTCGAATCTGATCAACTCATTTATTGGTACCGGCCAACACTGCGAGATATCAACTGCGATGCCACGGACACCACAATGGTCCCGGCGGACAACAGCTCAGGAAACTACTTCATGGGCCGTCCTAATGGCTATGAGACTCTCGCTGACGCCGTCTTCGTCGTGTCGATGTTAAAGACAGCAGGCACTGTGACAGTCAAGTCCGGCAACAATGTCCAGTCTTTCAGTGCGCCGGCTGGAATCTCAGCCTACCAATTGGACATGCAAATTGGCAAGCAGCAGTTCTCTCTGGAGCGTAACGGCCAAACTGTCATGAGCTCTGTCAGCCTGAAGGACGTTTCCGACGTCTGCCCGTGTGGCATCTACAACTTCAACCCGTATGTTGGGACTGTGCCAGACGAGGCCTCTGATCCGCTCGGCCCTGATGGCCTGGCATCTTTGACGGCTGGTCTGCATGTCACCACTTGCAAAGCCACCCCATCCCTGGGAGTGCCGACCACAACTGCAACATCAACCACAGTGACAACAACGTCGTCGACTCCAACTACCAATACGACGTCATCCAGCACATCCACTCCAACAACAACAACTTCAACAAGCTCGACGTCGAGCCCAACCACAACACCGCCGCCAACGACCACCTCGACCACTAGCGTCACCACAACTTCCTCGTCCACCTCGAGCTCCACGACCTCTGCGGTTCCAAGCCCAGTATGCAACGCAGGCACTGGACCAGGGAACTATGTCGGTCTCTGCAGCTTCTGTTGTAACTTTGGTTACTGCCCACCTGGACCATGTACCTGCACCTCCTACGGGGCCCAGGTGAACCCACCGCCGGTGACGGGCACGGTTGGGAAGCCGCTGCCATGGGAGGACGACAGCTATCTGGGATTATGCAGCTACGCGTGTAATCACGGTTATTGCCCACCAACGGCTTGTCAAGTGGTACAGTAGTCCAGCTGATGTGGCATTTGTTGGCGCTGGAGCTCCAGGTCTTTATTTGGAGGGGGGGGTTGAGCATTTCACAAGGGCTGTGTTGTCATTAACTGCATGTTCTGCATACCTAGGTATCGAGGGCGGTGATTTTAATCTGTCCCTCGGAAACTAGAAGTTTTTCATACAAGACAGAAATCATCAAACGATTCTGCATCCGTCATACCGTCAAGTCCTTCCCCCGACATAAATCCGTGTAGAAAGCTGCGCTCAAAAATGATAAGTGATAAGGTCAAGGCATGTAGGTCAAGGGCGACTCACCATTCACCAACCAGATTATAATCAGTATTGTTGCCCGCACTTGGATTGGAGTCATTGGTTTCACCCGTCTCTCGAAGTGCAAATAATACCTCCCCGCCGAGCAGCACGGCAACCGTATCGCCGGCTCGAGCTGTTGCATCGACGATACCAAACCGCCCCTGCTGTGAAATAAAAAAGGCTTTGCCATATATGGCCCTGTGCAGGGCATCATCGAATGACTTGGCCAGCTTACGGCCAGAGCTAGTCAGCGAGGAAGGTTTTGTGCAAGACGTCCACCAGGCATTCCACATCTCTTGCACGGTGCGTGGGTCCAGAATGCTTGGCGTTGAGCCAGCAGGGCCCTTTTCTCGGTTTCGTAAGGATGAAAGTGTTTCTGAGAATGCTGCCGGAACGTCAGGCATTTGATAATCAGAAAATTCTGAATCTCTCTTTGCTGCGGCAAGTCGCCAAAGCCTTTCTATGGTTGCTTGTCGTGCTTGCCTGTTCTTGAAGTCGTTGTACTTGATCCTTTTCGATATCAAGTCGATGCGGTCCAGAGCTCTTCCCTTAACTCTAAGAGTGTCACCGTGTATTACTGCGTGGGCAGTGGTATTTCCAGCAGCTGAGTATTGATTTCTTTGCATCAGGTAGTGAGATCCGCGTCGTACGGTCCAGTCTGGGCACCAAGACGGCATACTGCTGTGCGACTGTGGATTGCCCGAGTTATGATGAGAAAGGATCTCAAGAGTCCCCGTATTATCAATTATGGCTCTCACCACATCCTTGTAAAGCTCCTCGACTGAGCGGCTGTAATTTGGCTGTAGCCTTGGGTCTTCAGCAATAAGACGGAAGAGGCTGTACACCTTATCTTTGGGATCTGAGGCCTGGGAGCCTCGGGACCTGTACAGAATCTCCAATGGGGATGGTTTCGCTTGCGGACTTGAGCTTTGGTATTGTTTTCGAATAGACAACAGGTGGTTGATTCCAGTGAGAGCCACATTCCTCACCGCCTCTTGCCAGTGGTGCGGAATGCTCGCGCTGTACCTGTAATCCATCAGGTAATCCATTGCGTGGCCAAAGTTTTCTCCGTCAAGAGTGGCTAAACCGCATACGAAGATGACTCGCGGTGCAACAGCATACTCTTGAATTATCCAGGCTCTGCTCCACCATGGCCTCTGCATTAACCTTTCGAGCGCAGTCCAATGCAATGACTTGTGGTTGTCCTCCAGCAGCTGGTTGATCTGACTATGTCTCTCGGTTGCCACCACTGACAAACCCGACAAATGAGTGAGAAGTTGCAATGCTTTATCGCTTTCTTGTGTAGATTCTCCTAGAAACACCACGACATTTTTTGATCCCTCGTAGATGGCCCACATTCTCTGAACGTAGGTATTAACCTCGGCGCCATCCGCCTGGTTGATACAGAGCGCATCGATCCACAAAAGGCGGCCGTCATGAGGCAACCGAAGATGGCGCAAAGAGCAAGCCAGGTTTTGTGTCACTTGCACTGGTCGGCCATCCAAGAATATGGTGGTCTTTGCGTTTAGGTCACCCCACGTGTATGACAAGGCCTCGTAGTTGCCGCGCATGACCCCCAAATGTGAGCTGACGAGTTCACATCTCAGAGGGTCAGTCCTCTGTCCGGGTTCCAATTTGACGCATCGGACGGCCCAGGTATCTTGTTCTGGGTCTACTATGTCTCCGGATGCGACTGTTAAATCCTTGAGCGGAGTGTAGATACACCCAAGCTCATTATCGGCGGGTGGCACGAAAACGTTCATGGTGGATAAGCCGTGAATGCCATGTGTCCATGGTCCGAGGGACTTTGTGTGAATGGGACGAATGATGAAATTTTCGCGATTTTAGGGTAGTCCTCGTCTGTCGATGGACAGGGCTGACCAGCACCAGATGTCTCGATGGGGTTCAATGTCGGATGCCCAGAGCAAAGGGCCTCAGTTGGCTGGCCACTGCTGACTCAGGCGGGGTTATTTTCCCGTGGGCCTCCACTCTTCCGGCGAGACTTCTATGCAACATGAGCCTTGCCTTTCTGGGGCAGGGTCTCAGGGTACTCGGAAATTTAGGTTCGGTACTTGTTGGACGGTCTCAACGTGTGGTCTCGCCGACAACGAATGCTGCCAAGACCAGCAAGTTGCTAACGTTACCTGGGTACTTGGAGTCCGTCTTCCATAGCTGCGTATGAATTGAATTCTCCACTCTTCCCCCACCTGTCCTTCACAAACAGTGCCGTTGTTCACGCATAGCAATGAAGGTGATGGCGTTGATTCTGACCATGAGTAAATTGACCCTGGTTTGCGGTTCTGTTTGTCAATCGGAAGTCCTCTACTCGAAATAGACCTAGGTACACTACTACATAGACCAGGACATCACCCAAGAGTGCCTTTTTCAGCAGCAAAGTTAAGAACAGGCGTGTAACTAGGTCTTTGAATTCAACCAAAATTTTACCACATCTCATGTTTGCTCTGTTTTTCGTGATATCTGTGTAATGTTATGTGTCATTTATGCTAGATGCTTCCTGTGCTGCTTCCGCAAGAACCAAATGCAAGGCATGAATGGCGCTGATTGGTGTAAGTCGTCCGATTGCAAGAGGAAATTGCCAACAAACCAAGCCTTTATTATCGTCACATAGTTTTTGTAGGTAGACAATTGATAGTTGAGTCAACTTCCCACGTCATGACCATTTTCTCCAGACCTATATAACCATTGTATACGAGAGAATTGATCTTACGTTCTTGTTTCTTCCACAAGTGTCGCTTTCGAAACCCTGAGTGTCAAGATACAACACAAAGTAGCTCCGAGCCAACTCGATTTTCCAGATAGGCCGACATGAAGTCTTTCACGACTTGCCCACCGGGTTGCAAAGGGCCTTTTGCAGATCTCACGGCCTCCAGACCAAGATACTATCCTGCTTCAAGTGGTGAAGCCCGGGACGAGCGACGATTTCAAACAGTCCTGACACGTCTCGGTAGTGGAATCAAAGAAAAGTCGGCGTCGGACCAACACCAGTCCCCTTGCAATCGCATCCAACAATTAGACTGCCAGCCATTCATACCACGAGATCGTGGAGGGGGGGTTTCAGACCCGCTTCGCACAATCACTCAAGCGCCAACCATATCGTCCAGGTATCCTTATGGGGCTCTCTCCACAGATCCAACCACAGAGCACAGGTCCAGACAGTCTACACGAGCGGGGCTTGCGGGTGGAACCTCGTACGGCCCGATCGGTCCATCCTCAGGACCATATAAGCAGAGAGTGTCGTCTGCCTAGGATGAGACAGGAACCATGGATCAGACGGAGTGGTTCTCGCATGAGTCCCCTTCTCGTCACATAGGCTGATGCTAGTGTGTTGGTATTTTGGTGGATATCCCGCTAAGCAGAACAAGTGAAAGCTTTTAGCTGCACATCAATGGGTGGGATGCTGCGTGGACAATCGCTGCTAGAGAAGAGTCCAAGGAGCCAAAGAGTTGAAAAGAAGTTTCCCAACATCACAAGAATGCCTAAGTAGATGATTTCGAAGTCGACTGTTGTAAAGTGGAAGCACAAATCCCGCTTGCTTGAGTGCATTAATGAGGCCGGGAAATGTATGCGACAACGCGTAATGAGCTTGAAAACTGTCTCGTTGCTTAAACAGAATGCATCCATAGGAACCGAAAAGCAATTATTCGTGTTGAGAACTATTGGAAATATGATCGTATAACACATTAATATTAAGTACAAGCGGCCATCCCTCTATATTGTCAGGTCAGGTCAACCACCTCAGAGATGGAGCCCTTCAAAGACAATATCCGGTCCCAAAAAAGTATTCTCCAACATAAATGTTACTGGAATCATTCGCAGTTGTATTTTTTGCAGGAAAAGCTCTGGGCCAGATTATCCCAGGCATCCTCTGGATTGGCGAGATCGTAGTAGCTGCCAACAACGTTAAGCGTGTCATTGGCGTTGCCTTGTCCAGGATTGCAGTCCGTGTTCCTAGAACCTGACTTCAGTACGCTTATACAGATGTTTATTTGAGTCGAGCCGTTGGGGGTTGGTCTATGAACTCACGGGTAGACCGTACACCAGTTGCCCTCATTGGCAGCGAGGGAGCTAACTCCGCCTGGTTGGGCAAAGGGAAATTGGGCTGCGATCGAGACTGTTGGGACAGATGTTAGACACCAGGTCAAATTGTGCAGATGTACTGGCGCCGAGTTTAGACCTACCGCATGTGTCCCAGGAAACATTGTACTGGTGTGACGTTCCAGCGAAGTTCGCATCAGACCAAGCCGTAAGCCCAGGCGCGCACTCTGAAGCTCGTCTGCAGGCCAGCGCCGTCACAAGACACGGGATGTACGTTGTCGCGAGCACACTGAGGAAGGAGCTTCGTAGCATGATGGGCAGTGCTGCTATGCTGGGGGGTAGGTGGGGAGGCTTCGCGCGATAGCTGCTTCTGTGAGTTGTGCTTGGGTGACGGACTCGCCCCAAGACAGAGGAGAAATTTTATTGAACAAATCCAAATATACTGAGAACCGTGTAGAGAAGACAGAAACCAATGGCCAGGCAACTTGAATTCTCGGAAGGACGGTTGCCAAAATAGTGGCCCACCAGAGCTTAATATGCTGGGCGGGATCCTCACCATGGCCACGCCAACATCATCCAACGACATCGAGTCAGTCACCACGCCTACCAGCAGCGCATAATGCATGGTACACTTGTAGAACCTATTGCAGTTGGACGCACCAGAGGCACATTGGAGGCGATGTGATTGTGATAGCCCCTTGAACCCATCATGCAGGGTCTTGACCGTGATTGGTCGCTGGCCAAAAAGGGGCAGCTCGCCGGGCGGCTAACCACCATGTCAGATCCAATGGCTTGAGCCAACGGGCCCGCCCCGGACTCCCGACTGCGTGCTTAGAACGGTAGATCATGGAGAGACACACACAGAAACCCCTGCAGTTGATAGCCCAACAAGCCCGACTAGGCCAGGACCCATCTCGTGTGATGGGCGTGCGGCCTAGGACGGCTTTAGCTGCAAAACATCCTGGGTAGAACACCTGAGGAGGCCAGCTGGTCGTTTATCGAGGAGAAAGTATCGATGGATACTGACACCCTAAAGTTCCGGTCTCCTTGTCCGGTCGACCAGCAAGGTACCACATGTGATTCACTCTGAACATGCGGGCCAATGTGCACCTCAACACAGCGTTTGCCTGAGAATGATAAGCCTCCGGACCATGTAGCTGACATTTGGATCTATCAGATATGTTTGGATGGAAGTGAATTGTCCATTATTCCTGAGGATGAGACACAAGCTTGGACGTGAGGCTTCTGTGGACTAAGCGTTGTCGAAAGAGCTCAGCCCAGTCGACGGACCAGTCGACGGGCAAGATGGTAAACAATCTCAAGCAAGCACTGTCAGATGAGATTGCTAAGTCTTTATTAGTTGTCACGCTCCTGAAGCCTCTGAAGGGTCAACTAGAGGCACTGACACTCGACTTCACTGGGTTCCCAAAATACGGAAATAGGCGGCCCTTCCGACCGATCACGTCCCTAGCAGGTTTCACAGCCCTAAAGGTCCTCAGACTCGGTAGGAGGAGCATCATTGTGCCTAAATTCGACGCGGTTGCTGCAGGCCAAATTGCCAGTATTACACAACAGGGGCCTGAAAAGATCGAAGAACTTCACAAGAACTTTATCGAAAACTCCAAGAGCTTTGTCGTAGAACTTCTGCCGCGCAGGTCGCTCGAACTCCTCCAGATTACTGATGTCAAGTTCAGCCTGAGCAGCCAAGCGTGCGAGCTCGCTCGGCGCAGTAAGCTTGGAGAGTTCCCCAATCTCAAGGAAGTGTTAATGCTGGGAGGCACCAGTTACCATTTTAAGGACCGCCGTTGGGCAAGAGAGGAGGGACGGTATCACAACCTGGAGCGTTTCGTCCCCGAGAAATACCAGAGCAAGGCAAGGATCTCAACAAGCTGGAGTGGAGATGGCTCCATGATGGAGGGGGTGGCCCGGCCGCTTTTCAAAGAAGCTGGTGTGCGGCTCGACAGATTCAGCATAAGCTGGCCGGCGGGAGCGAGTGAAGACAGAGAGCTGGATGAAGGCCTCATAACAGTTTTGGTTCAGCCTTGTACAGGAGGATGCGGATACACAAACTGTAAAGTCCTCGACGAATAGCACAATCGCCCTTATATAGAGTATTAGGACTAATTAAGCGTTTACCACTTTATGAAGGCGCCACATACATTTCATATGTATGGGGATTAAAAAGCGAAACCAATAAAGTCTTCATCTTTACCCCTTGCGAATTTTGGTGCTTTTTATCAGCTTCACATTGACAGCGCAAGTGATCAGGTTGGCTAGGCATTGAATAACGATCATACAGCACGTGCAGGTCTTAGCCTTGCGTAACCGCGATGCAATGTCTCTTCTTCAAATGGACAGTGTGGCCATTCAGACCTTTGGTTCTGGGTTGACGAGCTGCACATGTGAGCCGACAACTGGCTCTGCGCATCGTATCTCACAAACCAACCGGCTGTACTGCCTGGCTGCTGTGTGTCAATTAGGACGTAGCTTGATAGAGTTTACTACCTAGGTAGCACGGCAGTCTGATGCTACCGAAAAGCCTGTGGCAGTTGAGGTGTCCAAGGAGCCGGCAGCCTGGGACCAACAGACGAGATGCGGCGGCACAGCCTGGCCGAGCCGTGGGGGAGTGGACGGGCCTGACGGGCAGACGGGCAGACGGGTTGAAACGTGACAGCTACCAACGGCACGCTAATGACTCCCGGATGCAGCTACATTACGGTACCAGCCTGTCAGATCAGATGCACATATGCCATGCATATCCAAGTTAGCCGGGCCAGTTGTAACTTGAGATACATTCCTGGGATCAGCTGGTCGGATACTGTGACGAATGGCTTGTTTGCCTCTTCGGGCTATCATTGAATCGAAGCAGGGACTGTGTTCGATTCATGCCTCGTGGCGATGACGAACCCCTTCTATATGCTCAAGTCGGCTAGCAGCAGGCCGTTCCCCAGCCCGGCATTTTGCCTCTCGGCAGCCATATCTCGATGGGGCATGGCCCGGTTGTCCGGCTAGGCCCGCGCTGGCTTGGGGCCAGATCATGGCCGGCATGGTAGTATGGGGCCCCGCACGTGGTTGCATCAAGTTGAATGATCAAGGGGCGGCTGGGTCGGAACTCCCGTCGGGTCCACACATGTGCAGGCTTATTATGGGCATTTGGGGTGAGCTGTCTGGGCTGTCGAGAGCCCCAACCAGCCCAACTCGGTCAAGACTGAGAGTCTTTTCCCGAGGAAGAAGGTTCCATTCGCTGTTCAATGTTTCTATTGCAGGCCAGCTGCGGGCCATATCGCCTGCCCCGGGACCACCCTAGATCAGACCATGCTTCCCCCAGGCCCCGTCGGTTAATGACTGGAGCCATTCGTCTGGGGAGATGTGGGGTATCCCCCCCAGAACAGCAGCAACATGGAGTAGAAGGGCCGAAGTTAGAAAGTCATCCTCGTCTGCCGTCTCCATATCAATTCCACCACGACCCCATTTGCCCATTTGGTCAATCTCACCCGGATCTCCTCCTCTTTTGCGTTTCAATTCTCCTTCAGACGGTGGGCTTTCGACACTCTTCCCGTCACCTTCTACCGGAGCCTGCGAAGTCGAGTCGATAGCAAGAGCATCCGGGATACACTGCTGGAGCAAGGCTGGGGCCCTGTCCGATCTGTGAGGGGTCAACGCCCGACGACTCGAGTCAAGATGCTCTCCAAAGAATTCTGGAAGGGCCGTTCTCTGCGCACCTCGGACAAGAAGAGGACAAAGGCAGCAGAACTGACTCTCAAGGAGTCCCTCTACCCAATCTGCCTCGTCACAATCCTCTTCTTCCTCTGGGGCTTCTCATATGGCCTGCTCGATACCCTGAATAAGCACTTCCAGAACACCCTCAACATCAGCAGGGCTCGTTCGTCTGGCCTCCAAGCCGCTTACTTCGGGTGCGCATTACTGCCCTTCTCCTCCTCCTTCTCCTCCCCCCACAAATTCTTGGCGCCCAGTGGCCTTCCGTGACGGTCCCCACTGACAGGACTTGACTGAACAGCGCCTACCCCTTGGCTTCTCTTGGGCACGCCGCCTGGATCCTGCGTCACTACAGCTATCGAGCTGTCTTTATCTGGGGCCTGTTCTTGTACGGTCTCGGCGCCCTGTTAGCTATCCCTGCCATCTTGAACCGCTCCTTCGCCGGCTTCTGTATCTGCATTTTCATCATTGGAAACGGCTTGGGATCGCTCGAGACAGCTGCCAACCCTTACATCACTGGTCAGTTCCATGTCGTTCTTGGCGCCCACCAATGCTGACCTGATGCTATACAGTCTGCGGTCCACCCAAGTACTCCGAGATCCGAATCAACATCTCCCAGGCCTTCAATGGCATTGGCACGGTCGTCGCCCCCGTCCTGGGGTCTTATGTCTTCTTTAACTTCGACGACACCAAGGCGCTCCAGAACGTGCAATGGGTCTACCTAGCCATCGCGGTCTTCGTCTTCATCCTGGCTTTTGTCTTCTTCATGTCGAACATCCCAGAGATCACGGACGCGGACATGGCCTTCCAGGCAGAGGAGTCTCAGGCGTCGGCAGATAGCAACAAGCCGTTCAAGAAGCAGTACCGTCTCTTCCATGCTTCTTTCACCCAGCTCTGCTATACCGGAGCCCAGGTCGCAATTGCTAGGTACGTCAAAGTTATCGACAACCAACGTGTGCATATGGCGCACGACAGCCTGCGGTGAACCCCTTCCACATGTGACACAAACATCAACTGACGCGTCAACTGGTATCACATAGCTACTTCATCAATTACGCGACCGAGTCTCGCAAAAACACCGATTCCGCCCTGGGCTCACAGCTTCTCGCCGGCGCCCAGGGCGCCTTCGCCGTGGGGCGTTTCGTTGGCGTGGGCCTGATGAACTTCGTCAAGCCCCGTATCGTCTTCGGCATCTTCCTCACGGCCTGTATCGTCTTCGTCGGGCCCTCCATCACCCAGGGCGAGAATATCGGCATCGCCATGCTCTACGTCACCCTCTTCTTCGAGTCGATCTGCTTTCCGACCATCATGGCGCTCGGTATGCGCGGGCTGGGCCGCCACACCAAGCGCGGCTCTGGCTTCATCGTGGCTGGTGTGTTTGGCGGTGCCATCGTGCCGCCGCTGACAGGTGCCGTGGCGGACATGCACGGCACTCCTGTTTCGATGGTCGTGCCTATGGCCTTCTTCATCGCTGCGTGGTCGTACGCGCTTGCGGTCAACTTCGTCCCTAGGTACCGCGATGTTGCGGATGCCTTCACCGAGACGGAGATTGGTCTGCATGGACACCATGATGGCGTTGCTGAGGACGGCAGCCTGGGAGCTGACGAGGAGAAGGCTGTTGTCTCGGACCAGAAAGAGTCATAACCACCTCCGATATTTTGCGACAAGTCTTGAAGGCTGTCTAGGGCATCATGGCACCAGTTGACGCAGGTGTTCCCATGATTGTACATGTGTTTCGGATACGATAATACGTCTTGCCAATGTCTTGACGACTTGTATGACTTATTCAAGATACCAATCATTTATATTCATGTCGACCTCCCATCATGTTTAAGTCGGGTTCCGCACCTGGGCACCTAAATCACAGTGACCATGCTACACTTGAGATATTGATTAGACTACCCTACGTAGGTCTACATTAGAATGCATTGACGTTGCATTTTATGTGGTTGTAACAGCAAAGCTCTATGATAACCATGCAATCAGTTTTACTGGAAGCAAAGGAGGAATTGAGGTGTAAAACACACCTGGGCAGCCTAGTGAGCCTCGCCGTTAGCATTGTATTGGACTGAAAGGATGCAGCCCAAGGGCAACCAGCCCGCAGACTGCCTTGCCACGGCAACTTAATGATACCACACAGGCATAGTATCGATTCTGAAAACAAACTGCTTAGCCTCCCGCATCGATCTCAACATAAATACAGTGTGGATCTTATCGAACCTCTCTGGAGGATTGGCTTTCGGATATTGCACGCCTGGAATGGGTAAACCACAGGCAAAGCAGAAGCTTTTCCATCCGAGTCGATGTTGATAAATTTATCAACGTCTAAATTTTATTTGAGCACTATTTACTGACCCCGATTCCCCTGTTACCCAACAATCAATAAAAAAGTCGAAGTCATAACTCCACGGTTTGGATTGTTAACCTCAATGTAGCTCGTGTTGAGGTGAGGGCCTTTTCAAGTCACATGTAGTTCACCTGGGCCTACCATTTCCTATACCTAGGTAGAGTCTGAAAACCAATGTGCATTTGAACCACCTGATTTGAGAGCCAACTTATGCGATCCTACAAGGTTTGATTGTTTAATTCCCTCTTTCAGATTCAATCCATCCCAGGACCATAGCAGGTATTAGAGTTTCATTATTTGACACCAACCGTGGCTTCAGGGTGGCTTTAATGGTCGTCGTGTGCTCTTTGATCCGTGTCTTTGCTCGAGACATCGACGCCGATGAGGTGCGCCACGTCGTCTTTGTATATGTATAGCGCTGTCATGGTCTTGAGTGCTTACCACCGTATGAAGGCGCCATGTATGTCCTCGGACGTATGGGGAATAGAAGCGAAACCACACATAGCGCTGTCATAGTGGATTTCATTCCCAGGTGTAGTAAGAATTATGCTTTGGTTTTTAAGCCTTGTTAATCCCTCACAATGCTAAGTACACATTATTGCAAACGTGTGGACTCATTTTCCTCTGGAAATTTCATAACCGGTGATGGTCTGATTGCCTTTTATTGAGATCGTGTAGTTCTCTATCATCATTTATTTAACATCAGGCAACGTCAGGAGTGGGTTCACGATCCTTAACCGCTTTTTATGCATGCAACTCATAATCATACCCGCATGTGACCACCGTTTCAAGAAAGATGTCTATTTGTTCCATCATATATCGCTGTGCTACCCCTCTTCTTGTGTGCTACGTGTAGCTAGACCTGGAAACAGAAAGAGCTGATCTGATCGCTCCAGGGGTGTGGTGGACTGCGCGACTGTGCTACTGCACTCTCCCTGGTATCCGGGAATCAACTCGACCTGTATCGCCCTCAAACTTTCCATCGCTGATGGTGTCACAACAGAGCCATTGCCAAACATCTCATCTGATCCATCATTGGCGTGGGAACCATGCCCTGGATTGGCGCTTTTTTGACTGGTGGCAGTGGGCGATATCGGAGGATCGTTGTAATCACCGATATCAAAATCCTCCAATACCACAGTTGGGTTGGGTGATGCGTCTGGAGCATCCGAGGAAGATGACCTGGAGCTGTAGGATGAGTCGGCCTCGTCTCCATCGTACTCGCTAGGTACTGGGGAGAGGGAGCTTTCAGATTCGTCATGCTCTGATGAGGTAACCAGAATCCTGTCTTCGGTGGCGTAATGGATATCACGCTCCTCGCGTGCTGCAACGTCTTTCCCATTTCCTCCTGGACATTTACCGTTGGCCTCGTGTTCTCCCGTGGTTCCCGATGCGGCTGCCACGGCAATTGAATGGTCATGTGTGTCGGACTAGTCGTCGCAGCACACGGGTCAGTGTAGTCCTGGGTCGTGCTCAAGTGACATCAAGTACATACTGTGCCCTCGTCTTCGGTTCCAGCTTCGGTCCGATCACTTTCAATGTTGACACTCAGCCGGGGCTCACCACGAGAGGCACGGTATGCTTCAAGCCGTGCGCGGAACCTGCGTGCCGCCTCCTGACCATCCCCGATGCCCCTGACTGAGCTGGGTAGAGTCTTCCATGGGTGCTTGAACCAACGCCGGCGCAGGTTGGAGGCACCGAACCATGCGAGAAACCGCTCGTCAGATGGGACGTTGAACTCTTGGTCCCAGGGAGGTATCTCGAGGCCGGGTCTGAGAACTAGGCAGGGGAACTTCCGGTCTCTTGCTCGGGGACCAGTTATCTGGAAGCCTGGCGCCCAATCGAGCGCAATCAGTTCGGAGTTTTCAAAATTTATTCGTTGGTAGCAAGCTGGCATGCTCTTAGCAAGAAGACTGCCCTTGAGAGTCCCATCGATTCCGATGGTTGTCCTAAGTGGCGTTTTGTGAGATCATCACCAATACTTCGATCCCAAGGGATTGATTGTGGTTAACGATAGAATAGACTTACCAGTCATCCAAAGGCAGACAAATCACCAGAAACCACACACGCTCACTGCGCCCCGGCTGTCGCTGAGCACCCTCATACACCTCACCCGGAATCGGATCGATGATTCCGTCAAACTGTGTAGACGTTCCAGCTGGTCGGAGGACACCGTGCGTCGGTCTCGGCCTGTGTGCAGCAGGCTTAGAACCGTGACCAGCCTTGCGTCTCCTTTTCCTGCCATGTCCCTTCGGCTGGTAGCCATCTGCCAGGGCCTTCTTGTAAGCCATGTTGCTCCTATTGGCTCGCTTGGCATCGCAGCCAGTCACGAGTACGCCCAGCTCCCGGACGGTGGTATCCTGGACACGCTCTATGAAGCCATGAGCCTCAGAGTAGAGGTGGCTCCTTGCCGAGGTGAATGGATGTTCCCCAAAGTTCAAGTCGTGCTCGTCGCAGCGCAGTATGTACCATTTGTTGCTCTTGCGTGGCCACTCCACGATGTAGTGCTTCTCTCGTGAGTCTTTGTCCTGGACATTCTCGAATACCTCTCGATATGTGATTGTCTTCCGGGTTAAGATCCTGCTGGATGGGAGTGGAGTTCGCGCAGGCTGTTGAGCTGGCGGCACTGACGGGCTCCGAGGCGATACTGTTTGCGTAGCTGCTGCTGTCCTGGCTGCAGGTTGTCGTGCGCAGGTAATCGATTCTGCTCCGATATCCTGGCGCGGTCCTGGCACATTAAGCTAATCATCATCAGCAACGAATTCCAGGAAAACTACATGGAATCTTTTCACAAATCTTCTCACCTGGTCTGGGTCTTCCGAGTGGTCCAATCTCACCAATCTTTGCGATGGCCGTCTGCTGGCATCATAAGCGAAGGCCGGTAGGAGGTCAGGATGGGCCCGAGCCCTGAAGTCGGTGTTCAGCGGCCTCAAGCTAGGCGCTCGAGGACCTACCGGTGCTTCAGGTGCTCGGGTACGCTCTGGCTCTCCATGTGGGTCGTTTGCGGCGTTGGTGTCCTGGCGTGGTGACTGCTGAGGAGCAGTGGGCTGGGGCCAGAGACACTGTCGCCCGTCTGCCTTGCATTTCCCACACATGGGTCTCGTGCAGTCACACAGACGGGCTCTTCTCTTACAGGTAATACATCCATCCTTTGCAAAGCCTTCAAAGCGATGTTTCTTCGCCCCTCGTACCACTGTATCTGGTCCCAGAGTGGTTCGTGAAGGTGGCTGTTGCTCGTTCGAGCGTAGTGGTGGTAGGAGAGTTCGGGTGGGCCACAGGCTCTCTGGAATTTCTTCGCGGGGTCTAGATTCAGCCAGTGAGGGAGGGTTTTCCGAGGGGATATGGGCCTGCAGAGAGTTGACCGGGAACTCTCGAGTGGCGGAAGGCGGTGGCGTTTCTGGCAATGCCTGAGTTTGTCAGCGAAAAGCCCCAATTTGCGTGTTGAAAACCCTCATGTGCGTACTGAAGCTCTCAGTTGCCCGTCCAGGAGCTTCAAGCGAGACAAAAACTCGGATTCGATCTGTCTGTTGTCTTCTTCGTGCTTGCGTTTCCTTGAGATCCGTTTGTGCTCCAGCTCCCGGGTCTGCGTCTCAATGTCGACCTTCAGGATCTCAACTTCCCTTTCGGTTTCTTTCTTGACATCCGCAATCATTCTTTGGGCTTCTTCCTGGACCCTCTTTATTTCCATTGCAGCTTGTTCTTCGATATGACGCTGTTCTGCGTTCGCCTCCTCTTTGATGACTTCAATCTGTTTGGCCTGGTCGTTCCGCATTCTCGCAATCTCTCCATCGATTTCTTGATCTTTCGTATCGAATTCATCTCTCGCTGCATCTCTCAGGTCACGTCTCTGAGCTTGGAAATTCTGGAACTCATTGAACATTCGCTGCCACCTGTCCTCCAGGTCGCCGTTCTCCCCCGCGAGATCCATTTTTGAAGCGGAAGACGATTTCCAGTATGCCAACTGCAATTTTTTTGGATAGATAGGAGTGATCGAATGCGAGAGAGCTTCATTGCTTGTCACGCCGTACGACTGATCTCGAGTGCTTAGCAGAGGCAGAGTTTCAGATCACCCAGTATGGGAGTAAGTTGTCGAACAACATCATGGCAAACGAGCAACGAAGTGTGGAGACATGAAATGCATGACACCGGTTGAAAAAAATTACACGAGTTCTATTCGTGCCTCGAAAGCTATCCAGCTTCCCACCTGTATCAATTGATGGCAGGTTTGGGCGTCAGACTGGGATGTGTTGACGACGTAGGCACCCGTGATTTCTTTGTCGTACACCCCTGCTGTATCGAAACATTGGTTCCACACCATCGTAAATACGAAGTCAATTACTGTAATCCACACTGAGAAATATCCATCAAGGTGTCCCGAATTCGCAATAATCGCATATTCCCACACCGCTAGATCGTCCACACCCTGGGGCAGGCGTGAGGAGCGCTTGTGATGTGCTTCTGTGGCGTTAGGACTGACCATCTCATGAATAATGGAGGGAGAATCTGGGCAGGTAATTACAGATCACATTTCAGATGTTAATACATGAGTCAATATGCGCTCCCTAATCAATATGCTAGCCGTTCAAGTCGTGCTGTGATCTCGGGAGCACCTGAGGAACGTACGGCTTACCACACGGGAACAATGTCTACTTAAATGCTGCGCGGAATGGCTGACCTCAATCATCAGAATTTCATGACTAGTTATTGTCACGGATTTATCCACGACTGTCAGTTGTCAAGGCGTGATAGAGGTAAACTAAGTCTGCTGGTGTGGCCGGCATGCAACGTCCCGAAACTGGTTGCACTTGTGGCCAGGCAGCATTTGAAGCTTCCAATATTGGAACGTGCTAACCCAGGCTTCCTCCACCAAGTTTGCCCAAGCGACCATGTCGAACGGATAATTGAATGCCTTGTTTGCTTGAACGATGAGCCGAAATTGAACAGACAATGGGGTGAATGTGGATACTAAAGATCGCTCAGCAGTTGTATTATTTGGCATTCTATATAGCCCGAACTGTGCCGTCGCCAACTGACCTTTGCTGTCTTACTCTGTTTCGGTGGCTGACAGGTCATAAATGGAACGCTGCCTTGAACTGGCCCGGTATGAATGGCGTGACGGACGTCTGTTTCGCGAGCTGTGATGTGATCGAGTCTCCAACATTCCCAGGCTTGAACACTGGTATTTGTTGGCACTAACCTTGCACAATCCCCAATGCTGTCAGAGCCTCATGGGTCAGCGTGGCTCTATCCATTCAGAGGACATTTGCTTGCATAGTGATTAGTCAAGGGGAATTTTGCAAGGCCGTGTGGCGAAACGCACTTGACCTTTGCTCCTATTATCCATAAAAATTGCGGCTCCAGCACTAGAGCGCAACTCAGAGTGGGGACCTAATTGCGTGATCGCGGCGTGCAACGGCCGAAGAAAAATCGCCCCTTGTAGAAGTTGTAGCTATAGCGTAATAAGTGACAACCAAGCGGAGTTTCGGGGCCTGAAATATCTCATAAAAGTCTACGCGCTCGCAGGCTCGCGGCTGCAGCGCGAGGGCCTCAGGATGGAAAATACAGACTCACAAACCTTGAAAGGGTGCACAGCAGCTACAACGATGGGGATCCCGACGGCCGAGCGAAGCACCCACGATAGCGAGCATGGGTCCGCCGTGCGGCCGCCAAGCAAGGCGGCCTCGATGTACCGGTCCGTGCCGTTCCAGATCCTCGTGGCCTGCGGTGTGTCTTTTACCGCCCCGGGAATGTGGGATGCCCTCAACAACCTGGGGGCCGGCGGCGCAGCAGAGCCATACGCCGTGTCGGCCGCCAACGCGCTCGTCTATGGCCTCTTCTTCCTCGTCTGCATCGCCGCCGGGGCCATCAACAACCGGATCGGGCTGAAGTGGGGCCTGGCCCTCGGAAGCATTGGATATCCCATCTACGGCGCCGGTCTCTACGTGAACAGCACCTCGGCCGTCACCTGGTTCATGCTGTTCGGCAGTGCCCTGTGTGGGATCTCGGCCGGGTTCTTCTGGGCGGCCGAGGCGGCCATCATCATCGGATATCCCAGCCCCAAGGACAGGGCATTCTACCTCGCCATATGGCAGACCGCAAAGGCTGCCGGCCCCATCGTGGGCGGCGCCATCAACCTGGGCCTGAACGCGGACAAGTCCAGCTCCGGCTCCGTCAGCACCTCGACCTACATCGCCTTCATCGTCATAATGTGCCTGGGCCTGCCCATCGCCGTGCTCCTCAGCCCGGCGGACAAGGTCTGGCGCAGGGACGGCACCCGCGTCGTGACGCAGAGGGAGGCGACGTTCGGGGCCGAGTTCAGGGCGGTATGGGGCCTCCTCGGGTCGCCGCGGATCCTGCTGCTGCTGCCGGCCTTCTTCATCAGCTACTTCTACAACGGCCTCATGAGCACGTGGCTCACGACCTACTTCACCGTCCGCGCGCGCGCCTTCTCGTCCTTCTTCACCAACTTCGCCGGCATCTTCAGCTCCTTCATCATCGCCTCGCTGCTGGACCGGCAGGGCATCCCCATCCGGACGCGCGCCAGGGCCGCCTTCTGCGCCATCGTCGCCGTCCTCTCGGGCACCTGGGTCTGGGCCATCATCCTGCAGCAGCGGTACTACGCCGCCGCCGGCCCGGGCCCCGTGTTCGACTGGTTCCGCGGCGGGTTCGGCGCCTCGTACGCGCTCGTGTTCTTCTGGCAGTTCGCGGGCCAGGCGTTCCAGCAGTTCCTGTACTGGCTCGTGGGCCAGTACACGACCGACCTGTCCTCCGTGTCGAGGCACACGGGCATCCTGAGGGGGTTCGAGGCGCTGGGCCAGACTGTCGCGTGGGCGATGCAGAGCGAGGCCAGGGTCAACCACTTTGTCAGCATCGGCATCAACTTTGGCGTGCTGCTGCTTAGTGTCGCGCCCACGTGGACGGTGCTGTCTAAGCTGGAGAAGAGCCACGAGATTACGCGCACGGCCGCGGATCTAAGCGCCGAGTCGTTTGGCGATGGTGCCACGGATGGGCCCGTGAAGCAGGCTGACGCGAAATAGAGGTTTTTTTTTGGGGGGGGGGGGGTGGTTGCATATAGATTCAACATCAAGCATATACAGTATATTAATAGACATCCGGGCAGAACCGATTTTACATGTATCTCGAGCTTACCGACAATAGGTGCCCCTGACTTCCACTTTCTCCCGTGGTAAACTTGATGTAAGTTTTTGGCAAGCAAACGCCATTCATTGTCCACAGGAGAGATCAGAGGAGTGATTGGCGCAGGCCTGCATACACATACACACGCATGACTTGAGAGCCGCATCGCCACGTCACCAACAAGTAGATTGGGCTGCCAGGGCTGGCCACATGTCCTGAGCTGGGCCGGATGTGTCGGCCGTAATGATCGAACGGAGGTTCGGATGGAAAGCTTGGAAGCAACACAAGGACGCTACAGATCGTCTCCAGTTTTTTCATTTGGAATTCGCCCGCCTGCTGCCGATCCGGATAGTGATCCCCACGCCTGTGGGCCTGAGCACAAGTCTTAGTGCGCAGTGATGCATCTGGAATCGACCTCCAGTGGGTTGGATACGACGTCAAAACTGCTGACAACCGCAGGGTCAAGTCATTAGCTTCCCCAGGCGGTTCAACTCTGACTACCGACGGACTGAAGTACGGCCGAGACATGATAATTAGAGTTTACGACCCCAGCCCATCTGCCTGTAAATCGACGTCTTATTAAACACACATCAAAACCACATTTGCGTGAAGCAGAGCTAGGATCGGAGAGGTGCCCTCAAGCTACAAAGACTTTTCAAGTTACAAGTTGCCATCATGTCCCTGGAACTTCACCACCTGCACCTTTCCCAGTCGGAGAGGGTCGTCTGGCTGCTGGAGGTGCGCGCCCCTGTCCTCCTTGACGCCTCGCCCCTGTCCCGGCGCACCGGCTAACAGCGACCAGGAGCTCAAAGTGCCATACACACTGCATGTCCACGACAGAGACCCCATCACCGGCCTGGCGCCGAAGCAGATCAAGGACATCAACCCCTTCGGCACGGCACCCTACTTCCGGGACACGACCGTCTCGCCGCCGGTGAGCCTGTCCGAGTCGGGCGCCATCGTGGAGTACATCCTCACGGCGCACGGCGGCAACACGGCGCCGGGCAGCAGCAGCGGGGTGCCGCGGCTGATCCGGACGCCCGGCGACAGCGACTACGGCGAGTACCTGCAGTGGCTGCACTTTGCCAACGGGTCGCTCCAGCCGTCCGTCTCGCGGACCATGACGTTCCTGCTGGCCGGCATGCCGCAGGACAGCCCCATCGTGCAGGTGTTCAACCGGCGCACCGAGGCGGCGCTGGGGCTCGTGGACGCGAGGCTCGCGGGCTCCAGGTTCCTGGCGGGCGAGGAGCTCAGCGCCGCCGACATCATGACCGTCTGCTCGCTGACCACGCTGCGCGGGTTCGCCCCGACGGTGGACCTGGGCCCGCACCAGAACATCCTCAGGTACCTCAAGGACGTGGCCGCGAGGCCGGCGTACCTGGAGGCGCTGAGGAAGGGCGACTATGGCATGGAGCCGATGATCCAGCCCAGGGTGAAGGGGTTCAGCCAGTTTGAGGCCTTTAGGGGTGCCTTGGAGAAATTCAACTAGAGCTGGATGATGAGACGGTATCATGTGTATGATGGCTTTGATCAGCATCAAGTGTACCACGTGAAAAAGTCACATGTAAAACACAGTCATGGAATACCTACTGCTGTGCACTACCTTGCTGCTGCTGGTGGCTCTTCTACAGTTCATTACTACTTGAGTATCTGGGAACGGTGATGAGGGCATATGCTCGTGGTCTACTCCGTATGTATGACTAGCTTACTGACCTGGGTGCTTTGCCAGGGTGGCAGACGGAGAAATAGAGCTGCGGCAGGGAGTAACAATTCAGGTAAAAATATAACGGCAGAAGTCCTCGTGCAGACGAGTACCCAAGTACCCAAGGGCTGGTTTGGTCACAGGATGTGGAACCCGGAACTGCAAGGCAAAGATCAAAAGCAGACCAAGTCAAGGCTAATATGATCGCCGGCTGTCCCGCTGTCCCGAAAGAGAGGGCTGCGATAAGAATCGTCAGAAAGTGGCCAAAAAGCAGCAGTGATGGGTGCAGCTGCCAGCTCGGGATCTACCGCCCAAGCCTAGGTGCATTGACCAGGCTCCTGGGGTTCCACGTAGCTGGGTGCAAGCTTGGCCCGGCCGTTTCAATGTGCCAGGCGTGGGAGGAACGGATGGATTGGACGGGACAGGGGGGCCCATTTCAGGCCATGCAACCGATCAATTTAGAGCAGGTCATCTCCCAGCCTCGGGCCTCATCAACCACATCTCCACTTTGTCGCTTCGCCGCTTCGTGCTCGTTTCCCTGCGCGCCCGACACTCTCGTCGACATCAACCCCCCTCCTTGTCCGTTTGCCAGTCACTCTCCTGTTTGTTGCAGTTTCCATCCTTCTGCCAGCTGCCTGCCTGGACGAATTTACCTCCTCGGCCCTCCTCCCTCCTCCCTCCCCCCTTGACCGACCTAACTATTCCATCCGAGCAACGACACGCGCGTAACGACCCACTGCGCATCCCACCAGCCCCGTATCTCGACCTGCGACCGCGCTGCGCCATCGGCAGCCCTCCCATCCTCACGACACAAGACGGCAACGGAGCTATATCACATCCCCACGAGGGCCTTGGCTGTTGGCCTACCACATTTCACGATGGCTGAAAGCAGCAGCGCCGATGCTGGTGAGACACGACTGCGAAGCTGGGATACGGGGAAGGCCGGGGTGGCTGACGGAACGGCGAGACAAGGGCTAACACATCTTCCTCTCCCATAGGTGCTCCGAACCTGAACCTCGGCCCCGACGAGAAACGAGTCTACGGCCAGCTCTTCCGACAGGCAGACACCGAGAGTGTCGGGGTGGTCACTGGCGAGGTCGCCGTCAAGTTCTTCGAGAAGACTAGGTTGGACTCGAGGATACTCGGCGAGATCTGGCAGCTTGCCGACCAGGAGAACCGGGGCTTCCTCACCCCAGCCGGTTTTGGCATCGCCCTGCGCCTGATCGGACACGCCCAGGCCGGCCGAGAGCCCTCGCTACAAGTCGCCCTGCAACCAGGTCCTATCCCACGATTCGATGGCTTCACGCCCGCCCCTCCTCCTCCACTTGCTCCTGCTCCCACCGGCTCCCCACAGCCCATCTCTGCCCAGGGCACTGGCAACGCCCCCATTCGAATCCCTCCCCTGACACCCGACAAGGTCGCCCAGTATGCTGGTCTCTTTGAGCGCCAGCAGTTGCAACCCGGAAACCTACTGGGCGGAGAGCAGGCGAGGCAGATATTCGAGAGGTCGAACCTCCCCAACGAGACCCTGGGCCGCATCTGGCAGCTTGCCGACACGGAGCAGAGGGGCGCCCTTGTGCAGACCGAGTTCGTCATCGCCATGCACCTGCTGACCAGCATGAAGTCTGGGGCGCTTAGGGCTCTTCCCAACATCCTGCCAGCCCCTTTGTACGAGGCTGCTACACGGCGTGGCTCTACGGCCGGCAGGCCACAGAGCCCAGGCGGCCCGACTGCTCCCATCTCTGCGATACCCCGCCAGCTTAGTGGCCAGGCTGGACATCAGATGCCCATGCGGACAGGCTCCCCGTTGGCCGGTGCCCATGGGAGATCTCCTCTGGCGCCACAATCCACCGGCGATACGTGGCTCATCACCGCCGCTGACAAGCAGCGCTTCGACGTCATCTACGACGGCCTAGACAAGACCAAGAAAGGCTTCATCACTGGTGAGGAGGCGGTGCCGTTCCTCAGCCAGTCCAATCTTCCAGAAGCTGCCCTTGCGAATATCTGGGATCTTGCAGACATCAACTCCGAGGGTCGTCTCAACCGGGACGAGTTCGCCGTGGCCATGTATTTGATCCGACAGCAGCGCATGAAACAGGGAGACCTGCCTCAGACTCTGCCGGCAAACTTGATCCCACCCAGCATGAGAGGCCAAGCACGACCGTCTACAGCTACCAATGCTTTCGATGTAACCCCGCAACAGACCCCAGTCCAACAGCCCCCGCCGCCCAAGCCAGCGTCTGCTCTTGACGATCTCTTCGGCCTCGAATCCGCGCCAGGACCGGCCCCAGTTCAAAGTGCTGCACCGACCGGCGCTCCTGTGTTAAATGACCCCTTCGCAGGGAGCGCCAGTCCACTTGCTCCTTCATCGCCAGCCCGGGCCTCGCCGACTGCTACTGGTTCCACCTTCAAGCCTTTTGTGCCTTCTTCGTCCTTTGGTCGTTCCCTGAACCCCCAGGCCACAGGAGGATCAGCGTCGGGCTCTCAACCTGCGCCACCTCCGCCTGCAGAGGATCTCCTGGGCGACTCGGAGCCTCAGACCCAGGCCAGGGGCAACGACATGAACGAGACGATGGAGCTTGCGAACTTGTCTAACCAGATCGGCACACTATCGAAGTCGATGCAGGACGTGGCAGGGCAGCGCAATGCTACACAAAATGAGCTCACTCAGACCTCGCAACAGAAAAAGAACTTCGAGCAGCGCCTTGCGCAGCTTCGCACCATGTACGAGAACCAGGCGAAGGAAGTGCGCGACTTACAGGACAAGCTCAACGCTTCTCGCAACGAGACCAAGAAACTCCAAGCTGAGAGTCTTGCTCTTGACGGCCAACTTCATGATCTACAGGCCCAGTATCAAACTGTCGCAACAGCCCTACAAGCTGATCAGCAGGAGAACGCCAACCTCAAGGAGAAGATAAGAGCCGTCAACGCAGAAGTCGCTTCTCTGAAGCCCCAGATCGAGAAGCTGAAGTCCGAAGCCCGACAGCAGAAGGGTCTGGTGGCCATTAACAAGAAGCAGCTGACGACTAATGAGGGCGAGCGCGACAAGCTCAAGACGGAGGTCGACGACTTGACCAAGGAAAACTCCGAGCTGGCGCGGCAGCTCAGCCAAAGCCCGCCACCGAATCCTCCGCCCCAAGTGGCCAGTCCTGCCCTTAGTAATGCCAGTGGTAGCAACCCATTCTTCCGGAGGACAGGCAGCACGGATATGGTGGGCGCCTTCGCCAGCCCCGGCGCATCAAAGTCTTACAATGACAAGTCATTTGACGACGTGTTTGGTCCTGCCATCCCAGCCTTCAAGCCTCAGACCACAGGGGCTTCGGTCGCTAGCACTGGGTCGTTCGCCACGCCGATTTCAAACAGTCCCAATGTGAGCAGGCACCCGACCTTTGCGAGTGAAGCGTCCGCGACAGCCCCTGCCCCGCCTGAGCCGCGACAAGTAAGCTCAAGCATCCTGCTACCGTTTGGATCCTCGACCCAGCCCCAACTTACCGACTAACAATGAACAGGTCCCAACTACCGCCGGAGAAGTCCCGGCCTCTGCGCCAATCGAGGCAACAGCAACTGGTGGTTCGACCGCCGAGACCAAGGAGCCGGAAGTCAGGTCGGCTGACCCTAGCTCCTTCTTCGATGGGGCAAAATCCGATCCTCCTACTGGTGCTGGTGGAGACCCCTTCTCGGCGATGGACGAGGCGAAGGCCAAGGATGATTTCGACAGCGCATTTGCAAGCTTCAAGAACTCAAAGTCTGCACCGGAGGAGGCATCTGCATCTGAGCAGCCCAAGACCCGGTCGGCGTTCGACACGGAGTTCCCTCCGATCTCCGAGCTTGAAAAGGACGACTCCTCTGATTCCGAAGACGACCAGGGAGGCTTTGATGACGATTTCGCCCCGGCTAGCCCCCGTGCGAACCCAGCTGAGAGGGCCGTATCGCCGAGCTTGGCCAAGGCAGTCGCCCCGGATGCGCCAGCACCCTCTTCCGACGAGACTGCTCAGGCCAAGGCGGATGATGTGTTCGGCAGTGCCCCACCGCCCGGGGCCTTCCCAGAGGCAGAGCTAGCCCCAAGCGCAGAGAAGGCCCCCGCCGCTGCCGGCAGTGATGCCACGACGACAGGAATGTCGAAGCAGAGCTCCTCCTTTGATGATCTCGACGACGACTTTGCGGACCTGGAGGACGCCAAGGAGGGCTCGACAGCCGACGACGACTTCCAGAACATCAGCAGGTCCAACCTCGACGACTTCAACGCTGCTTTTGACAGCCCGCCCCCGGCGGTCAAGAGCGACGCCGGGGCGGCCCCGCCCGGCAGCAGCCACGGCCCCGCGGCCCCATTCGGCACCGAGAGCACCTTTGACTTTGCGAGCATCGACAACACCGCCTCGCAGGCGTCCGCCGCGGGCCCGGCCGAGGGCGGCGCCCCGAAGGACCCCGCGCAGGCGGACAGCCACGACTGGGACGCCATCTTCGCCTCGCTCGACGACGCGCCGCCGGCGCAGACCTCGGGCAGCCCGCCACCCCCGGGCAGCGCGGGCAGCGCGGCGGCCCCGCCTTCCGCCCCGGCTGCCGCAGAACCTGCCAAGGAGGCCCCCGGCAGCAACGGGCTGCTCACCGGGCCCAGGCCGTCCGGCCCCGGCCGCGCCCTGACGGAGGACGGCGAGCACGACGACCCTATCCTCAAGAACCTGACGAGTATGGGGTACAGCCGCGGGGACGCGCTGAACGCGCTTGAGAAATACGACTATAATCTCGAGAGGGTGAGTTGAACTAATATAAGATGCTAAGTATCAGAACCACCTACCTGGTTTGCCCATATACTAACACGTTTTGTCTCTTTTTTTTCTAGGCCGCCAATTATCTGGCATCCCAGTCATGATTTTGATATATCACGAGCGAGACCGGGTAGACCAGTCAGACCTTGCTAGATCCTCTTCCTAGTTGCGTCTATCTCGCGGTGACGATGACGGGGGGACAGACAGCAGACAGGCAGGGAGGGTAGGGGAGGGGTTGAGGACTTCAGTCCGCAAAGTAGATGTAGCAAAAGTCTCAAGACGCATGGTATGGGGCTTGACACAAATTTTCTTGTACATCGACCTTTTTTTCTTTTTTTCCTTTTTCCTTCTTCGTGCATACACCCCAACCAGGAAGTAGGAGGTTTTTCTGGCCCGGATTCGATTCTGTGCCCAGGCCAGCCAGCCCATGTTTTGTGGATTGTTGGTTTCTGGTGGGCCGGCGGGAAAGAGCGTTATTTTATTTTCATTCATGTTTCCCATCTATCGCATGTGGCGGAGGATGAACGTTCAGCAAGCAAGCAGGCAGGCAGGCAGGCAAGACAGACAGGGTCCGCTTGAGATGAGCGGCCATATACAATTAATGTGTACTATGATACAAACGGAGTGGAGTCCTGGGGATGTTTTATGCATGTGTGCATTGCTAACACGGTCTCTGAATTCATGGCTTGCGATGCCGGTTGTTTTGTTGCCTTTCCTTCTTATTTTGAGAACAGGTCCTTGCCCATCCACGCTGTCTCTGGGGAACACAGGTACAGGCAAGGAACCTCGGAAGGATAAATGCTCCAGCAGCAGCCAGCCCCGAGCCCGTCAGATGCGCGTCGCATTTTCCAGCGACTATCGCCAGCACGGGTTCGTTTGATTACGAGTCAAAGCTGGTAAAAGACCAAAAGCAGCGAGTGCCCTTATTACCGCTGTTGTGTGTCAGCTGCCCCCGGCCACGATGGCCAGGGGACGGCAGAAAGTATGACCCTGATACTGATGCAAAGGAAGAAGGAAATGACGAGTCCCTCCTGGAAAATCAAACAAAATATGCGCTCCTGTCGCTCTCGCATGGGTTGGTATCCTTCGAACACTTCCTGCCACGGCTGACCCCGGGTACCCTCTTCCAAATAGAGCAGATATTCACGCCCCGAAAATGGAGGATGCACCCCAGCCCTATAGGAAAACTTCCCATAGGACAACCTCATACAAAATAACCTCCTGTAATATAAGCTCCTACAGGGCAAGATCCTGTAGGAAAACTTCCTGCGGGTAAGTTGGATGTGCCTCTCTTCTCCTATTACTTCACCCCACAGTCCGTCGTAGACCGTTCCACCCAGAACGGCTGGGCATAATCCGCTGGTCGCTCGCTTCAAACAAAGCACGATCAACACGGAGCCCTGACAACAGAGCCCGCGGCCGTCTCCCCGTCTAGCGCAGGTCCTACCGGGTGATGACCAGGGAGAGGTCAATGTTGAGCTCCTTGAGGAACAGCTCGGCGAGGGTGGAGCCGTCGCGGACGTAGACCCAGTCGCCCGTGGCCGTGTCCTCCTTCTGGCTCTGGCCCTCGCCCGTGACGACGTAGTCGTAGCGCTTGGGGCCTGAGATGGGGCTCGACAGCCAGATCTGCTTGTTGGGGGGCTGCTTGTTGATCACGTAGGTGCCGATGTCTGGGAAGGTGGCGTTGAGGACTCCGGCCTTTTGTCCCAAGAGTCGAGTTAGCAAGAGTGCGTGCGGCTTGGGCGTGGTGGGGGTGGGGGTGGGGGTGCGGGGGATGGGGGATGACGGACAGAGTACTCGACCTCGATGGAGTCGTTCTTGTCGGCAAGGTTCTCCAGCTCCGACAGGATGACCTCGAGGTAGCTGTCGGCTACGTCGTGGTACTGCGCGTCGGTGAGGTCGGCGGGCGTGGGCTTGACGCCGTCATCTTGGACGTTGGGGGGAGACGGGTTGTCGGAGTCTGGGAGGATGCCTCTGTTCTGGGAGGAGCCGTTGGAGAGGAACCTTGACTGCGTCTTCGTGGCGATGGGGAGGATGGCTCGGGTCGTGGGGGAGGCAGCGGCACGCCGGGGCGCAAACAGAGCTGTGCGGTTGGTGGATGTGCGAATGCTGCGGCCGACCATGCCGGTGGCCCTTGACAATGATTGTCTGGTCATTTTGGATAAAGCGATTGGGAAAGTTGGCTTGGATAGAGAGTGGACGAGAACGATTCTGGAGATGCTGTTCGTATGCAAGTGAAGTGGTACTGTGGGTTGGTTGATTGAAGAGGGGAGGCAGCTTGAAGCTGTGACAAGGTGGTGACGGCCAAACTGACTGGTTGGAGAGCTCCCTCTGTGCAAGTCAATTGGCAACAACACCCCACCTTCTGGCAGTAGCTTTCCCCAGCTTTTCAGGGGTGATGCCAAGTCCGTGCGTCTGCCGTCCAGGCCATGACCGTTTTAGCCTCCCGTCCGTCACGTCACGTATCTAATCGCGGGAGCGTATCGGCTCGCCCAGTCTGCCTGTGATGAGCGTCTGAAAGCAGTTCCACCGCATCCTATATTATATCGAAGCACTCGACCGACCATCTTGGCCTTGCTTCCTTCCCTTTGCTGGCTGCGCCTTAGTCCTTGGAGCCTTCCACTATGATTAACGCATTTCTGGTCTTTAACGGCCAGGGCCAGCCACGGCTGACCAAGTTCTACACCCAGCTGGTAAGCCTTGCCCGTCACGCCCAACCCCCCCAAGCAACCCCCCAAGCAACCCCCCAAGCAACCTCCACTGACTCTCCTTCTCCCGCAGGACACCAACATACAACAGCGCCTCATATCCGAAATCTTCACCCTAGTCTCTAACCGCCCAGCCGGCTCCTGCAACTTCCTGCCCCTCCCGCCCCTCCTCGCCGCCTCGGGCACCTCCCACTCGTCCGGCGACCAGCAGCAGAACGACGTCCCCTCCCTGGTGACGTACCGGCACTACGCGACGCTCTTCTTCATCGTCATCTCGACCTCCACCGAGTCCCCGCTGGCCCTGATCGACCTGATCCAGGTGTACGTCGAGGCGCTGGACAAGCTGTTCGAGAACGTGTGCGAGCTGGACCTCATCTTCAATTTTGAGAGCCTGCACGCCGCCCTGTCCGAGATGATCGTGGGCGGCGTGGTCATCGAGACGAACCTGGACAGGATCGTCGCCGGCGTCAGGGCGCAGGGCACCGTGGCCAAGAGGCCCGTCAACGAGTCTAGGAGCACGGGGCTGGGCGGTGGCCTCGGTATGGGCGGCAACTTTGTCTGGGCTGGGAGATGAGGCGTGCCTGCCGATACGGATGGGCTTCGCTTTATCTCTACTACAACATACAGAGGGGCACTGCTGTCTAAGTTTTGATGCGCAACATAAAATACCGACGATCTCGTTGCGCGGATGCTAGCGCAAGACAAGTGGCTTTGGGGGGAAGGGGGGGGGGGTTGCCCGCAGATTTCAGATCACGCCTTCGATGGCCAATTACCTAGGTAGCCCTGGTCAGGAGCGGCAGTCCTGTCACAACATCGGCGCGGACACTTCGATAGGAGGAGAGATCTTCTATTCCCCTTGGGGGCCGACTCTGGAACTGATTGCTATGCCATGGGTATCCCCAACCAAACGCCGAGAAATGCAGCAGACACGATAGAGAGGGTCATTATCAGTGGCTTCAATCGGCCTTGGCCCTAGGAAAAGCCTCAGAGAGGGTCTTCTGTTTGGGACCCCCAGATTTGGGCTCATATTCAAATCCAAGAGTATTCCAAAAGGTTTTCCGGATCTGCGTCTGTGTTAGTCACGACGTGATCTTTGAGCGGCTTGCATAGTAGACTAGACCTACGCCATCAAATGGCTGGTGCTCCTGCTTCCAGTCCATGAACAGAGCCGAGTATATGATAACAGCTAAAACCCAGTCAGCTCATGCCCTTTCGGAATGAATGTTCGTTCTGTTGACAATCGATCTCAGTCAGCTTCACATACTTGTGACGGTGAAAAGCTGCGCCAGCTTGATGGTCTTGTCCCATGCCGGCCGTTCAGCCTTGATGGCCAGCCTCCTCTTGAACTTCTTCTCAAACTTGAGCTGCTCCTGCGGCGACAGCTTCTGGAAATCTGGCGGCCAGACCTTTTTGGTCGGGTAGAGCTCCTTGATCATGCGGATGTACTCGGCACTGGACTGGGTCTTGGAGCCCTGTGCAGCCCTTCTGGCGAGTGTCGCAAACATGGCCAATGCGATACTAATACCAGCTGGCGTTCCAAAAACGTAGATGAGCCGACTTGTATGCCTCAAAGCACCTCGGTAGTGAGGTGAGGTTGATGTGTCGCAGCTTCCATTTAGATATCAGTGGAAGGAGCCAGCCAAAAAGCCTTCCGCGCCTTGCCGCGGCCTCTTTCTTGCAGCACGAGCCCCTGCAAAGCTTGGCTCACCCAGAAGGTAGGTGCCTTTAACATCCCTGCCATGCACTTACCACAGGACGGCCTGGCTGGGCTGGCTGGTGGTCCAAGGGCCCACCGACCCCGCGATCGTTCCTGGTGTGAAATTTTGGCCCCTCCAAAGCCAATAGAGGGAGCATCTGAATACCTGCCAGCGTGACTCAACTTTTGGACTGCGAACACACTATCAGCCCTGCCTTGCACACCACCAAGAGACCGCCACAGACCAAGGGTGGTGAGTCAATCTCGGGTACAGATAACACTTGCATTTTCGCCTGACTGTTTGCCTCCAGATATCTTGTTACGAGTGCTGCGAGCAACAACAACACCACCCAGCATGGCGGCGCCAAACGTGATCGTTCCGGTCTCCAAGACGAAGGAACTCAAGGGTGTAGGTCTCCTGGCTGCTATTCAACTGATATTCATACTCAACTGTCTCTTTTAGACCGAGAAGCGAGATGCCCTGGTCGCCTGGGAGAAGAAGATCCAAGCACAATGGGAGGCCGACGGCGTCTTCCAGCCCGATGCCCCGACCACCGACGAAGTCCCTCTGCACTCCATCAGCCCCAGCGAGCTTCGAGAGAAATATCCCAAGTTCTTCGGCACCATCGCATATCCATACATGTGCGTCTTACCATTCCCACCCCATCTACATCGAATATTGGAGGAAGAGGGTGGGAGCAGGCTGGAGGGACATGGTGCTGACATAGGTTACTGGACAGGAACGGCGTTCTGCATGTCGGCCACGCATTTTCGGACAGCAAGATCGAGTTTATGGCCGGTTGGGAGAGGATGCAAGGCAAGAGGGTCCTGTGGCCCCAGGGCTACCACTGCACAGGTCTCCCCATCAAAGCATCTGCAGACAAGATCGCAAAGGAGGTCAAGCTGTTCGGCCAGGAGTTCGAGAACTACAAAGAGGACGCCGAGATCCCAACCGAGAAGCCAGATGGCGCGGAGAAGCCAGTACAGGCCAAGAACGAGGACGTAACCAAGTTCAAGGCCACCAAGGGCAAGGCGAACGCGAAGACAATCAAGGCGAAGTACCAGTTCCAAATCATGGAATCTGTCGGCATTCCCAGGAATGAGATCCACAGGTTCGCCGACGCCAACTACTGGCTGGAGTTCTTCCCACCTCTGTGCAAGCGAGACCTGTCGGCTCTGGGCTGCAGGATCGACTGGAGGAGACAATTCGTCACGACTGATGCCAACCCATACTACGATGGTGAGTGTTCGCCGGTGCCGGCTTCTCATCGGATCATTGTCAGCTAAAATCTACCTACCCAGCATTCATCAGGTGGCAGATGATCCGTCTCAAGGAGCTGGGCAAGATCAAGTTCGGAAAGCGATACACGATTTACTCCGTCAAGGACGGCCAGCCTTGTATGGACCACGACCGGAGCGAAGGAGAAGGCATTGGACCCCAGGAGTATGTCGCTCTGAAGCTCAAGGTCCTGGAGTGGGCTCCCAAGGCGGCTGAGGCCATCAAGGGAAAGCTCCCCGAGGGTTCCAACGTCTACTTTGTCCCTGCGACTTTGCGAGCAGAGACCATGTACGGCCAAACAGCATGTTACGTCGGACCCAAGCTGGTCTATGGCGTCTACCAGGCCACCGACAACGACTACTATATCATGACAGACCGCGCCGCCCGCAACATGGCTTTCCAAGGAAAGCTGAAGGAGGACGGCGTTGTCCCAACTTCCAAGGCCGATCTGAAGGGTTCGGATTGCATCGGAACCTTGGTCCACGCTCCGCTGTCCCTGCACAAGGATGGCGTCCGCATCCTGCCCATGGACACGGTCCTCGAGACGAAGGGAACTGGTGTGGTTACCAGCGTGCCGTCCGACTCGCCTGATGACTACGCTACCGTCCGAGAGCTGGCTAAGAAGGCCGATTTCTACGGTATTCAGAAGGAGTGGGCGGAGCTGGAAATCTTCCCCATCATTTCCACGCCCAGCTACGGTGACATCTGTGCCAAGACCCTGGTCGAGAAGCTCAAAATCGCGTCGCCCAAGGACACGAAGCCCCTGGCCGATGCCAAGGAGCTCGCTTACAAGGAGGGCTTCTACCAGGGAACTCTCCTGGTCGGCAAGTACAAGGGTGAGAAGGTCGAGACTGCGAAGCCCAAGGTCCGGGCGGACCTGATTGATGCCGGGGAGGCCTTTGCCTACGCTGAGCCTGAGGGCGCTGTCACCAGCAGGTCTGGTGACAAGGTAAGTCGCACAACTGTCTCCGTACTTTGGATTTCCCAATTAGCTAACACGCGGGTTCCTGCAGTGTATCGTGGCACTCATGGACCAGTGGTACATCAACTATGGAGAGGAGCAGTGGAGGGACCAGACTATTGATTGGGTCCAAAACAACCTCAACACCTACTCGTCCGAAACCAAGAACGCCTTCGTCGGTGTTCTGAACTGGCTGAACCAATGGGCATGCGCGCGTACCTACGGTCTGGGCTCGAAGCTGCCCTTCGATCCGACTTTCCTGGTCGAGTCTCTGAGCGATTCTACCATCTACATGAGCTATTACACCATCGTTCCATGGCTGCACACTGACCTCTTCGGACGCTCGCAAGGCAAGGGCAAGATTGCCCCCGAGCAGATGATCGACGAGGTCTGGGACTACATTTTCTGCAGGAGAGAATTGAACGACGAGGTCCTGGAGAAATCCAAGATCCCTAAGGCGACGCTGGAGAGCATGCGCCGTGACTTCGAGTACTGGTACCCTCTGGATGTGCGTGTCAGTGGAAAGGACTTGATTCCTAACCATCTTACTTGTAAGTCAATCCTGCACATTGTCGCCTCTTCGCCCGTATGCCGCGGTGACGTTGCGCTCTCCAGAAAATCGCTGACCATCCATGCACCAGTCTTCCTTTACAACCACGTCGCTCTGTTCTCCCCAGAGTACTGGCCTCGCGGAATTCGTGCGAACGGACACTTGATGCTGAACGGCGCCAAGATGTCCAAGTCTACTGGCAACTTCATGACTCTGGATGACACTGTCAAGAAGTACGGAGCCGACGCCGCTCGTATTGCTCTGGCAGATGCTGGTGACGCCAACACGGATGCCAACTTCGAGGAGGATGTCGCCGACAACGGAGTCCTGCGTCTCTTCAACAACCGGGAATGGATCGAGGAGGTCTCCAAGGACTCAGAGCTGAGGACTGGCGCCCTGAACTCGTACCAGGATGTTCTGTTCGACAACGAGCTGAACGCCCTGGTCGCTGAGGCGAAGAAGGAGTACACTGCGACGAACTACAAGCTGGCCCTGAAGGCGGCATGGTTCGACTTCACCTCCGCAAGGGACTTCTACCGTGAGGCCTGTATTGGCGCAGGTATCAAGATGCACAAGGACCTGATCTTCCGGTACTTTGAGCTTCAAGCTTTGGTCCTGGCCGTTATTGCGCCACACTTCTGCGAGTGGATCTGGCTGGAGATTCTGAAGAAGCCCCAGTCCATCCAGCTGGCTCAGTTCCCTGAAGTGCCAGCGGTCAACCCTGGTCTGTCTGCTGCTCGTGAATACGTCCGTCACACGTCCAGCAGCATCAACAGCGCCGAGTCAGCCCAGCTTAAGAAGAAGGCCAAGGGCAAGGAGACTGTCTACGACCCAAAGAAGCCCAAGCAGTTGACGTAAGTTGAACTCATCTGGTTCACAAATATCTTGCCTTGCCAGCGACATTTCACTGACTTGTTTCCAGCATCTTCACCACCGACAAGTTCCCCGCATGGCAAGAAAAGTACGTCGACCTGCTGCGCGAGAACTGGGATACCAACAGCAAGTCCATCGCCAACGAGAAGGAGCTCAACGGAAAGATTGGCAAGATGGGCGAGATGAAGAAGGCGATGCCCTTCGTCATGCAGCTCAAGAAGCGCCTTCAGTCGGGTGAGGAGGCCTCGGTTGTCCTGGAGCGCAAGCTCGCGTTCGACGAGCAGCAGACGCTGCTGGACATGGTGCCAGGCCTGAAGAGGTCGACCGGCTTCCAGAGGATCGTGGTGATCAAGATCCAGGAGGGTACCAAGAAGGGCAACGACCTGACGGACGGCGGCAAGGAGGTCGATATTACCAGCCCCATTGGCGACAACGCTGTGCCTGGGCAGCCGAGCTTCTTGCTTGAGAACTTTGAGGCTTAGAGCGGCGTATAGATACTATCAAAGAAGTGAGTAGCTACTACATCTGGTATAAATGACAAAGATTTGTTCTTAGGCTCCTTAGGGGTAGCCTCGGTCACCAAAAAGCAGATGCCCTCAGACTCTTCACGTGGAACTCAAGATTGGTACCGGGATGACCGTTAGATAGTTTTCTGTTCCAGAGACGACAGTATACACCACAAGGCGCTGTTATTCTCAAGAGACTGTTATACAAGGGTATACAAAATCAACAGATATACAAGAACACATCATCATCAACAGGTCTGCCTCCCTGTTCCCCCTCACTGGCCCTTGCCCCCCCGATGATGTCCCCCGGTCTTGGCAGCCGTCGGCTCCACCCGAGAAGGCAGCTTCCGCCAAAAGATGTTGGCCATGCCCGTCGGCCGCGGCGCCTGGAGCCTGAGGATCGTGTCGCCGTTGGGGTCCTCAAAGACGGTGTAGTTCCTCGCCTGGCTGGTGCCGACCCACGCGGGGATCGCGGCCACGACCAGGGGCCCGTGGATCACCTGGCCCGAGGTGCTGTTGGCCGGGATGGCGTCGCTGATTTGTAGGGGGCCTGCGTAGCAGAGCAGGCTGGTGGGGGGGTTAGCAGAGTGCCCTCTGTTTTGTTTACTTATCTCGGGGTTGGGGCGAGGGGGTGGGTAGATGAAGAGGGAGGGGGGAAGGGAGAGAAAGAAAGATGTGGTGCTTACTGCCTGCCTAGGGCTGCCCATTCGGCATCGCTCTGGTTGGCCTGGCTTGGGAATGTGAGGTCGAGGGGCCGCCACTCTGGTTCTGTCGCGGTGATGGTCGCCGACATGTATCCCTCGGGCGTGTAGTGCAGCATTCCTACCGGCGCGGCGCCGTAGGCCTGGTCCTGGGTGACTGTGCCATTTGGGGTGACGCTGGGTTTGGGCTTGTGTGTCAGTTTCCCGAGTAGACCTGCGTTCATGTTTTGCTGATCTTTTTTTCTTTCGTTTTTTCTCTAAGAACCCTTGGGAAGAACTCACACTGTGGTGTTCAAGAGAGAGTAACTACCCGCGAGGGCCGCAATGATGTCTGCCTTCATTGTAGCGTAGAGAGGCTTTCTGGGGTTGTTGATAAAACGAATGGTTATCTCTGGGTACGCGGGTGAACGTGCAAACGGCCAACAGATAATGAAAGTCCAAATTGACTGGCCTAGCTACAAAACACAATCGGCAAGGCAAGCAAGGAGTTGAACTAGCTATTATACATATTGGCAGCGCACACGCTCATGCCCCGCCACAGGGCAACATTTCGACAGCCCCCGGCAGTGCCCTCACGACAGGCATTGAACAACAATTTCTCAATGGCAATATAAGCTGCGGGGCTAGGGGCGACAGTCCCAGATTGGCTCGTGAGGCCCGAGGACGGCGGCGGTATCCCTCGCTGCGGCAAGGCCGGCCGAGGATCCCGAGGTCGTCAAGGGCCCCCTTGGAAGTCAGTTAGATTGGGACTTGGAGACCCTGTCCCTGCGTGTTCGTCCCATTGCCAGGTCGTTCACCAACCGTGATAACCTTAACCTCCACATGCTTGTTTCCTCCCTGAAGTCCCGCCTCTTGACAGGAGTCCTTATTTTGCGGATCTTTTTTTGGGCGGAGATTTTGTGTTGCAACGTCGTGGCTCTGGGCAAGACAGAACGAAACGTGATGTTTCGTGATACCCGCAGCTGCTACTCGTCGTTTCAAGATGTGCCGGTGGCCCAGTAGGCCTTGCGCAGGCCTCGACAAAGCCTGAAAACCTTACGGCCGCAGGATCCTCGTGACCACGAGGTCTTCGGCTAAATGGAACCAGAAGCTTTGCTGGGTGTGCGTTCGATGATTATAAATCCCGTTTTAGAGTTATCAATGGACCCACGTCAAGTAGTGTACTGGTGGGTACCTAGGTAATTATATCCGTCCCTGATTCAGAAATGCAGGTTTGGCAGCCCAGGAGTCCAGGAGCTCAGGAGCCCAGGAGCCCAGGAGCCCAGTCATCAACAACAGAGGGCCCTGGCGATGGTAAAGTCGTCAGTCCAAGGCAAACCTTGGAAGTCAGATGCAGATCTTTGGCACTGCACCTGGATATAGTTGAGCACGAGCAGAATTGTTTTCAAAAGTTGACGGCGATGACGCGTGCCTATTCTGGGGAGGGCTTTTCAGATCCCTAAGAAGCAATGCCCGGGGTCGTGCGTGTAAACAAATAATTCCTGCCACTTGGCTGTGGCTGGAGCATGGAGTCCCAAATGTTCTCCTGGCCAGGCGGTGGAGTTCCTCACAGCACCGCCTCGTCCCGATAGTACTTGGGCATGAGCATGCTCGACTTTATAACGGGATCACTGCGGAATGTCCTGCGCAGCGGAGCGCAGGTACTCGAAACAGTTTCAAGTTGATTGCTGGGGTCCTTCGATTTTCTCAACATGCGTGACTCGCCACGGGACGGGGGACTTCAGGGGCGGCAGGGCGGCAAAGCGGCAAGTCTCGCGTCCTCGTGTACTTATGAGTTAGCGCTGCGTAAGTTTTCAAAACGTGCCGAGTATTGCTTTGTACGACTAAAGTCTACTAAGAGTCAATAGTGCAATGCATTTGGGCGGGAACAGGAGGTTGCATACAATCACGCCGTCAGTTGTTGGGGAGGCTGAGCGAAGAACGCTTCCATCGACTCATGGATCCATGATGTCAATCGGAGGGACTTGCCGCCTTGTGGCATCACACATCAATAAATATAGGTACGACAAGGCAGAACTCTTGGCCACTTTTGCCTTCAAGATGTAAACGCTATGTATCAGAGAATACAAGACTAGATTTATCGGTGCATACGCCAACGCGTCTTCTTCATTCGGACATCCTGGTCCGCTCTATTGATCCAATGGTCTTGTATTGGCATGACTCTGTCGTTGAGCAACAGATTCCTCCATAGCCAGGTCTTCTTGCATCAATACGAGTGGGCAACCCACTTTCGCAACAGTTTTGCAAATTGCAAAATGTAGGCACGCGGGGAGGGGGAATCGGCAAAGTTGGCCGAATAGACCTAGGTAATCACAGTCTGTGGCAGTGATTCAGCGTCCATTTGCTCAAGTGATCTGTTAAAGCAAGATTAACTCAGTGTCTATTCTGATATGGTGTTTTTTGTTTATCATATATGGTAGAAAAGAACTCCATAGATCATTGGACATATCGATTGGCTTTCTTCACGTGAATACGGCGTGCCAGGGGGTTGTGGATGTAGATGCTGGTGCAATTGAGTGCCTGTAGAGGGTTTCCAGAAGGGTCTATGTACAGGTGCGTTCGGTTGACCGAGCGAACCCATAGGACCACCGAAGATAGAATAAGTTCAATCTGATGCCCTTCTGGCAAGTTTTTCTAGGACACTGGTGTATAACGTGGTGAGAATAACACCTTCATCTTTGTTAGTTAAGACCGCTTTCACCTTCACCTAACTAGATAATTGGAATAACTATACTGCATATGATGAAAGAGCTACTTGCCTGTCAAAACCGCCAAAGCATACCGAAAATATTCATTCCTCAATGAATATTGGACTCGTCGAGACACAATATAGAGATAACGTTGTGACCCGATCGGATTGATTAGCTTGGACTCTGGAGCCCCACCGGCGTTTCTGGTCCTTCTTCCCTGATCTACCGATGACATTCTGTCCTCCATGGAGCCCTCACCCCTCGGGACTGGGGCTTTTGTAGTTGAATTTGAAGGGCTAGGTTGCTCCCCATTGCTAGTCTCTGAGTTTTGGTCCAGCAGTCTTAGGAGGACGGCCTCGTTCTCATATGCCGAAAGCTCAATGAATTCTCTGAGCGACACATGTCTTCTGGCAGGCTTGCCGTCCTCTGAGGGTAGTCCAATCTCGCTTTCCATCCAAGGCAGGTCCCACAAGTCTTGTTGCTCGTAGCATACAGTCCGAAACTTCAGTATCAAGCCTTGCTTTCCAAGATTCAGGACAAAATCTCGTGTTGATACGGTGGTTTCCCCATCGACAAAGATTTCGTATGAGAAGTCAGTGTCTTTTGTGAAGCGAAGAAACAACTCAAGAAGCTTGCCATCGTACTGTCGACTTATTTTGTTGTGATATGTGCGTTGATATTCGTCCATACTTCTCGAGACTTGATGGTATCTCGAACTCAGCATCTTGACCAAGAAACGGTGCCACAAAGTCAGATCCGAGTTTAGAGCAGAATAATACCCTCCATCATCTGACCACATGCTACCATAACGGACCCCTCGATATTTTGTGATGGAGTCCGGAGAAACCCAACCTTGTGAGAACAAGGCCTCGAGCACAATGAGTGACTGACTGTAATCTTTCCCTCCAAAGCCTTCATCTAAACAAAGACTCGCGAGGGTTGAAATGGTGTCTGAATCTTCATCAAGCAGAATGCCGTTGCTTATGTGCCAAAGAGGATAGTCGCTGAGTCCGAGGGCAGTCAGTATGTGCAATGGATCCGAAAAGTGGCGCGCTCTGGAAAATGAGTCTGTCCTCCCCCCGGTTGCAGTCTCTGGAAGCTTCCCCATGAATTCAATACAAAAAGCAGTCCCAAACCTCCCTGCTTCCCAGGGATATGTCAGTGTTAATACGCCCCTCAAAGTCATTGAATAATTCGGCTTCGTAGAGGCGAGTAACTCTCGAAAGCGCTCAAAATGGGTAAATGGCTCTCGAGCCAAGCCATTTCGATTTGTTGTTCGCACGAAGACTGCACCCGTGATGCCTGACCGCAGGGAGTTGTATACCGAAAGTGAGCTTTCGAAGAGGATGTCGCTCACTATCAACTGCAAAACAGCGTCGACAGGATCGAAGTATTTCAATTTTAGTTTCATGTCATACTGGATCTCGTCAGATTCCAGGAAGTCTGACACGCTTCGATGCGCGAAGTCGAGCTCCATGGACCAATCCCCCCACTCGTCAACGCATGGGCTCCTACCTTTCAACCGGTCATTGCTCTGATCTTGCAACCACATTGGATTTCCATATGGCTCGACGAGACCTTTGCACCAGCCAGCCAACTTTCTGCTCGTGGAGTGCACCAATCTCTTGCCACGATCTCCGGTGACGCTTTCGATGGGAAATCGGCTGCGCCCCGCTGTGAAAAAGCCTTTTCTTAGCTCGTACTCTTCGATAAAAGAGTATGCGAGAAGTGACATTCTATAATTTTCCTTCTTAAGCTCTTTCACCATAGCAAAAGTCTGGTATGCTTTCTTGAGTGCTGACTTGCCCAGTGACGCCAAAATGTGGCTGTAAAGACTTTCAAGCTGGTCCGGAAGGATATCGACCTCTCGTGTCAGTTCATCGCAGGACAGGCCGTTCTCGAGACCCTCTCTCAAAGACTTCACCACGAGCGCTACCCACAAGAAAACTCCGTCGGCCTTGTTCATGATCAAGGAAACAAGGTTTTCAAAGCTCTCCTGAGTGCTGGCATGCGCAAGCTTATCTCGAATATAGGTGTCCATATCGCGTCTCGTCAGGTCGTGGAAGCGGATCCTCAAGGTTTCAGTAAAACCGTCCATGAATACTGGATACTCGCGACTCGAGACGCAAATCTTGATGCTCCCAGATTCGGCTGCTGCCCAGTGGCACAGTAGCCTGACTAGGTCCCTGTGATCATCCTGTACGTTCGACTGGAATTCGTCGAGTCCATCGATGAAAAATGCAAAGCAATGGGTTTTGAGTGCGCCAACAGAAGTAATGACTCTTTTGAATGCTTGCATGATGTCTTTTCTGGTGGCTTCAATGACCCTCGGAACTAGCCACGGTGGTGAATAAGCCTGTGCCCAATGCGTAGGCCAAACTTGAGGTATGATGTCAGGGCATTGACTGAATATCTGATGGAGAAGACTGATGTACAGTCCCTGTAGCGACTTTTCGTAATCAGATCCGATGTTCCAGAAGTAGAAACTGGCGATGGTCAACTTGCGGCCATCTGTGTGATGCCACCAAGTCAGTCACTGTACACAGCCTTGAGAAATGATCTGAGGCCAACACTCACCGGCCCACTTGTTTAGTTTCTCTTCAGTATGAGGGCTCCCCCGTATGTGCTTCATCAAAGTCGATTTCCCAGACCCCAGTTTTCCAGAGAGGTGGAAAACATCGCCTGAAGTCTCGCTTTCCAGCCATGCTCGAAGCTTGTCTCTCGCGCGCAATTTCTCGATGTCATCGCTTATTATTGACGCGGTAATCGTTTCTCTCTCAATATCGGACACCTCGTCCTCCGTGTCTGGTGTCGTGGCGGGAGCGTCGTCTTCCAAAATCCATTCATAGGTATTCGCATGTGTCTCGACTACCATGTTGGAGCGCCGACTCATGCCTTCAAAGGAGAGACATTGGAGTATTCTGTCCTGAGCGATCATCGCAAAGACTTTCTCTTCCTCTGTGATCAACGTCGTGACCATCGCCGTCACTTCAGGAGCAGCGGAATTTGACTTGACATGTTCGCGCAGGTGTGCAATATCGCTCTCAATTCTATCCAGCTTGGCCTCGTCGGACTTTGATGCTTGAACCAGGCTTTCGAGTCTTTTCAGTGTCTCAGAGCTGGAATGGATTAGCGAAACACTGTTTCAACGGCCTGGATTATCTGAGCGGACCTTGTAAGGTTACTGAGTTCCAGATGAAGTTGAGCTCGACAATCACTCAGTCTTGCTTCCAGGCTTTCCCTCTCGCTCTCATAGGTTTTGTTCCGTACTGCTGACAATAGACTCTGAGCTTTGGAGCCCGAGTCGTGTGGTTTGATCTTTTCTAGTAACGAGATGAGTTGAGTCGATAGCTGACGGCATTCACTAGCCAGAATGCAGAGACTGGAATCATGGCCCGCTTTGTTATGTGATTTGGACACTGACAACAGCGTTGACATCCTCTGCATCTCTCGCATGACCGTCTCCCGGCTTCTGTTGTCTTCAAGCACGCCATGTTGAGAATCGTAGACTTCCTTGGCGCCCTTTAGAAGCCTGGAACTAAATTCAACGAAGGACAGGATGTTGCTGACAAGGCCTATCGCCGTTAGAGGATCCATGGCGTGGAATCATTTGTGTGTGAGTAGAAAGGTGCAGTGTCTGAGAAAGAAATTCATGTATTTCACCAAGGACCAGGCGAGCTGATCGGCCAGCAATAACTTGACATGGACAAGTGGAGAAAACTTCATTCATGGATGAGAGAGAGAGAGATTTGGGTGAAAGCCCCCGCTTCTCCGAGCTGTCCTCCGTGGGATTTGAGGCAACCAAGCGCTTACGGATTGTACGACGAGACACCAGGGTGCCATTGGACGCCCTGGTATGCAGGCATACCACTGGTCGGCCGCATAATCTGGTCTGATCAGTAGAGTCAGACAGCGCCTGGGGGTGACAGGTGATCGCACGCCGGTGCCCAAATATACCAAGATAGAGTGCAGGCCACAATGGGCAATATTGCGCGTTGGACACGGTTGCACAATCCAAATCGCCAACAAGACACGAATTGAGGACCCTCAGCTTCCCAGGATCTATTTGGGGCGGCCATAAGAGGTTAGCCTGAAACCGGTAGCTTTTGCCAACACCACTTCCCACCAGAACTTGGCTGCTGCTGCCTATACTCCTACCAGACATCCTTCCACGGGTCACACCCATATTCTACCAAAGTCGGAACTTGAACACGCTGGCTATTGCGACAATCACCAGAAACCGTCTCGTGTCCTCTCCGAAGGAATGACTGTAGAGTAAGAATATATGACAGACACCAGCTGGAGAATTGCCATGGATCGTCGACTCTTCTAGCTGTCCATAACTTTGGCTGTGCAGGGTGGTGCTACGCAACGAAATAACACACGCCTACATAATACGATGCTAGCATCGCGAGGAAACAGAATTGGATGCGGGTGGACGTTGTTGATCTTCTGTATGGTCATGTTTTGGTCCCCTGGTAGCCATGCCTACTACTTAGAAGGAGATCATGATCCGGAGCGTGGTGCCGCCGTCGGTATGGTCAGTATACCTGAGATCATGCTTTGAAGCTTCTACAACTACCCCGAGAACATTCAAAGGAATAGACACTGATTTCGATTCGTCCGTTAGGACCTTGGCAGTGTGAGTATTACCAAGCTAGAAGGTCCAAAAGTTCCCCGTCCATCAGCTGTCTCATTTGAACTTCAACGGACTGGCCGACCGTTCTGACAGTTTCTAGAAAATTTCTCGAATAGGAATAATCAGAGACAGCCTGAGGGAGTTTGAAGTTTTACACGAAATGCCGTCTTGTGTCGCTTTCACAAACTTTGATCGGCTTCCCTTTATTCTGATAGGCGAAGGTTCGTTTCTCTCCACTGAACTATCTCCTGCCAGCGTGTGACCTGACCTCCGCCACAGAAGCACTGGCACAAAGGGCAGACAATCCAGCTCGTACCGTATGCGACCCCAAATTTCTCATCGGCCAAAGGTGGTCGGACCCCAAGTTACAGGAGGCGCTCGAAGGTTTACCCTACCGCGTGGTTGAAGGAAAGGGAGGCTGGGCGGCCGTCAGCATGAACATCAGAGGGAAAGAACGCGAGTTCTCCCCGGAACTAATATTAGGTATGCTCATGCTCCGTCTGCAAGTCAAGGCGGGAGATAAGCTCGGCGAAAAAGTCGCTTCTGCGGTGGTGGCCGTGCCGGCCCACTTCAACGATCTCCAGAGACGTGGCATCAAGGTCGCCGGCAGCGGAGTGAGTCTGCAAGTACTGCGCTTCATCAATGAGTATGCGGCGGCTGGCCTCGCGTACGAAATCGACTCGGACTGGATCGAAGACGAAGCCAATTTCATCATCATGGATCTTGGCGCGAGCAAGACCGAGATCACTGCCGTCTTCGTGGACCAAGGGGTCTTTGAACGGCTGGCAACGGTATCTGTGCCAACCATCACGCCTATTCATAATCGTCGCCTTGTGTATTAGTGAGACAATGTTATCGTTCTCCCCGTTCCGAAATAGGGAGGCTAACACATGCCAGCATCACGGCCCAGTGCGCTGCACAAGGGACACTTCTCGACCAGCGGGCCCAAATCGAATTGGAACAGAGTATAGAGCTTACCCAGAGCAACAGATCATTCGGAGAATCTGCATACTGCCTAAGGGCTCAAATACTCGAGCACTGCCTTGGTCTGCCAAGTTGCACGTTGAAGGAGTCGAGTCAAGAAAAGGGAATTAACATTTCTATAACTGTGCTTGAGCCACTCCAGCGCCTGCTGCGTACGTACTCATTGTTCAATCCCTCCTTCCACAAATCAAGCGCTGAAAATGAAATAGAAGAGTTGAACATGTCGATAGAATGGGAGAAGAGCGAACCAGTCCCGAAGAAAGACGTTTCTTACTGGTTTCGCTTCTTTTCCGCATACGTCCGAGGGCATGAATGGCCCCTAGATGTTACTTACATCCCCTCGAATATTAGCAATGTCGCGAAGGTCTTTCCCATTGGCGGCTTCAGCAAATCTCCAATGGTGCGACCCGCCCACAATATCATCTCGGTAGGAGCTAACAACAATTCTGAAAGGTGACGTGGTTCTTGGAGGGTCTCTTACGGAATAGGTTCGAGTTCAACGGGGATTTTGACCCAGAACACGCCGTCCTGAAAGGCGCGGCCATCCAGGCCGACATTATGTCGAACCCGGACGATATGATCACTTATGTGGAGGTCATCCCGATCAGCCTCGGTCTCGTAAGTCCACCTTGAAGCTAGAGCTACTCCCGCCCCAGATGGACTTTTACCGCGAGCACGGGGCCCCATCAACATTGTGCAGATCTATTGTCTAGTATGAATACGGGCTTCCCCGGCTCACTACCCACTCACAGCTAGGAAACCAGTCAACCTCCTCTATTCGATATGACCTGCTCGGATGATTGAAAATTGTGCTAACACATCCGAACCCCAGGAAACAAGCCAGGGCTACATGCACAAGATCAACAGGCGCTACACGCCCATCCCAACCCGCACGGCCCAGAACCTGACCACGGCCCACGACAACCAGGAGTCGATGCTCATCCGCGTCTTTGCGGGCGACCGCGTGATGGCGAGGGACAACTTGCTAGTGGCTGAGCTGGAGCTCGCAGGCATCCCTCGGGCGCCGCGGCATGTCCCGGTTGTCGAGGTGTCGTTCGAGCTCGATGTAAGTGGCGCACCGGCCCTCTCCCGGATGGAGGGGGACGTTGATGAATGCTGCATTATATGTAGTTAACAAAACCTAGTCCAACAGTATCCTTAAAGTTACCGCTCGCTGTCTCAGTAAGTTTAAAGCAAGAATACGGAACCCGCGTTGCATACCAAGTTAGCTGACGTGCGCATCAAGATACGACCGCCGAGGTGTCGGCTATCTACGTACGGGCACCAGCTACTATTCTCAACCGTCCGCTTCAAGGAGCTTGCATACTGACAGTCCCTCCAGATGAAAACCACCCGTTTGATCACAGATGTGGCGCTCATCGAGCGGTACGGGCTCGGCGACGAGTGCGTACTCCTTCAATGACAACCGGCGGGGATTGGCTCATGCCTTGCTAATAACTCTCATAACAGCCAACAGTTCGAGGAAACCACGCCCGTCGACAAGGCAAGCATGGAGCGCTACATCGAGACTGTTGAAGAATGCCTAGCCAGAGAAGACGTGATAGGTGCACCCCACAATCCCGACGGCTACGACCTGAATGAGTAGGTGAAAACATGTACAGAAGCAGATGCAAGCGATGTAAATGCTAATACGATAGTTAGAGAAGCCAATAAGGTCGTCCGGGAGACAAGGGAGTGGCTCGCCACCAAGTCCGACACGGCCCCGTACACGGAGTTCAAGCTTCGGAAGTCAAAGTTATGGGACATGTATGTCACCAGGCTGCCCTCATCACGTAGACTGAAAGGCTGACAGGTCTCATCACAGTATGCACGATTTGCTCCATTACAACCCACGCGGAAAGATTTACAGCGTCGGCTTTCGGGATAAAGTTGAAACGGGGCACGAGGAGCTTTGAGGCTTGGGAAACGAGAGAGCAAATAAAACATCAAACAATTTTGCATTCTATGACGCATCAAGAGCGGCGCCTCACATAGGCTGTCTATCATCTAGACCATCCGGATCTATGATTTAAACGCTCATTTCTCATGTCCATCCGAGCCAAGTATGCGCCTTCGAGGCACCGCGTCGTAACAGCACTTTTAACAACCGAACAGCCAGCATGCAAGACGCAATACAGACGTCCAAACACCCCAGAATTAAGCCCACTGCTTCCTGAACTTCTCATCGAACTGCTGCTGAACCATCTTGAACATCCGCAGCACCTGCCCTAGGTTCTTCTCGCCATCGCCCTCCCACGCGGGGCCGGCAGCCTTGGCGGCGGCCTCGGCGGCCTCTGCAGCCGCAGCCTCATCCTCGCTGCTGTCCTCGTCGTCCCACGAGTCGACCACCTTCTTCTTCTTCTTCGGGGCCGGGGCGGCTACCTCCGGTTTCTTGGAGGCTTCTTCTTGAACAGGAAGGGCTCCGTGGGCCATATCGCCAGCGGCGTCATCGGGCTCCAGGGCATCGGAGGTCTCGCGGGCCGCGTCCTCGGCGTCCTGGACGTCCATCATGGCAAGGTCCGAGTCGGCGGCAGCATCGAGGTCCAGGAAGTTTGTCAAGCTCGTGACGATGGTCGCGAGCACCAGGGAAAAGTCCTTGAGGAGGAACCAGACGTCTCCCTTCTTGATGTGGTTATCCCTGACCAGGGCCTCCATATCTCCGTGCTTGAAGAAATCGTAGAGGTATGCGTTCCAGGGGACACCGTTAGTGTCGTCAGGGAACAAGGGGATGTAAGGGATTGCCGACTCCTCCAGGAAGACTTCGCTTCGAACTGTCTCACAAAGCTCGTGGATCGAACCGAAAGAGTTGTCGCCGAAGCCGGAGAGTGCATGGAAAGGTGAACGGAGCTTTGTCGGCGGGTTGCGGCCCTCGCCAAAGATCCCTTCGAGGTCCCCTTCGCCTAGAACGCTCTTCGACGCTCCAGCTTCAGTCTTGGTGAAAGGCAACTGCTTGTCCGGCTTGTCGTCCAAGTGCTGTCGGACATACGTGCTTGCATATGTCTTGAATATGTCAAGAGTTTCCTGGTTGTGCTGCCTCAGAGTCTGCAGAGCTTCTTCCGGCAGAGGGGGGAGGAAAACGATCGAGTCAGATCTGGTGACGGCTGCGGTCCAGTCCTTCTTGAAAGTATTGGTCGAGATGCGGCCGAAAATGTGCGAAAGTACCAGGACAATCTCCAGCAGCGTGGCTTCGGACGCAGTGCGGAACTTCTCGCACAGCTTGTGGAAATAGCCCTCCTTGAGCAAGGAGTGGAAAGCGAACACAGAGTTCTCCGTAAAGTACAAATGCCCGACAAGGCCAGCAAAGTTGAGCGGAGTACCATCCTCAGAAAGAAGGTGTTGCCTTCGAAGGTACTCGATGGAGAAGCGTAGGTGGTGCTTAATCGAGAGCTGACCAGAAGGTCCACCAAGATACAATCTTGTCTGTGACAACAATGACTGGACTGCACCAACAGAGTATTCCGAGTTTTTGGTGTGGTGTAGTAGGCCGAGTGTCCGCAACACCAAAGAGGTCGACAGCGGGAAGTGTCCCCTAAGATCAGGCAGTCTGGAGGACACAATCTCGTACACCCGCTCTTGGGGCATGCCGACAAAGACGACGTTTCCGAGCAAGTCAAATCCTCTTCGACCTGCACGACCTGCAGCTTGATGATAGTTCAGGGCGGTCAGGAACACGGAGTCTCCGAAGAAGACGACCGTCTTGCAAGGCATGTTGAGACCTAGGGCTAGGGTGCCAGTGGCAATGACAACAGTGAGGAAGCCCTTTCGGAAGAGCATCTCGACGATCTGACGATACTTGCGGTTCATACCGGCATGATGGATGCCTATTCCGCGGCGAAGGGCGTTCAAAATAGCAGGATTGAGGTTCTTCCAGCGCAGCGACCAGATCATCCACTCCAGATCAGTGCGCGTCAGCTTGGTCTCGTCACCGAGGGAGAAGCGCTCGAGAGGGGCGTCTGGGTTGAAACCCGCCATTGTACTCGGGTCATCGTCCATCAGACCGTCAGGCACATCATCTTCGTCACGCTTGCCCTTCGCCTTGGCCTTAGTAGTCTTTTGTCTGAGCGCATCGGCCTTGGCCTGGTCCTTCTTGTACTGTTCCCATTTGGCGATCCTCTTTTTCCAGGCGGCATCAGTTGCCTTGAATTCATTCTCCGCCTCTTCCAGGTCAGCAAGAATGCGGAAGGCGATATCCTCACAGGCGTTACGGTCGTAGTTGAACAATATCGCTGGCAAGGCACCTTGCGTACGAAGGTCTGTCAATAGTGGGAGGGCGGAGTCTTCAAGCTCTTGACGTGAAGATGCCGGAACATGGCACTGTGGTTGCAAGTCCTTCTGCACAGCATCGAAAGGCGAGTTCCGATCCAGCATCCAGGAGTGAAGAGTTTTCTTCAAGGCAGCCTCGTACATGGCCACATCGGGCTTTGTTGCAACCTTGGGGAAAGCCTTTGGCGGGTTCAGATCTTGGCTCAATGGATAATCGGCATTCTGGTGCTTTGCCATGGTCTTCCACAAAAGGAGACAGTCACGGGGTTCCAGGGTGAGATCATCGAGGGTCTCGCGGTTCCTGTTAACCAGAGTAGCCACCGGATGGATTGGGAAGAAGTTCGAGGACTTTGCGCCGTTGTCGTCCAGACCAGGGATGGGTAGTCTCTCGACCGGGTCTAAGAAGTCCAGAGCGTACTCCTTGGAAGGTTTCCATAAGAACTTTCGCAGGTCGGAGTAACGTGTTTGATGAACGACTGTCTCGAACTCAAGCCCCTTCGACTTGGCTGTGCTCTCAAGCCATTGCCGGAACTCCACGGGGTTGCCCACGGTAGCCGACAGCGCGATGATAGGACATGGTGCCAAAAGGAGCAGCTGCTCCCAGACGACTCCATCTTCGGCCTGGCCGATGGAGTGGACTTCATCGAAGATAATGCGCTTAATGCGTCGCGACCATGAGTTTTCATGCTCCGCGTTAGACGGGGCCATCAGCATGATCTGCAAGATGTGTGGGACCGTGACTAAAACTTGACATCCCGCCGGGTTGTTGACGCGGTAGTCGCGAGTATGAATTGCCCACACAGACCTGCCGTCGTGCTTGTAAGACTTGGTGAAACGCGCCTGGATCTCGGCAGCAATCTGGTTGACAAGAGCCTTTGTTGGTGCGACATACACCAGCACACCGTCATCGGTTTCTTTGAGGACCTTCCTCATGGCATAGAAGGAGATGAATGTTTTACCGGCAGAGGTTGGGGCTACAACGAAAAGACTCTTGTCTGCATCGATGGCATTGAGAACATCCCGTTGCCAACCGTCCGGGTTGAAGGGAACACGTTTATCTGGGGCAGGATCGAAACTTCGCTCGAGGAACGGTCCACAGTGTTGTAGTTGGAAGTCGAGGTTGACAGGTGCCAGGTTCGTGACCCCGTTCTTGGCATCGAAGACGCAAGAGAATGGAAGTTTTCTGGTGGAAGGCGAAGAGGGATCGCTAGTGAACTCTGCTGGGATTTGCAGAGACGCGGCAAGAACGTTGAGCATCTTAGCAGTAGGCGGACTCAGGTTGGAGTTGTCGATGCTGCGAATGATAGACCAAATCAGGGCTGTTAGGCTCTGTCTCGCCTTGGGTGCATCCCCTGCTTGGACGAGTATGGCAGCGAGGACATTGCAAGCATACAAGGAGACTTCAGCCCCGATAGAAGATGCATGATCCCCAGACAGAGAATTGAGAAACTTGATAGTCTTGAGATATCGCTTGATCAAGTCTGGCTCCGAGGACAATTCCCTGCACCGCTGCTCCCACCAGACCAGCCTGTCGTTTGTTTTGGAAGAGGCTTTCTTGTCCTGTATAGCCTGACGGGCCTCCATGGCCAGCTCCTTGCCACTCTTCGCCTTGCCCTTCTTTCCACCCTTCTGTGTTGGTTGTTTAGTGGGCTTCTTCTCGTCGTTCTCCTTCTTGGCTTCTTTCTTGACTTCCTTCTTGGGAGCCGAGCTCGGGTCCCGATTGATGCCTCCGATGATGACCTCAGGTTCGATACGCTTGCCAGATGCGTTGTTCAGACTCGCCGAGTATGCGATTGTACTGGCCATCTGCTTCTGATCGGCCCTCATTTCCCGCCAGTTCTTGGGCGGCGGAGGGCGTCTGCTAGCCACAGACACACGGGCATTGTGCCAATGTGTCAGCTCTCTGAAGATCTTGGGAAGGGCTTCCTTCCCGGAGTCGTCCGTTGGGACAAGGCGGATATCTTGCAGATAGTCGTTGAGTGCAGGATGGCTGAAGGGTAGAACGCCACGTTCATTCACGACACCCTCGCCATTCTGGACACTCTGCCGAGCAGAATCCGTCGATGACTGAAGAGCAGACAGGGATTGCCCAATACTAACACTCGTCAGTTCCTGCAGCTTGTTTGCAAACGCATGTACTGCTGGGGTCAAGGACCCGGGAAGCTGTGGCTTCTGGCTCAGGATGAATCCCAGGAGCCTTCCGTCCAAAAGGTCGAAGAGGTCCCAATGCAAGGAATGTGCAGCTTGATCGAGTAAGGCGACGCTTGTGCTTGAGAATTCTGCCAAGAAAGCCTGCGTGTCAATCTCACCTCGATCTTGGACGGGACCGAAAGATCGCTGTGAGAGAGGCAGTTGTCGCAGGAGAACGAGATGAATGATGAATGCTGAAGCAAAGGCCGAGAATTCGGCCGGGTCATCCTTGTGCGCTGTTGCCATGATGGCAAGCGCACGTAATGAGATGGCTTCTCGAAGAGACAGAGGCTCGTCGTCTCCCCATGGTGACCATGTTCCTATGTCACTTTGGTCTGCGCCATCACTCTTGTCCTCTCGCGCTGGAGGCTGGGGTATGGAGAGCGGGGCGCGCTGCAGATTTGGAAACGGCGACATGACAGACGCACGGACCCTCGAGCTGGAGAACTCGACGCTGTTTATGAAGGCGAGGCAGTATCCTCTTGCTGCGAAGTGATGAGCAATGCCCAGGTAAGCCTCTTCTGAGCTGGCGGAGCATTCCCCAAAGGCGGGAGCATCCAGACACATGAAGCAGTGAACAGCATTGTTGATGAGATAGTCATGGAAAGACGGGCTATCTAGGCCGTCAAACTCGAAGGATATGGCCGTGGCATCCTGAGTGGCGACAGCGTCCTGCGACGGCTGTTGCCTGTTGAGATGGCGGATGAGAATTGCCCGTATCAATAGGTACTTGGGTGACAGCACATCAGTGGCTTCACGCGGCAGACACAGTGCCTCGTGGTCGCGGAACCAGATGACATGGAAGTTCAAGCCACGGTCCTGCAGCCTTGTGAGGAAGCTCTCAACCGCATGAATTGCGTGCAGAAGCTGGAAACCACCTGCGAGGGTCACACATTAGCTAGTGATCGTCAGGGCATGGCAGTTGAGGCACTTACTGGCAAGGTCGACCTTGGCATTGGTGATGCAGTAGAGCATGAGGGCATCGCCGTGGATGGCGAACAGCTCCTTGCCTGCGAAATCGCCAACAAGATCAACCGAGAGAGGGTGCAGCAGTTTGTACCAAGCTGCAGGCCCAAGAGGGCCGACTTGGTCCTCAGTCGACGACGCCATGCTGTGTGACGTGTGCGATAGGCCTCAGCGGTGTGTTTTGTTGCTGAGGGTCGACTGTGGGAGGGGGAGGAGAGAGGAGAATATGAGATGGGCAGTGGGCGTAGAACGTGGTTGATGCGGGAAAACGGTTGAGGACACAGGTTGCCTTTGCACAGCGTGTTCCGTGTTGACTCGGTGCAGAGGTTGCTGCTTGCTTGTTGTGCTCCTTCCTGCAGCTGCACTGCACCTATCTGCACCTGCCCATGCACCTGCAGGCTCGGCAGGCAGGCGGGAAGATACCTGGCAAGCACTCTGAAAAACAAGCACGGAGGTCTGCAACTGGCACCGAGCGTCTAGTTTCAGGCAGACGTTCGTCCCACTGATGACGTTCCAACCAGGAACCTTCAAAGTCCACGGCTCTCTCGCTACGACGGGTCTCCAGCCCTATGTGGGAAATAAGAGCCAAAATCCAAAGCATACAAATCAGCTGCTTGGGTATTTCTCATACTTTGAAGATATTATCGTGTTGAATTAAGCATTATCGAGACTGTCACGTCGCCGTGCGTCGCCGTGAGCCTCATTCTGCCCTATCTTGCTCCGTACGCTTGAAACGGAGATCTGTGCCGTTTCTCCCCACCCAAAGGGGACCCACCTACCCACCCACCTGCCAGCTACCCCCAACCCTTGCGCATCACTTCCCCTTTCTCCCACGTCGGTATTTGCCAAGGAAATCCGGTAGGCCAACTTCAATTCGCATATCCAAGGCCATGGCCAAATCGAAAGAGTGGGTCCTCTGTATCGAAGGGCACATCCTCTCGACTCTCGCTGACAGCCTTCATCGACCTTGGCAGGTCAAAGGGCAGCCTGCCCCGAGGCCATGATTTGCCAACGCCCAAGCAGACGTCGAGGAAGGCATCCGTGTTGCTGCCATAATTCGCCGTCAGCGCGCTTCCAACCCAGCCGTCTGCGCTGGCAGCTGCCTGCGCCTCGACGATGGGTGTAAGGACAGCCGGGCGATCGAGATACACGTCCAGGATCGATATGGGCACCGTCCTGATCAGCTCCGAGATGCGTCTCGCTTCCTCCTCGGGATATTCAAGCGAGCCTGACCGGAACAGCGACTCGAAGCCTCCCGGCCGGGGCTGGGACGGAGCTTTCAGTCGGATTAGCGCGATGTCGGCCTCGTCAGGCGTGTCGACGACCTGCAGGCCCCGGCGGCGGGCAACTTGGGCATCCAATCCCTCCACGTAGAACTTCTTGTCGTGCTGGGAGGCAGGGATGGGCATCACCTGCCCGTGGTTGCTGAGTATCGTGAACGCCTCCCGTTGCGCAGCCTCGCCGAGGGCAACGAACTCGGGCTTGCCCGCGACCCTGCCGGCTTTCTCCACGTCCACGAAGCGCCTGTCGTCAAACAGGCCTAGCACGAACTTCTCCCTGAGCACCCGGCGGACCGACTCATCAATGCGAGCCTCTGGGATGAGCCCTTGCTCCACCGCCTGCACGACCAGCTCGGGCACCGACTCTCCGCCGAACTGGTCGCACCCTGCGTCGAGAATCTTGACCGTTCGCTCCAGCTCACTCAGGTGCTCGCAACCCCAAGCTCGTGCCGGCAGGTCTTGGCCCAGGATTTTTGCGTCCGTCACGAGGCCCCAGTCGGTTAGGACGACGCCTTCGAAGCCTAACTCTTCGCGGAGGAGGCCTGTTATAATTCCCTTGTTGAAGCCAAACCCAACTTGCTCGTACTGAGTCCCGACTGGCATCGCATACGAGGGCTAGGCGACCACGCATGATTAGCTCTCAAGTTCCTCATAGCATCAAGTCGGGAGTTCAGGTGGGCCCTAATAACATACCATGATCTGCCTTGTTCCAGCCAGAATTGCCTTTCTGAACGGCTCCAAATGGTACTCGAACTTTCCTCCAGGGTAAACTTGCTCTTTGCCATAAGTAAAATGTGAGTCCTCCCCGTCCATCTCAGGGCCAGCCCCGGGGAAGTGCTTCGTCGTGGTCGAGACGCTGTCCAGGCCGTCCTCGCTCCTCGACAGCCGGCCCTGCAGACCCTCGACACAGGCGGTCACCAGCTCAGAAGCCACGTCGGCATCCTCCCCAAACGTCGAGCTCACCCGCGCCCACCGGTACTCGGTCGCCAGGTCGGCCTGGGGGTGCAGCGCCACGCGCAGCCCGACGGCAACGTACTCCTGCCGCACGATATCTGCGAACCGGCGCGCCAGCTCGGGGCTGCGCAGCGCCGCGAAACCGAACGTCTCGGGCCACTGGCTGAAGGCACCCGCTCTGCAGCCGGTGCCGATGTTGGTGTCGAAGTGGTTGCGCGGGTCCGTCGACAGCGTGACGGGTATGCCGAGCCTTGTGTGGTCCAGCACGTGCTGCTGCACCCTGTTGTGCCAGCGGGCCACCATTTGTGGATCCGAGATGGGGCCGAGTAGGTTAAAGTGCGACATCTTCTTGTCCTCAAGAAGATACCGGGTCGCTGGTGCCCCGTGGGATGGGTAGCCCTCGGAGAGTGTGCCGTCCGGGCCGGGCGCGATCATATTGTGGAATAGCTGCCCTGCCTTTTCCTCCAGTGTCATTCGGGACAGGAGGTCCGCCACTCGCTCGTCGACGGAGAGGCTGGAATCATTGTACGGGTTTTGTGGCTTCGACATGGCCGCCTTCGTCGCCTTCGGCGATAAAGTTCTGGAGTAGTTGTCTGGCGTGGGTCTGTGACCGGCAGAGGATTGCCTCGGGCTTAAATCGTTGGCCGTCATGATGAAGCACTGATGCTGCAAAGTACAGGGAGCAAAAACCAAAAAGACTCAAATCGTTCTCACTTCAATCTTGAAAGGCATTTCTTGGGTCTATCGGCAATTCTAGGACATGCAAAGGACTTATAAGAAGAAAGAAGTGGATAGAGACACCAAATACGATAGATCCGTCAGGCAAGATAACTTACATGATAGCCGGTAGAACAAGACGAAGACCAAGAAAGGACGCATGTGGACCCCTCTCGTTCACACGATGTCAAGCCATGTCCAGATCAAGCAAGTCTCACGGCCCACCAGACAGTCGGGATTACCACGGATAAGCACACGGCCTAACACCAACATAGACAAATCAGGCGTTGCGCGGCAGCTGGTCTTGCATTTTTGGCGCGCGAAGCAACACCACACCACACAAGCGCCAGAAATGCAGCCCCGACGTTGCGCAGAAGCCGGTTGCGTTTCTCCTTTTCGTGGGTCAGGGGATCCGGAGGGGGGATCATCCCGGTGGGGCTCATGCACGAGGGCGACAAGTCGTTTGACAGGTTCGCGCTGGACTACTGCAGCCGAGGTTTAGCCGGTGTGGTGTGGTCTAAAAAAAGGTGCTGGTGTTGGTTTGTCTTGTCTGGTCTTGGTTTCGCGAAAACTCCGTCTAAACCTCGGCCGGGCGGCCTGCCGCTGCAGGCGACCTTTGCTTAGCCCTGTTGCTGGGAGCGACTCAGGCGTTTTATTTCCGGGTGCGTATCATTACTCCAGTGGTTCATGCCTGCGTGTTCTTATTAATGGGTTGGTCTTTCGACCGCCGATCTGTCAGAAGATTCGGACTCCTCGTTTTGGCATGAAGACATCTGGAGCGTCGGAGCTTTCTGCTCTCACTATCCAGGTACAGATACTAACTAGCTACGCCAGGCGAGAGTGTTGGTCACTGCCGTATTTTGAGTGCGAGTTGGCCTGGCTTTCAAGTATCTGTGCACTTTGTTCAGGATCTTGTTTCTCGGGCAGATAAGCACGCAGCGACCAAGATTAGGTTACCGACGTTGTCCGCATCTTGTATCGGGGCCAATTACACTGGCACAGTGTGGCATGTTCGAAAGGCGCCAAAACACGCAAAGACACTGGCGATGGCCATTTTTAGACTGGGCAGATGGGTCATCTTTTATCGCAACACCTCCAAGCTTTGGGGTTTGCATTTTCCAGAAAGCCCGTGCAAGATCACTGGTAAGGTTCAATGTCATCATAAACACACGATCGGACTAGAGCTTCCTGAAGCTCTCCAAATTCAGTTACCCGCGAAGCGAGCCAGCTCGGGTAAATGCCGGGAAAGAGCCACGTGCGCCGCCCCCGTTGAGTCGATGTAGGGCAAAAGTAAGATACGTGAGCACTGTCTGAAGAGATCTCAAGGTTGTCTGCGGATCTGGACAGCCCGTTGACTGATGATTACGCTCGAGGCTCGGCGAAGACTGGTAAAACACTTTGCAGCCTTGCCAAAGCGTCAAGCATAATCCATGGATGTCAGTGAGTCTGTCGAGTTGAACTTACCGCGGACACGTTCTTCATGCCTGGGTAAATTACTACCTAGGGACGGCTAGGCTCCCGACGTCCACTTGCACAGTTGCAGATGAAGACGCAGTGCATAGTATGTATAAAACACGTCACACAGCCGGGCGAAACCCTGCCGCATATCAAGACACGGCCTTCAAAGACTTAGGTGGACACATATAGCTCCATTCGAGAGGGTAAACAGCAAGTCGTAAATATTTTAGTCAAGCCCCGGTCCAGCATTCTCGATCTGTGCTACAAGCCAAATCTAGGTCTCATCTCTTCGAACACGCCTTTCTTCCCTTTACACAAAGTACCGCGGTGCTCGCTCTCGCCCGAGATTTCCATGTGTAGACTGGGTTAATGCGGAGGCTCTCCCAATGTAACACGGCAGCAGAACGGCGTCTCACAGGCTAGTCTGAACACATGGAAGTCCCGAAACCGGATAGTCCGTGCCAAATATGCTGGATGTGGGGTAGTGTTGGCCATCCGGAATAATCGCGGACGGGAGGTGGGGGAGCCGTTATGGTGGCCTCTTTTGGGTAGCGTCCATCTACTGGTTGATAGAGACGTTTCCCTACGTAGTGAGTTGCCAAAGGATTTGTTCCGTCGTCGTCGATTGACTCTTTCGACCATTGCTTTCAGCAAGCGGAGAGCATATGCGCTTCCGGATGGTCGATGTGGTCGAACGCTGTTGCAGCTTCATCTTCGTGACAGGATGCGGAAGATACAGCGAGAAGGACACTATGATGCCGATATTGAGCTCGATGGCACTGTTTAAGTGTATATATGTATCAGAACTCCGACAGTAAGTTCGAACCCGACTTGATCATACCTGATACCATCTCTATGGTTTTGTTCCACAAGTCCTCGCTATGGTAGTGGGTGACAAATTCTACCAAACTTAGAAACAGGCCAGGCTAGCATCAGCGAGACTTTGAAGGTTGTGTTGCTTCACAACCGGTGCCTTGTCGGAGATGGATTCAAAAGGACTTGCACCATGCCACAGGCGGAGACGGCGGCCACTCCAAGCTTCGCTTTAGAATATTTCTCACCATGAAGTCGAGGTGTCTTGCATTGGTAACACAGTGAATAGCGCAAAAGGAATCCTCTTGATTATTTCCTAGCAATATCTGAACAAGTTCAAGCCCAAAAGTCCGCCGCGCTAACGATTGCGTCGAGCTCAGTGAAGATTTCTGCTATTATACACTGCCCAGATGCCCTTCTGACAACAGCGCGCACCCCATACTCCTAGTAACTTGCCTATTTCCATTCCTTTGGCCCAAAAGTCTCTCCATCCGCCACTGTCAGTGGAATTGAAGCACCTTGTGTATCCAGGTTGTTGAAGGCGTTGGTGATGTTCGGGTTTCCATCCGCGGGTGGGTTCATGAACCACTGAGGCGGGTTGACCTTCTGGGGCAGGATGAGAGCAAAGAAGATAATCAGAGTGCAGATGTACAAGCCGGTGTCGAGACCCGCCGACGTGATGTAGTTGTACTGTGCCCACCAGCCCCTGAAGCGGCGCTTGAGGAAGCCGTTGAAGAAGATGCCGACGGCACCCCAGCACAGGTAGATGTAGACTGTTGCTGGGGGAATCCAGCCGGTACCGCCGAAGATAAGCGGCCAGTGCAGGTAGCGAATGCTGCTACGCGGGAACCGCTTGGCGGCGAAGTAGGTGATGACGGGAAGTGCGGCGCCTGCCAGCCAGTACCACTGGAGCGCCGAGTAAATTCCACCGGCGCCGAAGACGCGAGCCGGACCGATGACGCCCCAGACCACGGATGCGGTGTAGAAAACACTAGCTCCTGGGCAGGTATAGCCGTTGGGCTGGTCCGATTCGCAAATGCCTGGGATGGTTCCGAGTGCCCAGTTGAAGACGGCAACTTGGACGATACAGGACCAGACACAGGCAACGACTTGCGCGGTGAAAGTAATACGGGGCTGTCGGGAGAGCATTCCGTCAGCATGGCCGGAGGAGCAGAAGTGGTTTGGCTTGGGGATGACTTACCGGGACCTTGAGGTAGTGACCGAATTTCATGTCCTGAATAAAGTACAGAGCTTGAGCCATTGTGATGTAGCCAAACGTCTTGAAAAGCATCATAGCTATCGGCCGCCCCGGAAGCATGTAACCGACCATGAACTCGGTCAACACGTTGAGTCCGAGCTGCGTGTTGGTGGTACCTTGAACCATGCCGATAGGGACGAGGAAGACAATGGAGAGCAGGAACGCAATGATCAGCGCCCACCACGTCAGATGAGTGTCCCAGACCAGGACCGTAACCATGGACAAGGCAAACAAGATAGCGAACAAGGCGTAGTACCACCAGTTGGGGGTGTCTCTATACTTGCGCATCATCTTGAGATGGACATCGGCGTCCTGGTTCCGCGCCAACTTCCAGCGTTCGACAATCTCAGCACCGTGGAAGATGGCCGTATGCACGATGACGGACGACAAAGCGCCAAAGGAAACGCCGTAAGTGAGGGAGAAGAAGGTCCCCAAGAAGAGGGGCGAGTACTGCTTGTAAGCGGCAACATCAAGTGTCTTCTCGGGCGTCAGGATCTTTGTCACGTTGTATGCCGCACCGGTGTTGTCGAACGAGTGTGTCTAATACGAACAGATATGTAAGTGAGTGACTTGATGCAGTGGGACAATGGTCATCGCAGTTGACTTACGCTCGCGATTGGTAGGTACTGAGTCCACCAAGTATTGGTGTAGAACACTCCGAGCCCGGCCGCCAAGAAGAAGATAAAGACACCGATCAGCGTGTTCACGATAGAGAATAGAGGGTATGGCAAGGGGCTGCCAATGAAGGCAGTCATGATAGTCCAGTCAAAAGTGATTGGGAGCTGTCCGGTCAGCTGTGGCTCGATTCACAGTAGAAGTTGGGAAGAGGGCTCTGGTTGCGACACTTACAAGACCGAATCCAGCGTTGTTGCCGAAGATCTGGTTTACAACCATGTTGTTGGGCGCGATCCAGCAAATCCAGTCGAAATAGGTCAGTCCCTGGGCAATCCAGCCTGGGAACCAGTACCATGTAAAGCTCCCAGCAAAGACGTAGAGGAAGTATCGGTATCTCCCAATGCTCCAACCATTTGCAAGGGCGGGATCGGTCGGTTTGTGGTCGTGGAGAGTGTACATAAGAGCCGTTTGGGCAAGCGTTTGAGGCCAGATCATTGCAGCAGGCCAGACCAAGAATCGGCGCACGATTCCGGCCATGCCGAACCCAATACACTGTGTGGTGAGTACCAGGAGCATCTGGAAACCCCAGCCAAAGTGCTGCTTGTAGAAAACTTGTTGAGCCAGCAGGACGTCGGTGGCATAGGCGACACCACCCTGGATAGACACAGATGACATCATGACGATAATGGCATGCTCCTTCATGTTGAAGGGGCCAGGGTTGAGGTTCCATTTCAATCCAAATGTGTTGAACTCGTGGTTCGGTAGGATCTTTGCAGCCAATGTTTGTCAGATACCTTGTGTTCGTTCTGGTAGTGTTTAGAGTGACTTACACGAGCCATGCCGCATCCCACCGGATACGCAAGCAACTGCACAACGTAGACATAAATACTGATTGACGGGTTGCGCAGAGAGAACAGCAGGTTGACAGCCGAGACAATTGTAGTCGCGGTCAGACCAATAAACCAAGCCCTGATAGTGTTTGCCGGCATTTCCTCGTCGTAGTTCCGCACCGAGGCTCTGACTTCGAAGTAAGGTGAGTCCTCCTCGAGCAAGGCGTGCTCGAAGTTGGCCTTCTTCTCGACATCGTCGGTCTCAGCGACCTTAGTGGCAGCTTCCTGTCCATCGGTTAGTACCAAGTATGGTCGCGACTCGTTCCAGAGCGTCTGCTATCGATCACATGGCAACACCTTGCCGTCGTCTCTGCTGTGATCTTCTGCTATGATCTTCTGCCGGGACACAAGAACACCCTCGACCAGTCATGGCCGGCAACGACATGCATATGCATATGCATATGTGAATAGAAAGGTGTCAGAACGTACAATAGTGTCATAATCAAGGTTATAGTCCCATTGATGCGTCTTCTTGAATTTCTTCAGCTGATCCACGCCGGAGGCGATGGCGGCGTCTTCCTGACCAGGACTGTCGGTTCGGGGAACAGTCTTGCCATCAGCGTCGACTTCACTGACGTTGGTGGGCGCGTTCCCTTCAGTCACGGGATGATCAGTCGTCCGCCGGGCGAACGGCTTTCGGATGTTGAACGGCATGTTGCAGTATCCAAGGCGCAGCCAAGAACTCCCGCAGCCTCAATGCGATTCCGGACAGGCCCAATTGGACTGGTATGGATACGCAAGATACAGAGGGGAACACAAGCACAGGGCGCAACCAGAGAACAGGCGCGATCGACGTGGTAATTATATCACCCACCGAGCAGGTTCTCCCCCAAAGTTGCACAAACCAGGGCATGCGGGTTGGCACCCAGATAAGCTTTCCAAGGTGGCACCGTCCAGGGTCTGTCCTGTCGGGCCCCCTGCTCCAAAGGGACCAACACCATCTCCGTCATATCACCAGTGGACCAATGCCATGCATGCAACCCAGACGCCACAGCACAATCGAAGCTTCCCCGCGCGCCAGAAGGATCAGGCGGCAAGGGGGCGTCCTGAAGCTAAGGTGCTGAAGGAGTCGCTGAATGACGAATGATCGTCGAACCATCACCGGAATCAACACGAGACCACTATCGGTAACCAATAGGCCACAGACCCAACCCGGGGAAGGAGAAAGGTAGGAACCAACCTGGTCAAACACCTGCCAAGAAGAGAATGGCTCGCGCTGACCTTTATCAGGCACTCTAGACCGACGTTCCGGATCAGCTGCGTCGGAGACCTGCCCTGCCCCGGCGCGGGGTTTGAGGGAGTCAGCCGCACACCACTTGACCGCAGACTCGGATGTCACCTCGAGCCTTCCAAGGTTTGGGACCTGAAAGAATCTCAGCAAACCATACTTAGGTTCTGAGCTAGTCAAAGAACAGCGATGTGAGGCTACTAGTACAAGTTCTCGTGACCCTAGTCCTTAAGTTTTACACCCTTTCGTGCAGCGGCGCGGTCATGACGCGAACAACAGTCTTCATTTCAGAATGAGCACCCATTCTTCCAGAACATTTCAGCCAGATGCCCACATCCCTTATAGGCTTAGCTCAACGGCAAAGTACGACAAGCTTTCCTGGGCAGACTTAGCTATACGCCAGCAGCCTGGGCACGCCCGCGCTAGGCTCGTTTACAGTAGTCTGGCCCGTAATGGGGTGATTTGGCTGACAAGGATCCGCGAATGACAGGACCTGTTCGAAAGATCGTTCCAAATCCGGAGGAAGATCTTCGACGCGTCGGCAAAAGGCTCAAAAGGATGTCATTATGGCTCACGCCCTCTCATCACTTCCTTGCTGATACGTTCGAGCGACAGGCACAAGAGAGACACGCATTTTCCGCGTCATGCTGTGAAAGGGACTGTGCGATGTGGCCCGCTGATAAGAGTCCCCATCCCTTTGCTCGGGAAAGCTTATGCGAGTTTATATTTGTGGAAACGTTTATCATTAGCCGATGATAAGGACTTCAATTCCTGGAACCCCTGTTCAGGGCCACATCGAACCCATCGTTAGACATAGCCGCGACAGGCATTGATTCCATTTCGGCCAAATTGCCGCAGTGTTAGACTTGATCTAGACGCTCAGTAATCGTGCCAACACGAATCAGTCACATCATGGGCAACGTTAGTTTCCGGTCTTCCCATCCGGATGTTATCATAAATCAGAAGAAACTTCTCCAATAATTTCCGAGGATCACTAGAAGAGGTCTTGCACTGAAATGGACAACAGACCTCTGGACGCTTTGCATGGACTGGCGCTACCAGAACACAGATTTCCACATAATTATCGACTTGACTCTGGCAGGACAGCTCTTCACCAGCACAAGTCTCCCTTGTCACCAAAATATTGGGCCGGGGTGTTCTCTGTCGAGGGGCTGTCTGCCTGGAACCGCGTGACTTTCAAGGTTCTGACCACTCAAACTCTGATTACCCGTTAATCAGAGGACTGCTCACATTCCAGCCGCCGGGGCGACAGCTTCGCCTAGCTGTGTGTGAGCCCTGGGCGGTGTATTCAAGCCAAATTTTCATGGTGGGCTTCGCTAGTCATTAACTTGTGCCTGTCTACTTGCCGGAGAAGCCTCAGTATGAATTGTTCGCTGGCTAACGCCGTTGGAAAAGTCTGAGAGCCTCTATTCGAAGGGTTACGACCTCAAAATCCAGAACCTCCACCGAGCCCGGTTGTATATTGGACCTGTTAGGTCGACCTGGCGGCCCTTCTCCTTGTTATCCGCCTAGTTGATGGAGATTGAATTCGCCTAGACGGCGCATGGCTTCGAAGGATACCGTATTGCTACTAGTGCCTGGAGGAGATTTGCTGTTATCTTGACACGCGTCTCGTTGCAAACTACCTTCTTGTGCTTGATCTCATGCCCCTAGAAGTACGATATTGCCTTGAAGTCTCGGTCTTCCTCCAGGTTCACGATCTTGAGCTGGCAGCGCAGCGGTTGCCGGCGTCTTCCAGGCTCCAGGATCCGGAGCCTAATATATGCCCCATCCGGCAGAGGGTCATATACACCGGTTTGGTGATTCCGTGGCATAGCGTTTATTGTCATATTGGGATAAACAGAATTAAATACTGCTTTGCAGACGATGATGTTGGATGTTTGAAGGGATGGCATTTCTATAAGAAATTCAGTAAATTCGCCTCTTGTCAGTTATACCTCGGAGCCTGCAAAGTGGAGGTGGTCGTGCGGCTGACTGCATTTATTAAGGCAACCAATACGAAAGACTTCCGCATACATCTAGGCAACTCGTGCAACACGTCTACCAAATCAATAGCGCACGCCTCACTTAATACAGGTAATATCACGGATACAACACCAACATAGCCACACTATTCCAAAGTATTGATATGGCATAAGAGCCCGCCCTATAAATCCGAGCGAAAATTATTGTGTACCAACACGCAGAGCTGACGGTAGCACTTTTGCGCCATAGACAAGGCTACACATAGCGCTTAAAGATCACCACGTATCTCAAAGCGGTGATGAGGCCGAAGTCTGGACGCCGGGAATCTCAGCGCCGCAAAATGCAATTTCAAAGTCGAATATCTGAGTCTTTTCAAGGTACAGCGCCTAGGAGATGCTTAGGAGCCTGACTTCAGGGCCAGGACCGATCTTCGCTAACCATGCTTTTCCTTGGCCGCCTTCTCCTTGTCACCTTGGGCACCTCCGGCCTCTGGGGAAGTCTTGTCCTTGACATCCTTCTTCTCATCGGTCACCTCCTGCCCTCCCCCTTCTGCCCCTACGGGCTTCTCAACCTCGTCATCCTCCTCACTGTCGTTGTCGTAGCGACCACTCTCAATCTCCTCTAATCTTCTCATAGCCTCCTCGGGCCCGACCCCTTTGGAGGGGCCACCCATGCCTAAGAGCTCTATGACTATGATTAGTTGGGAGATTCAGGGCTGTTACACGCTTGGGGGCTTTAGTTGCTGATATCCTCACCATCACGCTCCTCTAGGGACATGGCCTCAACCTTTGCCTTGATCTTAGCAACTCTGGCCATAAACTGGCTATCTGCAATGCTAGAACTTAGACACAAAGGTTGGTTGTCCTGGTCCGCCTGAGGAGCATCCCGATCGACTGGCTGCACGGTGGTTGCTTTGCCGTTCTTAGGTGTGGTCATAGTCGAGGACTGACTGAGCAATGAAGGATACAAAGATTGTGTTGAAATGCCGACCAGTATGCTAATATGATGAGAAGACGGATGATATAGATGACATCTGCTAAGCTGGATGGGGTTGACGGAGGTGCTGGCTGTGGCGGGGAAACTCAACGTGCAGCGAACGCAGAGTCTCTTGTATCTGATGTGTAGACCTATAGCAGGGAGGCTGAAGCGGAAGGGCAAAAATACCTAGGCACATGCGCCGCAAGACCCACAGTTGAGTTGGGCCTCCAGGCTGCATTCCTTGGCCCGACCCTTTGCTACGCCCCGCTGGTGCCCCTGGTGGGCTGCCTTGTGTCCATTGACTGCGCACGAAACAGAGGAAGCAGCCACGTCAAGTAAATCGACAAGGTGAGTGGATTTCTGTGGTATCTAGGTACTTGAAACGCTCAAAGCTGCTGTCCAAGTTATTTGAGTGACTTTGGATTATCCACACTTCCAACTCCTACGTTTACACTGATTTAAACAAAGCGACACCGTTTTAACCAAGGACATCCTGAGCATGAGTTGAATGTGACTCAACACTGACAGATGCAGATCTCTGGTGTTGACTTTTGTGCAAATCTTCATTTCATCTTATCACAGGACTTGGTATAAAGCTTGAATATCGAGAAGTAGGGATTAGGGACCAGCCCCGGATATATCGCCGCGGTGTTGCCAAACGGAGGCGCCTCCTACTACTAGCACCTCAGGCTTTGTATGCATGTGGTTGATATTAAATTCCAAGGTTGTCTGTCTTTTATTATTTATCCCAATTCTGTTAGATAACAAACATTTACCACCGTATGAAGGCGCCACGCATGTCCTCGGACGTCTGCGGAATACAAGCGAACCAGTTTCGCAAATATGATTGCGCAAAGCCATTTGCAGAAAAGTTCATTGTGTCGTATTGTCTGTTACGTGAACACAATTTAGGGTCAATCGAGAATTTTCTTTCATGTTTCTATTTTATTCTTTTTGGTTTTGATTGAGAACGATTGAACTGGAACGCATTGCAGCATGATTTTGTCCCAGCAACGTCCCGCGTGACCCATCAGATATACCCCCAGACTGGGAATTCGAAGTCTCTCAGCGCGAATCCCTCAGGCTCTCGTGAACTGATGCGCTAAAACGTGGTCCCAAGACCGGCTCGTTGAGCACGTGCGTTGAGCCCGCTTTCGTGCTCTGGCGCTCACTCGCCGGCTCAGGTGGCAGGGACCGAAGTTCATATCTCCCAGGCCCCTCCTCGACCACGAACGCGTACCCTCCTTCATCTTGCCGAAGCTGTACGACCACCTTGGCCGCTGTATCCTCCATCGAGCTCAGCTCCATGGGAGATGCTGTGTGTGTTGGGACCCCGTCTTCTTGCCCCTCGTGCCGCAGCTTGTGAAAGAATGGTACCAAGCTGCTGTGTTTCCAAATCGGCTGCACCTCCCTCAGCCGCCAGCTGTCATACGAGATGATGGCAAAGATGAGCCCGACCCATAGGACAAGGAACATGTGAAGAGTCAGCCACGGCCAGGAGACTTGGATGCAGACCGCAGACCGCGTGACGGTCCCCACTGCCCTTCCAGGCTCCGTCCCGTTTGCGTTCATGCCGGTCGCCCTCATGCGGGCGGTGATAGCCAGGCTTAGTTTCTCAAACGTGTCGGACACACTTGCCAGGGTAGCGTTGCCTTCGTTAAACAGCGGGGGGTACCACCACCTCTCAAAACAGTTGATCCACTTCCCACCCGGACCCCAACTGGCGGCTTTGCACGACGTCTGAAAGATGGCATGCAGGTACAGGTAGATTGCCGACACGAATGCGTCTTTGACTCCATAGGTACACTCCAGTGGCAATTCCACAGACTCGCCGTTGACGAGGAGGCTTGTGAAGTTGCGTCCGGGGGAGCGCGCTACCTGGGACAGATTTTTGGTAGTGTACCTCTGGCCGTCCAGAAAACAAGGATCCCTAATAATTTTATAAGAATCCACGTAGGCTGTCGTCAAGTCGTAAACCGGAATTGCATCCTCGTTTATCGACACGGTCTTCTCCTCCAGCTGGCCGCTGCGGATACTCGACTCATAAGTGCGTACGCACAGGTTCACAGAACAGTTTGCAGCCAGCAAGCCGACTTTGTTCTGTAAGCCTCGAAAACGCGAAGAATTGGGGCATTCGACTTTATCGTACCAGTCCGATCGGTCCGAATAGTTGGCAGGCAGTGAGCAATCCGCGAAAGTGAATGACATGAATTGAACACTTGCGGACGAATGGGAATCCCGGCCTACATTTGGGGCTTGGACGTTCATAAAAGGATAACTGTCATCACCACTAAATATAGTGTCGTCGCTGTCCCGCATAGTCACGTAAGTTGGGTCGGTGTCAGAAATGTTGTAAGACCAGTAATCCGGGCCGTCCTCCACTATGTGCGTCTCCACGACAAGATCTGTGATGTCCTCGCAGGAGCTGCAGATAGCCAGGGACGAGTAGGATGTTGAGCCTCCGCCAGGGCTTTGGAAGTCGCAATTTCCGGTACGACAGCTCGAGGAGGCTGACACCTGGTTGTCTTGGTCCGTCGATCCCACGATCCCTTCAAGCACGGCAATGCTCATCTGCGGGCTCACTATGTAGGAGTCGCCAGAGTTGTAGGTGTCGATATCCGTGCGGAAGTCAAGATACTCGGCGATTGGAACTGAGGCCGATTCGTTGTGAGACAGTATCTCGCATCCGAAGGTGCGTATCGTCTGCTGCGTGAACGGCCCTATGGCGGCAGAGAGGACAAAGGCAAGGGCACTGCAAAGTGCAACGAATCTTTTGAAAGTTGAATCAGCGTCTCAACTCGTGCGGAAGGAGTCCTTCAGGTTGAGCACTCACGATTTTCGTGGACGAAACAGAAAGTTCAATGAGCCCATCAGCCCGCGTGAAGCTTCATCAAAACGTACCATGTCTATGAGCCGTCTTGGGCGGCGAAACCAGGACCATTTGTACTGACTGATTGCTGTTCCGGTGTCAGTGATCACCTTTTGGCCGTACAAGGAGGTCAGCAGGGCCAGGATAAAGTATTGAACTGACCTTCTGCCGCAACCAGTAGTAATTGAGCTCTTAGTATCGTTGACAAGGTCGCCACTACTGTGTTGAGGTTGATCCAATACGGCCATTCTGGCTGCTCCTCGCCATCAAAATGATATAACAAGCTCACGATGGCAGCCAGAAGTAGCAAGGACACTACAACAGCTAGGCCCTCCAGCCACCAGGATATCAAAGGGCCTCGAGTTCTTCGAGACACGCCGATATGTTCTTGGTCTTTGAGACTTGTCCGGGAATCCAGGCCGTCCACTGTTACAGTCGGGGTTACAATCAAGTTCTCGGATTCCCTCGTTGGCGTGTCCCTCGGCATCATGATGTGTGTCTGGGTAGATGCGTAGTGGTAGGCGTATCATAATCAAAGCCTCTTAATCGAACATTGTGACTCGATTGTCAGCCCAGCACGGGAGGTTGGAAATTCTCGCATGGTATGATCAAACAGAACTCAGCCATGTCCGAGCTGAGCATTGCTTGCAGGACGATAAGGACATTTTTAGGCATCAAGGTCAGCTGGGCCGTACGTCGGCCCCTAGATCTGACATGCATATGCAAAGAGTCCCACATAGTGCTGTGGCAAAACCAATCATTCAAACCAGACGACTTATTGCAAGGAAATGTTTTTTTCCTCTTAAAAACCCCATACGTGGTCGCCTAAGTCATGAATGGTTTCGTCATCAATCCCCATACATCAATGATGCGAAGGCGGTATGCGGTTCCTTCATGCAGTGGAAAGGTCAACCTACGCCATGACGTTGAACTCCAGTGCCGGGGGCCTCTAATGCAGTCCACGGGTACCATTCTGTCTTCGCACGCCTGATACCACTGCACGCATATCCTAGAAATATGAGTGTGACCAGCAACATTTCCCCAATGATTTCATTCATGAACAAAAATGATTAACCGCAATTTGGCAGACTGCAACTCGAAAATGACTGATGGCTGATAGAAGCAGGTTGGCAGGTTCCGTATGACTGTAGGGGACTTCCGACGCGCTAAGAAAGCCGACCAATAATACAGCTCCAAACATTGACCGCCTTCCCCAAATGACCAAGTTTCTTTCTGCCACTGCCGCTCCCCGATCCCAGCTAAGAATAATTTTGGAGTCACTCGGCGACACCCAACCTCGCCCCCTCGCATCACTCGCAACGAAACAAACCAAGGCACTTGCCACTCGACGGACCACATCCAAGCCATTACAACGGACGTATCGCACCACTACAAACAAATAGAGATACACACAGACACAACCACACGCCCAAGATGTCCGACGACGAGGAGATCTCGGTCTACGACGAGGTCGAGATCGAGGACATGACGTACGACGAGACCCTGCAGACGTACCACTACCCGTGCCCCTGCGGCGACCGCTTCGAGATCGCCCTGGCCGACCTGCAGGACGAGTCCAACGACATCGCCGTGTGTCCCAGCTGCAGCCTGATGATCCGGGTCATCTACGAGGTGGTGAGTTTGAATCAATCAATCAAGCCAGCCAGCCAACAAGCTCCGCGGAGTTCTGACAAGTGTGCTCTTCTTGCGCAATAACAGGACAACCTGCCCAAGCCCGACGAGCCGGAACCCGACCCCGAGCCAGCCACCGAGGAGAAGCCGGCCCAAGTCGCCGTTGCCGCTTGAATCATGTGTGCGTGTGCAGACACGACGGATCCGTGGTGCCTGGGTAGAGAACTGTAACATTCTTGCGCAATACGTGGCGGGATAGACAAGCCGGGCCAGTCGTTATTAGGACACGCAAATCACGTTGCCCTTGGCCTGGCTGGCCGGTTACTCGAACCAAATGCGTGTCTGCGGAACACACCGCACAACATATGCACGGCGCAAACAAGACAGCGTTCAAAGATGAAGGGGGGGTTTCCTGCCATCGCCCGGGGGTACGGAGATGGCCCCGTGCAGGCAGGACGGCGACGCCCGCGCCTGCGCCTCGACGTCCGACGTGGGAGCCGCTGCTGGTGGGCCCAGCGCGGTGCTGCATTTTGCCGGCCAAGCAGAGCACTTCCGAGGACAAGAAGGGAGGACTACAGAAACCTCGGCAGATGACGGGGGCACCTGCTGCGCTGTTCAACTGTCAACTGCACCTGGGGCAAACTTGCCCCACGCCATGCCGGGGCTTCAACCTCGTGGGGCTGATGTCTCGGCGCCGAGGGGCTGGCGCTGGAATGAGAATTTCGGGCGCGGGCGCAACCGCAGCCGCAACCGCCTTGAGCCTCCCGGATGCGGGAACAATGTCTCGCGCAACTGGTGCGTTCTTCGTTGTTGTCCCGGCGGGATAGAATGTGATGTGATGTGATGGGTTTGGATAGATGCCAAAATGCTATTCTCTCTCAGATCCTGTCTAGATTAAGCATTATTGTCCTCATCCTGGGTTGCCCGCCCCGGCCCAGGCCACACATTGAGGACGATCCCCAGCCTCGCTTGTGCCAGCCGTGCGTCCAGAGACTCTCGTTGTCTCTCCCTCCCCTTGCGCCGTCTTTCCCCCCTCACCCTGCCACCAAATGCGAGAGAGCCCGGATTCGACTGTCTGCCAGCTTTCATCCAACTCCCCAAAAAACAACAACGAAGAAGTGAATCTCTCCCATGATTCCTGGGCCGTGGGCCGCGAGGTGAAAGACATGGGTGGTTGTGGGGTATGCCTGAATGATTGTCTCAAGTAAAGCAACAAAATTGGAAATAAAAATAGAAAAAAAGTGACACCGTCAAACCAATGCCCGAAAAGATATGACAAAAACTCCCCCGTGATGCATAAACTGTGCGCTATCTTTGTCTGTGAAAGCGCAGAGAGGTATCTTTCGTTTCGTTAAAAATCCGTCCATGAAAAAAGTGCCCCGGTTCGTGCGTGTGGTCCCGCCCATGAAAAAACAACTCCCCAGAATAAGATAAAAAAAAACAAGGTGAAAAGTTGGAAGTAGAGGACGGGGAGACAAGAAAAACAAGAGTGAAACGCATCAATGCCCATTGTCAGGGGACAAGAGCCAGATAGGAATGAAGTAACCCTCGCACATGTCCGGCATCATCTGCCTCTGGTGTTGATCTGATTTGATCCAATGCAGGGCTGTGGGTAGGTGGGGTGGGGTGAGGGAAGCCACCTCACAGCAGGCACAGCGACAGCGCAAAGAAGACCACAAGCCCCAGCATGCTGCTGTCGGTCGACAGGCCCTCCCCGGCCGCCGCGACGGTGCCGGTGGGCGACGACGGCGACGGGCTCCCGGTGCCGTCGGTGCCGGCGGTCGTCGTCGTGGCCGTGGACAGCGCCGCCGAGGCCCCCGACGACGACGCCGAGGACGTGCCGTTGGAGAGGTCGATGGTCACGGTGAAGCTGGCCGGGTGCGTGGACGTCGCCGAGACGGGCGGGAGGGTCCATGTCGTTGTTGCGGATGTGGTGCTGGGGCTGGTGCTGGTGCAGTCGGCGGAGGACTGCACTGCGGCTGCGACTGCGTCCGGGAGGGGGCTTGTGTTTTGGGCCTGGGCGAGGTGGGTTGTGGTTGTGGTTGCTGCGCCCAGGGCGGCGAGGATGTGGGAGGCGCGCATTGGGGTTTGGACGGGCTGGTACTCGTGGTGTCTGTTCGGTGTGGTGCGTTGCCCTCTTTTGCTTTGGCGACGGCGGTGATGTCCACGGGTTATGTGACGACGATATGTGTGGTGGTGTGGGTGGAGATGTGATGTTGTTGCGTGGTCTTTCTTCCCTGGTCCGGATATCTAAGTATCTATTCCACCTCAAAAATGCCGACGAGATAGGTTGTATTGTCTAGATAGACCGGGTGACTGGCCGAGCTGTTGTTGTTGTTGACCAACTTGACTGGACCGACTGATTGTGACTGACGGGCAGACTGGCTGGCCGAATGACTGATGGACCGGGCTGACTTGACTTGACCAGACCTGCTTGGACTCATCCATCTGACCAGGGGTCCAGGACGGGCAGGTCGGAGGCTTTTCAATCCTCTGCCTGGGGCCGGGCCTGGCGATGTGGAGTCGACTTGTGCCGGGAGGGGAGGAGAAAAAAAGGAAACAAACAAGACGGGGATGGCAGCACGCTTGACGTCGGTGACACTCGGCTCCTCAGTAGAGAGTCCAGGCTGCGGAAGCGAATGAAGGGCAGGGTGGACATGTGGAGCACGAGACAAGCAGCCAGAAGCAGCAAGCAAGCAAGCAAGCAAGCAAGCAGAGAAGAGAGAGTACGGAGTACGGAGTACCGTACACACTGCGCAGGGAGCGTGCAGTGTGCAAGCAGCCGGGGTTTCCCAATGCGGGTGTGCGAGTTAGTTGGGCCAGTCTTCTCGGTCTCGCAGGGCGAGGCGAGAGAGCCCAGATTCAGTCAGATTGAGCTTGACCCCTCGGCTTGTGGAGCCGCGGGTTGGGATGAGGGTGGTTGTGAGGTGAATATTAAGGCCGAGCGAGCCCCTGGATTGCCCTCTCACAAGGAACGGGGACATTTGCTCTCCCTCTTTCTCTCTGTGTGTGTGTCTTCGTTCAAGGTGCGGCGAGAAACGGGACGGGACGGCTGAAGGTGAGTTTTAGGTGAGGTGAGGTGAGCAAGCAAGCAAGCAGGCACGCAAGCAGAGAGAGGCTCTGATGTTTTGGATGTTTTTTTTCCTTGCCGAGAGCATGTGCGGCTATCGACCTTGCAGCAAGCCGTTGCAGGAGCTAGGTTAGACGGGGATGCTATCTGTAACATGACATGATGTGCGGCTTGTACGGTAGTAGTCTAGTGTGTGAGCACGCGAGAGGGGGGAACCTTGGAAAGCAAGAACATGCAGGCCGAGATAGCTGTCAGATTGACGGACAAGATAGACAAGATAGACCAGACCTGCACGACCTCGACGGACTGTGTTCGGAGAAAGGCGCTAGGGAGTAAGCAGGAGAGCAGGAAAGCAGACAAGCGAGGCAAACAAGGGTGGGCGGCGGCGGCAGCAGCAGTAGCAGCAGCAGTTCGTTGCGACCTCGAGGGGGTGGGTTCCCCCTGGTCACAGCCTATCAATGGTTTCAATCGGGCCACGACATGGCCGATTAGTGCACTCGTCCCCCTGTGCTGGTAGCCGGGGCGCAATCTGACATGCATGGGGGGCACGACATGGGAGGACAAGAAGACAAGGCCGCACAGTAACAGCGACGGGACCAGCGACGGTACGCTAACAGGCCTCATTAACATATAGTGTGGTACTCCCATACTGTGTCAAGGACCAGAACCAGGAACCACCACGACGGGACGTGGGCTGGCAGTCCCGGGACAGGACAGGCCAGGACAGGATGGGATTGTCAGTGAGGAAAGCACGGAGCAGGCTGAGGGCAGGGCGTACAGAAGTGTAGGGGTTTTTCGTGGAAATGCCTCACCAAAAGACGGTGAATGACTGGGGGATGAGACCCATCTGCCATGGTGAAGGAGGAGTGTGTGCCCAGGTGTGTGTGTGTTTCCCCGCGAACAACAACGAAACAAAACATAAGCATCAGCTGGATTCTGGTTGCTCGGCAGTCGGCAAGTGTGAGAGTATGAGAGTGATGGACAGATTTACACTCGTGGGGCTGGGGAAGCACATGTCGCGAAACTCAAAACCACACAACATGCACACTCTCACACACTCTCACATACTCTCACACACGCGGATGCAGGGAGACCAAAACGAAACCCCAGCCATCAAGGAATGACTGACCAACTGGCTGGCAGACTTGCTGATGAGTTGCCGTCCAATCCATCGCACAGCCAGATGACCTTGTTAGCTGGCAGGCTGGGTGACGACAACATGCAACAGGCAAGGTTCGAGAGAAGATCAACATACTTGCCGGGCTGCAGCATGTCGCATGCCATGCATCCATCCCACACCCGCTTTGATGTCATGGCCCGCTGCATTGCTGCACCCTAATGCTGCACTCGGGCTGTCGGGAGAACAGGCATGCTGAACTCTGCGGCCCTCCCAACCTCCATTCCATCCACCCACCCATCACACCCTGCCTGCTCCTGCTCCTGGCCTGGCCTGGCCTGGCCAATTGACCACTACCAGCCAACCAGCCCAGCCCAGCCTGTCTCCATCAGCTGCAAGTCGGAACGTCGGCAGAGGTGAAGCCTGCAAGCACACTGCAGTGTTGGCAGCTGATGGATCTCCTCTCCAAAGTACGTGCGTGGCTGCATCCTGCGAGCACGCACCTGGCAGCCTTCAACAACAAAAACACCGGGGGCCCGACCATCTGGTCCAGAAGAAACCGTTGAACAAGAACAAGTGAGAGAGAGAGAGAAAAAAAAAAGTCAAGCACACCCTGATTGGACCGGCAGGGGGGGCCCTGGCCCTGTGAGCCTGAAGGTTGCAACCCCCACGTACCGTTGCTTGCGTTGGTTCCGCTGGGCCAAGGCTCTTTCTCCTCGTCCAGCCGGCCCATCTCTGCTGATGAGCCTACAGTACAAGCCTGACAAGCCTGCGATCGAGATCCGTTTTTTTCTTGTTTTTTTTTCTTTGGTCCTGCCAAAATCCCCTTCATTAATCAGCCATAATTAGCCACATATTGGCAACATTGTAATGTGGCAACGCGTGGCGATGCACAATCTCCACCCAGTCAGTCAGCCAGTCTCTTCATCAATGTTGCTTCTCCATCCAGCCCGCCAGCACGAGATCAGTCGAGCAAAGCCACACCAGCATTGCGCTCCTGTTGGTGTCTGCAGATGATCTGCCCCCCTCCCTACCAGAGGACGGCTCATCGTACACGCAGCTCGGATCGGAAATAATGGCTGCCCTGCTGGCTGGCTGCCTCCCCCGTCGGCCGGCACATGCTCGCTCGGCCAACCGTGTCAACAAACCTCATCAACTGAGACGCTCAACTCACTCACTCACACATGCGCCCCAGGTCACATGAGCATCCAGTGCATGTAACTACCAGCTGCACCGCTCCACTCTCGCCCCACAGATACATCGCTGGCTGTTGTGCCCGCCCGGGCAATTGTTTGCTAGTTGGGTGCTGCGAGCTGCGGTAGAAAGAGGGACAAGAGACAGCCCCTCCTGTGTATCCTCCTGAGGATACCTTCTATGGCTATCTGCCTGTCTGTCTGTCTTTCGGGGTGGGCGCACCGGTCACACCGTCGCACAAGCCACCCGCGGCCGCTTCTGTGTGTTGCGACGAGTTTCCCCCCTGCTTCTTCAGGACGACGAGTGCTCGGTGACGGGCGATGACCAGTCAGTCACCTCGCTGCGAGGAACCGCCCTGAAGCTTTTCGGGCCGCGGCAGCACCTTACTAGAGCCTGCGTACACGGCTCCAGGAGGTGAGGGGTGACGGCAGTGGTTGAGACCGGCGCTGGGTGACGCTGTTTATATGTGATAGTATCACCCGTCCCTGGCCACGGCCGACTGGATATGCCACGCAAACACCTGAGGCGCAGCAAAGCAACCCCGTCAAGCAATGCAATGCTGTTGCAGAGGTGAGCAGCCTGTCAGCCCGTGGCAGCCTCATTGTTGGCATCCGTGTCTGCCTCGCCGGCCCGAGAGCCTCATGTTCGCCAACACAACACCACGGGCCCCGCCTGGGTACTACTATGGCGGATGCCAGTGCCGAGGTTGCACTGGGTGTAGTTACTTAGATCTTAAGCGGCCTCGTGATGGCTGGACTTGTAGCCTGTTCGGTATACCGGGCAACCATAACACGCCGGGCGAGACGCCACTCGGACGTGGTCGCTGGTCCCAGGGCTGTCAGAAACGGCGGTCTCATTAGCATCGGGGGTGCTAATTAGTAGGAGTTTGTGGTTCTCGCGCATGGGTCTCACCCCCGCTTGCTCCCCCGTAGAGAGGATGAGCTGCCTCGGTTCTGCAATATCATGTAATCGCAGAGTCCGCCAATATAGTTGGAACTCCGTGTATGCTCGTGGCGACTCCACGGGTACCTCTACAGTCTGCTTCACTCCATGACTACAGGTTGTAGCGTGCAAATCGCAGAAAGCTTCTCTGTGGGTGACAGAGTCTGGCTCGTCTACACCTTTGGCCCACCAACCACGCGGCACTACCTATTCCGAGACTGTGATTGAGCTTGGCACTGGCATTCCTCCACCCCGGCCGCGCGATATATATTCTTTTCCCCGGAGGCTTCAGTCTAATCCGCACATATGTACGCCGTCGAAACAGGTCATGTCCTCGTTCTCGGCACAGTTCAGGGCGGCGGGGCGCCCCCCCCCCCCAGCCGACCCAGTCCAACTTACGTACAGGGACAAAGCCATCCGCGTCACTGGTACATGCTCATAGCCTTATATCGCACTATATTTTCTCGCTGTGTTTGTTAGCCCAATAAATTGCTGACACCAGATGCCGACTCGGTGGTGCCAACTCGGGCCTGGGCTACGAGGCTGCCCGTGAAGTACGCTGCGCCGGGGGCCAATCCCCTGACACCCGTTGTGCCGACTCGGGTCAAGGGCGAGAAGGCCAAGATAGACATCATCCGCCGCACCGGGTGCTCCGCCGAGGTCTTGATCATCGAGATGGTGGACCTTGCTGACCTGGCATCCATTAAAGCTTTGGGCGATCGTCTCGCGGCACAATTACATAATTATGGAGGCAAATGTGTCTCCGAAGGTTGGTCTGGGCTATTCGAGCTGTTGTTGCTGATCTTGTGCGACTATCTCGCGCCGCAGGCAGCATCAACAAATTCATACAGAGGAGCAGAGTCTAGCAGTGCATTGAGCATTTCAGAGGTGGATTAGAGTTCGGCACCAAAGAGCATTCTGATCAAGGCCAGCAAGGCGAGGTAGAGTGTAGCGATGAAGCGATGTCAGATCAGCGGCCAAGGTCAACGTCGTGGAGGATGTGGCAATCAGGAAGATGCTGGCGGACGAATGCACACAAGTTCCCATGAAGCATCGTCGGCAAAGCATGAAATCAGTGATAAGAATCAAAGCCAGCAAGATAGTGTGTAAGGAAGTCGAAAAAGACATTACTTGGCAGACCGGAGTTATCGATTTAAGTTAGAAAGTTTCGGTCTCGTCCTCGGTCCCACCGGAAAAGATGGGGAGTTTTATCTATCCCATCATCCCACAGAGTAGTGGCGCGGCGATCTTGATGTTGACATCAGGGAATTACAGACTTCGGGAGTCTTGCACAGGTTGAGACTGTTGAGCTAGTATAACGAGCTGGCAAGACTCTTATGATTTCAACACCACTTTACTGGGAGCTACCTGTCTTATGCCTACATTTCCGACGGATAAAGCGACGTGGCTCGTTCGTGGCTTGGTGAAAGTGAAGCACGTAGAGAAGGTGTTGAGAACACGCCTGCGGAAAACTGGGAACTGAAGTCTGAAAGCAGTCATATACAATTGTACTGTTGATTAAAGCTGCTTTACTATGACAGTGATAAGCCATGAAGTATTCACCGTCAATGTTGTGTGCAGAACAAAGTTTTGAATCCCAGTGCTCTCAAATTCAATTGGACACCATTTGTGACAGCCTAGACGAGGTGCTCATCATTGTCAGATCCTTTTTACTTCCTCCATTATGCGTGAATTGGATTACTCAACCCGTGAGAGGCGCCAAACCAAGATTCTCAGCCATTTGGTAGAACATGCTTGGATTCTCAGGCCGTTTTACATTTGTCCTGTTCGACGTCCAGCCCACCACTATGGTCGGCTTGACTGCCGTCGTGACTGCTAATTCAACAGTTCCTACCGCTGTGTTGGCCGGTGCTGTGTACTGTTGATATATCAACGCAGGCTTTATTGTGCACACATTGTATAGACGGCTCCGAATGTCTTGCTGGGTCATGCCTTCCATTGCTGTATCCTTCAACGTTGAGCGAGAGCCTCTGTCCGGATTGACAGCAAGCATATTCACATTATTCAGGTTATCATAGAGTGTGGCGCTGGAATCCCCCATGGTATCCAATTCCACTGTCCAAGAAGAGTCTGCCTGGTGCATAAAGCATTCGTTGAGATGGACTGCCTGGGCGACTATCTCATGTACCTGTTCGGAGCGATTGGCAAGATCTCCGAGGAACACGTCAAAAATTTGAAGCATTTGAGAAACCAGCTTGTTGATGCTTTCTTGCCTAGTTGTTGCGAGCCAAGGGTGGTCTTCCCTAGGGAAAGGCACACCATCGCGACCATATAATTCCCCAGTCCGGAATATGGCATCGATGGCCTGTTTACTCCACATCCGCCTGGCAAATTTATCTGTGGCACAGTTAAAACCCATTCTTCTCTTCATTAATCTTTCTGTTTGAACCTACCTCCCCCTGTCTCAGGCTGATCCTCAGACAGCATCAGGTGGTCAATCTCGTCAATGTTTTTGATATAGTACGCGGCGTTCTGACCAGTCGAAGAATAAAAATTCCTCGTACCTTCGTACGAGAATATGTGTGCTACCAGGAATTGCCAGATACACACTGTCAAAACATCGCTATCGTTGGAATAAGGCTGTGTCGCAAGCTCCCGGAGGGCGCTGTTCTGTGTTAAAGCAACCCGAAAAGCCTGTGCTTCCCCGGCAGTGCTCATAGCCCTGGCGACGCGGTCTCTATGAGACGGATCTTCAGCCCATTGGAAAAATATACTACTAACAAATGTAGTTACGGAATAATCCAGTGCCCCAAATTTCTAGACTGCTTTAGTACATGTATATGTATTGATAGTCCACTGGTGGATGGCAGATTTGACCTACATCCGCCATGTCATCGGGAAGAATCAACGCTTTATCTTGCACACTTCGTATGATCCAATTGAGACCTGTTTGCAAGAACCGTTGGCTTTTCAAGTCCTCTGCCCGTTGTCTGAGTTCCTCAGCCTGTTGTCTCAAAGTCGCGTTCTCTCTTTGTAACTCTGCCATCTGCGCGGGGGTCAAGGATGACATGATGTGTCGATTCAAGTTTATGTCAATTTTTGATAGGTTGAATGGCGGTTGATCTTCTCTGGGACTCGCTCCGAAAGGAATACATGCTCCAAATCCAAGGTGTGGCGACTTGTTATTGTGAAATGTTAAACCCCACTCGGGCAGGCATAAGCCGTTTGCGGTGGCAAGTATGTTGGACTGACATAAAGACACATTTGAATTTGTCGCAGTCTTTGTAGTCGACCGCAAATCGAACGGTTTGCACGGCTACGGTATGTAACGTACCCGGCCCAGATCCCGCCCGCCCCTAAGCCCACAATGTATTCCCACACATAATACCATCGTGAGAGGGGGCGGGGCGGCTCAATGGCGCGTTTGGTTAAATATTCCTAAAATGGCAACAGCAAAAGACATTTTCTTTTGTGCTACATATGTAGTCTTTGACACTGCAGTCCATACTATGCTCAGGCTCTTGTTAGACGACCGGCGTCTTGTCGTGATTTCCAATTCTGAAGATGAGCGTGACATTTCATGAATTCCACTGCAGAGCTAGTACCCGTGGACGTGAGTTCCTAATGAGTACATACTTAGATGTACCTAGGTAGTGAACCCCTACATTGATGGATGAGCCCAGAGCATCCCATTCAGCGGGTCATCCTAGTCATTGTTTGCCTACATGAATTTTGATGCCCAAGTCAAAGACAAACATGCCTTAAGAAGAAATTGTTCGCGACCAATTGGAAGAAATCCATCTCATGCCCAAGCGGTGCCCACCTTGCTGGCCTGTCGCCGCTGACGGTGTAAAATCCCCCCAAACAGAGACTTTCTCATCTTTGCTTCCAACGAGTCTTTCAGAAGAAGTCCACGTTGACGCTATTATATCGTACGCCTAATGTGGTGTCAGCGGTCGTCTGGTATCTGTTACAGTACTACCTACCCTTGTAAATCAGGGTGAACCTGATGGTCTGCGCTCGGTCTATGTAGTCTCTCAATTAGTTTATGAGTCTTCAAAGGGCTTCAAAGTGACGTAGAAGGTCTGAAAACTTACAGACAATTTCAATTTCGCCGTCGGTGGAAAAGTACATAAAGCCGTCAGTGCCTCGCCGCTTGACCATCTGGCTTTCTGGTATCAGACTGAGATCTGCGTCGACGGCACAAAGCTCGCGCACGTTTTCAGTCTTGCTCAGTGGGGCAACCTGAGAGGTTTCATCAGTGTAGATGATGAGGTAAAGCCTCCGAGGCTTGCCGTGGTTGACTTTGCTTGTCACTGTGAAGTTCCTGAATTTAAAAACGTTTGCGATTCGGAGACAGGATCTTCCTTCACCATGGTACCACGGTTAGTAATATCGCTGTGTAAAATTCAAACCCTGACTAACCTTTTTGATGAACCAGTCCATCACTTCCACCTCATAACAACCGTTCAACCCATCCCAGCGGCGTTTATTGAAAACCTCGGAGTGAATCAAGTCACTGTAAGTGACAGTGAGCTCAGTCCCGTAATGTTTGCGTGCCTTGTATTTGCCAATCCTGATCCGCGTGCTGTCTTGTGGAGCGGATTCATAGAGACCCTTCATCACCGCACCTTGAACCACAGCTGTCCGAGCACGACATGATTTGCAGATCTTTATGTTTCGCTCTCGGATCAAAGTGTCTTGTTCAAGTTCTTCTTTCAAGTATTGGCGCTGACCGAATCCACCAACCATAATGATGGCAGTGATGGGAACGTTGGAAGCAGCAATCTGCTCCGCGACAAGCAGCTTGATTCGTTCGATGCAAGGTTGAAAGAACGAAACAATATCGAAGGCTGAAACCATTAACAGCTCATTGCTGATACCAGCTTGTTGATTGTCAGAGAGACCGGGCACTGGGACATAAAACCTTTGATTGCTCGCCAACCGAGCGGAGTTGACTATGGGCTTGATCTGTGATGGGTTGTCAATTTCCTGATGGCCAAAGGTCACACTTGTGGGTGTAAAATTACTCACTCTCGTGTCGAAAGAGTCAACTGCGGCTCTTAGCACATCATCGTCGAAGAATTCCAGGTCTCTGATTTTCGGCAAGAGCCAGGATTCGAAGCGGCTGGTGACCGTGGCACCACCGCAAACATCACCAGAACCAGCCACTGCCTCATCAACTATGAGTGGGTGGAGCTGTCGAACGGCATAGCTGATGAGGTCTACAGTACCGCCTCCAGCGTCGAGAATCATGATACATTCACCTTCGTCGACAATTCGTGTCTCCGCTTCCTGGAGCTCACAGATTGCTGCAGCTTCCGGCTCTGAGATGACGGTGATGTCCACGGCGCTGCGGATATTCATGGCCTCCTGGAACGCACTTCGGGTCCGTTGAGTAGCACGCTCACTCCAAATAGCTGGAACCGTGAGCACGTACTTCAGCTCGTAGTCTGCAATTATTCCAGCTGAAAGGCCATCGGTCAAAGTATGCATAACCTCAGTCCCAAGGGAAGAAAGGTAGTCGACAATAGCCTGATCAATCCTTCGTCCACTGTAGTCGCGAATGTTTTCTGGTATGAATGCGGCCACTTTAGGCCTGTCATCCAACTTCCTGCGTTCGTAAATATATCAACATCATTCTATATTAAACCGAGTCCAAAATTCGATGTTTTGACAAGTTACCCACAGCTTGAACCATTGCAGAACTTCGTCGTTTGGGGCATCAGTAGGTATCAAGAATCCCCATTCAGGGTCATTGTTCCTCAGAGGCCTAAGTCGGAGCTTTGTTGGAACTTTCTCGGCGCGCGTTTTGCCGCCAGCATGCTGTGGCCATTCTCTGATAACATGGACAATTTCCGGGCTATTCACCGCTCCTACGGCCCAAGCTACGGCTGAAAAGGTCGTGCCGAAGTCTACTCCAATGACGATTCTCGGCCGGATTGACGATGCCATATCTCGGTCTGAAGGGGGCGCAATTCATGAATTGATTTGGAGATTGCCTGCTCGCGTAAAGATGCGCGGGACAGTTGCGCGAAGGTAAAAGGACTCGTTGACAAAAGGTGGGCCTCTCTGCAAATTGGCTCTTCTTGCAAGCCTTTTCGTCCATGAATTTGAATAGCAAAAGTTTCAGCACCGATAAGAGACAAATGGCTGGCACGTCACAATCTACACATGCCCCACAGACTGACTCTCTCAGACTGCAGCTTTGCTTTGTGTAGGCCCCACGAGCATGAGGGATTCAAAGAGCTGACACTCGTGGGGTGGTGATCCCTTACAAGACAGTGGTGCATTGCTTTAGACTGTAAGGCGGAGAATACATCAATTCAAATTTGCTTCGTTCTGCCTCGTCAGCCATTCTTTATTCTACATTGCCATTAAAGCACGGATTCAAAGAATCATCACGTAGAATGCAACACAAAGCCCAACAATGGCAAAGTGAAACCAATTGTACGGGAATCAGACATTCATTTTCAATGTGATCGAAGTCCCGCCAACACGAGACGCTCCAGCCTGCTCAGCCAGTGATACCATACACTTGGCTGATTTTCTGACCGAGCATCACAGAGACACAGAGACCCCGGCGTGTTTGAGTTAGAGACAGATCAAAATGTGGGCCACATGCTAGCATGAGCGAGGCTCTAAGCACGTATTTATTTAGAACAGTAGATGCATACGAAGAATATGGGTGCGCGCAGGACATGATTTGTTTCCGTCATTGGAAATTTACTGAACATCCCTCTAGTATGCGAACTCAAGCGCGCTGACCCTTTCAAATCCCCCCGATGCAGTACCTTCCGATCAGAACTGACTATTGCCTACCATATCAAATCAAATCTTCTCGGCAACAACGTGAGAGATCAAAAGCTCCTTGGCGCCGACTCCTGAAGTGGCTCTCAACTCCTAAACAAGTTTCTGGCCTGTATGGCAGAATCTACAATTTACACGGCGCGAAAGCATCTCCTGGCTACCTTCATCACTTTCAATCGTTCCGCCACAGCTCGAATCTGAATATGTGCTGGCCTCATTCCTCCAACACGTCCACAGACGTAGTCAGCACGAGAAATGCACATCAGACAAGAAGACGATTGCAAGAAAGCCATCAAGGAACTCTTCCGGGTGCTGAAAACAACGATGGCAACAGGCGTGAACAAGCAGCAGAGAGATGGCGCGACCTTCCTGTCGCGACGTATGACACTTTACGAGAGGATTATGACGAGCTGCTGTTGGATTTTGACAGATTGAAAGCAAAATCCACGGCTCAGGAGCAAGAGCTCGCAATCTATCGGAATGTTATTTCGGAGAGCACGTGGAAGGAAATGTGCTGGCGCATTCAAGAACTGCAGCATCAGTTGGGACAATCTTCTGCCCTCTATTCCCAGGTGTCCCATGAACACAACCAACTTTCACAATACAGGTCCTCAATGCGTGATAATATGGATCGCCTCTCTGAAAGTGTTCTGATACTAACGAGACAAAACAAGACTCTCCAAGAAGACTGTCACTTGAAGGAAGATGGTGTTTCGAATTCAGAGAACGTCGATTTTCTGTCGAAAGCTGACCCGGAAGAGGACATTCTCAGAAGAGCCTCGAAGATTCAAAGGAAGAAGGCAAGAGCCGATTTGAGGTCGCAGACAGGGGACAGAGGCACACCAAATTTGGAGAGCCTAGATGGCCGGCTGGTGAGGAAGAACCAGGCACAGCCTAAAGACGATATTTTTGCAGAGATGCAGGATTTGAAGAATGAGTTCTTGATGATGCAATCAAAACTAAACTCAGCCCAAGATCACATCATCCACCTCGGTGGCAACCTGGGTGCCCTACTTCCCCCCCAAACACTCAAGGATGTGAGTACAATACGACAGAGAATCACACTCGCGATCGAATTCATACTCACATGCCGCGGTGATGAATCTAGGATTTCAAATCCCTTGTCGATGCAACTCGGATTTGGATCATGACCTACGTGCAGCCGGCAATCGGCAACTCGGAGCAATGTTTCCAAGCATTTGAATGCGCCCGCAAGATCCAGGGGCAAGATGCGGGACTCAATCTTTCCAGATCTCGAAACCAAGACTTCCATACCACGAGCGGATTTCCGGGGGCGGATGAACACGTGTTTTTGGTGATGGTCTTTGACCTCATTGTTGATATGGTTTTCAACGCTGAGTTTCTGTACGGCGACCCTCGATTACAAAGGGAGATGGATGTCGTCAAACGGTTGGGAGATTCAATGGTGCAGAAGTCGGATTCGTCCAAGAGTGAGTCAGATATGTGAATTCAGATGCGGTAAAACGTGGCATCGGACCTGCTCACTGACGAACTCCAGGACTGTACAACTCCCGGCGCTGGATGTCGGAGGCGGTAACAGCAATCATATCCCGGAAAGAGACACAAGACCTTCGGCTTGAATTTTCTCACACCCTGGCGGACGCGATAATCCGCCACATTGGATTGTCAACATTCCTGGGACACAGCAACCAGGCTGAACTAGAAGAGGCAGAGAGATCCATTCGGCAGGAAGTAATCTGGCTTGCTCTCGAGCTCGGTGATAAGATGGCATGCGCCATAGACAAGTACTCACTGGAGGTTCCTTCTTACTGGACTGAGCCTTGCGTGTTCCAGGCTGAGTTCTTGCGCGATTTGCCGAATTTGGACTGCAAGAACTTCGGAGAAGGTCCTCCAAGGTTCAGGTTGGAGAAGATGAGAGCGACCTTTTCGGACGATGAGATCAGGAGCCATCTGAGAGCAATATGCCCAGCTATTCCGGCACTGGTCTCGACGGAAGCAAGGGATAAAAATTGGGGTCCCAGCACCATTCTGGTGAAGCAACAAGTGTGGGTTTCGTGGCAACCGAACAAGATCGCTACGCCACGGCCAGAAGAAAGGGGATACTTCTGGCATCTCTATCACAAAGATCGAATGGACCCTAGCGCAAGAAGAGAGTGAGTGAAACTGGAGCTGGTGGTTTCGGGATCGGAGGCTGGTCAATGAGACAAGCACCAAATTCAGGCATGTTATGCAGTGTGTATGAGTTTTCAATTTGAATTCCACCGTGTTCCGAAGTTTGCACAACTTAAATAGCCGATATGTGATCTAGAACAAACTCCTGCTACACCAGCCTTTGGAGAATCCAGTCAGGCGCTACCTAAGTAGGTACGTAGATCGATTGCAGCATGGATCCACTGCCAGTGGAAGGCAGCCGAGAGCTCACACATCGCCGTTGTGCTGCCATGTGGCATAAAAAGGACTAGGCACCTAGCCTCAAACTAGTAGGCTGGTTCATAAAGAACTATCCACTGGATATAGCATCACTTTATACATACAAAGAAAGGTGTTATCCCATTGAAGTACCAGAATGGTTGCCTGAGTCTCCTGTCCACGCGCCACACATGCGACCTTTGCCATTGTTAGTTGTGGAATATAAAAGCGTCAGCCATTTAGTAAGATGAGTTCCTTAGTTTACGCAAAGTAAAAAGAAGCGAAATTGACAGCACGAGGTCAAGACCGAAACTGCGGCATCCAATCCTCCTTGAGATCATCATTCGTCTCTAGACAGAATATGGAACTTCAACTTATCGAGTGTAACGTCTGCGTGGAGAACAAACCGGCAAATGCATTCCCTGCACACCAGATAACCCCCGGCTGCATACATTCTGCTTCGACCTGCCTTGCCTGTGTCACAGCAAGCGTCAACACACAATTCGAGACAACGCCTTCTACGCAGATCAGCTGCCCCGAGTGCCCACAGTCTCTCAGTATGGACCAAGTCCATCGATATATGACTGAAGAAAACTACACAAGGCAAGTAAAGCAATAGCAAGGCCAACCTGAATCCAACCTTCATGACAATACTTGTTCTCACATTGCCACTATAACAGATACAAACAACTCTTCATCGAGAATATTGCAAAAAGAGTCCCAAAAGTGGTTTGGTGCCCTTTCGGGTGTGGCACGTCCCAAGTACACAGCAGTGCCGAGCGACAGCCGATTGTGCAATGTCACGGGTGTGGCCGCCCTTTCTGCTATGTCCACCGCGTCGCTTGGCATCAAGAGCACACCTGTGAAGAATACGACATACAGTTGCGCGACCCTACCTTTCGCAGCAAGATCCAACTGGAGAATGATTCCAGAGAAGCTCTGAGACGGCACATCTCGGAGGCCAGACTGCGCATACAGCACGCCGAAGAAGAGTACGAATTGCGCTGTCTCCGCGAGCTACAAGCGGCCGAAGCCCGCCGCATCGAAAAAGCCCGCATCGAGAGAGAGGCCCGTGAGGCGGCCGAGCGCGCTGCCAGGGAAGAGGCCCGACGTCAGAGGGAAGAGGAAGCTCGGCGAGTGGCTCAGCGTTTGGCGGAGGAGCGTCTGGGTGAGAAAACTGTCCACGCAAACTCGACGCAGTGCCCAACCTGTGGACACTTTGTGCAGAAAACTTTTGGCTGGTAGGTGGTGGTTATCATTTTGAATAACAAATGCACCGTCTGCCCCCCCCCCCCCCAAAAAAAAAGAAACTCCCTTACCCCTTGCTTGTCTTTCTTATCTTTTTAACCCCTGGCTGTTGCCGTTACCCGTCCGCCCAGTTCATCCCGTCACGACACAGATGCTAACTCTACATCCTATCAGCATACACATGACATGTAAGTGTATTGGAAAGTTGATAACAAGAGAGAATATCTGGATTTTCATTCGTGATCAACGGATTTCACTGAACAGTCGTTCCGGAAAACAGGCAAATGCGGAGCGGAATTCGACTACGAGACTGGTAAGATTTGGAGAGGTTGGGCCATCGAGGCTCAAGACCGAAATGGGCGCAGGTGGTGATAGGATAGAGCACCATGATGACCGTCATGGACGGTTTGCAAACGTGATCATAACAGCAGTACTGTGTCGCCGTGAACTCCCGTGAAGCAAAAAAATTGCAAAAGATGCAGATATGTCCTCATAAGTCCGATAGAACCATGTGTTTGGAAAGGAGAGTGAACTTGTGCAAGGGTTGTGTCGCAGATCATGCGACTTAGCAGGGCAAAGAAAGAAGAAGCGTGTGTACCACGTTCTTGTTGCCGCGGTTGTATTTTGGCGTTTAAACTTTGCTTTAAATTTACATATTGGTCCTTAAGTGATGTTAACTTCTTGATCTTTACTACCTAATACCGTCAGTGTTTGCTAATGTTTTCTCATCGTCCAACATAGCTGGATAAATCTGTGCTGCATATTACCTGGTTGGCCAATAGTTACTTTGTAGAAGCCGCCTGGGCATGGACCTTCCGGGTCAAAGAAAACAAGAATCACCAACACTCGTGATGGGGGGGTTTACTTCGCAGCTTTTGCGCATGACTGAATGTTAACCCACTCAGACGTTCGAGATATATCAGCCAATCGGGTACAGCCTTCCCGATGGTTGAACCTTCCGGTCTGCCCCCTCGAAGTATTTGAGTTTGCGCATGGAGGGATTTATTGCATGGGGTCATTCCAAAAGAGCCGAAGGCCATGACGGAGCGTGAGGGGTTCCGTACTTAGAGTTCTCCTGGTCAACCTCGGCAGCCAGGTTCAGCTTTCTTGAACGAGCCAATCGGTAAGTTGCAACCCGATTGATCAGAGTCACTACCATTTTGACATATTGAAAGGGACTCCTAATAGAAAGAGGTTGCTGTGAACATCTGTTGCTATCATTATATTGGTCGCAACGAGATCAAACTCTTAAAATGGTCTCACTCCTCGAACAAATTCTTCCCAGCCCTGCCGGTGCCCTGCTAGGCGCTGGCGTGTGCCTCGCGCTGTGGTTCGGATGTTACGCCACATATCAAGTGTATTTCCATCCCTTGGCTCGATTTCCTGGGCCCTTCCTAGCATCCGTGACCGATTTATGGCAGACCTACCAATTTTTAACCCTCAAGCAACCTTACAACCTGACGGAGTTGCACGCGAAGTATGGCCAGTTTGTTCGATACGGTCCCGATAAACTCAGCATCACGGCTGAGGATGCGATCCCCTTGATCTATCAGAAGGGTGGACGTGCGATGCCCAAGACTGAGTATTATGATGCATTTGGGGCGGCTCATCCTAATGTGTTCGGGATGAGGGACGAAGAGGTAAGTGTCCTGACACATTGCGCGAGTGATCAGAACTCATTCATTGGCAGAAACACTCTATCCGCAGGCGCCACATGTCACACAGCTTCTCCATCAGCTATGTCAAGGAGATGGAGAGGTACCTCGACGAGAATATCCTGATACTGAGGAGGAAAATTGCAGGATATGTGGACCGAGGAGAAGCGTTCAATTTGAAACAGCTCATACAATTCTACGTAGTCGATGTTCTCGGGGAGCTGGCATTCAGTCAGTCGTTCGGAATCCAAGTCGCTGATGATGACTCCCTGGTCCCGCCCGTCATCGAGCACAGTCTACTCGCGGCGGTCACAGGAGCCTGGCCCGCGATGACATTGACGCTCAAGAAGTGGCTACCGAAAATTCCCCACGGGGGTCTGCAGACTCTTTTCAAGGGTAGAGCGGCGTGCGCATCTTTGGCTTCGCGCTGCGTCAAGCGAAGAATCGCAGCGCTTGAGGAGGAGCTGGCCAAGGGAACTGCCCATGAGCAGAGAAAAGACATCCTCACCAACCTGATTCTTGCAAAAGACCCAGAGACTGGCAGGAGTCTCACCCAGACGGATCTGGAAACGGAAGCCTTTGGATTCATGTATGTCCCACTTCTGACCTTCCTCTGTAGAGATTTCGTTTACTGAACTGCGAGACGCGGACAACAGCATTGCAGGCACGCACACAACTAGCGCTACAACGACATTGTTATTCTGGAATCTCCTCCATAACCCGGGTGCCATGGAAAGATGCATAGAAGAGGTGACAGACAAGCTCCCAGACCTGAGTCCTGATAATGTGGCGTACTCGGTCACTGGGGTAGAAGCGTCACTGCCTTTCCTACGCCAGTGTGTACGAGAGAACTTCCGAACAACGCCAGTCTTCACTATGCCTCTTCCTCGCAGGGTCATGGTGCCTGAGGGAATTTTCGTTGCGGGTGAACATATCGCACAGGGGGTATGTAAATAACTCCATCCTGGTGAATGCCTAGGTGTGGTACGCGGAGTTGACATCTTGATCAGACCTCGGTTGCGGTTTGTAACCACGCATTTCATCACGACCCCGAGATCTGGGGTGCCGACCACAATGTGTTTGATCCAGACCGGTGGGAAGCGGCAGAAAATGCAAAGCGGGCCAGGTATCTCATGCATTTTGGCCTCGGAGGGCGGCAATGCATAGGAAAGACGGTGGCCCAGACTAACATCTACAAGTTGGCAAGCACCTTGTTGAGAGAGTTTGATTTTTGTCTAGCTGACCCAGAGGAACAAGAGGCGGTGTGTCGAGGTGACTTTCGAGGCGTACTTCCGCCTCTCGTCAGTGTTGGGATTAGTGACTTGGAGGGTCCTTTGATGGTCAGAGCGAAGAGGAAGAATGCGACGCAGCGTTGAACTATGCCATGACAGCCCGCCGGTAGAATACATGCCTACATAGGTACCTAGCTAGGGTAACGTCAGGAAGCTGTGGGCTTCAGGCTTCCGCAATATCTCTTCAACACTTGTCTCTCATACCGATATCATCACGTAATCGCCAGTAGTTAAATTGTCATGGCAGTGATTCACAGATGGCAGAATAAGCGTGCGTCCCCAGAATTATGATGACATGAATTACACCAATATCCATGGATATCATGGTCATAACGTAGTCAATCCCAAATCACGTCCAATTGCCTCTCATCCTACAGTGACGGGACCTATATCACGGCTATTCACGTCATTCAACCCGGTTGTCAGCTAGGAACTCAGACTCGTGTTAGAGACAATGAAGCTAGAGGCTTAGTGAGGAAATGTGGTCAGTGATTCACAGCACTTGAGGCCCGTTTGGATGAATCAAATGAGGCAGTCGTCTGCCACAAGAGTACTTAAATGAGTAAACTTTACGACCGCAGCTCCTCTGCTTTGCCTCCCAACACACACAGAACAAAGTAGAACAATTCTGAAAATTTACAAAAGTAAAACTCCCATATTCACACCGCCAACATGTGTTACAGTCCTCCACCACCGTCGCCTCCACCTGAACCTAAGCCGCGACCCGTGGAGCCCAGGGCTACCTAGGTATGACTCTAGAGTAACCACTAAACCCTATGTCATAAGCAACATCTCATACCCATCCACAGTTCTAGCAACCTAATTCTCCATATAGATCCTACTTGGGATAGTGCCTTGTCAATTGGGGTCTGCTTGGGTGCTGTGGATCCCGATGAAGGGTGTTGGGAAAGATGTGCCCAGGAAGCGCAGCTACGATAGTTCAATACAACCCTTTTGTTGAATTCCCAAAATAAGTTCTCTGCGTGACTCCAATGACGACTGAAACTTTTCCAATATTACTCAATCCACGTATGAATTGAGTACGTTGTGTTAGACATCGCAACGAGCAAGACACATGCCAAACTGCCAGTGGCGCCATACGCTCAAGATACAGTGTTGTCATTCCTGGGGGGTGTCCCCAGTCAGGCTTCCCGATCGACCGACCTGGCTTCTCCAATTCCAGCTGCAGTGCCCTGCATTTGCGCGATCATGCGGGGCATCCCCGTAGACGGCTGACCCTGGCACGCGTTCACACACACGACGCGTCCGAGACAACCGGCAGGTTCTCTGTCGTCTTCCCAACTGGCTCTACTAACCAAGCCAAATGCCTCCTCGCATGTCGCCTCCGCGAAAGAGACAACGGGTCTCTCTGGCCTGCACTAACTGCAGGAAAAGGAAGAGTCGTGTGAGTATTGCACTCCCGCCGCAATGCAATGGAGATGGCGAGATTGACCCGAGGACCGCACTCCAGTGCGATGGCCACAGGCCAGACTGTTCTCAGTGCCAGGAGCTGCATGTCCAATGTGCCTACGAGTCGCTTCCAGAAAGCGAGAAACAAGTGTGAGCTGTTCCGAGATGGTCTCCCGCCGGACATAACTGACGTACGTGTCTTTACGAAGTTCGAGGGAATCTCTTTGGAGGAGGATTGCAGAGCTTGAAGCACAAGCGAAAGCACGGATACCTGAACATACAGAGTGCACAACCAAGATCTCCGAGGCCGACCCGTTATCTTCACCTAACGGCAGCAGCTCGAGAATGGGGAAGCGTAATGCAGCTGTCGCTGAGGGAGATGATAATATCGGCGTGGACACACTGGCATCCAGCGCATTTGATGACACGCCAGCCTCCAATATAGGATTCTTTGGTAGCCTCTCCACCACCGACATTTGGCTCTTCCAAGTGCTGAAACATTCACAGGCTCAAGCTCCAATTTTGCGCTCTTTCGAATGCTATCGCACAGTTTTTCACGACTAGCCCGCCACTCACGTTCAAGCTCTCCAAGCCAAGCTCACCGAGTCAAGGGGCATTCTGGGCCAGAACAAGTACTTGCTAGGCGCCACGAGGGAGACCCAGCTCAAGCAATTTTCCTTCCAGGCGAAAGAGAGCTTGTGTTCTTGTTTAAGGAGTTTGGTCTGGCGATCGGTTTCATTGTTCCCTGTGTTGACCTCTCAGCGCTCTTGGAATTTTGGAAAGGCTACATGAAAGACAGAACCCGAGTCATCCCTCGGTCATCATACGCTCTCGTCAACATTATCTTGGCCCATGCTTCTGCGGCTCTGGGGCGCGACAATGCATTCCTTTTCTATGATCGGTGTTCCCGTCTACTCGATATGCATACTGTGAAAGGCGCGGATATTGAGGCAGGTAGGCTGCTGGTCAAATTGAACCTGCGGATGTTACTAAGTGGCTCACAACTTCGACAGTTCAGTCCTTCGTACTCCTCTCAGTCTTTCAACAAAATCATCAGCGGTCTATAGAGAGCTGGACTACCCACAGCCTAGCCGTTAAAGCCGCTTTCCAACTGGGATTGCACTCGCCGTCATATTATGAAAATAGGGCTGAGAGCGAGACGCACAAACGGCTTTGGTTGTGTATCATCAATCAAGACAGGTAAGACCGGTCGCACATCACGACCACAATTGTCACTTCTAGCTAATTTTAGAAATAGACAACTTGCAATCCTTCTAGGTCGACCATTTCTGATTGCGCCCCAGTATATCCGAGTCAGCTTGCCTGAAACCTCAATTGCCATCCCAAACCCGCCCGTCGGAGGCTCGTACATGGCGAGTCTCTCAGATCAAGGCCTCTTTTTCAGAAATCTCATGTCAGTTGGAAGCATTCGTCCTCACCAGCATCTTTACTTACAACTGGGCAGCGATATCCATGCCATCCAGAGCTCGGCGGTGGAGAAATTGTACGACTTCAACATTGACGGACCAGGCCGAAGTTCGCCGAGAGAAATAATGACCGCCAGGCTAGATCTTACCATTCAATTAGACGAGTGGTGCGAAAACCTGCATCACACCATGCAGGTTTTGCAACCCAGTGATCCAAGAGGGGAGGCTAGGGTGTCAGCAGCTTCACGCTGGAGCATCATTCTCTCCGTGCATTACTACCTGACCAAGCTCTTTATCAACGCTCCTATCCTGTCCGTGGCTCTGGCCGAGGGACAAAGGCTATGGCTCAGTAACACACCATTCTCGGTGATCCACAAGTCTGCTGAAGAGATTCTGCATGCCGATTTCGAGTCGGCCAAGGAGTTACAGTTCATTGTCCAGGAGACTCATGGCGCCCGAATCTGGGCCTTTGGGAAGAACCCGATTTGGTTTATCTGCAACTATGCCAGTAAGCATAACAGTCTTGTCTACCCCTTCACAACATGTGCATGCCCTAACAAGTCTCACCCAACAAAGTGTTCACCGTTTCTCTTCATGCATTCGGCATTCTACTGTACATCAAGGGCCTTGGAAGTGACATAGCAGTATTAGACGGCCTTCGTGCAAAGGAAGTGCGATTATTGCTTGACCACAGCCTCGAAAGTCTCCGACTCATAGGCCGCCCCAGCTTGATGAGTCACAAAGCCCGCGAATGCCTTCTTCGCTTCTTGAACGTGTTTGATTCGATGGGTACGTTTGCTCTGGAGCTATCCACAGTACCTAGATCCGCTCTTGCAGAAGCCCGAAACTAATTGGCACTGTGTTTTAAGCTCTCGATGAGGAGGTTCGAACGACCATAGAAAGCAATATCTCGGGAATTGACATGAGAAGTGTGCGGTCTCAAGATCCCGCGGAGCCTGACTTTGATTTCTCCCAGTTCATTAGGGACACCGCGGAAGAGTTTCTCTTTCAATTGTAGCACGCGACTCGGCGAAAGGGTAGATAGAACACAATCGAGAAGTGCTACTTACGAAAGATACTTTACAAGTTCCAGCTTTAACCGTTAACTACTATACTAACGGAGCACACACGCCTTTCATAGTTTCTGGATGAAAGCCGAAACCACGTACAGCTTGTAATATATCTAGAGAATGAATTTCTTTTTTGAACTAGACCATCTTTTCTTTTTGAATCATTTACCGAAAGGTACTTTTGAACAGGCGCTGGAACAGAAGAGGTTCATTAATTCTTTGTTCGAAGACTGGCCGGGTGTTACAAGTCAGCAAGCACTGCAACGTGCGCATCTTGTACGGAAGCTTGGAGGTCTTGAAATGTGTCATACTTGAGAGCGGCATGCCAAATCGGAGCATAAGATGAAACTCACCCCCCCCCCCCCCCCAATTGATGCTTCTGTGCCAGAAGAAGAATATTGGGGATTCGAATTCCTGGTAGTTAGGTAGTTCAAAGCTCCTCAACAACCCCGAGGAGCAGTCCCTCCCGAGATTCTAAACTGAGACTGAGTTATGACAAACTACCTAGGTAGACTGGACGGGAGAGTGGAGCAAAGGGAGGTCTGCATGACAAGAAAACAAAGGCGCTGACAAAGAGCACCAACAAAGCCTTTATCCCCAAACAATGCGGTTTGGTCAGAACATAGCTTGTGTGAGTGGAAGAAAATCTTATATATATGTACATAATCTTCAAGCTCTTGCTGTACGTTGGCATAGGAAACTTCTACTCGCCCTATCAAGCAATTGGCTGTGCTTAATCTTTTTCAAAGGGTAGAAAAGCACCGACTACGGTTTTCATACACTTTTAAGTAGAACGGAAGTCTTATAGCATGTCTGTAAGCCAAGTTCCCATGAAATTCGGTGTCGAGTTCGAGTTCATCATTCCACAAGCCCAGGGGGTTGACTCGCACCCGGAAGATGATCGTTTCTATTATACTAAAGAATCTGACCCCCGATTGGGTGGCGACGTTATCGGCTCTGTCATAGTGGGATTCTTAGAGGACACTATTCCGATTGTCAAACTTGAGTACAATAACTATCGAACTTACCAAAGGCTCGCAAAGGATCTAGGGATCAATCTTTCAGCAGGCCATGCCCTGCCATATTCCCACTTTTGGGCGTGCAGTTACGAGGGCTCGTTGCAGTCAAGGCCGGAAGAGGACGTTAGAGGAAACTACAACTACTGGAGGCACCCTGCAGAAATTTCATCTCGTTTCCTAGGCGAGCACGAGTTCGACGAGGTTGCTCAGGTATACAGAAAGCTTCGGGCATCCATGAGGATTAATCTGAATAGTTCGTGCAGCTTCCATGTCCACGTCGGCACAACACATCTAGACCTGGTTGGATACCAGAAACTAGCCACACTCGTGTTTATCTGCGAGGAATTTCTGTGGAGGTGCTGTGAATCGTTCAGGCGCGATGGCCCGTGGTGTCTTTCGGTCTCCAAGTACTCTCAAACGGCTTGTGTGCCTACCTCGCGCCGTCCAAGCCCAAATATGAGTTCTCTCGTGCCACCCGGCCTTCTCTCAGCCGACGTCCGCCGTTCACTCCTTGGAATATGGGCCTCACCTTCCTTACGAGATCTTCAAGAGCAGCTACTCGTCCCATTTGGACGTGATGATATGGAGGACTTCCACCACCGGGGCGCCTTCTGCATCCGGGACCATGATTACCGCGACATAAACGCAGATCTCTGCCCCACTGCTACCGTTGAGTTTCGCTATTCCCACGCTTCTGGGGACGCAGAGCGAGACCATTGTTTCGTGCGGATTTGCATTGCGCTCGTCAGGGCTGCTGAGCTCGACGGTCCTGAGTATACCGCCATGATAGCCTCGTTCGCGAAGGGCGGCGATTTCAGCAACTTCCTGGGCCCGCTCAACCTTCAGGATCTGCATGCATACTGCAACGCGGCCGAGCGTGAGTATGCGCGCAAGGCAGCGCAGCCTATGGAGCCTGCTACTGAGTTTCTTCCAAGAATCTAGATGCAGTCTGTGGGCTTGAATCAAGAACGGAGGCTCTCATTTTGCTTAAGTACCTATGTAGTTGTGAATGCTTTCCCAGCTGGATTATAATTTAGAATTTCGCTCTACATCAAGTAAGCAAAGGTCATTTCTGAGCTGTTGAGTTATTGTGAGTCTTTGTGCTTGAAGAGGTAACTTTTATAGATTTACGAAGGTTAAGAGAAATCGTATACCGGCAAAGGCTTTGGTTAGTGAACAAGTTCAGATATTCTCTAAGCCTGTTGCATACATCGTGATTGTCGAACACTTACGTCTACATAGTTACACTCCTTACTAATATGGCAGTGCCACCAGGATGTCCACGGTGGCGGCATTTGGCATAGGAACGGCTCGCGCCGAAATGATCTCACAAAGCTGAAAAGTTCTAGACCTTTGACAGCTTTGAGTGTCACAAAGAAACGTGTGAAGTTTGGTTTGTGCATTTCGCTTGTCCCACGAATACTTGGCATTACACTGCTAGGCAAAATGCAATTCGGCAAATCATCGTCCCCGCTGCAGGTTCATTTCTGGAGAGCGAGCCACTTAGGCAATACTATGGAAGAACGCCTCAAGGCAGGCGGGGATTAGAACTTTGTTCCGCCCGATTGTGGACGGGCATTGAACAATTCTCGTCAATATAAATATCCCCACATGAATCGCTCCGGATAAAGAAACATTGGATTAGAACTGTGACTATAGTGGGATTTGATGCTGCAAAATTTCGCTTTCCATGGATCTTATGAGGGGTAGCATGGTCTCACAGCCTGAGGAGAGTGTTGAGAACGATGGAAAGAGTGTTGAGAGAAACCTCAGGGCTGGATGCCATTTGTCAGGGAGACGATTCTAATATGGGAAGATACGTAACTATAAAAACATGAGGGCCTCCCAGTAAACGTAAACTAAGCAGCTGGAAATTGCAGCACAACCACACCTCTTCAACTGAACCGCTGAGTAGCCAAGAAGAAGATGCGCTCTTACGCTTTGTTCCTCCTAGCATCAATTGCTACCCTTGCTTCGGCAGCATGTGACCGAGAAGACCTCAAGGACTTGGCTATCCAATATGTTGACGCGCAGGCGACTGGGAGCGTGGAGGATATGCCCCCTTTCATTGACGTGGCGACAGTGAGTACCTCACAGACGCTCTTCAATCAACTTGCGTTTGGCACTCGGGGCACAGCTGCTCTCGAGGGATTGTCTAGGCCACGTCGACCAGCCAGAAAATGAGATCTGGCGGTTGCTTTGGTTCCAAACACCTGGGCACGTTCGGGGAAGGCTGGACATTGACTTGAACCTACCTAGTACTCCGAGAATGGCCAAGCCATGGACATCAAGACAGGCATTCTGACCCAGTCCCTTAACATTGACCACAACCGAAGCATTCACGACACAGTCCAGTGCGCTACCTTTACAGAGCTCATCGTGACCGACCCAGACCATCCTTACGTGATCGGCACCCGTATTCTCTACACCGATGACGGGGAGATATCGCACATGGAGTCGATCGTGACAGATTCAGGTGACTGGCTTTTCAACGCTACAGGTTACCTCTACTGGAACTCGATCGAGAACTGGGACCCCATCCCAACCGAGCAGTGGGACTCTCGGGCACTGATCAAGGCCGCTGGTGACGCCTACTTCGACCGCTTCAACAATGTGAGCGTGGTTGTTCCGTTCGGCCCGACATGCGCCCGGCTCGAGGGCGGCGCATACACAGGCGAGAACAACCCGACCGGCGAGACTTGCACCATCGGCGGCATGCCCAGCAGCATCAAGATCCCTTACCGCCGCTACATTATCGACGAGGAGTACGGTGCCGTGGACCTTTTTGTTGGGTTCCCGGGGCTCGACCGTACCGTTCCCGACCAGGCGATGCCGGACAGCCACCTCTTTCGGGTCGAGAAGGGACAGATCAAATGGATCCACACTGTTTCCTCATGTGTTAACGCGGGATGTGGGCTCAATTCAACCATAAACAACACTGTCTTGGGGAAGAGGAAGGTCAAGTACAATCAGCATCCTGTCAGGCTTTGAACGAGTCGATACATGCCACGAGATAGGCCGGTCGCAGAGCTCTCTTGGTTTGGCTGCCGACTAACCTAGAGCAGTGCTGGATTGTCAAGTTGTATTTCAAGCTCATGTGGTAAGCGCAAAGCCAGGGAAGTCGAGGGTAGGAGGAACAGAAAAGAAAATGAGATATATTGCGTGTTTCGGGTGCAACTCTGTAATTCTCCAGGGCGAGAATGTCTCGGCATATGCCAACTTCCGGCCTGTGAATCACATAGTACTTTTAAACTGCTAGAACATTGGATATTGCTGAGCATTCTACGTGGTGTCTTATGCTCAATGCCAATTTTGGCAACCTCTTCCTGTACACACTCGTATAAGCAGGGCTTTCAAAGCTCCTCAAATTTGTTGTATTGGCTGTGTTGACAAGGCAGATGGATTAGTTAATGTCAGCAAAACTAACTGGTTTCTGGACTCATCACAATAGGTATTGTGAGGGCTATCGTAGATTTTACTTGTTCGATGTGACCACTTTCACATTCCGCCATCGGAGGCATGATGTTCAGGCGTCGGTGAACAGGAACAAAATCCTCTGAATTAATGAAGCTTGAATTTTGACGTCATATAGAAATTCATGGAAACCAAGTGGGACCTATTGCCATTCTAAGTAAACGCCACGGAACAATGGGTCTTCTTGTCAAATCTGAGTCATTTTTTTCCGATTCGGACCTGATGTCAGATGCAGGCCGGATCCATCGATCAGCATGAATATGGAGAACATGAGTAAGAAAATCGCTTAATTGCTTGGAAATTGTTATTGCCAATTGTTCAAAAGGGCGAACGTGGTGGTGGTTTCCTTTCACGGTCTGTTTGCAGCGTTCTGCACAGAACTTTGTGACAGTCTTGGCGCAGTGAATGTGTAGTCAGGCGGCAGCTTGAACCAGATACACGCTCCTTCACGGTCTACAAAGCGTGAATAATATTCAATATCCTGGAAATGGACCTTGACGATGATGTTTTCCCATCACAGCTAGAGAGGCTGCTCCCAGAACTGCAGGAGAACGACCAATTTGAAGAGCACCTTGGTTACGATCACGTCCTAGCAAGTCTTATGCAGGTCGACAGAGATAACTATAAGGAGAATATCCCTGTCTACATCAGACGAATGCTGGATGCGGTGCCGGAAGATGATCCGCTTCACAACAATTCCATCTCCAAGCCATGCCTACCAAGTGTCAAAGGTAGGACTTTCGATCACTGCAACAATGCAATGGATCTTTTATTAACGGGTGGTGACGTCGAGCAGGGCCACCATTCATGATACGGCAGATACCAGGCAAAGGGATGGGTGCAGTCGCCATCCGTCGCATTCCCGCCGGCAGTCTTGTGCTGGACGATCCCTTCGCGCTATCTGTCCAAGAAACAGTACAAGAGCCGGCCAGCAAAGAAGAGGCTGTCGAGCTAATAAGCGTGGTACTGATCCAGCTCCTAAGCCAATATGTGCGTCTTCCGATCGATCCCCGCCGGCAGTTCGCAGGCCTGCACCCACACGTCAAAGAGGGAACACACGACTGGTTCCGATTCAACTTGAGGGAATTAGGTGTCGAATTTGACGATGCCGAGCTTGACTTTGTCGTACGGTTGTATTGCACATTCGAGACAAATGTGTTTTCCACGGCGCTGCCCGGGGGCGGCTTGAACTGGAGGATCGGCAGGCTGTTTCTCACAACCAGCCGCATCAACCACGCATGTCAGCCAAACACAAGGTCGAGACAGACTTCAGAAGGAAACAAGGTCGTTACTTCGATCCGAGACATCGAGGAAGGTGAGGAGATCACGCTGCGATATCTGGATCACAAGCTCTTCAGTCGCAGCGAGTGGCAGGCAGAAACGCAGCGTATGTGGGGATTTGTGTGCGACTGTCCGGGATGCAGGTGGAAATGAACTGCCGTTGAGAACTTTTTCGCAATGCTCGTGTGTCATTCACACCTAATACTTATTATCAATTGATCAGAGGGGCCACGGACACAAGCAAGGTTCCTTGTGACACAAGACGCAGAAAATCAAACCCGGCGGTCCTTGGCGGCTCGTCAGTATTCGACCCCAACGTTTGTGTCTCGGGGATGAAAGACGCCTGTCATATGGAAATGAAGAATGAGACCACTACACTCAGACACTTGCAGGCGAGGTCTCTGTTTAAGCGAGCGGAGTGTCATTTAATGACACCTACAAGAATAAATCAAACCATGGATAACGAGAATTATTTCAATATTCCAGGTCGAAGAAATCCACAGAAGCCCTTTTGACGACATCATTTCAACCCGAGCGTGGGAGATTACCTCACGATGGGATCTCAGGCAACTCGAAAAGAACTTCTTGCTCTCGTTGCCGGCATAAATGCTGCAGCGGAATCACTGGATACGTCTGAGGCGTGCGAAGTTTTTAAAGCCAGGGAAACCCTTTTAATCGAATGTAAAAGGCTGATTGCCTCCATCGAAGACGCCGATGCAGCAGTCTGGCCCCGTGCGTTTCAGTTCAATGTGGCGGTTTCTATCGACATCGCAGCAACTCTGGGTATCTGGGAAAAGCTGCGGGACAGAAAATTCGTCACGCTCTCGGAGATATCGAAGGAAACAAAATCAGATACAGCAGCGACCGGTCCGTGGCCCAACAAACAAATCCTGAATTTACACTGACTTACGCACTCCATCCTGTCACAGTCCGAATCTTGCGGCAGATGACTGCAGCTGGACTCCTTTTCGACGCGTTAGACCATGAGGAACCTACGTATGGTCTCACGCATCTTGGTCGTCCATACCTAGACCCCAATCATGTATCTTTCAACCGATTCATTCTTCAAGAGGTCGTTCCAACAGTCCGCCACTCCATTGAGCAGAAATGCTTCCTCCCAGAGAAGCACCTCGAAGACACGCCTTACAATAGATGGATCCGCCTGACCCAGGATTCAGCCCGCGCAGCGGATATGGTCAAAGGCATGAGGTCTCTTAGCTCCGGGGCCTTGGCGCCGACTGCTTACCCATTCAGTAGCGAGCTCGAAAAGCTGAACATCCAGGATGGAGACGTGGCCATTGTGGACGTGGCCGGCGGTCAAGGACACATCATGGAGGAGGTCCGCAGACAGAACCCTGGTCTCAAGGGCCGGATCATCGTGCAGGATCTCCAGGCAGTGCTCGATGCCGTACCTGATGGCCCGCCCGGCGGTGTCGAATTCATGGCCCACGACATATTCAAGCCACAGCCGATTACGAATGCGCACGTATATTATCTTCGCCACATCGTTCACGATTGGGACGATGAATCCATGACTGTGATCCTCAACCAGCTGACCCCTATCTTGAAGGCACGCCCTCAGACCAAGTTGATGTTGGCTGACTTGGTCCTTTCCGATACTAGCATCGACATGCAAGAAGCGGTCAGAGACTTTACCATGTTTCGAATCGGTGGCTTGGAGCGTACCGAGGCTCAATGGAAGAAGCTTCTGGCGAAGAGTGAGCTGGGGATCAAAAAGATATGGAGAGGCACCGAGCCTGAAGCATGCGTAGAATGCACCTTGCTCGACACATTACCGTGACGAGGCTAGTCCTTGAGACATGACCCAACAGGGTCATGCTATCTTTTTGACTTGGCGGGAAGCACGAGGCCAAGAGTTGCTCAATCCAAGGCAAAGCCGAAATGAAGACTTCGAATACCACATTGAAAGCCACGAGGACGCACTGTCGTACTGACACTTGGTCGATGTGAGATGAATGCCCGACCTCGAAGCATGATTTAGAAAACTAAGGTGAGATTTTCAATATCACAGCATCAAAAGCCTACATCAGCTCAAGCCTCCACCTCAATTTTCAACAGCCTTGCTGCGTTCTTCCACCGTATTCCTTCCAGCTCCTCCTTACTCACCAACCCGCTTCCTTCAAGCTCTTCGAGCCACTTGAGCCCATCTTCGCTGCTCGCAAACGGATAGTCCACGCTGTACATGATCCTGTCCTTCTTAGTGTTCCGCAAGATACATGCCAAGGGATCCAAGGCCCAGTTCCCGCTTGTCGTAAGCCACATATTCTGATCCCAGACATCCCGAAACGATCGGGTCCTTCCAAATCGGCTTGATATTCGCTCTATTCGCTGGAGCATGAAAGGCACCATCTCGCCAAAGTGGCCGATTACGATTTTCAGCATTGGAAACCGGTCAAAGACCCCGCCGGCGTACAGCCGCAGCACATGTACCGCGACGTCGCTATGCCAGCCAAACGCGAACGCGGATATCGCTGCAGACACTTGGTCCGGGATTGCCTTCGATCTGTAAGTGCTGGACTGGCGCTCCGAGGGCCAGGTTGGGTGTATGTAAATCGGCACATCCAGCTCACACGCCGCCTGCCACAGCGCATCATACTCGGGGCCCTCGTAGTACGTTCCGGACTCGGTGTGGCTGTCGACGAGAGCGCCCAGGAACTTGGCCTCGGAGCACGTGCGCCGCAGCTCTGTCGCCGCCTCAGCCGGGTGCCCCATCGGCAGCGCGGCAAAACCAGCGAAGCGTTCCGGGTGTGTCTGGACCGCCTGGGCGAGCTGGGCGTTGGCGGCGCGGCATTGGTCGGGTGTCAGGTCTCCTGGCCCGTGGGAGATCACTTGGAGGGTGACTTGGCCCGCGTCCATGTCCTTGAGGCGCAGCGGACCGAGCTCGGTGAATTTGTCCCAGAGCCCCGGGATTTTCTTGAGTGCTTCATCTGCCGCGTGCGGGTTGGCCTCGGCAGCTTCGGACATAAAGTGCTCCTCGAGGGTTATTATGGGTGTTCTCGTCGCCATGGTGGTAGTTGGTGCTGGTTTGCCTGCCTCTCACACGTCCTCTTCGTCTGTGGCGTAATTATTTCTCTGCTCAACAATAACCTATGAGTGATGAACGCTGATCCCACTGCCAAGAATCTCCATTGTGCCATCCTTTTATACGACAGCTAGTTCTAAAGCATCATCTCCAACTCCGTACCGGTCGTAGCGGTCATAGCGGTCATACCCGGATGGCTCGGATGTTCCACTACTTTTCATGGTAGTAGTGAATGCGAATCCCGGGCTCGAAGTCTACTGCTTTGGGCAGCTTTAACTCCGTGGCGGACTTTGAATCGGCGGACGGCCCGGATTTATCTATACCCTTTCTTGGACAGGGCCGATCAGATATCTAGTGCTTATTCCAGCACGGAGTCTGCATCGGGCTGCGGGCCTGTCATCAGTTGCGGCTCGTCTAGCCCTCCCGTGCAGCTTGCATAACCGCACTTATTCTTAGTGGGTTTCGGGCCGCCGTGGGAAATTCCCGGAACCTCACTGCCTGGCTGGCCAGGCTGGCCAGAACATTTCATGCTCAAGTGATGTCGTCAGCCCTCGCGTGTTGACTGTGGTCTGTTTGCTGCACCTTGTCCTACACAAAAGCCTGACAAGTGGCGTGAGGGTGCACATCACCCAGGCCTGCGAGGCTGGTGCTTCGCTGGGATCAAGAACCCCTTATTTCCCTCGGCCTCATGCGCCCCCTTCAACCCCTTATAGTCGGGTTAGTCGGGTGCCTGCGCTCCTCAGCCCACAGCCCACACCAGCGCCCGCCAAGAGCTTGGTAATCGAACGCGAGCAGCCACAAGAATCTACTGGGATATGCACTAACTAGTCACATGCCTGGACACAGACACGTTCATGAAACCTGGGGTACGACCTTGGCATCTGCAAAACACCTATGAGCAGCCGCAAAACTGTATTCTGAGGCGCAGTGCGTAACTTGGTACTTGTGGACGCCTCGCATGAAGCCGCAATATAAGGCTGCGAGTGCTGACCACGTGTGCCCCTGACCAGGGTGATCCTCCTTTTCCGTCCCTGTGTGATTACCTGAGCGTGTATCTCGATCTCGCTGGCCGATGTAACGTGTTCGCGTCTTGCACCGTATTTGAGGACAATTTTGACTACAACAACAATCTTGGAAGCTGGTCGAGCAACTGACCAAGGAAGCAAAAACCTCACACTGCAGTGCGGAATGAGATGACTGCAGCTGTAGAACCAAGTCAGCCTCAGCTCCCCTCCTATAACGAGGCCCTCCAATGGGGCTACACGCCGCCGCCGCGGGTAACATGGGCGCCGCCGAGGGAGGACTCGCCCAGCCCGCGACCGCGGACGCTCCGGCCACGGGCGAGTGCGGTGCGGCCGTTCTCAATGTCAACAATCGATGAGTCGGCGCTCAACGGCCGCAGGCCATCAACATCTTCCGGGGGGCCATTCTCCCCCATCGGGCTGGACAACATCCTGCGAGATGCCCTGAGGGGAGCATCACGCACCAGCGACGGACCGCTCTCGCCTGCGTCGCCCATGTCGCCAGTACGACCCTCGACCGCACAGCCAGTCTCATCCAGCGACCTCCTCACAGTCCCCTCATCATCACCATGTGACTACCCGGAGCCTCGATCACCAGCCTACTCGCCAACACAGGAGGAATTCATCCCAGAGCCCGTCCCGCTGCATCCGAGGCCGCCAATCCCGCCCGGCTACTCACGCCATGACCCTACCGCGGCCACATACCTCCTCCACTCACCCCTCATCTACTCATCCTCGGGCTCGTCGCCACAGACGCCCACGTACCAGCTCGACGCGCGGCTCAGCAAGGCCGGGCGGCCGTACCAGCTCCGGATCAGGCAGCTGGACCACCTCGAGAGCCGCACCCTGGCCTTCAGCCGCGACCCGCACCGCAGCTCGGGCCGCTTCCTCCGCTACGAGGAGGAGCACACGCTGTACCTGCTGCAGGTGATGCAGCTGATGGGCGGGTTCGGCGTCCCGGGGCTGGGCTTCGGCCCCTCGTGGCGCGTCGAGATGCACCGCGACCCGAACCACGAGGGCAGCGGCACCAGGGGCTTCATCCGGTTCGAGGGCGGCGGGTTCCTGGGCATGGGGAAGGGCTTCATGCGCAAGAGCGGCTGCAAGTTCTGGTACATGACCCGCAAGAGCGACCGCGAGCGCGAGGCGCTGGGCGAGTCCAAGCTCTCCGCCAGGTACGGCTACCAGCCCGAGTTCGAGTGGAACCGGCGGCTCATGTTCTCGGTCGAGAAGAGGCGCGGCGCGCTCGGGCTCGGCGGCCGGAGCAAGGGGTATGAGTGGAAGGATGGGAAGGGCCGCGTCGTGGCCGTCGAGAGCGCCGAGGGCAGGTTGGACCTGTCCCGCGTCGCTGCGAGCATGAGCGCGCATTCCAGAGAGTCGCTGCTCGCTTGCTGGGTTGGCAAGTGTTGGGCCGCGGGGGCGTTGGATCTGTGATGCTGGGCTGCGGCTCGGGTGACGGTCACGACATCATGATGCTTTTCATGTGATCTACTACATTCAAATTGTAATGTGCGAAAGCAGCGTGCGTGTATGGTTATCTTTGGGAAGGACGGAAGCATATCATATACCTAAGTTTAGTTCTGACGTGGCGACATTCGATTCTCTCTTCTCTTCTCTTCATATTCTTGCTGCAAAATAACTACATGGCCAGGAGAGGTGGAGGCAAGGCAAGAATCAAGTCCGTCGACAATGACTTCTCATGCTCCAGCTGCTACCTCAAGCCGCCCTTCACGTTGACGGGTGAGTCTCTGGTTATATCCACCTGCAGATAGTGATTCCCACCAACATTCGGAGTTGTTAAAGGTAAAATCGGCGAGTCTCCCGTCGACCTCAGTGACTTCTCCAATGGAGCTCGTCTCAGTCCCATTCTCATCGTTTCATTCCCATTCTCATCGCGCTCTATCTCCCCCCGCCGACTCTTGGCTGACCTCTTCAGCCGCAGTAGGTGGCCCTCCTCGGGGCTGAGCCCCATTCCGCGTCTGGCGGGCTCGGAATCTGCGACTGCCCCGGGTGAGCATTCTGCCGATAGAGCTAGACGTACGATCCGGAAGCAACGCCCGGGCGCGGGCCCAGTTGACCGACTCTCCAGGCCGCGGGCGAGCCTGCTCCAACAGCTCCAACTCCTCTCGTGACCAAGGTCTTCGTTTCGGCCTGACAGCGTACCCATCCTTATTCCTAGACTCTTGCTTGCGTCTGGCTTGAGGCATCGTCGTCCACTTCGATCGACATGCCAGTCTGCTCCGCCCCGGCATCTGTGCCTCTACGCTCTTCCAAAAGGCGGACTGTGGTGTCCTCCGGGCGTCGGGCTGTCCGAAGCACAGAGATCTGAGCTTCTCCATCTCTTGTTGGGTCCACCTCGGGCCGCGGCCTTTGGATGGCACGCCTCCGCCAAACGACCCCGGTGGTCCTTTTCTTGGCTGGGCTTCACGGCCGGGCGGAGCGACCTGGCGCCGTGTATTGGTTGTAACTCTTGTCTTCGAGATCGTCACGCCTGGGAAAGAGAGGGGATCCTGGTCTTCCGGCATCGCGAACGGGTCTTCATCGTCCTCAGCTAGCGCTGTGGATGTCGAAGGTCTAGCTGGCCTCCCTGTTGGGAGTGAGATTCGGGCGGGCAGAGACGGGCCTTTGCGCGTTGCTAGCGAACTCCGTGCGAGCTCTCCTGTCGATGGTGGCGGAGCTTCAGCAGCACCTTTCGCAAACTGTTCAAGTACTTGGTCATGTCAGCTCGTTAGAGACGAAATCTTTCCTGGTAATCCGCGTCCTTTTTCAACATGTTATCCAGCTCACATTTTCTCCACGAGGGGTCGGATAGTGAAGCATCCCCACAGCTCCAGGTCAAGTGGGACTTCGCGCTCGAGGTATGCAGTTCAGAGAAGTTCATTTTCACAGAGAAATCTTCACTGGAGAGCAGTCTCGTGGCGAGTGATGACCTGTGGCGTTCCGGGAGACCGCCGATCTGAGATTCACAGTAGTCGATGAATCGCTGCCTCTTCTTGGCTTGAGCCTGCAGGATCGAGTCGTTGTACTTGGCAAGCCTCGTGTCGATACCCTCTCTAGACTTTTCTAACACATCCAAGATCATTTCTTCCATCTCTTCGGCGTCAAAAACTGTCGTGGTGTACCGCTGGCGCTTGGGCCTTGGAGCCAGACTCTCCGAGTCTGCCATCGTTAACAATCTGATGATGTGCCAGTATCACAACTAGAACACACAAAATTACGCTCTCAAGAATAGGAACTGTGGTGGTTTCTGACAATTGAATTCGGAAAGCATAACAAGTGGGCTGCCCGGGGATGCGTGTACATCTGAGGTTAGATACTTAGACATAGAACAAACGGACCCTTTGTTGACCGTTTGCTGGTGGGACCCGGCGCAAAGACCGGTGCCATGCCATGCGAACGAATTAGACCGCCTCATTCTGGATATCGTTTTACGTATGGACGCTTTAGCCAATACCTTACAGTCGCCGAACGGATAGGTGCATGAAGAAGGTGGCCTTCTGTTTGAATATGTCTTGAGTCGTCTTTGTCCCTGCTTCTGCCTGAGGGTGTCGATTCTTGCAAAAAGCATAGCATCAAATTGAATGAGTGGAAGCAGCCTGAGGCAGAGGCTGGTGTACTCTGGCAGACTCCACCGGCCGCAAGACTACCCAACCTTCCAACGTAAAGTGTTGCGTGCCTTTCTAGACACATGCTGAGCTCGCTGGTGTTTGGTGTTTGCGTTCCGGTTGCGTAGGCCCGTTTGCATTTCCTCTCTATCAGCATGGCTTCTTCAAATCATTTTGATCTTCGTTCGATGCTGGAAGTACAGAACAGGAGGAACCAGCGGGCGAACGCCGATCTCGAACGATTGGGGACGCTGCCTCTGGAGGGTGGAGATCCCAGACCCGGTTCGCTGGAAGGGTGAGTAGGGTTTTCAGAAGCTTACCTGGGCGATCAAGGCTTACAAATTCTTCATTATGAAATAAATTTCGATGAGCTAAGGCATCCAGTCACAGATATGCTGCAATTGACCCCGGAAGCACGGGCACTCGTGCTGTCATAGCAATTTCGAAGATCGACGAGACCACCGGGAAAAGAAGGATAGTCGAAGACGGCATCAAGCGCATCCAAGATTTTAGGGAAGATGACGACCGTGACAGACGAACCACCCGGGGTGAATGGCCATCGAAGTGCTGTCCCTTTGATGGCCCTCCTTACTACGTTGGCTACGAAGCTGACGCTCAGGACAAGAAGAGGACAATTTCTATCAAGGCCATTCCATACTTCAGAACGCAAGATGATGATGGTCACCCTTTCACGAGAGCTCTCTACGACCACTCCAGATCTCTGCGTTCTGAGGTCGACAGACGACACTTCGATGATGTACTGGATACTATTTTGTTCAATTTCTTGTATGTCTGTAATCACTTGTTGCAGACTTCGATGTGCTCTTCTTCTTTCCCTCCTTCTTCTCTCAAACTGCCATCACGTCCTCCTTTTGATGTGCTGAAAGCCCCCGGGACACATTTCCCAACTGATCAATATGCATGTGTCTGAATAATACAAGTGCTGACGCTTGGTAACCAACAGTAACGAGGTCGTCCAGCGCATCCTCAGCATGTGCAAGGCATCGAACATAAAGCTCCGTTCCCTGGCCGTGTGCGTTCCGCAAACTTGGTCGAGACGCGAGACGCCTATCCAGGAGTACCTTGGTCCCATACTCGATCGCACGGTGGCGATAGATGGCGTCGAGACAACATTTGCTCTCGAGGCTCAGTCCCAGGCTCAGTACATCATCAAACACTACTTTCGGCAACTGAAGACCTGCAATGAGCTGATGGTCCTTGACTTTGGTGGACATTCCATGGTACTTGTCTATCCCCTTGAATGCCGTGATTCAATCCTACAATTTCAAGAGGCTGACGGCCCTTGAACATAGGGAGGCTCCGACACCCAGCTACATTGGGGCCCTGCGAACGACCGGCCTACGTTCCATGCTCCGCCAGGAAGCGATTTTGGTAAGCATGTCACGCACTTCTCACATATTGGCCTCCACGTGCCAGTGTTGTAAAATCGATTGATGCTCCCCTAAACAACAGGATGAATACTTTCCTCTCCTCTTTCGGCATGTCGAATAGTTCCTCAACCTTTCTTTGAATGTGTACTTTCCACACTCGCTTCAAGACTTTCTGATAAAGGTTACAGGCGTCCGAGGTGGCTACGAGCTCTGGGAGATCGGAATTGGCAATTGTATCGACAAGACAATGAAGAGGAATCCGAAAAAGTACCCCCAAAAGAGGCGCCACGTGATAAAGGCGAAACTCCTGGAGGGTTTCTTCAATAGCAAGGCCAGGATTAATTTCGAGAACCCGCACAGGCTTCACACCGACCTGGTGGACCACTTCAAGGACCCGAAGGCGTCTTACGCCGTCTACATCACGGCCGAACAGCTCAAGGCTGAGTGGGAGAACGCCTTCCGAGATGCAATCAACATGGCGGCCCGGAACATCAGAAACGTCGTTACGGAGGGCAGAAAACTGAGGGTTCTTCTGACAGGAGGAAGTGCGAACAGCCAGAACTTGAGGGCTGAGCTGAACAATGTCTGCGATGAGCTTCGCGAGAAGGGGTTCGATGTTACCCTCAAGGTCGTTGCGAAGGACATGGACACGGTCCTGGCCCCGTAAGTGTATCTCACACGACGTCTTCGTGATCTAGTAGCATCAGACGCCTAACTACTTCTCACCCAGTGTGTGGAGCATTGCCGAGGGAGCGGCATGCTGCCATGCCACCGCCATGGACGTGGACGAATTCTTCGACCTCGGTGCGGCTCTTGGCTTGCAGATCCGGACGGCCATGGCCAATGGTGGAGAGTGGGCTGGAGAAAACTGTCAGCTCCTGTTTTGCAAGGTTAGTTTTTTCGTGCGGTCTTTGTTGAAATGTGCCCTGCAGGAATGGATGTGGCGTGTTTCTGTCGGAGACTGACCCGACTGTATCGTCCTGTTCGTTAGCGAGACGGCGTGGAGCGACACCCCAAAGTCGACATCGACATCGATGGTACCAAGAGGAAGTTCAGGATCGTTGCCGACCCTTTCCTGATGGCTTCTCAGGGGAAGGTGAGCAGCAGCGACGTCATCCTCGTCAAGGATGCCTACGACATTGGGGACCTCGAGCTCAAGTACATCCCGAGCTTCGGCGGAGATGCGCTACCCATCCCAAACGGCAGACACACTCTCGAGGTCGCCGAAGTAGTCTGCAGCGGCCGGGAGGCGATCGCGGTCCTCCGGCTGAGGCCCAACCTGTCCGATGGTGCCCGCAGGTCCAAGAGGATGCTGGACAAGATGGCCATCGACGGACACTGCAACTGGAGCCTCCTATTCGAGCTGCCTCTGACGTCGTGCGGGCCCAGCAACCTGGTGGAGCTTGATATCGACCGTGTCCGTGGCCGTCTGTGGAAACTTGATGGATACATTCATGGCGCTCGCCTCGGGGAACAACAACGTGAGATCAGCGTGGAACTGGGTACCCCGTTTCCGTCGCCAGCGAAGCGACGAAGGGTGGATGGCCGATTTCCCATCAGACCAGATCCGCAAGGAGATATTGATGAGCTTTCTTATGATTGGGATCACTAGTCATAGTAAATGATTCGGCAGACTCAGCGTTTGAGCCGGTAACGGGTGTCAACAATCCAGGCGGTAGAAACCACACAAGTATTCCATAGACAGTAATCTACCTATCACCAGCCTTTCCTTTGTTTGTTCACTTGTGATTCGTTCTCGCATCGCATCTTGCAAGCTTCAAGACAACTTCATATTGACCTTTGGGCAGAGTCCGGCACATTTGTGCATACTCACTGGGGCCTTTGGAACTTGTCCTTGACCTGTGAAAGTGCAACAGCATGGTGAGATTGCTATCAGTTTACGCGAAGGATATTTTCTCCTCTTTATCGAGACAACCACGGCCTCGAAATCTCCCTCAAACTTGCCTCATCAGTAGGTACCTAGGGAAGCATAACACACTCTCTCCCCTGCAGCAATCTGCGTTGTACATATAGCCTTACACGCAGCAGCCAATGGACGACCGAGTCCCGGTGCGGGCTGTCCTCGGTCTTTTGGATCAGATAGCGCGTCATCGACCCCTATCGGACGATGTTGAGATCCTTGCAGGTCAGGCTGCTTGCCCCGACGAGACGCCAAGGCCAGGTGACAAGACGAAACCAACCTTCGCATCAGACGAGTACGCGCAGAGAGGAAATCGGCCCACTGAGGGAGGAGACTCGGGGCAAGTGCCGAGGCCGGCCCTGAGGAGTCTCGGTGGCTGATCTGGGAACACGGCTGTATGGGTTGGGATCGGTGAACTGAGGTGAGGGAGGGGACGGCATTGAATGGATGGATACTGCGGGCACTGATGCTCAAACCTCGTGCACGGAGTAATTGTTGCATGCTCCCAGGCTCCTCCCTTTTGCCCGGCCAGCGCACAGGCGTGTTGCTGCCAAGGCTCGGTTCCTGGGTTCGTGGGAAGCTTAACCAGGCAACTTGACGCTGTTCTCCATAATGGCGAGACAGGACCATTTTACATTGGGCAGTTTCGCATCCTCCTATGAGGAACCAGGTTCGGCATCTGCCGGCACGTAAGATTTTGGTTGGCAGCGTTGGGCGACTAAATCGTCGCCTCGGGCTTGGCTGTATGCACGCATGGAAGGAATAGGGAGGTAAAAGGAGGGAGTCGAGAATGTCTGGAACCGAGGGCCCCTGTCTCCCTGTCTCACATCAGAGGAAATCACCTGTTTGCCAAAAATGCTCCGTACGAACGGGGGTTCGAGGCTTGAAGTAGTCAAGGTAGTTCAAGCACCGGCGATCGGCCTTGGGATTTGCATGTATGTTTGTCGACGACAGATCATGATTTTCCCTTCCCGCCAGCCGATGGCACTGATGTTCGCCAGGGATATCTAGTAGAGGGTGTAGACTAGTAGATAGATAGCCGAGAAATGTCCGCGTGTGGTGTCAAATGTGGTGTCAAAGAAGCAGACGCGCCCCTAAAACTCAAAACGAACCCACTGGCATGATTTCATCTCGTCTCGATGCCGGCTTCAAGTTCGTTTCTGACTCTGTCATTGACCTGGGCTTCTCCCCTGCACACAAGCTTTCTTTCACCCAAGCACCAACGAACTGAGGCCTTGGGCGGCTGCGGGTCGGCGGCTCGCCTGCACAACCAACCCCTCCCTAACAGCCCTATATCCACTTGGACCGAGTTGACCCCCATCTCGCCCCCATCTCACCCCCCAAGCCCCCCAAACCCCCCAGCACCTCCCCTGTCCCACTCGCCCACGACCCACTCAGGGGTTTCGACTTGCGGCTCACTTGCGACGGCATCCGTAGCAGACCACCAGGGCATGTTGCCTACACAGGCACGCAGCCCTTTGGGGCAATCCATGCCTGTGTCACTTGGCGCGTTTGTATGCCGCATGCCTGCACGATATGATCATCTCAAGTTGGCAAAAACGGCCTGGCTGCCGCTGTCAACTCATGGGGTGAAAGACGCCTCACAATCCAAACTAAACTCATCTCTGTCGGCTCATTTTTCTTTCTCTTCTCCCTCATTCTTTCTGTCTGTTCAATCCGATTCTTCACCAGCAGGTCTGTCACTCTTCTTCACAACCGCAGGGGTTTTTTCTCTTCTTGGATCTGCCACAACACTCATTTGTTTTGAACTATAATATTGTTTCATTTCTTTCTGGGAGGAATAGGGAACAGGCAGGACAAGATGCGTTCAGTAACTCGAGTTCTCCTCACCTCGGCCATGCTGGCTGTGGCCAACGCCCAGGGCGTTATCGTGAAGGCGGTCGGTGACAAGGGGACGAGTACCGGCCTCCAAGGTATGTCTCAGCGTGACGATGTATGGTGTTATCCGGACGGAAGCTGACCCAGCCCGCAGTCAACCCCAATGACCCTGCCGATGCCAACTTCATCGCCCAGGCCGAAGTGGTCGCCAACGTCGTCAACGAGTGTGGCCGTACCATGGCCGGGGGCAACATCGATATTGGAGAGAACACCGAGACTGCCCTGGCTGCGAACCAGGTCACTCAGGTCTCCAAGGGCAGCACCGTCACCATGACCATCAACACGGTCAACGAGACCGGCCAGGGCCCATTCAGCTGCGACCTGGACCAGACGTCGAATGCCCTCGGTGCCAACGGCCAGACTGCACTGGATGTCCAGGAGGGCAAGGTCAACGGGAATGGCGAGATGCAATTGTGAGTACTAGTATCCCATAGACCGGCAGGTGTGCCATATATGTCATAACACACCAACCACACCCTCCCAAAGTCACTAACACACATCCCCCCCACGCAGAAAGGTCACCCTCCCCCAGGACCTGGCCTGCACGGGCTCCTCCCAGGGCAACGTGTGCACCGTCCGCTGCAAGAACCCCAACAACTTTGGCGGCTGCGTCGCGGTCCAGCAGACAGACGTCAAGCCGCTGCCCGCCGACAACGACCCGTCCAACATCAAGTCCGCGCAGACGCTGGCCGGCATCACCGCCCAGATCGCCCAGAACAAGCAGGACCTGGCCGCCGCCGTCGCGGGCAACGAGGCCGCGGGCTCCGTCGCCGAGCAGGGCCCCACCATCGCCCAGGCCATCCTCGACTCGGACCCGCAGATCACGCAGGACACCAACGACGAGATCTCCAAGCAGGTCAAGGCCAACGCGGTGGACACGAGCGGCGACACTGGGGGGAATGCTGATGCAGGAAACGGCGGTAAAGGGAAGGGGGGCAAGAATGGAGGAAACGCGCAGAATGGCGCGGGTGCTGGTGCTGCGAAGGCTGGAAAGGGCCAGAATGGCCAGGCCCAGGCTGGAGGAAACCGAGGAGCGAACGGAGCAGGGGCTGCTGCCGGAGGAGCTGCCGCCGGAGGAGCTGCCGCCGGAGGGGCCGGCAACGGAGCGGCGGCCGGAGGAGCGGCGGCCGGAGGAAACGGCCGTGGAGGCAACGGCCGCGGACAGGGCGCCGCCGGTGGCAACAATGCTGCCGCAGGAGGCGGTGCCACAGCAGGTGCTGGGGGCGCGACGGGCGGAAATGGAAATGGAAACGGGCGTGCCGGGGGTGCTGGAGCCGGGGGCGCCGGGGCCGGAGGCTTCGGCTCGTTCTTCGGCGGCGGCAAGAACAACAAGCGCATGGCACCCACCGAGCGCCGGGCCAAGAGGTTCGTCGACGTCGGCGCTGACTTCCAGGCTGGCGGCAACTAGGTGGGATTGTGCTCTCTGTCGGTTGTCTAGAGTGGGCGAGGTGGCTGTGGGTTGCTGTAATGTGGCTTTTTCCCCCTTTTTATTTATAGATTGGAGTGCTGTGTTCATATGACTGCTATACTGGATTCTGGTGGTCTGCTTCATGTGAAATTTTTTACTATCGCTGCGTAGCATGTCCTGGTAATCAGGGTGTGCTCAAGTGCTTCGGGTCCCAGTTCCTGAACCATCAGGTCAAGAGTTCCTCCGCGTTCGGTCCAGCAACGCCTGGACGACATTGTCGAGCAAGTGGGCTCGGTCCGTCTTGGAATGCGGACCACGGACATGTGGCCACTCTGGTACGGGATGTTGATAGCATTCCTATCCTCTTGAAGTCTGCCCTCACCCTGCTGGATAAGAGATTGACCGAGTAGCAGTCGGCAAAGCCTTCTACGTACCAGGCTGGTGACTAGAAAAGTGATCCATTGCTACCACGAACTCACCGACCAGGTGTTCGATGATCTCCAGCGAATTTCATCTCAAAGCTGGCTGCCGTGCTCATGATCGTCTTGCACTTCGAGCCGCTTGTTTTGCAACTGCGGGGGAGCCTTTCTCTTGCCGATAGTGATATCCCAGGCTCCCATGGCGCGCAGTATCTTGTCTTCATTGCTCGCGGCCGCAACGAGACACACATTCCAAACGGACGACCATTTGTCACGGAATAGCCCAAGGGCATGGTGCCTACCGGATATCCTGCTGCGGCCGCAATGGTGGGGATTCTGCCATCCGTTGGGCCTAGAATAATGTCTAGGTCATGTGCAGCCAGTGTCTTGTCAATACCCTGAACTCGCGCTGCGTTCCGGAGGATTTGGACACCCTCATCGTACTTTCTTTCCAGCAGATATGCGCTTTTCTTCTTCAATGGCATCTTCGAGGAGTTGCTGGCCGGGATAACCTGTTTTTCGTCCAAGAACGATCTGAATTAGCATGTTGTTGTACCAGAATTTACTATGAATGATCTTACGTGGAGGCAGTTCCTTCTCTGCATTCTGTCGGTTGAATTCAACCATATCTCGCAGGGACTTGATTTTACTGTCATCATAGCCTTCCAAGAAGACGTCCCACTCATTGCTAAAGTCATGATCTGGCTCAAGTTAATGCAAAGTGGTCCATGGCGCGTATTTGGATGTTCAAAGTGGTCGTGCTTACTCCACAGCTGCTCAAGAGCATCGTCGCCGTCCAAGACTAGTTGGTCCATTGAAGGGAACGGGACTGATCGCACAACCACCGCCCCAGCATTCTCGATCTTGGCAATTGCAGCATCCATTTCGTCCCTTTGCTGCTGAATCAGAATAGGGTCGGGATCGCAAATCACCGGTGAGAACGACCACAAGGTCGGATCGACAAATCCGACACGCAGTCCGCTCCACGGAGCAGCTGCGCCGTCTTCATCGTCCTCGGTCTTCGTGCCCCTTTCTGCACCGGTGATGACCTCAAAAAGCGCTGCGAGATCTTGGGGGGACTTGGCCATGCCACCCATGCTGTCGGTGAGTGAGCTCCATAGAGCTGTCCCCTCTGTAGGGAGAAGCCCCACGGTGGCTTTGAGGCCGTACAGCGCTGCTCGGTTGGCGGGCTGTACAATGGAGCCATCGGTCTCGGTGGCCAGCGCAAGCGGCGCGAATCCTGCTGCCACCCCGGCCGCGCTACCGGATGACGAACCACCAGGAGCCAGGATTTCAACCTTGGTAAGCACCGTATCAAATGTCAAAAGCACTATCCCCGTGTGCAAGTTTTGATTTGGCCTACACTGTGACCCAACAGCTTGTCACCCTCTTTGAAGCCCCCAACGATGTATGGACTCTGAGTCTGGCCACCCAGAGCTGACCATCCTGTGGTCACTCCAAAGCCTTTCCACCCTGTCATTTCCTGTTTAAGCAATCAGATCTTGCTCGGCCTCCGAAGTCGAATCTACTTGTTTTACTCACAGACAGGTTTGCCTTGCCAAGAATGATAGCGCCGGCTTTGAGTAGCTATTATTACGATCAATATCGATCGCAGGGTGTCAATGATCGGGGTTAGATGAAAAACCATACTGACCCGGTCAACTACTGGAGCATTCTTCTTGGCAATCGCGTCTTTCAAGGCATATGTACCAACTGTCGTTGGCAGCTGCAGCTCGGGGCCCGTCATGATGTTGTCCTGGAGCCTTGATGAGTATGTGGCTGAGACTCCTGAAACTAGGATGACTTCTTGCCTTTACTGTGATGGGGATCCCGTGTAGTAAACTGCGAACAGAACCCTGCTGCCTCTCCTTGTCGAGGTCTCGGGCCGTCTGTTGCAGAATGCTGCGGGGCGTAATGGACAGCATGGCGTTTAGGTTCAGTCCATTGTGGTTCTCACACTCAATTTGGTTCAAATAAAGGTCCAATAGGTCCACGGATGTGATAGAGCCGTTACAGAGGAGATTTTGAAGCTCTGTACTGGAGACTGTGAGCGGGTCGATGGATGCCGCAGCGCTGTCCGCTGGCTCGCGATGGAGAGAGTTCGTCATGGTCCCACAAAGTGGCGTTCGAAACAGAGTATTCGAAGAATAGTAGCGTTGTTCAGGCGATGCTTGAAATCGACTGAATCCTCTTTTAGGATAGATGCAGAGAAATCGCGTTGCTAGAATTGCAAAACCCGTGAAGGCTGCAGTTGGAAGGACCGCACGGGTACGTCTTTGGCAGGTGGAAAATCGCATGAAAGCGGCTCTAAGAAGAACCAATGTCGGGTGGGGAAGCTTCATCTGAACGCTCAGTTGGTACCTGAACGCTCAGTTGGTACCTGAAGGCGTGTGGGCCAGAAGGCGTGCCAGAAGGGGTCCAGAAGGAGCTTGTACCTGAAGTATCTGAAATCTGGACAATCCTGGTTAGGTACATGGTTTTGTATGGGCCCTGCACGTAAAATCTTGTACTGGGTGAGCGGTCGAAAAAAGCTGGGTGAGTGGACGTTGGCTCCTCAAAGAGGCGCCCCCGACAAGTAGGAATGTTAAGAAGGGAAAGTAGGCAGCAAACCTCCATCGGCTCACATTGCATTGGAGGTCAGCCCTGAGCCCATCAATGGCAGAACTGCAGCGCGAAAGCGCATTCAGTGACAAGTCCCTCACAGTGGTTGGACCAGTTCGCACCGGAGAGTGCGAGTGGACAAGCTTCATGATGAGCGAGCGATACGACGAAACTCCGTGTGACTGCCACTCCGATGTGAGTCACCGAAAAGAAGACCACTGGCAAGGCAAAATACCCCAGGAGCATACAACCTACCGCAGTGTAGTCCAGATATAAAATAATAGTCTTCCAACCGATAGCTTCCCAAGTGGTTGACCAAACTCGGTGCTCTCTGTAGCAATCAATAGTCAGGACAGCTAAAAGATAGAGTCCGAGGAAAAGAAACAAGTACTAGGAAAATAACCCAAGTGTTCAAAGTTCGAGAAAAAGATTAAAAAATATGCCTCATTCCGGTTCAAGCAGCACCTGGGCCTCGTCAGGCGACGGGTACAGGGACGACCTCTGGTGGAACAGCACCCAGCGCCACAGGCCCCAGCTCTTCAGCAACCTCTACCAGGGTCAGTACCCCATCAACCCCCAGCAGCAGTACTGGGGGAACCGCAACATCATGGTCTGGATCCCGCAGCCGAGCCCCGCGGCGGCGTGGCCTGCCATCTACCCTCCTAGCTACCGCGGTTGGAGGTGAGCTGTGAGGGTGGTGGGATCAGTTCGTTAGGCTTTTAGTAGACAGGCAGTCAGCGTCATGCTGAAGCACCCTAAGGCAGTTGGATGGTAGGATGCCTTGCTTAGTAGCTGGGCCATCTCGTAAATAAAATAATTGATTTGATATACTCCCGTCCTCAGGGACGCCATTTCCAAGAAAGATGGCCAGCCAAGTGACATGAAGTGAGGCGATGAAAACAAATGCACCCTCGAGCCCAGATACTTGCGCAGATCGACTTCGCAAGCTTTAGCCACAATACCACACGACCAGCTAGGTAATCCCATGTCCCTGTCTTGTCTGGTTAAGCACAATTCTGTGTGGACCAGCCTGAGGACACAGACGGGTTTGATGTCGAGAGCCACAGCCACCCACTGATGGGAATAGTCCCGAAAGGATGAGGACCACTGGGGCGGATAGGTCAGTCACAGAAAGATCTACCATTTCAAGTTCCGCAGTTCACAGAGACAGACCGGAGATTCCTACAAATGCTCATTTTCTCGCTCTATATCAATACGCTTGCGTTGCCAACTGAGGGCAGGGGTATCTAGTTAAACAATTGAAAACACAGGAACCTTTCCGAAACCGAACGAGCTCCTCATCTCTCTTAATCATCTTCATCTTTTTCCATCATCTTGTAATCTTCACGTTTATCCATCCCATTCCATTTCCATTTCATTGTAATCCATTCCATTGCATCCCATGACATTTCATCCCTTCCCCGGGGGTCGTCCCGCCCTTACTTCTTCCCAATTCCCCTGCACCTAGCAGTAGAGTTCCTCAGGCGCGCACACCCACGGCACTCGACCTCCGCGTGGTAGTAGGTAGAAACAACACGGGAGGGAGTGAACTCGACCTCCGCGTGGCAGTTAGTACGTGGAAACTACACGGGGGGGAGTGAACTCGACCTCCGCGTGGTAGTTAGCAGGTGGGGACAACACGAGAGGGAGTATGAGCCGCCGCCGCCGCCATGCCCTCACTTCTTGGCACTCCCCCTGCGCTTGGCAGCAGAGGTGCCCAGGCGCGCGCCGACGGCACTCGACCTCCGCGAGGGAGTCGATGGGACAGCACGGGAGGGAGTAGAAGCCGCCGCCGCCCTGGACCGGGGGGTGGTGGTGGTGGTGGTGGGAGCCGGGGTGGGAGCCGGGGCCGGGGTCTTAGCCACGGCAGCCGGCAGCCGGGAGGGGCGCGGGCGGAGGGCCTTCTTCTTCTCCGACTCGGGTGCGGCGGAAGAAGAGGGGGCAAAGGGGGAGGCCGCTGGAGGGGCCTGGCCGGTGGGGCTCGGGGGCTGCTCGAGGGCAGGCTGGGCAGCAGCAGCATCAGCATCAGCAGCATCAGCATCAGCAGCAGCAGCCGCAGCGCTCGCGGCCATCGTGGACGACGAGGACTCGCCGGCGTCGTCACCTTGGTAACGAGCCAGGGTCTCGGCCCAGCGGACGGACCTCCTCGGTCGGGCGGCCTGGGACCCAGAGGCCTTCTCGGGCGAGACGAAGGGGTCGTTGGCAAAGCTCGGAGCGGCCAGGCGCGCAGGAGGCGGGATGGCGGCACCCTTGTTTCGGCGAGTGTTAGTGCGCGTCAATGTGGCGAGGTCCCTCTCCCTCCTCTGCTGCATAAGACCCGCGGTCGAGACTGCGGGCAGGTCCGCGTCAAGCGATCCGATGAGGGAGGCGGGGAAGTTGGACGATCCGGTGTAGACCACTGTCGTCCTGGGGGGAGCAACTCGCTTGGAGCGCCGTGGGCCCCCGAACGACCCCTTCTGGGTGAGGCTACCAGTGTGTGCCATCATCTCCGGGTTGAGGACCTCATCCGATGCGTCATCCTCTGCCCCCCTTCTGCGCCTCTTGCGCGTGGGCTGTGGAATAGTATCCTCAAGGTCGGGCTTCACAAGACCGCTTCCCTTCGTCAGGTTCATCTGCTGTCCCTCGGCGTCGTTGAGCTTGCGCTTCTTGCCTGGGCTGCCACTCATGCTGGTCTTGCCGGCGATGGGACTCATGTTGGAGTCCTTCTGTGTAAGCGCCTTGCGGGGGCTCTCGGGAGCTGCAACGGAAACGATTGGCGTCTTTGGCTCGCTTGGAGACTTTGGGGCGTTCTGCGGCTCTGCAGCGCTTGGGGTGGCCGTTGTCGAGCCTGACCATACCGCCTTCACCTTCATCTGAGCACGGCGAAGGAAGTTGTGCAGCACGTCGAGCTGAGAGTCTTCGCCCGAGTCGGCAACCTGGGCATCCACAACCTGCGGCTGAGCCGTGGCCTCGGGAACAAGGTCCTCATTGGGCTCAACCTCTGCTGCTTCAACGGGCTGCGGTATGACCGAAGGCTGCTCGACAGCAGCTTCGTCCAGGGTCATCCTGTCCGGTGTTGCTGCATCCAGGTGCTGTCCTGTGGCCGCATGAGAGTCACCATCGGAGTGTCCAGCAGGCTGTGGTGAAGCCGCAGGCTCTTCGGGGTTGAGCGTGTCAATCACGGCAGACTCGACGATGGTGGACTCGACAGTGGCGGACTCGACAGTAGTGGGCGCGACAGTGGACTCGACAGTGGTTGTTTCGACACTGGTTGTCTCAACAACATCGTCCTCTACGGATTGAAGAGGAGTGTCAGGGTCAGGCGACATGCGTGCTGTCTCAACAGTCGTCTCCATAGCCGACGGAGGGCCAGACTTTGGTGAGTCAGGCACTGTCAAATCGTGCGAAGGTGAGTTCGTGACAGGCGAGTCAGCCATTCGTGGCTCAGTCGCAGGTGAGTTGGGGACAGTAGTGTCGACCTCAACATCTCCCGTGGTCGACTTTTCGTCTTCGCCAGGCTGACCATGACCCTTGATGCGATCGTAAGCGCGATCATCCTCGTCAAAGGGTTGCGTGTCATCTGATGCAATGCTGTCGCCGTCGTCAATCTTGTCGTCCTCATCAGCTTTGGCGCCCTCATCGACCTCATTGGCCTCCTTGGCCTCCTTGGCCTGTTTGGCCTCTTTGGCCTCCTTAATGGCCGCCTCAACGACCCTCTTAGTGGCCTTCTCAATTTCGTCAACGTCGTCAATCTTGCCGAATGCCATGTTGGCCCTCCTATCGAGATGATTTCTAATCGAATCACAGATATTCGGAATGCCGTCATAGTCCTTGAAGGCTACATTGCACATTGGCAAAGGCGCTGGGGCGACGGGTGTAGTGTCCGGTTCAGTCGCTGGCTCAGGGTAAAGCGTCCTCTGTACCGCCGAGAATTCGCTTGGCACGTCCGAGATGGATTCCCACTTGGCTGTAGAGGTGTGTTGCCCATAGCGAAGCATGGCAGACTTGATCTTTCGTCGGGGGTTGTGGGAAGGTGTCTGTCCGAATATGTCGGGGTTGCTTCCCGCATCAAGGTCGAGAGTCCGTCGGAGTCTCGTGCGCGGCGGCTCGTCTTGGCCGTCCTGCTCCCCCTCCATAGCCTCGGAATAGCTGCGGCGACGCCCGCTGAAAGTGGTGGCCACCCAGGTGCGGACTTTCTTAAAGGACGTCATCTGGTGTGACCTGTCACTGCGTCGTGCATTGTCGAGGGAGACACGTCTCTTAGTCTCGTGCTCGGGCTCGGCGTGCACTTGCGTCGGCTGGTTGAATACAGCCACAGCAGCTGGATCAGCAGCGGGATCGGGATGCGAGAGTCGGCGGCGGGCCGGGGTTCGTTGATCGAGGTCGTCATCCTCAGCCCTGCGCTTGCGGTCGCCGGAAGTGGTGGTGCTGGATCCAGAAGACGCGGGCGGCGGGCATTGGAAGTGACCGCGGGTGTTCGTGATCACGACAGGCTCTTCAGCGCCAGGCTCGGAAGGAGTGGCGGTGCTGGATCCAGAAGACGCGGACGGCGGGCATTGGAAGTGACCGCGGGTGTTCGTGATCACGACAGGCTCTTCAGCGCCAGGCTCGGAAGGAGTGGCGGTGCTGGATCCAGAAGACGCGGACGGCGGGCATTGGAAGTGACCGCGGGTGTTCGTGATCACGACACGGGCGTCGTCGCCCTCACCGTCGTCCGCGACGACGCCTGCGGCCGTGGCAGACATTGTAAAGTATTTGTCCGCAGCAGCAGCCCACCTCTGTTTAGGCGCCTTGTACATCGGCTGATACTTGACTGGCACACCGGAGGGCTCCTTAAACTCCTCCGAGATGGTGTCCAGTTTTGTAGGCACGAACTTGGCGCGGCGGCTCTTGCACGGCCTCTTCTGCCTGACGCGAGCGCGACGGCGGTGCGCGGCCGCAACCTGCTCAAAGAAGTTTGCCTTCTTGGCGGCTTTCGCGGCCTTGTCGGGTTCGGCAGGTTTTGTCTCGAAGGCGATGAGGGGTTGGCACTCGGCGAGCATCTTCTCCCAAGTGGGAGGGGTGATGGGCAGGCGAGTATTGCGTCGCTTGCGGGGCACAGAGACCAGCTGGGTTGGGTCGTATGAGGGTCGCTTGGTCGGGCGCGCGTTCTTGCGAAGGGCCTGGTTGGCCTGGGCGATCCTCTCGTACGCAGTCTTGACCTGGACTATTGCAATCAATTGTTAGGAGCGCGCAAAGCTGAGAGTATCATGTCGGGTGAGCCACTTACGTCGAGCTACGGCGACGCGTCGCTTCATGTACTTGAAGTTCGCCGAGTCGTGCTCGTACTTGGGGTCGAAGGTGGCCGGGCCATAGACGCTCTTGTAGTTGGTTGTCCTGGCACGCTTTCGCCCGCCAACTCCCTGGCTCTTGAGCTCGGCCACGACCATGTTGTATTTGGTGTCGACACTCCTGCCAGGGACGCGCTTGTAGACGAGTCCACTGCGGTGGCTCAGGATCGCAGGAGGAACAGCGATCCGCTCCCATGTGTGGGGTTGGTAGTTGCTGGGAGGCATGAAACAGTCGGCGGCCACGAACGTACTGCACGGCGACGCGGGGGAGTTGGTTAGCAATGGCGCGAGACGACTACGGAGTGCCTGGGCAGTACACCAATTGAGGCGCGAATTGATGGAGAACAAATGGAAGACTTACGTGTCCCTGAGCCATGCCATCTCGCCTTTTGAGACGGCAACCTCCCAGGCCTTGGTGGCCTCGGAGGGTTTGCGCGACATGGCGGCGCGCGCAGACGCTTGGTTGGCGCTGCGATCAGCTTGGCGGGTCGAAAGTAAACAAACGTTTGGAGGGGCAAGCGACTGGGGGGGGAAAAGGGTCGCAGAATGCGTATTTTGATTAATTGGAGATGATTGAAGACAAAGAATAGTCTTGGGATAATCCTTTGTACTCGAGGTGCAAAAGATGCGGGTGGTGTGTCGCGATGCGCAAAGTCGAGTTTGGGTCGAGTCGCGCTGGGATTGTTGGGTTGCGACTTGGAAAGTAGGAAGATCGGCTTGGGGGAGCTGGTTGTGGGTGTGGTCTAGGAAGTTCGAACCCAGTCGGAGTGAATGTTTACTTTGAAGCTTCGGCCAATCAGAGAGCTCGGCACTTGCCGGGGGGGCAGGGGGGCAGGCCAGCGCGGGGGGCACTGCGGCAGGGGCTGCACGGGCCACCTAAAACTTTGGCTCTCAAGCTTGACAGACACAACGACCGCAGCAACGCATTGCACTCATTCATCCATTCACCCATCACCCATACGCGCCCCAGGCACTCCCCCACGCGACGCGTAACCTCATCCTGCTACTGCTACAAGTGACCCTCACGTGCTCAACCTGCGAAACCGATCCACCCAGAATTGACGCCCTCGCCGGGCAGAGTCGCAGTCGGTCGCATTCACCATGCCCCAAAAGCCCATGCGCTTGCCCCCGTTGAGGGTCTTGCGAGTGAGGAACCCGAACAAGCAGGAGGGCAACCCATGCGTGCCGATCATGTCATCAGTCTTGGGTAAGTCGAGGGTGGACGCGAGGACTTGGCCGTGCCCTGGGTATCTCGAACTATGGCTGGGACAAGGGAGACAATAGTGGCAGCGTGTGGGCAGCCTAGGATCAGACTCAAATGCCAGAATCCCATCACCCCATCATCCCACAGCGACTCGACACGAGAGCAGAAGACTTCAGTGGAACCGACTGGGCGGTCATCGAAACGACAGCACTCCGGCACGAGGAGCATGCTGGTGAGGGCGGTTCGTGCTTGAGCTTGGCCGTACCGAGGGCACACAAGCAGTGCTGCGCTGGGGGCTCGGGGCTCTGTCTGGCAGTGGCTCTGGTGGCTTGATCGAGGATATCCAGCCTCAGTGTGCTTAAGCTCGTCTAGGAGCGGCCAAGTCGCTACCAAGATCATGCCATAGGGAGCCACCAGGACAAGCGTCCAGTTGCACCCAGCCTCTCCAAAATAAACACTCATTCGAAACCAGTCCGCTGACCACGACCGTCATACAGCATGCTGGGCGTCAGCAGGATACCAAGCGGCCGGATGCGCAGTTGTCGAACAGGCATTGCGCGAATGCATGGACGGGCCGAAGCCACCGCCCGCGGCCAAGAACAACATCAACTTCCACCTGTCAAGATTCAAGAGATACCTCGAGGGCAACACCAAGAAGAAATAGACATTATGCACAAGAACAAGCATAGACACGGGCATCGGTTTGGTGGCCGGCTACAGATGGGCCGACTTGCTGTAGAGGGATCACGAGGACGCCAGCCACGACGGGCGCCGCCCAAATTGTCCTTGGATTCGGGACGACGCGATGCGATGGCTCCGATGGTCGAGCCGCTACATGGCAGGGCACATTCACCTCGAAGGGCCAAGGGGCGAACCCGGTCAACATTGGTCGAAGTCTGACACAGCACACTGTGGGCGCATGAGATAGGATACGACTGTTGCTGCTTGACGGACAGCAGGAGCCAGAAAGCATCTTCGCATTATCGGCCGGCGTTTACTAGGAGGCACGGGAACACCAGCCTACCAGCCCAGGCTCGCAATCATAGAATTGTAAGGATATGTACAAACAATCAAAAAATGCAAAGACATTCCCCGGTCGACTGGCGCAACCCTTCAACTCCAGGCATACCAGGCTCAGGATGGCCGCATTCAACCGCCACGTTTGGGGGGTGCCCGCGGCCTAACGGACCAGTATGCCCGGCGTTTGAAGTGCTGCCGTCTAACATCATGAACGTCAGGTACATGTGTGCTCATTGTGCTCGTGCTACTAACTGCCAAGAAATCAGCGACACTACAAGAGACAGGCCCTCGAGATGGAGGAGCTGGACGAGATCCTCGACGCCTGCGCCACCAAGGGCGACAGGACGACCAAGGACGGCGAGGCGCCCTTCGCCTCAACGTCGTATCGACTGACAACAACAAGAACGGGGCTGATCTGCCACGGCTCAGCAGGGCACCTAGCCCCACCGTTGGAGTCGCGGAGCGTTATCAACGGACCCGTTTACGGGTAAGACTCGCTCGATGACCAAGCTCGCGACGGCGGCGTGTGTGACGCGGCTCGTGGAGTGCGGGTCCGGTCAGGCCAGATGACGACGTGCGGCCCGTCGTGCAAGCTTCAATCCGACCCGTTGCTGCGAAGCTCTTCATCATCAGCGGCGACAGTAAGAACATATCGCCCTCCTGTTCTGGAGGGATGCTCCAGGGACCATCCGCCTCGGGTGCACGTTGGCAGGTGAGTCAACTAAAAGGGCCCGAGTCCCCATCCTCAAGGAAGACAACGCGCCCATCACGCTGAGCAACCTGCTCATACACACGGGCTTGGCTACGCGAGCGGGAACCCAGAATACGCGCAGTGGGCAGAACATATAAACTGGGTGCCCGAAGAGGAGCTCCGCGGCGCCCTGGCTGGTTGGGAGCCGCCGCTTGAGTTTCCTGTCGGCAGTGGGTGGTAGGTACTGCAGGCCTGCGATGGACTGGGCCGGGCAGGTCGTCAAGGCAGTTTCGGGCAGGACCCTTGTAACCTTTGCAGACCGGCGAGCTCCGGTCGAGTCGAGGACGCGTTCCCGCCGCTTCGAACCGGTGGCCCAAGTTCATGACGGACCTTTTCCACGACGGGCTGGTGCCTGATTTCGCGAGGGGGATGTCGCTGGACCACGGCATCAGCGGCGTCATCAACCTGGAGGGCGGGGCCGAGAGGAGGAGGAACGGCAGCTTGATGTGGGGAGGGCTCTTCGTGGCGACCCTCTGTCTGGGATCGGGGGGCGAACGCTCATCACGACCATCCTGCCGCAGCCCGACGCTGCCGTGTCGAGGGGTGTGAGACGAGCTGGAGCGGGCAGTCTACGGCGATTTGCACCCGTCTCTTGGGTTGATCACTGATCACTTGGGTCTTCAGCGTTGAGTCGCCGGGTCACGATTCAGCTCACAATTGCCTCGGCATATCCAACCATGTCGATTCATGCATGGCCTGGTGTCTCTCACGCCGTGCAGATGTCACATCATGCAAGCACAGCCAGAGAGTACGAGCAGGTCGCATAACGGTCTGCTCGGCTGCTCGGACTGCTCGAGGGGGGAAGGGCAAGGGCGACAATGCCAGACTGGCGAGGCGGCCTCGCCTCCACGATCAAGAGAGAGGCTCATGGCCAACCGTGTTTCCCCAGTTGAACGATGTGGGGTCTTCATCTTCTTGCTTCACTCTCTCCCCTATCTACAGGGTACTGTGGTGCATAGCGTACACTACATCTCTCTCCACCAAGACCGACGATTAACGCCTACTCAGGCCTCTGGATCTACGGCGCCAGGCCAATACCAAGAGGTCTAGAAAGTCTCGCATGACACCCTGCTGTGGGGGAGGGCATGGGGCTGGCAGGCTGGCAGGCTGGCAGGGCGGACACAAGCTGAAGCTCGCCCTTGGTGGTGCGGTGCGGCGGGCTGGTGGGCTGCCAGGATCGATACAACAGCTGTACTCCGTACTCTAGTTCTGCAGTCTGCAGTCTGCAGCTGGTGCTGCCCCTCCACACCTTCCACCGCCCTGAACCTTGGTGGGGGGGCAGTGGGGCCCTGAAACGACTCACGCAGCTCTTGGGTGCAGGAAGCTTCTGCAGGCTGCTGTGCGCTAAGCACGCGGGTGAATGGGAAGCTCTCTCTCTGTCGAGCTCTGCATGCCGGGCGGCAGGGCGGGAACCCCGCGCGTGTGCATTGGCGTCAGAGGGTGGGTCCACTGTAGCAGACACGAAGGTGAGAGAGAGCCAGCTAGCTACTGTAGCTGCCAGGTGTAGGTAGGAGAGCCCAGACCTACCTTTCATGCTTCCTTTTTTTTTTCTTTTTCTTGTTGGGCCTGCTGTGACTCCGTACCTGGCCCACCTCACGATGGTCTGCACTGGTGGGGTTCGTCTCACCGGTCACGGCCGGCCAGCCCCCTACTACCTACACTAGCTGCTAAGATTCGCATTCCGTCCAGGCACCGACCGGGTTACCGAAAGGGGTAGGTTGCGCCTCCTCTCTCACGATCCTTGGCGCCTCGCCCGGTCTGGCAGATCCTGTCCCCGAACGACTGGTGGCGCCACACCAGGGTGGGATTTGAAGAGTCAGTTTGACGGTGGATAATTGACCGCTGAGAAGTGGTGGGATTCTCAGGGACAACCAATGTCTGCTTGCAATTACGTGGCTGTCTACTTACTCTACTGGAGTTCAGAACCCCATGCTGCCCTGCCAGTCTTGGAACAAGGAGAAAGTACATGGTGTACTGCCAAGTTGGGAGTGCCGTTATGCTGGTGGGTGCTTTGAGGGACGCCCTGGGTTGTGCTGTCTTCTGAGCCCACTTCCCCAGCTCTTTATTAGAGTTCAGAATCCCAGCTTCGAAAGTAGTTCGGCGCATTGCTGGCAGGTGGGGCTTGCCAACTCGAGAGGCGAGACTACACAATGACTGCAACTGACAGATACAAGTGGTTGGTTCAGAGTCATTCTCTCTAGACTTCTATGCAACCCGCCAGGGTCTTGTCTCCAAGTCCCGCTCTTCTCTACTGCATGTGGGTGTGGATTGCGGACAAGCCAACCAAAGGTCAACCACAATTCTTTCACTGTGGAAGATCCAGGTTGAGGACAGCAGAAGCAACAGTAGTAGCATGGTGACACAACCTCGGTCTAAAGAGTAATAAATAACCCCACTCCAGTTGCAACACGAGGGCAGAGGCCGGAGGGGAGATCAGTCTGGAAACCTGGGTCGACAATTACGCGGCCTCGCCTTCTGCCAACGAGCTCAACAGCCCACAAGAGCGTGGCAGTGTAACAGCAGGAAGCTTACATACCGAGGTAAACGCACAGGATCAACAGGGGACACTCATGCAGCAGGCCAAGAACGCGCATTATTCGACTGTATAGGTGATCGTCGAGGCGGGGGGAGCTCACCCGGGGCGGTTTGCCCGCACGGCCGGCCTCTCACAGAACAATTTGTCCCCTCGCATTAACTGCAGGCGAAGGCTGAGGGAAACCCAGGGATAGATCTAACATGATCAGGTGGCAGGAGGGCTGATCAATTGCGAGGTACATAGGGGAGTTCAAAGGAGGGCCCTTGCTGTCGAGATGAAGGGTTCCAGCTGGGGAAGCTCCGGATCAGCATAGAGCCCAGTTTTTCTTACAGGTGTGCTGGTGATAGGTGTAGTGTGGCCATTCGAGATCACACAACCTTGGAAGCCTGACAAGCAGCTCTATGACAATTGGGTCTGAAGTGAGATGGTTCAATGGTTGTATCATGTTGTATGATTTGTTGGTGTGGTGTCACACTTTCTGTCATCTAATTGTATTTGTCTAAAATCCACGCAATTGAATGCAATTGCCTTCCCCTCCTCCCCGGATTCATTGGACAATCGCCCCTTGTGGCAATGCCCCGAGCAACTCCCGAATTTGCTCAGTCGTAGTCTGGCCCCGCGGTGTTGAGTCCCGGGGTTCTCTCTTCTCTTGAAGCTGGAGGCCCAGCAATCGACGGCGGGCGGGTTTTTCGTCTCTCATTGGCCAAGCTCGTCCATACGGCGATGAAGTGATTGCTTGCCATGTTTCGTGATGAAGCAGCAACAGACGGAGCATTCTCACGTCCGGCTGGATGATTCAGCATCGAGCCTGGGTATTCGGAGCCTCCCTCGCCCTCGGGCGGGATGATCTGACTCTCTCTCTATCTCTTGCTCGACGCGGCACCCATAGTATTCGTAATTCTCCCATGGCCACCGACCAACATATGAAAAGCTCTTGGTGGCCAAGCAACAGTTGCGGTCCCTGACGTTCAGCCGCAGACGGCGCCGGGCATGCGGCCCTGTCGGAAGGACGGGTACTCGAAGTTGCCCGGGCGCAGGGTGCCGCCGCGGCGGCGCATCGGGGTGCGGGCGACCTCCAGGGCGCTGACGGGGTCCGAGTCCTCGAGGACGGCAAAGTCCTCTGCGAGCTGGGCGAGCGCGGCCTGGGCCTGGGTGCGCGGGGCGGCGTTGGGGGTGGCGTCCATGATGGCAGCTGCGGCCGGGACGGCGGCGATCTGCATGGGGGAGTACGGGGAAGCCATGGGTGGGATTTGTTTTTTTCTTTTTTGGTGGTGTATAGGTGTACTTCTTGTTGTTTATAATAGTGCCGGGCTAGAGGCTGGAGTGCAGCTGGTGTGGAGACCGGGGAGAGCTGGTGTGATGAGAGGAAGATGGTGGTTGTCTTGTTGTATATTGTTTGGTCGTCGTGAGTTTGGTAGTGAGAGTAGTTGTTGTATCGACTGATGATAGGATTTCACGACTGAGCCAGACAGCCAGAGCACGACGGGAGGTGCGGGCTAAATAGTAGAGTGCCCGTCCTCTGCATTACCCAAGGGGATCACGATGTCTGGAATCTAGATTCGAGCCGAGCTCGACGGGATTCCACTGCTGCCGGGCGCCTGTCACCCGCCCCACCGGCCGCATTACTGAGCAGGCCTGCGCCGGACACGTCGCGGAATGAAACCAGCGAGCCGCTATCGATCGTACGATGGGGCCTCTCCTCAGACGACACCCACTGGGAGGGCGTCTGCACCCCTCCAGAACTCAGTACGGAGTAGCTGGCAGAGCTAGCAGCACCAGCCGCGCGAACTCGGATGGCCTAGACCTTCTGCGTCTTCTACTGGCCTGACCGGCTGCAGCGACGATCTCTCCCTCTCACAGACATCTCTCACCTCTCACAGGCGCACCTCTCACTCAGTCCCTCGGTCCGGACTCTGTGATGAGTGACTGCTCCGTCAGTCAGTCAGTCCGTCAGTCCGTCCAAGAGGTAGCATGTAATACCCAGGTATGAAGAAGGTGTCCGCGGTAAGTTGATGGGGACAACACGAAGCATATCAGCCAAGCCCACAGCATGGAGAAGAGACATTGCTTGGCGCCGATTCAAATCTGGTCACCCCCGTGGTGCCAGACACTCCCATCCATGTCTGATCGTTTGATGGTTGGGGGAGCCGCCCGGGCGCCGAACAGGGTTCCCGGTGGCAACTTTTCGGCTCACGATAGTGCACGCGCACGCACGCGCGCAAGCAGGATCTGCTGAGGCTAGAGAAACTCACGATGCCTGCGGACACGACTGACTGACTAACTCTTTTTTTTTTAGGTGGTCCTGTGCAAACCTTCTCTCTTGCTCGCCCCGTCGTGCACGCTAACAAGAAGAAGATCCCCTTGACTCATTCGCCTTGTGGCCCTCTTTCTCATCTACGAGTGCTGGGCCACGCCCCTTTTTTTTTGCGGCGCCCGCCAGTCGCCCTGCCTGGTGCTCGAGGGTGGGCAAAGCTGGACTTGCCCGCAATTGCATTTCCACATATACTGTTACTGGGCCACATGCCTGCGACACTTTTTCACCTGATCATTGACGCTCGGTTCAGTTCCCCACGATGCAGATGCAACGCAGTCACTCACTCGTGTTGAGGCCAGCGTCCGGTTCATCGCAGTCATTATTAGCAGGATGCCTTGGTGCGGGCACGGCGGCATTTGCCATCTAGTGCGGTCTGGCAGTCTGGTACGCCCAAGGCTGACTTCATCGGCGTCGCCATATTTACGTCAGGTACTCGCCGCACGGATCGGATCGATCGACGACACCTCGGGGGGTCGTCATAGCCTCATGACTCTCACCTGACGACTGGGAATGGAGCAGCAAAGGAGTCATAGTCGAAGTGAGCACTTGAGGCTCTGGGACTTCGAAGCCAGCCTCCCAGCCCGCCCCAACCTGCCAACTCACTCGTTCACCGAAACCGCGGCTTAGATAATATCTGGAGCTGTCACGCTGATGTTTTACGGTGGGGCGTCCTCTGCTCCGGTGGGTACATATATTTCAGGAGGAACCACCGGACCAGATCATGCAGGGTCTTCTGGAAACTTCACAGGATTTCTACTTGTGGGACACATCTCAACCCGGCAGCCCACCTGGGCAGTAGACTCTCGGCCGCTCTTGCTCCACCTGGCGACCGGAGAATAATTGGACCTGGTTGAAGCCAGCCGAAACCCCATCAAATCCGCTCGGAAATCCCAACTTCTCAGGTGGCAGAAAGTCCCTTCGTTTCTGCGTCCCACAGTTTGCCGGCTGAGCCACCAATTCCTGGAGGGACCTCCCATGTCGGCCAGAGGAAAACTGACAAATTTCCAGAAGAATAAGGCCATCATCTTTCAGAAGACAGTATCGGCCTTTTGTGGAAACACCGAATTCTGACTCAAAATGTGGTCTGGATTTGAGCTGCCCACCACTGGTCTCGGGCCGCAAAATGGCTCAACTTCAGAAGCTGCTGGACATTGGCGAAAGATGCACGTGTCAAAAAATGACATGAGAAAGTTTCATGGTGCATGCACTACCAAGGTAAGGCATCAGTCGATGCAGTGGTCGATACGATCAACCTTGGCTTCTGCATGAAACCTACAGAGGCGAATAATGTCTGCACGACCGAGTACCTAGGCAAGCCAAAGCTCACTCAACTTGAAGATTTTGTCGTCAGCCCGATCTATTTGTTGAGGGTAACACCGGTGTTACCGCCAGAGCGGCGAACGAATTGCTGGACACGATATACACCTAAGTATACATTTTCTCGGTGAGCGGCTGCTTTTCGGCACAAGCACTAGCATGGCATGTGCCTGGGGACAACGAAGACACTTCGTCGTGGACTTGAGTCTGCCTCAGCCATGCCATGCATTATCCCTCGATCGGGGGTATATTGGCACCAATAATACCATACCAAGAGCGAGTGCCAGTGAGTGATGTCTGAGTTTCAACTGGTAAGCATCGCAACGAGAAGACCATCTGTAGCTACTTTCTGCTCGGCTAAGTGCCACAGACAATCATGTTTTCGACAACAGTGTCAACATTAGCACTACTTTAAATACACCTACAACTACTATACTATATATCATTAGGCATAAGGGATAGTCACTACAAGCCTTAATTGATTATTTAGCCATCATCTTTCTACAGCTAATATTAAATAGGCTTAACGTAAAGAGACTGGTTTTGCTTCTATTACACATACGTTCGATGACATACATAGCGCCTTCATACGGTAGTAAACGTTCGAGATCCCGGATTTAAAAAGCAAGTGGATTATTTAGAAACTGAACCACACGCCGAGTACAAACAATACAGTTTTCAGGATTCGTGTGAGGCTTTCTTCGGGAATCGCAGAACGAGTGGAGGAAGTCCAAATCAGTTCTGAAACTGATCCACAGTATTCATCACTCCGTATTTTAAGATAATGCGAAGGTCCTCAGTTTCACCCCTCTAGCTTTCAGTGTGTCTAATGACATTCTTGGATCAAAGTTGATGACCTGGCCAGTTTCAATATTCCTGTACTTCTGGCAGGTCCGTGGGTCATCTGCCCCCATCTCGACATCGAGCCTCTCCCATCCGATCAGCGGGCCCAATCGAGGATCATTTTGGGTCATCTCGCCTGTCTCCCGGTTCAGAAACCAATACAAAGGCCGACCCATTGAACTCTTTTGCACTGGAAACCAAGGCTCTGGCAGTGGGCCCAGCAGGGCCTGGGCGTCAAGTAAAGCGTAGACAAACGCCTCGCCTACGACCTGGTAGGTTCCATCGCTCTGCTGTCTGAGTATGATTGGTGAGTCGCAGCCTAGGAAAACGCACACGGAATCTCCTAACAGCATGGGTTAGGATGATCGTTCGACGAATCTCCACGGAGGGGGAGCTCACCATTCTTCATTGCCTCTGGGCCCAGACCAATTCGTCCGTCGCCCATGGTGAACAGCGTTCTTGCCCAGATGCACCGCTCGACATGCTTCAAGAAGACGGGCGCAATAGACTGGCCGCTGTTGCCCGTACCCCCAACATCTCCAAAGTAGAAACGTTTCCATTCCTCAAGGCTCACGAGAGGGTCGAGGTAATGAATCATGTTCGGATCTTCGTGCCACCTTTCCCTGACGAACATCCCACACAAGGTGAGGCAGTACACGTCACGATCGAGAGCCTGATAAGCCCAGCTCTTGCTGTGTTCGATTCCTTTCCCGAATTCCCAGTGCCCTTTTTCCTGAACGGAAACGACCGTCCCCGCTTGCAGTCCAGAAACTTCTGCGACGTTGGGGTTGTCAAAGGCGACATAGCATCTCGAGATTCCTGCTGCGGAGCGAACAGGGAATATTGACAGTTGACGTGAAGCCAAGTTGGGGACCCATGACGGTCCGTCGATAGCACGATGGGGCCCGCATTCACAGAGAACATGCAGGCGCTGGAAAAATTCAATCTGCGCAACCGTCTCCTGCCTGTACACCTCGCCGACAGTCATCTCGTAATTAGGGGTGATCCTATCCCTCAGACCTTCTGGCATCAACCCTAGAAGGCCGTAGACTCTGTCCCGATCATTTGAGCAGCTACGGCTTTGTACTGCACGCGTCAATTTGCTGTAGGGCCCTCGTGGGTCGTAGTCTGCCAGTTGCCTAACCACTGCCGTTGCGTCTCTGTCCCCCGTATACGGAAAGCTTCTCTTCGTAGGAAAACATTTTATAGCTTTGCGCAAGTTCACCCAGGTCACGGAGTCGCTCCCGCATTGGACAATGGTGCAATGGTTGGAGAGGTGTAGCTCCTGTATGATCCACACTCTGGTGAAGTAGGGCCTCTGGCACAGCTCCATCACGGCATCCCACGTCTTTGTCTTGTACGGTATGACAGCATCGTTTCTGTACCAGTCTTTCTCAAACGCCTGCGGGGTGGGTATAACATGTCCCTCGCGGGAGATCTCGACCTGCTCGCCGAGATACTCCAGCGTCGACATCGCTAGGCTGCTCGAGTCTGAGGCCGGCCCGAGCCATACCACGACTTTATGAGCGAGCCTATAGATGGAAGTCATTATCTGGACCTGTGCGCTTCTCTCCTTTATGTCTTCCTGGTTGATACAGATGGCGTCTATCCACAGTCTTCTTCTTGCCGCTGTGAAACGCAGATCCCGCAGAGCCAGTGCTAGGTTCTCCGTGACCAGAATCTTCCTATGATCACCATCGGGACACTGTACGTATATGACATTGCGACTCTCCGTAAAGCCCCAGGCGTAAGAAAGAGCTTCGTAGTGGGGAATATGTGCGCTTCTGTCCGGGTTTGGAATGACCATCTTATCTGGCGAACTCGTAGAATCCCTCGCGGCAGGGTTTTGCCATGTTGACGCCCCTAATTCTTTGTTGAAATATATGACGCGGTCGCTCCAGGTGACGAAGGCCACCCAGCCAGTTGGGAGTGATTCATTGATGTTGTCCACCGACTTCTGTGAAAGGTCAAGCTTGGTAGGGCTCCCACAATCAGCGAGTCGCGCATGGTCAATCTGCACAATGATTGGATCTTCTTTGGCCCCTGGAAGTATGTCGAGGAGCCTTATCTCAGTCGATGGATCTGAAAGACTTGTGTACGTGTATTTTTCGATGGAGCATTCAGAAAACGAGGCCCTTGCTGCCCTCATGCGGCTTTCTATTCCCGGTATGATACCAGTTGTTTCTGACATGTTATGTAGGCTCCGCGTCAGATTCAAGTTCGTCCGAGTTCGAGTTGGGGCTGATCTCAACAGGCCGGTGTGAAGAGAGCCTTGAGGCTCAAGATAAGATGTAAAGGATGACGGTTGATGGTGTCAGACTGGGATAACAGGGTGCGTATCTAACTCCGAGTATTCACGGATACCCGTGGGTTTCGGTTTTTCTTCAATGCTACCCACTGCTGGCGTGGTGGGTACTAAAAGCCCCGCACAGCTTAAACCTCCACACACTTAGAACCTCTTCCAGGATAACATGGTAAAACAACTTCTCATAAGATAACATACCAGTTGACAAGAGATAGGTAAGCCGTAAGGTCTGCGACACCACATAACCTTTTCAAGATGTGGTGGTGATATGGTAATAACGTTAGTGTTTGTGACACTGATGAGCATGAAGTTGAAACTTTGATTAACTATCACTAATGCGTGACCATCAGAACTGGGTCTCCATCTCAGTCCCCATGATCATGTTGCGGATATTATTCCTCGCACTCCACACAATATTCTCCGTCGTCCCCTTCTCGCGCACCTCGTCCCCGTCGCCGGCGTGTATATCGCTATCCCCTGCAATCCGGCCCCTAGCCTTGTGGTGGAAGAACACAGGCGGCGTGACGGAGATGCACCTCGTGTTGAGCCCACGGTCCCCCTCGACATTCTCCTCGCCCACGGCAGCAACTGAGCGGCGGCAGAGGCCCGCCAGAGCATTGTCGAACGCGCCCGCCAGGCGGTCCACGCTGAGGTCGAAGAGCACCTTGCGCGCCCCCTGCTGGGAGAGCGCGTACGCGAAGCTGCACATCGGCGCCGCGGTGATGTGCACCCACCGCGTGTGCGGGTGTGCGTGGAAATCAACCAGGCCCGTGGTGTGCTCCGGCGGCGGGACCGTCGGGTCGTTCTCGATGACATACTTGTGCCTCATGTACCGCAAGCCCGGGTGGTCCTCGGGCTTGCCCTTGTTCTCGTCGAGGAACTCGGGGAACGGCTCGCCGCAGTGCCCGATCCACAGGACGTCCCAGTTGTCGCCGTAGGGCGAGCGCGGGTCCTTGCTGTGGCGGTCCAGAAGCTCACGGGAACCCTTGGCCACCTCCTCGAGCTGGGACCGCAGCCGCACGTCCCAGTCCATGTCGTCCTCCATGATCAGGGCGGACTCGAGGTCCTCCTCTACTATCCTCCGGATCGCGTTCATGTGGCCCCTCCAGCTGCCCAGGTTGGTCTCCATGAGCGCATGCCTGTCGATGCCAAACGGGACGGCCTTGTCGGGGATCGATTCTCCCCGGACGCCGTCGACAAAGTCTACGTGAAACCCCGTCAAGGATGCGGTCAGGGCCAACGCATCCCGCTTGTCTGTCCGCTCCGGCAGGCCGACGACGAAGATCTTGGAAAACCCCAGGGTGTCGTTGGTGACGCGGTTGATGTCGGGTGTTGATCTGCCCTTGTACTCCTTCCCGTAGAGCTTTCTGGGTGGGCGATGTGCGCCATTGTTGGTTGAAGTTCGTGTTGCTTGTGGGTATGTTGGTGCTGTGTTCGCTATGCAATAGATCGCTATTATCATGGCAAAGGCTCCCAGAAAACCGAATATCTGGCGAGTCCGCTGAGGCAGGCCACCCACGAATTGGGCGACAGAGTTCATGGCGTGGCTAGCGGAGGACAGGGCATGTATGTGACTCAGCCCCAGAAAGGACAGGTAGAAATGGATTGGCCTTCGCACGGTAGAAATGTAGGAATGAGAGGCTGGTCCTTTGTGTGTCACCTTGTCGGGAGCACCAGGGGGGACACTAAGTCTGTTTTTGAAGGGAGAAACCCAGAAAAAGACCGACCCAGCAGGTTCGCATTAGACAAAGTGGTCGTGCTGTGAACATCGTGCGCACCGCCCCACACCGAGTACGTGGGTCTATTTAGATACTGCCCATGTGTGTACTGTGTAGCTGAGCGGTAAGCAGGCGCAGTGGATCTCATGTTGGTTGTTCCCACTAGGAAAGGTACAGAGTTGCCCCGGTGGTACAGCACGGCAGAACGCTTCAGGTTAGATACACAGTATTGTGCGGCGAATCACAAGGCATTTCTGGTCCCGACCGTTCGGTACTGCACACAACTTACTATCAAATAAAATTCCCCTCAAGTCGTTGCAAGCTCCACTCACACCCGGGCGGAGCGGCAAGGGCTGGGCGGCTGGTAAAATGAAGTGTCCAGGAGCGACTCCTGCTGTATGCGTGAGCAGCGATTGACTTTCCTATTCGAGGAACCAACAGGTTCAACAACGCAGGCGAAGACGTATGATAATCCAGCCAAGAAAGCCTGCAATTGGACAGTGGTATTGGTCGGTCCCGCATGTCGCGATTCGTCTGTTGGGTCGCAGATTTGATAATTTTTAGCCGGCAACAACGGGGCCAGATTTGACGATTTCCTGCGGCCCACCGTTCACGGCACTTCGATTCCCCACACAGCCTTACCGGTCGTTGCTCGCTGAGCATGAAGCCAAGTTCCTCTGTTGCATATGTACTTTGACCCGGACACGACGCCATGTCCAACTTTAGCCTGGTCGAGCCACCTTACAAGCGATTTCCAAGATTCGCCGGATGTGCGAGCTCACGTTTGCGAAACAGGCCGGTCTCTTTCTTCGGCCCGCTGTTCATTGACGAGATGTGCCAGTGACACACAGCGTTGGTCGTATGTCGCAGCAGCTCAGGCGATGAATGGACGGTGGCTTGGGCTTTTCACCAACGAACATCATTCTAGGCGACAAAGCCGCTGGGGGTGGGGGGTGGCGTTTTCAAGGTTCACACGGTGATGGGGCTACTGTGTTTAGGAATGCATGGGGCTCTGCGGCACAGCCAGCTGAGCTCGAGCCCGCGGAGCATGATCACAGAAGCTTGGCTGGGGACAGCCGCGGGCTACCTGTTGCTGGCTCTCTGACGGATCGAAATTGCGTTCCCGGTGGAACGAGGCAAAGAATCCTCTTCTATAGATCAGACCAAAAACCGTGGCTGCTACCGCAGCCCATGCTCTCGAGTTGTTTACGAATCTGCTTTCTATGGCGGGGACTCCTCATGCGCCATCTGTCTTTGTACCTGATATCATTTCCTTGAAATTTTGCCCGGGATGTTGATAATGTCTACTTTCTGGTTGCTCATGGGCTTCTATGCCGCCCTGACACACCAATCCGGCTTCAGCAGTCCCAACTATGTCGTGTCTTACGGACCTGGACAGTACCAGAGTAATGTGTTGTGGTACGTCGGGGAGACAAAGGAGGTCGTTTACGACATCAGCGATGTAGTAGATGGACTCGAAACATATACAATAGCACTATGGCAGCAGAGTATGGCTGGGGGTGGTGCCAACTTAGGGCCGGTGGTGAACAGTGAGCCCTCCTGGTCTTCCTGGGCTGTCAACCTCCCTCCGCTGATCATGTTATCGCACACAGGCAAAGCCGCCACAGATTCAGATCAACATTCTTTTACATGGACTGTGAACCTGTATGAGTTTGATGTCACCTGGTCCAACGTCTTCTTTTTCTGGATCTTCAATGGGTCAGCATCGGACCAGGGCAACATGGACGGACCCAATGTGTCATCGGCGTATTTCAACATCACTGCCGACGATCCACAGACCGTCTCCTCGACAACCTCCTCTGCAACCTCCACTACGAGCACTTCCACACCGGGGACATCTACACTCACCTCCGCCACCACATCCGAGTTCGCGGGCAATATTGAGCCCACGCAGACAACAGTAGACTCCGCCACCACAGCGCCTACGTCCAAGGCGGCAGATTCTGGCTCCTCTGACACAGTAAATGGCGGCGGAATATCCACCGGGGCGAGAATTGGCATTGGTGTGGGCGTCGGGCTCGTAGGCATCTCAGCAGTAGTCTGTGCTGGCATCATAGTCTGGTATAAGAGGAAGAAGCGAGGGTCCAGTCAGGAGAACACACACTACGGCGGCTTACACGAGCTACCGACCAGGGGTGAGAGGCAACCATCTCCGAAAGGTTGGCATATGTCCCAGACATCGTCGACATACGATTCCCTGCCGAGTTATGGGTACGGGAGTGGCGGCCGCTCAGATCCGGGAGGTCTGGCTCCTCAGGCAATCAACCATGGACACCCTGCTGAGCTGAATTCAGGTCGAGGGTGGCCTGTTGAACTGGACGGGCATGAAAGGGATCAATCTAGCCCTCGAGCTAGATGAGGCACCGCATGCCTAAATGCCTGCATAGAAGGTAATCCAAAATGCCTAGTAATATATCCATGTGCAAGGGGTTTTATTTTTAATCCCTATATATGTAAAATGTATAGAGTGCCTTTATGTGGTTTCGCTTCTATTCCGTATACGTCCGAAGGCATCATGTACAAGGCGCCTTCACACAGTGGTAAACGCTCAAGACTTGCCTCCCTGTGGCTGTGGCTATGGCCTTCATTCCAATCATGAAATCAAAATTATGGACTATGTCTGCATTTGTGTTCGTTGAATTCCTCTGCCAAGCCGGCGCAGCAATGATTGTCCTAAAACAATAGATACCAGTTGACTATTTTGTAAAGCTGCACATTTATTTTGCTATACAAGTATTTAAACACTGACTATTCAAACTTCCATAAACCCGTCACAAGATAGTTATAAATGACAACTTCCCTTGACCCAAATCGTGCATTTATGAGCGATAAACCCCCAAAGCTGTCCGGCAACTCCTGGAATTCCCAACATCCACATCACACCCCCTTACATCTCAGCTGGATCAACATCAGATTTTGACCCTTACTTTCTCTCAACATATGCCATGAGAAAAGACCAACAAGAAAAATCTGATATCATACTCCCAAGCCATCTGCGATAAGACTTAGTCGTCCTCTCCGCCGCCGGCGACCTTGCTCAGCGGCGGACATGTACCAGCCTTCCGCTGCGCAAGCATCAGATCGGTGATGTCTTCCTTGACCTTGGGATCCTTGGCGCTGAGGCGATAGAGTTTGGTGACCGATGTGCTCTTGCAGATTATGGGGTACTCGTGCTGAGCCCAGTGCGATGTAGCCCTATTCCCCCAGTCGACACCCTTGCTCCCGTCTTTGCCGGGCATCATGATATAGATTTCGTTCTAAACTGCAGCTGCCAAGCCCGCCAGCGCCTGGCTACACGAGTCCCAGAAACTATGATCAGCAGTCTCCTGGACCTCTGCTTTCTGTGTCTTGAACTTGTCCAGGAAGGCCTCGTGGTCCTTTGGCCACGGCTGCTTGAAAACACCACGCATGACCTCGTAGCCAGCCAGGTACGCATAGTTCTGTTTGTCTGTGACCGCCTTCTTAGCTTGAAGGCCGCACCCAGACCAGAAGAGGGCCTTCTTTGCCTTGGCGGGATCCATCAGGGCTTTACATCCTTCCACAGTCATGTAAGGAGGGACCGGCTCTGGCTTTGTAGGCGTGGTGTTTCCGGAGGTCTTTGGCGATGTCTTTGGGGAAGTTGGTGGGGTAGTCGGTGCTGCACCGGCTGACGCGAGAAGCAGGCTGAGGGCAAAGTAGAGGAAGAGCATATTGAAGCTGTCGGGGGATAGGTATTGAGGAGAAAAACAAGAAATTTGTTATGAAGTCCAGCTTCAAGAACTATGGAAAAGGTGAATGATCGGAACTACTGTGCAATGTGAGAATGTGATGCTGTTGCTCAACTGGCTCAGATGGCGAGGTCTCTTGACTCTTATATAATTCTCGAATTCATTTCGTTCCAAGGTTTAACGTACATGGCTCATCAACACTATCTGGCTGGCCTTTGGTGACCTACTACAGTAAGACGAACCACTCGTTGTTTGTTAACGTCCAATTTACAGTATAGGTCTCGTTCGAAACAGCCTGGACCTACTCCTGAGACCATATGAGAGCCGGAAAACACGTGGAACCGGCTCGCCGTCCAGCATACTGAACCAGAGGGTTGGCTGGGAAGCTACAAACGGGAGGTCAATTCACGGGGACCAGTACACGAAAGGCCAGGACAATCCCACAAGGCCCCGTTGGGATGGATGAGAATGTGGTTGTTGAATAAACATGGTACGACTGCTTGCGGTTCACATTGGCTTGCAAGGTTTTTGGTGAGAAATGGAGCTATATCTGACGGGTCAGCTGTATCCCAGTGAGCCGATCTGGGCTAGATTACGGCCACTATCACGCGTTTCCATGACAAGCGATGCTGACGGACGTGATCCTCCGCTAAGCTGAAGTACAAGGCAGGTGGACGGACAACTACTAAAACTCTCGGTCAATAGCCGAACATGACCCTGACGAAAACAACCATCAGGATTGGGAGGCTGATTACTTGATCCATCTATCACCTGAGGCCTGGGGACCCATTGCTGTTAATAAACGCTTTGCGGCCCTTTGCGGGTCCTTGGGGGTTGGTTCACTCCCACAGATATGGCCCCCAATTCTCATCTGTCTGTTTCAGGTTTTGCCCCCCTCTGCGATGTTGGTTTCTTCGCCTACTACAAATAAGCCAACAGATTGGAATTTTATCCTTCCTTCTCGTTAAATCACATGCACTTCCTGTTTTCGCGAGGCTTTGCAACACCTTTTGTTACGGCACCCAGTTTTGTGTGGATCTTCATAAACGCCACGGCACCGCCAGTGGCCCATACATAGCCTTCCAGTCCTCTCCCGAGGTCCTCTTTGCCCAACCACAAGTTCTCACAACCCAAGTCTTCCCACTCATTCGTCTTTTAAAATCCTCCTGCACCTCTCAGTATTCCACGTATCAGTGACGAGAGCTGTGCGACACCATGTCTTCGAACGAACCACCCAACTCGCTCGCGGAATCCATCACACGCGCAGCTCGTGAAGACAGAGTCCAAGACCTGCAAAGCCTCCTCGAGAAATGGGAGTCTCCGGACCGAGCGCCGCTCCAGCGAGCACTCAGCGCAGCGCTCCAACACGGCCACGTCGGGCCGGCAGACCTGCTCCTAGACCGCGGGTGCCACTGCGGCTTCCGAGAGACACAGGCCGCACTAAAGGGAGGCCACAAGGTCGCGGTATTCGAATGCATGCTCCGGCACGGGTGGGACATCGACTTCAGCCTCGACCACCGCGGCGACGCGCTGGTGTGCTCGCTGCTCTTCGCAGCCACGCCCGACCTCCCCCGGTGGCTCCTCGAGCACGGCGCGGACCCCAACGCCAACCCCCGGAGCGACCCCGTGTGCTCGACCGCGCTCGAGGCCGCGTGTTCCAGGCCCAGCATCATCCCGGCCGATATCGTCAGCCTCCTGCTGGAGCGCGGGGCGGTGGGCAGTCTTGCGGGGCTGGTGGCCGCGTGGAATGGCAACGTGGAGGCGCTGCGTGTGCTCCTGGACGAGGGGGGAGAGGTGTTCGGCATTGATGCGATCCCCGAGGCGGAGAATCCAGACTGGGCGCTGAAGGAGGAGTGGGGCACGCCCCTACACGGTGCTGCTGCCAAGGGCGAGGTGGCATGCGTCGAGTTCCTTCTGAGTAGAGGCGCCAGGACCGATATCAGAAACGGCGCTGGCTTGACTCCGGAGCAGACTGCAGAGTATTTTGAGCACAAGGAGTGTGCGGATTCTCTTAGGAAGTCTTCATCAGCATAAGCATAGCACTCACTACGACGAGGTGCGAAAGAGAGATTTAGACGGAAGTATGTCCGAGGACAGTACGCCATGTAGAGACTGACACATACCTGGAAGAGTCTGCTGGTGCCCTGGCTGCTTGCGACGCTGTGGTGTTTCGATGGAGCCCGCGCTTGAAAATCTCTGGCACAACTTCTCATTACTGTCGCTTGTGCCAGGCCTGATCCTGAAGATTTGAACGTAATCTTACACTGCCCTCTGAACACCTTGAAGTACAAAGGCCACAGACGAGTCGGCTGCGCTTAAGTGGCGGCGGCGGAATTGTTTGACAAGTATTATATCTTCCGAATGATATATCTATGTAGTTACGCCTGCACATCTCCAGAAAGTCGAACTACGCACCGCCTATTATAGGCAGACGGGAAAGGAGCTGAAGAAAATACGAATACAATGACACACTTATTAGAAGGGCAGCATCACATGCGTATAGTCATAACACAAAGCATACACACACACCACAAGAGACAGCCTCCCATCAGGACAAATACTTATAATTACGTCACACCGTTTTACACTAGCGCCATAGTCCCATGTCTTTCCTTTCCTTTCCCTTCCTTTCCCCTTCCTTAACCCCTTGTCTCGAAACAAACATGAAGCCAAGAAGTATAAGAATATATGAGGTCCCAGCAAAAGATGACAGAAAAAAAATAGCAATGCTTATTATGTGAGAATGATATCAACCCAAATCAGCCCCGGCCCCCGCGTCCACACAAGTCCCCCCCCCCCCCCAAAAAAAAAAAATCTGCAGTAGACACCTGGAATTGCAAGCACAACACGATTGATTGATGATTGAAGCAAGAGGGAGGGGGGGAAACAGTGAATAAATGCAAAATCTGCACGCCCTCGGCGTGCTTGGTATCATTGATTTGGGTGATGATGTGCGTTTTACCCTTCCGAGTCCCTCTCTCTTCCAATTTGATCTGGTCAAGCCGAAATGTCGAAACAAGTCGCTTCGCCGCCACCACTCGCTTCCACAGCAGTCCTACTACCTGCCCCGGTCGGCTTCAGCCCTTCACGTCCGCCATCAAATACCTCCTCCACCACTGAAGGTGCCTCCCCACCCAGTAGCTCCGCTGACCCTTATCAGCTCGGGTTGTCATGCAGCAGAAGAATCAACATTGAAGGTCCACGAAGAAAAAGAAAAAAGGTATCTATAGTCATGAAAAGAACGGTTTGTCGGGGAATCTCCCGAGGAGAGCTGGTATATGGGGTATAAAGGAGTGTGTGGTATCAAGATAGATATCTCATCCAAGAGAAGAAAGAAAAGAACCAGGGGAAAAGCATCCGTCATCCATCATGAAAAACAAACGGAAAGTCGTTGTATGCTGAAAGCAACCCAGTCACTGTTATAAAAAGACTCAGTGAAGAAGATCAAACGCTGTGCGGCCAACGCTGGCGGTGGTATAAGATCGCTTGCAGACTCGAGCGATTCCCAATGCAGTTGTGCTAGGAAGATGGCGATGCGAATGTCTTGGATGCCAGTGGCTCGACTCGAGGAAAGGTTGGACCTGTACGCTGTCTCTATTTGTGCGATCCGTCTGACTGGGATGGTTATGAGAGCCTGAGTCGCCAGTCTTCGTTGGTCTGTGTTTTTGGTATCGATGTGGTCATGTTGAACATCCCGATTCCCGTGCGCCAGTGAAATGCCGTAAGAAAAAATTATAGGGTAAAGATAAGGTGAGCTTCATATCCCGGAGATGGCCAGTTCTGCGGGTTCTGGGCGACGTGCACCCGGTTGTTGATGGTGGGAAAAGGGTCAGATACCCGTGATGGGATTCCGCTGCGGCAATGCGCGGTTCCGCCGCGGGCTCATCGAGGTCTCCTGGTACTTGTTCGTCCGCTTCAGGCGTGCCCTCCCACCATGGCGTGCTGCGGTGGGAAGCCGTGGTGAAAGAGGACCTATAGGTGTCAGACTCCCACCAGCTTCTTCTGCCGGTGCCGTAGGACGATCTACAGGAAGGCGGAGTATGTGGTGAGGATTCAATGGCCGTGGGATGGTTATTCTAAGCCATGTCACCCACGCAGAAGAGCTCTATCTCTCCCATACCACCACTGTACATGCTGCGGATGTTCTCGCGCCAGTCGGAGAAGGCGATTTGGATGTCCTCGTCACTCTCGATGTTGACGAAGTCGCCGTCCTCGTCGCGGTATCGCAACCTCAGATTTCCCTTACCAATGCTGGAGTTGGTGAACCGCGAGAGCTTGGCATCGATGCGGTCGGTCAGGCTCTGATACGTGATGTTGAAGGCGGCCACGAGGGTGACGTAGTTTCCGGTATCGCAGTTGACCTTGACCTTGAGCTGCGACTGGAAGGGCGCGTCATTCGGGTTGGGGCTGGCCAAGGGGTTCGAGGTGGGAGGGGCACCGGCGGTGTTTAGTCCTGGGGTCACTGTCCTTGATGAGTCGAGATTCAACGGTGCAGGCATGAGGCCATTTTTAATGGGGCCAGGGGTAAGCTGACGGTGAACAGGCTGGGCTGGGAACTGGGCCATTTGGCCTCCCCCGCCATACTGCTGCTGCAGGCGATCCCTCTGGACGCCTGGACTCTGGGTGTTAGCCCGAATCGGAAGCTCTTGCCTAGGGCTGCCCGTATTGCTCCTCGGGATGTTGCCGTCATGGGCTGGATGCAGATGCGCGGGGATGCCAGGCACGGCCGGGACGCCTTGGCTGCCTCCTCTCTCGGTCCTCCTCACCGGTGGTTGTGGCTGGCCATTGATATCAGGAGTTGAATAGGACCTACTTCTTTGTTGCGCGGCGTTGGACTGCGATGGCTCCCTTGCCATGGCTGGCAGGGAAGGTCCTCGGGGGTTGCGGCCGTTCACCATTCCGTAGGCGTTCGCCGGGGAGGGTCCGTCGCGGGAAGGGGCTCGAGGCATAGCTGGGGCTGTATATCGGTTATTGTCTTCGGACCATCCGGGCTGCGGGGCTCCATTCTTGGGCAGTATGTAGCTGGAACTCGGACCAAAGAAGCTCGATGTGGTACTCGTCCTCGAGGAGGCGGGTGAATCGGCAACCGGGGAAAAGTAAGACTCTCCCCCACGTGGGCCAGGGGAATGCTGCTGCGCTCCGGTTTGCAGCGAGAGGGCCGTTGGTGGTTGTGGCATGGGGAAGCTGGGCGGGGGCTGACGGCGCACCAAGCCAGCCAGAGACATGGTGCTCTCCTGTGTTCCTGACCGTTGCCGAAGGCTCGTGCTGGAAGCAGTCCTCGGCATGGTTCCCTGCATGGGGTTATAGGATGACGCCGACGGGGGTGCGAAGTCGTCATCGTCCTCATCGTGTTCCGCGTAGGGATTCACCAAGTCTCCTCCTTGTGCCTCCATCCACCTGAAGTTCGCCGTCGACTGGTCCGGACTGGTCGCGCTCTGAGGGGCATTATCCTTCCGTTGCTTGTCGAGGCCAGTAGCCCACTTCTTCATCATCTCCTCGTTCGCGAACTTGATGACGAAGTTTTCCACGCCGGGGTCGCCCTTCCACCAGATCTGCACAGTATACGATCCTGGGAACGTCAGTCTAAGAACTGTGCGCATTGGAATGCAAGTCTGTAGGAGAGAAGCGAGTTAGTATCTGCTTACCAGGCTTTGAGAAACTCAACACTTCTGTGACGTTCGTCATGAATATACGTCCCTTGAGCTGCAGCTTGTTGTTCTTGTTTCGCATCTTCGGCTGCGTTGACCGCGTCTTGTCCTTCTTGTCCTTGCTCTTGTTTGGCGTGATTTCCTTGCAGCACAGTAATATGCACTCGAAAAGGTAGATCTCATAGTCCTTCTCCTGTTCAGTCTTGCCCGTGATGACAGTGTACACGCCATGGAGCAGGAGCTTTCCGAAGTGCTCCACCCGGTGGTTCTTCCAGTCGTCGACGCGGCCAACCAGTTCCTCCAGTGCTTCGTCTAGTAGGTCTCGATCGACGGCCTCGTTTGCTTTCTTCAGGACACGTTCAGCAGCATCGATACCTGCCGCCAGGTCCTGTTTGATGGTCTCGTCTTCGCTCTTCTTCATCAAATCCTGCGAGAGACAAGTCAGACAACACAGAGGCACAGAGAGGGTGTGGCAAAACGAACCTTTAGCAGCAGTGGGTACTTCACAAGTCGCTGCATGGGTTTAAGCAGAAAACCATCCAGGGTATTATAATCACATGCCACGGGGTGTTGGATGGTTTGGATCTTGTCAAAAACCTGGCTCGCTATTTGAGCTGCTTTCCTCTGGTTGGCGATAAAAGGCTGGTACGTAGCATTAAATGAATCTTCGTAGGCCATGAACGGGCTACCCCATTCTTGCCGAAGCTCGGGCATAGAGTTGGTCGTCTCGACGCGGATCAGGAATCGGCGCTGGAAGTCGAGAATGGAGTTGATGTTCAGGAAAATCGAGTGGGCAACGTCACCACTGATGGCGCCCTTCTGCTCAAGTGCCTTCTTCAAATCGTGCAAGTTTTCCAAGTCCTGCACATATTTGCGCTCGGTATCGACAAGCTCGCGGATAATGTGGTCACGGTAGGTCATTTTCGGAACGCCCGCCGCGGGCGACGCTTCGATATCGCCGTACGGGGCTTGTGGTTGCCTCAGGAGGCCTCTCTGCTGTGCGATGTCGAGGACCATGTTGATGACAGTCAAAACCTAGATGCGGGTTAGATGATGAGGGTACCGGGCCAACGCCCAAGCCTTGTCTCGCCGTCTTACCTTGCTGAATCCCGAGGTATCAGTGCCCAGCAAATCGGCGACAATGAACATCTCCTGGGGTGGTATCTTCAGCTCCTTTGAGCATCCCTGCACAAACTTGGCGATCGCAAGCTTCCCCTTCTTCGCGTCGGTCGCACTCGGCACATTCACGACAAGAGGCTCGTCGGGATCGGTGGCATTGTAAATGGCCAGGAGGGGGAGACCTGTCCTAAGCAGGCCCCAGAGACCTTCGACGGGTCCGCCAGCATCCCCACCTTCCTGTTCCCTCTCCTCGAGCTGAGCCATGTATTCATCGAAGCCGGGAGCGAGGGCCAGGCGATTCTTTATGGCGACACATATCTGGTAAAGCGAGCGCGAGGCGTCTGCTTTCTGGTTGATGATGTTTGTGGTAGCTACGACCTGGCCGCTGATGGGCGGCTGGGCGATGGTGCTCGCAGTTGCCAGCGAGCTAAGGCTCGCAGTTGAAGGATAGACGGTCGAGCCTGAAAGCTGGCTCGCCCGTGGCGCGCTGCTCATACTCATTTTGGCTAATCTCGCTACGCCGTCAGTCGAGTGTTGGAAGACGGGAGCCGTACTGGTTCTTAGTAGAGGAGCATGTGATGCCATTACAACCTACTCCATGAACTTGATTGCGTGTGTGGTGTAGTCGACCTGGGGGGGTTGGGCTCCTGGGCCTGGGGCTTGGGACAGCGAAGCCCGCAAGCGAAGGGTCGAGGGGGATGAAGGGGGGGGAGGGGTCCGCTGATGAGTGAGCTGGGTTTTGTGTCGGGTCCAGCAGGAGTGAGGGGCCAGAAGGCGGTGGTTTTGGTGACGAAGAAAAGGGATGCAGTCGAAGAATGTAGACAGACAACAGACGGACGGGCAGACGGACAGACAGGAGAGGAATCCGCGCGCGCGAGCGATGGCTAGCAGGACGCGGGGTCCAAGCTGACTCAGTTGGCGGGCCGTAGGCGAGGCCGGGCGAGTTTGTGAAAAATGACCTTGACCGAGGCCAGACCAGACAAAGATGTGACTGAGTGACTGGCTGTCTGGAGCCTCGGAATCGGTGGTGCCTGGGGGGACTGGGGGTGGCTTCGGACAATGCTCCGTGTGGTCGATGCGCTGGTGGCCGGTCGAGAGTGATGCAGCGACGGCGACGGCGACGGCGACAGGAGGCAGGAGCAGGCAGGCAGGTGAATGCGAATGCCCGACCGAAAGTGGCGAGAGGATGGGAAGGGGCCCGATATGGGGCCGGCGTGGAGTGGTGAAAGCGAGAATGTATTGTTCCTGTCCTCTCTGGGTTGCGTCTCTTTCAAGGGCCCATCAATGAACCCAGGATCCGTCCCTCCGTCTCAGGTGTGGAGCCGTCTCCAGTGCGTGCCGGTGAGGGATAGAGGAGGGGCGGGGGGTTGGCAGCCGATAGACTGGCTGCTGAGTGCTTGCGTGCGCGAGGGTCGCCGTGGCGAGGGTGGCGATGGGCAGACCAAGTGAATGGCTCTCTGGTATCGTGCAGTCGTGATGCGAAAGACGAAATGGACGCTGTCTGAGGTGAGAAGTGGACGTTTCGAGGGGCGCAGATTTGGGGTGTTGAGTCGACTTGAAACAGGCCGTCGTGGGAATGGCCGTTCTGGGCAGTTGGCAGTTTGCAGCAGTTGGGTGGATGGGGTGGATGGGTGGGTGGAGGATGTGCGGGCGACCAGGGCGACAAGGACAGACTCCCTGCACACTGTCGATTGATTGCTGCGCGATGGGGGCACGCAGGCGGGCGGCGACACGGTACGGGCAGCTGTACGGTACAGTACGGTACGGTACAGTATAGTGCAGTGCAGTGCAGTGGTTGTTCACTCGAAGTCGATGCCAGATCGAATTGATGGGCGACGATCAATCGAGGAGGAGACCCGCTCGGTTCAGCTGGCGGCGAACTTGTCAGGCTTGTCAGGCTTGCTTGTCTTGCCTCGTGGATGGTCAAACGGCGAGTCGGACGGACTGATGGAGGGGGGGGGGCCAGTTTTGGGGAAGAAAAAGGAGACTTGCTTCCTTTTCCTTCCTTGCCCTTGCCCTTTCCCTTGTGTGTCTTGCCGTTGCCCAGCTTTTTGCCTGCCTTGTCTTGGCTTTTTGGCTTTCGATTTGTAGCGGGCAGCGGGCAGGTGCAGGGGGTAGGGGTGGTTGTGCGGCTGCACTGTGCCCTCTGCGTGCCTCTCTCTCTCTTTCTTTCTTTGCAGGTCGCTGCTGCTCTACAGTACGGAGTCGGAGTGCTACGGAGTGCTACGGTGGTGTGCTGTGGTGATACTGTGGCTTTTGGTGGGCAGCACGCGGGAGGAAGGCATGAACGACCGGACCGGCAATGGGCAGCATGGGACATTGGGCATTGGGCATTCACACGATCTTTGGGAAGGGGAAGGTGCGCGCGCGAGTCGTTGAGCGGCAGCAGCTGGTCCTTGTGTCGAATCAGGCCGGCTGACAAGGAGGTGCAGTGTATCAGCTGCCCATACTGGCGGCTACTGCATCCTGTTAAGGGGCCACCACCCCACCCCTCCCGTCCTGCCGTCCCAAGGGTACCGGGTACTTGGGTACGTACCTGCGCAGGTACTTGCCAGCTTGGTTTGCAAACACAGTACAGTCTGCCGTAAGCTTGTGCTGCCTGTGCTGCTCGTACATACTCCGCAGACTTGGCTCCGTGGCTGCAGATTGTATTTATGCACCCTATATCCATCCAATATTGTGTTGCGTGTGTGTGGTGGTGGCATGTCAGTCATCGATCAGTATGGCGCGACGGCACACGACACACAGTACCGTGTACCGACAAGCACACTCCCAGCACGCCCAGCTGGGCGGAACAGTCTGGGAGAACTCCCCGGTTGGGACCCAGCAATTGAAGAAGCTGGCCTGTCCTGGATGCCCAGGTGGAGACATATGGTACCAGGTATGGGATGCCAGTAGATACTGTGGCATGCATGGAACTGGGCTGACTGGCAAGACAGGCAAGCAGGCAAGACGATAAGAGCCCAAGGGTCCATCCATCCATCCATCCTGCCGGACAAATGTCAGGTCAGCCTCATGGACCCGTTGGGCGTCGTCCCATTGGCATTGCGGCATGTGCATATGGGCTGCATGGACATTACTCTCCAACAAGTCTGGCCTCGGTCTGGCTTAATCGGAAGACAATGGGCACGGAGCTGGTTGAAAGGCCGGCCCGAGAGTCGATGATGCCCACCAACGGTAGCCTGCATTTGTGTCGACCACACATATCTGGACCGTCCGACCCGTATCTCGATCCGATGAATGATGGGTGGACGGACGGACGAGTGAATCAATGCCGGACACCACGCACGCACATTCTCACACTTACAGTCAGGACAGTCAGTCTCTCGCTCACCCTCGCCCAACACAACATGCCGATGGGCCAGAACAGTCTGAACCTCTTACCACCGACACTAGACCAGGTCAAGTTATCTATGCTATTGCCAGCTATCTCCAGCAATCAACCAACCGAGGAACTCCGACTCCATGTCCCCTGCCAGCAAGACATTTATTTGATTTATTTGCATTGGCCCCAAGGATGAACTCACAATTAATTAGCCTTCTCACCTTATTAACCCGCCACGTGTCTAGCACAGTCTCTGCCTGCCTGGCGGTCCTGTGTTGGCGTCAATCGTCCATCTATCTCCATCTACCTCCTCAGCTCCTCTATTGCCCTTCAGTCCTTACATATGCCAGATATATGGGCTCTTTGCGTGATGGCCAGATGGCATGGAGGTGTGGATTTGTAACCTTGCTGCTCCTGCCTCTTCCAGCTCCCCGTCGTTTCAAATCCCCCTCTGCTCGCTCGCACTATCCCCAATCCAGCCTCGATCCCGCCCACCAGGCAAGGGTCCTGCCCTCCACACCTAACCCCCTCCTCGCCTTGGCCCCTTTCCATCGAGCCGGAGAAAGCCCATTTCCAACTGATCGGCCCAGGCTGCCACGAGTCCCCACGACCATCAATCAGAAGGATTCCAAACCATGCCGCTTCCAACCTCCTGTTGGGGTCAAGACCACGAAAGAGAAGCGCGCCTTGGCCCTGCTGGCCCTGCCGGACCTGCATGCTTCTCCTGCTTCTAGAATCAATCTAGAAAGATTGGGAGACGATCCTGATCTCGATCCCGACTAACAAAGCAAAGTCCCTCTCCGTCGGCCTCGTCGTTGTCGTCGCTAGATTGCCCAACTGCGGTAATCTGCTGTTATACCGCTGGCACGGTGCTCGCTCCCCTCTGTCATGCTGTGTCGCCTGGGAATGCGATGCGATGCGATGCGATGCGATGTGATGCGATGCTGACATGCCATGCCATGCCATGCACCACAAAGGAGCTTGCAGCAGGGTCAAGTCATCAACCTCAGCCCGTCAGCCTGTCTACCACGCCGTCGCGAAACGCCATCGCGTGTTCTCCAAGGGCGCCCGCGGCCTTGACAGCTTGACAAGCTTCACGAGCTTCCCTGCCCGAGGGCAACCAGGCTCAGCTCCCGCTGCCTGGTGACAAATGTCACCGGCGTCACCGACGTCGACTACCTGGCAGCCCTGCCAACAAAGCTGCTCATGGTTTCAATATCGGGAAATGTCTTGGCTTCCGACAGGTTGATAGCTTCCTCTTGAAACATGGGCCACCTTCGTCCCAACGCCGGCTCTGCTTCGGAAGACAGGAGTGCCCCACCCTGCCCTGCCCTCGAGTGCTTGGTGCCGTTGTCTTGTCTCCTACTACTACGCCAGCCAGCCGGGGCCCGTTCGTCGCGAACCTACACTACATACATAGGCTGGCAGTGCACTTGTCACGACACGCACCGCTTTGCCTCGACCGCTCATCCCGACTCACAGTGCTGATCTCGTCCTGCAGAAACGTGGTCAGAAAGTCTATACACGCCCACAGCACACGTGCAAGGTCGCAAGGCAGGAGGGTGTCTGTCTGCCCGACGCGACGCTGATGAGGCCTTGGGGACACAATATATACTCCGTCCTATCAGATCCGGCCTGCTCGCGTGATAAATAAGCTCCCCCGCCCTGCAACGGTGCGGACTTGCCTGTATTGTCTCGTTCGTTGAGAACAGACCTGTCAGATGCAGTCGTCATGCAGCCAGCCCCGGTAGCATCTGATACGGGGAACTCGAAGTGTGCAACGGACGCATATCGATCGCCCCGGGCGGCCGGCTGTTGCCAACAGAGGGGTAACATCTCCACACCACCTCCCCCCCCCCCCCGTGCTGCTGTTTGTGGCCAAGCGCCCGCCTTGCCTCTTTCTTGTTCCGGGCGAAGCTTTGCGCCGTGTTTGGAGTTCGTGGTTGGCACGCACGCCAGAGCAGATCTTTGCCTTTCACATCAGCGTGGCCAACGCCCAAGTCGGCGGTCTCGCGCGCTCACATGGAAGAGTCAGGCTGTCAGGCTGTCTGTCAGGCTCGGCTTCAACCGGACTCCTGGTCTCCTAATCCTTGCCTGTCTATGTCAATATTGCTGGGATGAACACACTGATATTCTCTACAGCTTTTCGTTTTTGCAAAGGCGTCAAGACCGCGGCGGCTTCCTCCCGCTGGCAATGATAGACACCCAAGTCAAGGTCCACCCCCCATCCTCCCCGTACTTCTCCACCAGATGTTTCCTGACCAGACCCTTGATCTCCTCGACCTTGGCCCTCTCAGCCCCCAAGTCCAGCCCCAATGTCGATTTCGCACAGTACTCGATCATTGTGGCGTTTGTCTTCATAAAATGCTCGGGGCTCTTGATAGGGGTTAAAGTCGCCAGCACGTCGACCTGGATATCCAGCAGACCTTGCTCGGTGAGCGCCCCGCGGACCCAGTCGACGTTGTCCCAGTGGCCATCGTCTGAGAGGCTCATTGGCATGTTGAACCTGTAACCCTGCGGGAGCAGCCTCGCTGGGAGGGAATCAAAGGCCTCGCGGACATCGCACACCCACGCGCCGTTCTGGCTGTGCCAGGTTGTGAGGCCCAAGGTCCCGCCCGGTTGGAGGAGTCTGATGCTGTCTAGTAGATGGATCAGATACGCCACAGTCAGCAATGCGCGACGGAGAGAAGATAGAATTGGAATCAAATCGAGTTGTACCTTTGATCGCGGCCATGGAATTTGGGATGGTATGATATACTATGTTGCCGACAACGTGTGTAAAGCTCTCAGAAGGGAGGCCCGAGTCCTGCGTCCGCTGTATCAGCTTCAAATGGCTCACTCACCACCACCACCTGCCCCCCCACCCCCTCACACCCGGCCAGAATCGCAACAAAAGACCAGGAAACTCACCGTAGCATCAACCACCCTCGCCTCGCAATTAACCCACCCCTCGCTCCCCATCCTCCCCCGGACAGCCTCGACCAGCGGCGCCGAAAAGTCCCCGCACACCACGCTGCTCTGCGCCCGCACCCCGGCGCCGACGGCCTCGTGCAGCAGCGGCGCCACGACGCCCAACCCGCACCCTTGCTCGAGCAGCCGGTACGGCGGCGGGCTGGTCTGTGACTGTATCAGGCCGACCTGCTCGAGCAGCTTCTTGGCCAGGGGCGGGGAGATGGACCGCATCGTCTCGATCAGGAAGGCCTGCCAGTCTTCGGCCTTGCCGTCTCCTTGGGCGGTCTGGAGGATGGTCTGCATCGCGGAGGCGGCGGTGCCGGTGGGGGGGCTCGCGGGGGCGTCTGTTGAGGGCATTTTTTTCCTCTTTGGGTTGTTGTTTGGGTGGGTGTCTTTGGCGGTGTGTGCTTGTGTGGTATTAACTACTAGTAATGCTGACAGGCTGGTGTGCGAGACGGGGGAGGGTGTCGATGGTGTGTAGGATGAGGATATTGTTGGGTTCGGTTAGTGATTGTTCTCAGGGACGTCTTGGGTTGTTCTTATATATTGGTAGTTGATCAACGGTGAGAGTGATATTATTCTAGGTAGCAGATTTTCTCCTTGTGTGAGCGTATCTGAGCAAGTAAGTACTCGGGGACATTGGCTAGCGGCTGAAGGATCGTGGCGGCTTGGTGAGAAAGTGGCCGAAATGTTTCCGCCGAGCCATTGGGCTGCTGCGCTTGGGTTGTTCCTCCCGGCATTGACCAATCGTCTTGGATCGTATTGACTCATAGAGGTTCTTGGTGCTTTGAGCAAGTTTGGTGTTCGTGAATGGTCTGGTTTGTGATTTGATGTTACATGGCTAACTATGTGATTACTCTAGCAGTGATGGGACACTCCGCGGCTCGAGACTGGCCAGGTGCCTAGGTGGACACTCTCTCCAAGTAGCTACATGGTGGCTTCAGTTCTCTGAGTAGGCCTTAGCCTTTTCGACCACGAATCATGAGATGACCGCTCTGTAGCTAATCATCATGTTCTCTTGAGCCACCAGATTTACGTGGCCGTGAAACTATGCTCAGAGAAGAAATTGATCGCCTCCTGTATGTCGAAGCCTCAGCAGGTAAAATGTTCAACGTGATGGGTGACCGTTAGTTGCAGTCTTTGAAATGCACCTGCTAGGATTGCCCTTTTCAGTAAGAAGATAGTTGTCAGCTTCGCGATGTCGCGGTTGATACTGCGGACTGCACCCGGGTTTACCTGAGGCGCAATACTTTTCTAGAGATCAGAGATTCGCACCCGTAAAACCGGAAGCTAAAGGGCCATCCGTACTCTTTGAGTTCCTCTATTCAGCCGGAACAACACTAGGTTAGTATGCTAGAAGGACAAGACAAGGTAACTTTCAAGATAAACGCGATGCTGTACCCGCTTGAGGAAAACTAAGTAGGTATAGCTGATAATGGATTGGGAAGGCCTATGAAGACTCGAAAATTGAATTGATCACTTACTTCATAAGAGGCAATCCCCCAGAAGGTTATCCCACAGGCCTCGGGTGTACCGTTCATGCGGATGCGCACGTCGAGCTCTAATATCTTGTTCTATCCTTTTAGGGTACCACATATATTTTATTTGCGGAAACTACCCCACTAGTCCTGCTGTCCATCTGGTACATTGGCAGCTATCATAGCAAAGTTGACCAGGATTCTGTCAACACCTCAAGCATCCCGACTTCTTGATGCCATGCTTACATACACCTACCCATACTGAGGCAGGTATGCCCCTGAAGACGCAGATCCACTTGCTGGAGTGTATACCACCTAATTCGTCCAGAATGGAATGTTGTTCAATGAGCAAAGCAATAGTACGTTGTTGTATGGAGCCTCGACAAGGGGGGCATAGTGTTCAAGTGGGGCTCCGACTTCTGCACATGTTGTGGCATCATGCGTTGATCCCAATTAGGTAGACGGACAATGGAGCCCGAGGGACTCGAAAGTGAAGGTTCAGATCGGAAGCTAAGACTTGTATTGTTTGTGATCGTTCCATCTCTTTCGGTCTTGCATATGAGAATGGGACTTGGATTGATGATCGAGTACATTGCCCAGAGCAGCCGTGCGTATTGGCTTCCAGATGTGATATGAAAGTCACGCATAAATATACAACTTGTGTAAGCTGGTCCAGATTGATCTCAGACAAAATCAAGAGGACTGCACTCAAAAAATTCAGCATTGAGCCAGGTATAAAAAACTTAACCATTGATTTTGAAGCTCTCCACACACTCGTTTGTAAAGTCTGTAAAAGCACACCGGCAAGTTTCATTGCTCTTCAAGTCAATACGATTTCCAACTTCAGATCGTGTCTTGGCGAGTCAGCACTTAGGTAGTAGATCTGTGGCGACGCTTCCTCAATCCAACCAGACTGTCCTCTACGGACTCTCGGGAGACAGGCCAAAGCCGCGGAGAGAGATCTGGAGGCCTTGAGCACTACTAGTAAATCGCCCAGCTTCCCCGACCAACCGTTTTGTACGGATCTGCGTCACCTGAGCTGCAGTAGGGGATCCGCATCGCATCGCCAGTCCCCGCTCTGGGGCACTTAACATATAATACAATGTAACTAAGCACATGGCCGCGTATATCCAAGTAGACTCTAGGCTACTTCATCTTCCTCACAACGATCCTAGTCCAAAATCCCTGCAATAAACAAAAGTCCATCAAAGATGACCTCCTTGTTACGCGGCACAGCTTTCATAACCGGAGCTGCAAAAGGTAAGCATTCGACCAGTTGATACGAGGGCATGCTCCTGCGGGGCTCCCGCGGAACCATGCAGTTTATGAGACTTGTTATTGTTTCCAAGGTTCCGCCCGCTCACGCAGCAACCAACCTCCAGGAATCGGCCGGGCCACGGCGGAAGCATTCGCGCGCCACGGGGTCACCCGCCTCGCGCTGGCCGACATCGACACAGATGGGCTCAGCAAGACGAGGGAGATCATCCGCGCCCGGTGCCCCGACGCCACGGTCATGGAGCTGCAGCTCGACGTGCGGCAGTCCGGGCAGGTCAGGGACGCGCTCGCCGAGATCGCCAAGAGGTTCGGCCGCCTTGACATTGCGGTGAACAACGCCGGGGTCGCGGGCCGCGGGCACAGGACCCATGAGATGGCGGACGAGGAGTGGGCGGGTGTTGCGGACATCGACCTCTTTGGGGTGTGGAGGTGCCAGAAGGAGGAGCTGGTCACGATGGTTGGACAAGAGTGAGCCTTATTAGTTCTGTCCATTTTATGAAGGTCCATCCGTCTCAGTGTGAGCTGACCACGTTGTTCAGGGATCTGGGGGTGCGCGAGGGGCGAGGGAAGATCATCAACGTGGCTTCAATGTATGGCCTCAAGGCGACCGGGCCGCATCTGCCAGCAACCCCATACGTCGCATCCAAGCATGGTAAGGACCATTCCTGTACCGTTTGTTGCCAAACGCTCTTTCGAGTCCTGCGGCGCTGATTAATAAAATCCAGGAGTCATTGGCCTCACAAGAGCGGATGCGAACAGCTACGGCCATATGAACATCCGCATAAATGCCATTTGCCCTGGGTGAGTCCCTGAGCCCAGAAGAGTGAGGACCACGATTAGGCAGTTCACTAAAACTGTGAGCCCTGTAGCTATATCGAGACGCCTATGCTCAAGACGTCAGGAGCTCCTCCTGATTCGTACCTGGATCGAGACCTTGAGAGGACCGCGCTCAAGCGGATGGGACTGATCGAGGAGGTGACGGATGCCATCGTTTTTCTTGCATCGCCTATGAGCAGCTACATGCAGGGCGCCGCCTTGGTGGTTGACGGAGGATACGGGTCGCAGTGAGTTCGGGAACTTTAATTGTGGAAGTGAGCTGGATTTGTGTCTACGGGTATCTATTTCTCATTAAAGACTCTTGTTCCAGTAGCCACCGATCTAGCATCGCCATTCGTCTTGTCCTCTTGAAGCCTGCTCCATGCCCACCTGTTCTAGGAGCGCCATTCTATAAAACCCCGTTCGCCAACAAAAGCGAGCCTCCCCTGTGCTCGAGCATGCCCAGCCGGGTTGACCGTCCCCGGATCAACCACCCACCCAATTCCCATTCCACTCAGCGCTTCGAACTCACAAGATGCCCATACATCTCCACACCATCCGGCCCAGACCCCTGCCTACTCAGCCCAACCTCGTCGTCATCAGCAACAACAAACCTCCCGCCCCCCCGGGCCCCGAGGAACCCGCCCGCCGGCATATGAGCCAGCGAGGCCCAGCCCCCGGCAGCAAGCGCCGACGCGGCGCCCCACAGCGTGCCAAAGAGCAGCATCTTGACCGCGAACGACCCCGCGCCCGGGTCGAGCGAGATGTCCTGGCGGTTGAACGCGTAGACGCACATGTAAGCCAACCTCCCGAGCCAGACGGGCATGGCGGCGATGCCGCCCCACAGCAGGAGCTGGGCCGCCCGCGCGTTGGGGTGGCGGCGGGCCAGGTGGTGCGTGGTCTTCTTGTGGGTGGGCCACATCCAGCCGCAGACGGTGAAGAGCACGAAGAGCATCAGCAGGTTGCCGATGCGGCTTAGTTCCTGGTTCGCCACGCCGCCTCTGCCTGTCGCGCTGGGCGCGCCGCCGTAGGTTGCTATCGCGATGCCGCCGGTGTTGGCGAGGTGGGTTACGCCGAGGATTATCTTTTCGGTCCATTTTTTGGGTTGTTGGGGGAGGATTATGTTGCTTATTTTGTGGGTGAGATGTTAGTTACGCATCCTTGACTTGGTGTTTCGAGACTCATCAATGATGAAGACTCATCGTGAGCGTGTTGTCTTTTCTTTTTGGTGCAGGGGACCTGACGCATACGTACGCCTCATAAATAATTCCAATGATGGCAAGTGATGTTGTAGCTATCACTGCAGAGTCCGTCATTGTTGACACTGAGTTCGGCAGGTATGGTTCATCTTTCTTGATGAGCAGGTATATGTTCGCGACGAGCATCGCGATGAAGGTCGTGATGAAAATATGCCAGCAGGTCATGCCCGCCTTGCCATGCTTCCACGCGATGAAGCCAACAAGGGGGAGAAAGATGGCCGACAGGACGATCTCGACGTAGGCAAGGTTAATGACGTTCGATGATGGTGGCGGGAAGTTGTGAGTAGAGGACATGGTGGAGGATACACCGCAAGGTCGACGATGAGGCTCTCAGAGCCTGGTGGTATAAGGCGAGGGAGAGGGGTAGTTTTCGGGAGGACGGTAGGCCGGCATTCGCAGACCCAAAGGCACGAGGTCGTATTTGATTAGAGAAGGAAGGCTTGATAATGTTCGATAGAGGGACAAGACATAAACAAGCTCTTCGGAATTGGCTATCTAGACTCTTTTATTATTTGCCTTGCTCTCAAGGCCATGTTGATCAGCCCTGCCACCGGACAGGGCGGGCTATGAACCTGGCTAAAGGTCCAGAAAACTCTCTTTTCCTACGTCAGTTACGAAACAGGCGATGGCTATGCTAAGGCTGAGAGGTCCGTTTCGCCAAATGCCCGCGGTGAACCATGTCGGGCTGAACCGCGACAGTGGGTAAGAAGGGACGCGTGAAGAGGTGTTCGAGATGGTTGCGCACGCAGAACGGAGAAAACGAAAAGACATCTACATGGAGTTACCCTCAAGTGCTAGGTAGGAAGGGCAGCCGAATACGGGAGCGAGTGGTGCGCATAGCCGTGATCGTCATCCCGCGAACTCAAATTATGGGCTGCCGATATTTGGGCCAATCAGGAGAGACTCGCAGCCAAAATAATGCACGCCAGTCGAGTCTCAGGCGGAGTGCAAAAGTATCCAACCATAACTCCAATTTACCGCATTCCTTACTAAAATAACTAAACTTTAACCTTACTTTCCTTAATAACTATATTATATATAATATTATTTTTTATTATTAATTTATTTAAAATTAAATACTCTATTAAATAATATCTATTTAATTTATTAAAATATTATTATTATAGTATTAAAAAAAAGTTTAATTAAATATAATATACCTAAGTATATTAAAGTATAGAGTATATATTAATTCTTCAAGTACTTTAATCTCTTTAAATAAAGTATTTATTAAGTTATTAAATTATAAATTTTTAAATATTTTAATATTTTAAAGACTTAAAGAGATATTATAATTTAGTATTACCTTAATAATAAAGCTCTTTAATTATTATAATAGTCTAATTTTAACCTTAATTATTATAATAATTTAAATATCTATTAACTTTTTAATAACTTTTAATTTACCTAATTATAATTATACTTTATAAAATTTATATTTAATTATATTAAATAAATTAATTCTTTCTTTAAAAACTTTAATAAAATAAACTTTAATAGAATATATAAGGTTATTTATTAATTATAATAAGGTATTACTTTTAATATAGAGCTCTAAATTAAAGTTTATAAGGTAATATTTTAATAAAAGATAGACCTATTTAATTAATATAATTATATTAAAAAAGTTAAGTAATAATAAAATTATTAAATAAAATTATAAAAATATATTATATATAAAATTAAACTTAATCATTAAATAAACTCTTTATAATAAAATTAAACTTATAATATTAATTAATAATATTTTTCTTTTAATAAAAGTTAAAAAAATTAAAAGAAAGTTTATATATAAAAAATTATATAAACTATAAAAAATAAGCTTTTAAAAGTCTTTAAAGAAGATCTATAAATAATATTATTATACTCCTCCTTTAATAACCTTAAAACTATTAAATACTTAAAAGTAGAAAAACTTTTAAATCTTTTATAAAAGTAATTATAAGATTAAATTACTTTATACTACGTAATTATAATAGAGTTAAAAGGTTATAAGTTATTATTTTATTAATATAAAATATATATAAATAATAATAATAAGATTAATATTAATATATATAAATATATATATAAGTATATTTATAAGGATATTAAGAAGTATTATAGGTTATATAGTTTTATTATATAAAAGGATAGTAATAATATATACTTAATAATTATAATTTAAACCTTTTAAAAGAAAAGGTATAAAACTATACTAAATTCTTATTATTACCCTAAAACTAACTCTATTAAGGATATCTATTATACTAATATAATTAAATTATATATAAAATAATATAGGTATTAATCTATTAATAATTTATAATAGTTTATTAAAAAAAGTTAATAAATTATTAACTTAAAGGTAATTATATAAGTGTATAAGGATATACTTAAATATTAAATTAATTTATATAATAGTAATAAAAAGAGAATAAACTACTAAGTGTTTTTTTTTTAGTGTAAATACTATATAATTTAATAATATGAAGTAGTGTGGGCAATTTGAGCGCCCAGACCGCTCAGGGGTTAGAATTGGAGATATAGCCGGATACTTTTGTCCTCCGCCTGAGTCTATGGTCCCGATTCCATTGGGCTTTGAGTTTCATCCTTGCTTAGAGACTATTTTTCTGGATCCGTCGATAGGTGCCCGCGTGCCCACCCAGGCATGGGATATCGGTCTCGTAGCTCGTAGTTCGGGAGCAAGCGCCCGAGAACGAAGGTCTTCTTTAGCGCTGCCGCCTTGGGCTATATTTGTAACCTGTATCCGCCTTACTGCGAGTTGGTTGAGGGCGATTATGCGTACCCGCTGTGATAAATAAAGTGTACTAGTTGGTGACTGCCCCTGATACCAAATGGTCTATGTCGCAAGACACTAGAGGAATGCCCTTTTTGACTCTGCAATTCGCTCGAAATGAAGTGATGATCAACTTGGCCTGCAGAAATTCAGCAGCGACAGGCCCTCGGGCGACTCCAAACTCTTCGAGGCTGGGAGCCTACAGTTTGAAAGTCAAGGGGCAGATGCTTGGGGACTATGGTATAGCCACAATGGGTTTTATTCGAGATCTCTTTCAATTTAGTCAGAAGACCAGTCAGAAGCGGCTCTGTGATGGCGCGGGTTTCATATACATGCTGGAGATGATTCAATGTTTCGAGTCAGTGTCATCCGCTCGGGACATCGTGTCCTGTGAATCCTTCGAGACGGGATATTGCAGGAAGAGTAAACTAGCATATAGTCTAGCCCCTTGACATCCAGCTGCTCCTAGGATACTACCCGTTTCCAGAGACTTCGGGAACATCTGGCAGCCGGTAAATCGGCAGGAGCCGCGTGAATTTGACAGGTGATGGTAGGAAGCCCAATGGGGAGGGATATAACTCTTTCGCAGCCATGCTGGCAAAGGCAGTGCACTTACATTATTCTCTTGTTCCCTTGCCCTTTATTAAGGACCTCCGTCTATACCGTGAGTGACGAGTGACGAGCCCCGATGCAAGTCAGGTTGGCGTACAATACTCTCTCCATATCACATGTTGTTGACAAGTCAACTTGAAGGTGAACAGCAATGGTGTGTCTCCTGCAAAGATGATTTTCTGTGCATTTAGAAGTGCCGGTGCTGGTTGACCAAACAGAATCAACGGCTTTGCGTGTACTGCAAAGGACACGAGGAAACAAGATGGCGTTGAACTCAAGGTCACAGTAACCTGTGCCAAAACCGCCTAGGCAGACATCAAGCTCGTCTTTGAGCGTTTGCTACTGTATAAGGCGTCGTGCATGGCTCCGGATGCATACAAAAGCGAAACCAGTATGTGGTGATTGAAGAAGATCCTGAATTCTTTTTTCTTTCTTGGAATGCCATACAGAGACAAGAGGTAGGCGGGACCTGTGTTAGAGGCAGCCAATTCCCAGCAGCTGGTCCCTGCGGCAATATTGCCAAGTGAAAACAAGCAAGTGGTTGCTGGGATGACATGGCCGGGTTGAGATGGCCCAGGGCTCAATCAGGTTCCGGGCAAGGTGAAGCCTGAATCCTGGACAGCCCTGACAGCCCTGACAGAGCTTGGTGGTGTCTACATTGCCTTGTTGCCTCGCTGGAAGGGACCTCAGCCTGTTCAGTACGGTGAAGTCCAGGTATGCTCTGGACTTTTGTGGGGGAACCTGGGTTGGGGGCGTCGGCCGGGAAATAACCTGGAAGAGGCGCGGATGACGTGCAGGTCCTCCAGGGATTATTCGGATGCAGGTGAGCCCATCCGGGGTAGATCAGTCCCGTGCTGCGTATAAGCAGGGGGCAGACATGAATCTGGGGTGAAATAAAAACCAGTTTACACAGGTTTTCGAGAACCATTTTATGCAGAGCCGTGGGCGAGGGCGTGATGTTGCATCAACACATGCTGTCGTCGGCGTGGGCGGCGTTATTGTTACGACGATGGACGGTTGGGGCCCATCAGAACCGGGGCTGGGGGGCTGTAGTGTCGATTATCATGTACCAGGATGAGAGGATCCGGCAGGTTATTGATCCAAAGGTGGAGATGATCTGACGGTGAATGTGAGGTCTTGCCAGATAATCGTGCATGACGGCATGCGTTGTAGGTATGCTAATGCTAGTTTAGGTGCACGACGGCAGTGCTCAAGTACCTGGGTACCTAGGTACCCAAGAACATTCGACTGGCTGGCTGTGACAGAGTTTGCATGCAAGGCAGAACTCAATAGCAGATCAGCAACAAATCTGGGAACGGTCAGAGGATAATCTTGTCTGGGCAGATTGGGTGGACGGGATGCAACGAAATGGATTGGAGTAGCGAGGCAAGCAATTGTTACTGTGTATGAATTGAGTTGAGCTTAGCACGCTTTTTGCCTGTGCAGGGATGTGCACCACTCATCAGGCTGACAGGCAGGCAGAAGCCAAAAACGGCTGTCAGGAGCAGAAGGGGGGAAGGAGAGGCTCAGCGAACAGGGAGGGTAGGGGACCAAGTCCCACCTTGACTTGCCCACTCTGCTCTGCCCAGGCCAGGCCATGCCATGCATGGGTTTGGACTGGGCAAACAACAACATTACGCATCATCTACAACCACTGCCGTTTCGCCCGTTTCTCTTGTTCGTGCCTCTTGCAGGATTATTTACTGCCAACCCACGCTGACAGGCTGACAGGCTGACTTCTGTGCATTTCCACCCTTCTTTTCTTCTACGTTCTGCGCACATATCCAACTGCATTCCAGCATCGAGCATCGAGCATTCAACATCGGTCTACGAGTACACGCACGTACGCACGCACGCACTCACGCACGCACAGTCGTCGATCCTCCTTCCATCCCGACCGCCCGACCAACCGCCCGCCAACGCCCTGTCCTACCTGCACCACATCCCGACCTGCCTGGCTACCTGGGCCACTCGGCAGTCTGGTCCAACAGCTGCTCCAACAGCTGCCTCCCCCTCTGCCCCTCTGCGGAATTCCCCATCCAGCAATCCCAAATCCCCGTTCCTTCGCAAGACACCAACCCGGCCACTGCATTGTGTGCGGGCATCGCGAACCCGCCCGCCGCCCGCCGCCCAACCCATCACCATGGAAGGCTACGGCGTTTCACAGCAAACAGACGAAGGCTATTCCGAAGACCCCCTCAACCCTCCCTCACCTCCGACCAACCTGTCTCTTTCGTCCAGTTCCAAACAGCTGGATTCAACAGCCGCGACGCCCGCCTCCCCGCTTCAGGTCAAAGGATGGCTGTCGGCGCACATCGCAAGCCTACCCGCCGAACTGAGGACTCGTACGTACAGCCTGGCTACCTGCTTGCCGCCCTGCCTACCTCCCTCATTATCCCATGTTACACACGCTTCCGTCCGTTGCCGCCGCCCCGTGATTGCTAATGTCGCCTCGTCCGCCTCGCAGAACTGACTCTCGAGCTCCTCGATAACCTGCCTACCAGCATTGTCGCCGAGATCGTCGAGAAGATGAGCCCCCGCCTGTACATCGACTTCATCAGATACCTGCCCGCCGAGATATGCCTCAAGATCCTCGGCTACCTCGACCCCGTCTCCCTCCTGTCTGTCGCCCAGACATGTCGCCCCTGGTTCAGCCTCGCCCTCGACCGCACCTTATGGCAGCGTCTGTTTGTTCTGGAGGGGTGGAAGGTCATTGCGTCTGAGATAGAGGCTGCGGAGGAGCTCGCCAACAGGAGGACCTCGCCCGGCTCCATGCACCGCCAGAAGTCCGAGGAGGACGGACACACCCACAAGAAGCGGGCCGTGTCCCTGGACGACGACGAGGACCACATGATGGTCGACGCCGACCACCTCCTGACCGCCGAGCCCAAGACCCTCGAGGTCGACGAGTCGCTGTTTGGCGGTAGCTCCGCCCGGACGCTAATGACGCCGGCCCTGAGGGATCTCAACATGCACGGGTCCGGTTCGAGCGCCGGCTCCTCCTTCATGAGGGCCAAGACCCTCGACAAGGGCAAGGGCAAGGCAGTCTCGCGCAGCCCCACCGATGCGCTCTCCCCGCCGCCTTCCTCCGCCTTCAAGTCGAAACTCTGGATCTACGACGCGTCGTCCGGCAAGCAGAAGATCAACTGGCAGTACCTCTACTCGATGCGCATGAAGCTCGAGACCAACTGGGAGCAGGGTAACTTCAAGAACTTTCAGCTGCCTCACCCGGATCACCTGGAGGAGGGCCACAACAATGAGTGCATATACAGCCTGCAGTACAACGAGGAATACCTGGTGAGCGGGAGTCGCGACCGAACGCTGCGCATATGGAATCTCGCCACCAGGCGGCTGGTTCGGAAGCCCCTTGTTGGCCACATCGGCTCCGTCTTGTGCCTCCAGTTTGACTCCGACCCCGAGGAGGATATCATTGTATCGGGTAGCAGTGACTCGGACGTGATTGTCTGGCGCTTCTCTACCGGCGAGATCATCCAGCGACTCACACACGCACATCGAGAATCGGTCTTGAATGTCAAGTTCGACAAGCGTATCCTCGCTACCTGTTCCAAGGACAGGACCATCAAGATTTTCAACCGCCGCCCGCTCAAGGCGGGTGACGCAGGCTACACCATGGTCAACCCGGTGCCCACCACCGTGAAGAGATACGGCTACGAGGCCTCGCCCCTGGACCAGCTCCCAGTGATTCCCCCTTTTACCATGATTGGGGTTCTCGAGGGCCACAGCGCGGCGGTCAACGCGGTACAGATAGTAGATAACGAGATCGTCTCAGCCAGTGGCGATCGTCAGATCAAGGTTTGGGACTGGCAGACAGGTGCTTGCAAGAGGACGTTTGTCGGTCACAACAAGGGCATTGCTTGTGTTCAGTACGACGGCAAGCGGATCGTCTCTGGTAGTAGTGATAATGAGGTGAAGGTCTTCTGTCGGGATACCGGCATAGAAGTGGCCAGCCTCAGGGACCACACCGACCTGGTACGGACGGTTCAGGCCGGCTTTGGCGACCTCCCATGGAGTGCCGAAGAGGACGCAGCCGAGGCCAAGCGGGTCGACCAGGCCTACATGAAGGCGGTAGAGGATGGAGAGGTGTCCTCGTCGCCGCGCCGTGGCCGCCCTGGAAACGCCGGAAGCACGGATCCAGAAGAGATAACGGCATACGGGGCCAAGCTACCCCCCGGAGGAGGTGGTGGAAGACGCTGGGGTAGGATTGTCTCTGGGTCTTATGATAAGTCCATAATCATCTGGAGGCGGGACAAGACCGGCAAGTGGAAGCCACAACATCACCTCAAGCAAGAGGAGGCTGCGTCGAGGGCGCTGCACTCGCATCCTCGCCCACCGCCCGATGGCCCAGCACCTGGCAACAACCCTGGAGGCGCAGGTGGTGGTTCGCATGGCGGCTCCGGCTCCAGCTCGAGAAGACAGCAGCCTCCCGCGGACTGGGCTCCGGCACCCATCCTCCGGCCACGCGCAGCAAGGGCAAGCGCCTCCAGCTCGACGGTCGCCAACCCGTCGGCCTCTTCCGCAGCATCGGGCTCCTCGACGCCAGCCGGCTCATCGAGGACACATCCCGAGCCGTCGGCCAGCTCAGCACATGCAAACACAAGCGCGTCCCGGCCGCGGTTCTCCCACCCCGTCATGCCCCGAAACGTCGCCCCCGTGCCCTCAGACCAGATCACACACGTCACCTCACCAGTCATGGCAACCATCACGCCCTCGTCACAGCGCTCCTTTGCGCAGCTGATCGACCTCATCGTCCCCCAGGGCGTCCATGCCCTCCAGCAGGCCCTGACCAACTACCCGACCATGCTCACCCTCCAGAGCCACCTCCAGACAGCCATCGACCGCGAGCAGAGCCCGTTCGTGCGGTCGCAACTGAGGCAGGTCGTCAGCGCCGCGACGGTCCGCACCCAGGTGGCCCAGGCCAGGGCGCGCCTGCAGGGCATGCAGGCGCTCCAGGCCGCCGACGCGTCTGCCATCAACGGCACGGACGACGACGCCGGGGCGGGCGGCTCCAACAACAACAACAACAACAACAACGCCGCTGCCGGCTCCAACTCTGGCTCCAACTCGGCCCCTCCCACGGCTGCCGCCACGCCGAGCAACGTGGCCGGCGGGCCGCCCCCACCGCCAGCAGCAGCTGCGGGTGGTGGTGCTGCGGGCGGCCAGCACCGGCTCAACCACCACGGCGCGCCCGAGGTGGGGATGCCGACGAGGATCTACAAGCTTCAGTTTGACGCCCGGCGGATCATCTGCTGCAGCCAGACGAGCGTGATCGTGGGCTGGGACTTTTGCAACGGGGACCCGGAGCTGGAGGAGGTCGCTAGGTTCTTTGCTACCATGGACTGATTGATAGAGGAGGAGGAAGAAGAAGAAGAAGGAGCGGGATGGTGATGATGATGACGATGATGATGGCCTGGTATCACTATGTGTATGTGTGTGTGTGTGTGTGTGTTCTGTAATGTGGCAGTCGCGAAGATAGAGATTCGGGGCAGTGAGTAGGGGCGAGGATACGGCAAGCGGTACCTTTTTCTTTCTTTTTCTCCGGATTTTCCTGGACCTTTGGCGAGGGGTAAAAAAGTTGGCTTCATGGTTGCTGGCTGTGCATATGGGGCGTCCGGTTTAAGTCTGTGGATAGCTTGAGATTAAGGAAAAAGCCCCCGGTTCTTGCCTTTTTCAATAATTTGTTCTCCCGTGTCGGCGTTGGATGTTGCTCTTCTCCAGCAGCCGCGGCGGCAGTTTCTTCGGCGGTCCTGTAATGGGTGAATTTACTAGGCCGGAGGAGAGCAGAGAGAGGGAGAAGGAATGAGGCAATAAGAGAGGGAATTGGAAAGCAGGCCACGGACAGACAAGCCGGAGCGACGAAGAGATCCAAAGGATCGGGTGTGTGTAGGGGAGATAGATGACCGTCATGATCATTTTGATGCGTGTATGATTGTGTAGCACGCAATAGATATCTTGGTTGAACACTTCCTGCGTGTGTGCTTCGGGTTTACGTGTTTGTCGACCGAGACTTGGAGAGGTCAGGCAGGCAATGAATGGGTGGCCGGGGAGGCTCGTGCCGGCGGTACGAACATTATCGAGACCATCTCCCCCCTTTATTAGAGGCCGCGAGAAGGGCTGGCCGACAGGATATTTCGGCACAGACACGGAAGAAGGGCACGATAGCCCATCGTAGGGTACGGTCGAGCACAGGCTCGGGTGAAACGTCGTCGAAATGCTGCCGTGCGAGTAATAGATCGCATCATTGTGCACATCGTATAGTATGCCATTCATTGGCAATGGCGAAAAAAAGACGAGTGAGTCTGTGGCCATTCTTGCCTCCCAACTCCAATCCAGCTTGCTGCCGACATGAATGCTTGCTTCCCTTGAACGCCCCGAAATCCAATCCATGAACACAGGAATCACCGAAGTCCCCCCCCCCCCCTCAGTTTAGCATGCGTGCATGTGTATGTTCAGGCCATCATGAACAACACACCACCACCAGTGAGTGCAATCACCCAGCGGCCTCCTTGACAGCCTTCCCAGCCTCAGCCTGCGGCGGCTCGTCGATGAAATCAGGGACCTCGTCCTGCATGAACCCAGGCAGCGCCTCGGCGCCGCCGCCCAGCTCCCTCTCCATCTCGACCTCGGCGCCGAGCGCCTCGAGCTCGGCATCGAGCTCGGCCTCGTCGACGTCCTCGGGGACGTCGTACCCGCGGCTCAGGGACTCCTGGATCTCGTTGCCGACGTCGAGCAGGTCGGCCATCTCGTCGTTCATGCGCTCGATGCGGTCGATGTCGACCTTGCCGTACTGCCGGCGCAGCTCCTTCTGCGTCGTCTTCATCGCGTCGACCTGCGTCATGACGTTCTTGAGGTTGTCCTGCATCATGCCCGCCTGCTCCATGTTCCACACCTGCGACTGCAGCTGGTCGCGCTGCGCCTCGTAGGCCTTGCGCCGCTGCAGGACCTTGAGGGCCTTCTGCTTCAGGGCCGTCTTGCCGGGGCCGTCGCGCATCCGGGATAGTTTTGTCTGGTAGGTCTGCAGCTCTGCGTTGATGGAGGACAGCTTCACGTCTATGCTGCTTATCCTGTCGTCGACGTTGCTGATTGCCGAGCTCAGCGTGGGCTTGGGCCCTTTGTTGGAGGAGCCGAAGAGGCGGTTCATGGTGGGCGGTTGGGGTGGATGGTGATGGCAAGTGTGTTTTATATCGACGTGCGCCTCGTATGTTGTTCGACAAGGAATGGCTTCGAATGTCTCGTATCTGTGTGTGGTGGTGGTGGTTGTGGTGCAGGAGACGACTCGCTCGTGGTGGGGGAGATGGGCAGATGGCTGTTGACGTCCGTCCTCTGGGCAGCCGCATAGGTGCCTGGCAAAGTGACGACTGCGAGCTAGACTCGTAGGCGGGTTGGACTTGGTAAGGCCAATCAGATGGCACTAGTGGGGTGGGTTCGGCACCGAGCTCGGCCGCCAGATCTACATGACTTCATGTAAGTACTTAAGTACCTAGGTACCGTGGAATGGCTCCCTCCTCACCCTCAGTTACCAAGGGAAGTATTATCACGACGTTATTTCAGCATCAGAGAAGAACATATTCGCTCGTGATATCCCTACATATCAGGTTGATACTAAACAGATACATGACCAGACAACCTTGGTGGCAACTTTAATAAACACCCTGTCTGCCCCCCTGCGGACTGCAAAGTACTCTTGAAAAGCCATCCATACCTAGTCATCCAACTCCAATGCCGCAAAGTCGCCAGCGGTGATTTTGGCTTGCGCGGACGGGAGACGTAGGACAGTCACAACCCTCTACACTGGACGCACAATCAGCTCCGAAGGTTGGCCAAACCGGCTTCGCGGATGCTCTGTTCCAGCGTCCCGCTCAGCGAGAACGGGATCTTGTATTTGTCTCCCTCGAACGCGCAGAATGAATCATCCCCGGGCAGCTCGCCGTTCTTGAAATACTTTGCGACTTTTTCGAATCCGCAATGGTTCAAGGTCCAAATCATACCGTGCTGTTGTGAAAAATGTCAGATATTTTCTGTCCCGGGCTTTTCTTCTTAGGCGCCACTCACCCCAAAAGCATCAATAACAAGAGCTTGGGCACCCTTGTATTTCTGTGCCGAGGACAACGCGCTGTGTTTCATGGTCAGACATCATAGCAAGATTTGAGAGGAGGAGTACAGGAAAATCTCACTTCTCAACGGGAGTCACAGGATCGTATGTATTGCCGACAAAGAGGATGGGCGTCGCCGTGTCGCCAGTGAATGGGCCCGCGAATCTTTCCGCGGCCTTGATAGACCAACCGGCGCATCCCAGCAGGAACTTGGCCCAAATATCTCCAACGATGCTGTCTTCCTCGAGCACGTCTATGACAGGCCGGAAGTCATCCAGGGTCTTGTTGTACCAGATGTTGCCCTGGTCAGAACACATCACGCCCATGCTCAACTCTGCCCCGGACCGGGCCCACCCGGCCGGGGATGCATTTCCATTCGACGTTACCATCCAGGAGTTCCAGTCGCTCAGCCTCTGCGCCTGGAGCATAACCTCAAGGTAGAGCAGGTTGGTAGCCAAATCCCCGAACGATTTTATCGGGTTGAACGCCGCGAACAGGATCCCGCTCTTCAGGTTGAGCAGCGCCAGCTCGATGTCCGTGGCGTTCGCCCAGTTCTCCTCCCTGGCCTTCTCGGCGTCGAGCTGTGCGTACGACCGTGCAAACCGCGCGTGGATGTCCCTGGCCGCGGAGCCGGTGTGATAAGGACAGTCTTCCGGGCCCAGCTCGTGACAAAAGATGAAGAAGCCGGCCAGGACGCCGTCGGCGTGGGTCACGGTGTTGAGGGAGTTGTCGAGGTAGGACTGCGGGTCCACCACGCCGTCCAGGACCATGTTGCCCACTCGCCCGGGGAACATCGAGGCGAATGTCTGTCCGAGGAACGAGCCGTAGCTGACTCCGTAGTAGTTCAGGAGGTGGCTGGGCCTCGCGGCCCTCTGGCCGTCTTCAGTCGCCGCGAATGCATCGACTATGCTGAGCATGTCCCGGGCAGTGGTTGCGGTCGACATATGTGGGCCTGAGTGAGGGTCAAGCTCTCCCGCCCTTTCTGTGTGCTTGACTGTGTGAGGATCAAGCTCTCCGCCGCTATCTTTATTTCGGGCTACGTGAGGATCAAGCTCCCCACCGCTTTCTGTGTGCTGGACAGCGTGAGGGTCAAGCTCTCCGCCGGTTTCTGTATGCCGGGCTACGTGAGGGTCAAGCTCCCCGCCCGCCTCTGCCGCGCACTGCGAGCCGATGCTTATCCCCAACTGGATGAAGCTATTGTGATAATCGTCGGGCATCCTTGGCACCGATCTCGTTGTCAAGTTTGGCGTCCTTGGTCTCGATTCCGAATTTAAGTCTGGATATCGGGGTATCGTCTTAGCCGCACAGACGGACACGTTCAGTAAGCCTAGAGTCGTTGGACGAGGGAAAAAAACAGAGAAAAGATCAACATGAAGCTGGTCAGGAGTGAGATGCGTAGGGAAAACAGATCATATCGGCTTCTTTCCCATGGTGCGCCCAGTGTATAATTCAGCTATTTGGAAAGAAGTGTTATTTGAAACTTACATGGAGATGCTTCCCGCTAAGCTTTTGAACACTCTCAGTGCCTGAACCTCCAGGGCCACCAGTATTGATCAGAATCATCCCCTGGTATGGTCCATGTGTCGAATTGGCAGCGGCAGGTAACTTGACCAGAGGGACAGAAGCTCGGCCGAGCCCTGGGTTCTGATAGTTGAGGGGTACCTGAGAGACTGGATTAGCTTGACTAGAGACGCCTCGAGAAAGCATGAAAAGACTAACATCTAATCGTGAACACCAAAATCCATCCCCACAAGGACACCAAGACAGCTGCTCAGAGGAGGCAACTGTATCCAGGGTGCATTTCAAGGAAGGGTCTGCCTGGGCAAATGGGATCAAGCCCAGCAAGGCCAGAGAGCATGCGAAGAAATTCATCGTGAATTACCCCGTCTGTGACTGAAGTGCAGGTGAAGTACAAAGAATCAGAAAGACTAGGGGGGCTCGAAGACGATAAGACAACTTTTCATATATCGGTGGGTTTATAGAAACTTTCCGGTGTGTGATGTCTAGGCTTATCTTAGCCATATTGCCGGACGTAATGTCCCATGAATGAATTGTAAGAATTGAAGCTGGCCATTACCTATATCGGTAGCTTATGACACTATTCTGCTCTAGGGTCCTAGTCTCACGGCAGCGCTAGTCATATTGCTACGGTGGTGTCGGATAGACTTCTGCGGCTGACAGACACACGCTAAATCAACAGAATCCTTCCGAGTGAGCCAACCAGGAAGGAGTTCTGGGTTTGACCACGGGATGTTGTCAATCCTTCGCGGCTTCTGATAAATAAAGTGCCGAGAATCACGAGAATGACTTCGGAGCAGATTCCCTGCGGATAGAGTAAATCAAGACCCGTGCCTTGACTGTGCTCACATTTTGTCTCATTAGCGAGGAATAACGAACTTCATCCCACTGTCCACTGTCGCAAGTAAGTGCCTGGACACGGCCATCCGCTGGAGAGTGATCACCCTTTTTCGCTCAAAGCCCCGCCAGAATGGCCTTTGAAATAGCCTGGTTTTGCGAAGACCGCCGAGCACTTGAGAGGATATTCGAGATCGAGGAGAGCATGGGGATGCAGTGGGTGCCTCTGCTACGGCGCTTTCAACCTCACCGAATCCTAGCACGGTGTTGCAATTGGATAGTAGGGGAGTCAGATTGCATTATGACCAGCCAGTACAAGACGACACTACACTGAGCCTATTAGTATAGTCGGAACTTGGTACCCCGATAGACTGGTTAACCAAATCATGTCTCCCGAGGTCTCACAAATTCCTAGGGTAGATGTAAGCAGGCTGGAGGACCCCGACACGACCTTATTAGAGGTTCAAAGACATGGCGGCTTCAATGGCATAGTGGATGCCAAGAAAACAAATTGTCTAGATCTGTTTATCCACTCAAAGCGGTCGCCACCATATTGAGTCAGTACCCAGGTACCTACTTCCAGGTAGTATAGAGCAGTCGCAACCCGAACCCCAGGACTCATCACAGCTGGTGGAGAGATCCACCTCGGGCAAGGGCGAGGAAGAGACGGAGCCTCGTCTCGATGTCACGTGGCAAAATCAACAACTTTGACGTTGACGACGCTCCCTTCTGTTCACGCTCTGGTGTGTATGGATGTCGGTGGTCTTGGACCAGTAGAAGCCAATTTCCAAAGATTTGCTTTCTTTTTTTATTCCATCTGTACAACTTCAGTTCTCATCACCTCCTGACACCGAAGAACATGACTATGGATTCAACGCCGTGCCATTCTCCGAACACTCCGAGGCGCGACAGTGCGACCCTCAAAGACCTGCTGAGATCACGCCACCAGACCCGCAACGGTGTACGTGGACACCCGAGGTCGTGTCTGCCATGTCGAGAGCGCAAGGTCAAATGCGATAAGCAGCTCCCCTGTTCGGTCTGTGAGAAGCGTGGGCACCCGGATTTATGCGATTACGGAAGCTCCACACCCCAGTCTCACAGCACCCAGCGATCGACAGCACGATCTGCAGCGAGAGCGCGTGCGGCTATTCGGACACCACAGCTGCCCCATGAGGACAGAGGGACGGATGCAGATGCTCTTGACCCCAGCAATGGCCAGGCAGGGCGGGAGAACATCTTATGCACGAACCCTCCATTGGCAGTGCGCGTCAACACACAGGCGGATGCAGTGTCTTCGTCGAGCCATGAGCCTATCATTCGCGATACCAGCGATAGCCTGTTCTTGGCGGACACATCTGTGGTCAACATGGTCCGACGCCGTTCAATAAGATCGAGAGATGATCTGCGGCAGTCTGCCTTTGAAACAGGGATTCTACCTCTCCTCGGTGTTAGCAAAGACGACCATGCTTCGATGTTGCCGTATCAATCTTTGCCCAGTGACCACGAGATCGTCAAATTGTTTGAACACTTCCGTCGGAGAGTGCATCCTTTCCATGTCATCTTGTACAATTTAAATGATCTCGAAGAGAAAGTATGTCGGTTGATCAACACCACAAACGAGACACAATCTAGTAATCGTCCTGTGTCACCCGAGGACTCTCACTGGTTGTCCCTGCTTCATGCCGTCCTAGCCGCTGGCGCTCAATTCTCTGATATGGACTTGCAACAAAGGAATATTGTTGTTCAACGACACAGTGAGCTAAACCATCCTTCATAATGCATGCCAGATGTGTGCTGATTCTATCACAGCAAAACAAGCTTTCGACTTGCTTCGCTCAGTAGACCACGTCTGTCAGCCATCGAAAGAAGCCATCCAAACACTACTCCTACTTGGAAATGTGCTTCAAAATGATATGAAGCCGCAGGCGGCCTGGGTGCTCGGTGGCACCACCATCAGACTTGCCCAGTGCCTTGGTCTTCACAAAATCACAAGTAGCCAGCCGCCGGCTTCTTTTTTTGGTAAAGACGCGAAATATCTCAGGTGGGAATATTCTATGACTGTAAATACAAAACTTATACTAACCCACAGCAGGCTTTCAATAGTCTGGCAAGACTGCTTGCTGGCGTTAGCTTCTGGTCGTCCTCCAGCATCTTATGAGTTTGACATAACAGAAGATTTGACTCCCCTTGATACAGACAACGACGGGCTTTCGTATGTCCAAGCTATGGGCTGGCTGAGCCACATCACGCTGCCTTACTTAGCTCCCCGGTCGACTTCTCCAAACCAGCCACTGTTGATACTGAATGACATCAAATCCATCGAGTCTTCTGTAGCGCCATACCTGCTCGATCTGAAAGCAGCCAAGTCTATATCTCATATCCAAGAGCACTATGCCTTTGAACTCCACCGTCATTTCGTCATTTCAACACTTTTTCGGCCATATGTGTCCAGAAGAGGGTCACCAGCCTTGACTGAAGACGACCGGCTGCGTGTTCTCGGGCAATTTCGAGAGTCTCTGAAGCGCAGTGTACGGGCTTACGTGCGCCTCAGAGCGATCGCGGGACATGCAAGGCGGTCCTGGGCTTTCATCCACAACGGTCTTACTTCAATATTGCTTCTGAGTCTAATGCGAGAAACTAGAAACCTGCCAGAAACGCGAGTTCTCCAAGATCAGGTTATCGCCAGCCTTTCCGAGGGCGAAAGCGATTTAGACTCGAATCCTGGCCAGCTTTCGGGGCCGCTTCATAAAGCACTTCATGCACTAAAAACTCTCAGAGCACTGGCAGATAGGGACGCGAACGCACAAGAGTCAGTGGTCGACAATAGCACCGATCAGCAACCAATATCCGGTATGAGACCTGACTATGCCCATCCAAATGAGGCAGGTCCTATGGAGCAGGACAAGTAAGTCTTAATATGAGCCACATAAAAATTCGCAAGAGACTGACTATTTAGCTTTTGGGGTATGGGGACCTTCAACTGGGACTTTACAGTCGATTTTGACATGTCGCCAATGAGCGCATTTGACTACATCATGTCGGACCAAGCCATTGGCGTATCCGACACCTTGTTTCCAAATTTGTGAATTCCACGACGCTTATTCGCTACATCGTAACGTTTGTCCCACACTTCTATGTCTATACTCTATCATGACTAGTTCTGCTCATTCTTTTGTGGTGTAACCGAAGGACTCCCACCTTCCGAGCACCTTCTCCTGGACATCGGCAGGGAACGACTCTTTGAAATCCGCAGCCTCCCAATCCCGGCCGGTGGTGTATTCCTTGGGCATCAAGGCATCTGACACCACCTTGCCGCCCATGCCCCTTTGTCCATTACCGTGTCCCATGTACGGGATTAGAGGGAAGCCACGGACGTCCTCAAAGTGGTACTCGTCCAAGCCAGGCCGGCAGCGCGTGCAGAAAGCCCACATGACGTCCTTGAAATTGTACACGTCGATGTCTTCTCCGACGAGGACGAGACGGTGGATGGTGTAGCCCACCTTGTCGTTGAAGACAATGTCGCCAATTGCGCGGCAGAACTCCTCGGCGTTTGTGTTGATAGCGCGGAGCTTCTTCGTGTCGACTTGAAGAGCGACCCATGTCACCTGCGACTCGAAGGGTGAGAAGGCTTCCTTAATGGGCATACCCTTTGACTTGAGGAGGAACCCGATCTCGGCAGCAGCCAGGGGGCCGATCATGGTATGCTATGCTTGTGGTCAGCTACTCTATTGCGACATGAGACGGGGGACTTCTCGGCTTACCGTCTCGTCAGTCAACCGACCGCAGTTGCAGACGGGCATGATGGCATCCTTGCGGTGCGTGATAAGGTCGACCCTGTACTTTGGCTGCTGGTGCGCATCTCCTGGGAAGACATAACTAAAAAGAAGAAGTCAGCATCTTGCGGTCCAAGGGGATATGTCTCGCCAACACGTACCCGTGCATCTCTCCGAAGGGCCCCTCGGGTACCGTCTCAGTAGCTGAGCAGACACCCTCGAACACGATCTCCGAGTTGGCAGGGACATAAAGCCCGTTGGTGTCACACTTGACAACTTCCAACGGTGTCCCGACCAATGAGCCGATATATTCCGCCTCGGACAGTCCTCCAGGCAGAGGCATGCTCGCTGCCATGATGGCGGCTGGCGGAACGCCAAAGACTAACGCCCACGGCATATCCTTTCCTTCCTTCTTCCACATCTGGTGGATCTGCCAAATATGCTGCGGCTCAATTATGAGGCCGGCAAGGTGGTTCTTATCATGCACCATGGCCCGTGCGATGGACCAATTTGTCCACTTGCCGTCGGGAGATTGGACGATATGCATGCCGTACGTCTGGATGTACTTCCCTCCATCTGACTTGTGCAGCATCGGTGCAGGAAGCTTCGTGAGGTCAAACTGGTCGGGCGTCAGCCGGATCTCCTTGCATGAACCGGACTCGACGACGACGGGTGGAATAGGTGCGGCAGTCTTGGCGGCGACCATCTTGTCAAGGATCTCCTTCATACTCGACGTCGGCGGGAGGCCCAGGTGTCTCGCCAGGCGTCCAAAGCGTTGGCGAGGGTCGGCACGAAGTGAGTTAGGTGCGCCGAGGATACGCCAGAAGCCGTCTGCATCCTGGCCACTAAGCTTGTTGAAGAGAGGGGCGCGCTCATCATTCTCAACGACTTTACGGATTATGGCGCCGACTTCGAGGTTCGGGTCACATTCTTCGTTGATTTCTACGAGGTCGCCATCTGCTCTCAGTGACTCAACAAAGGAGCGGAAGTTCATGTGTGGAAGGTCTTGGGGGTTTGTGGACGACATTTTGGATGATGATATTGTTAAGCAAGAGGACCAAGGGCCAGGATGGGTTAGATCTTGATAGGTGAAAAAAAGCGATAGAGGATTGAACCAATTCCGACCAAAACGTGTTCAGCGTCTGGTATGGCCAAGAAATAGTTATCTGTCTCCTTGCCCCCTTCCATCGTACGATCGCATCGAATGCCAGCAAGAACAATCAACAGCAAGCACTCCGAATTCGCCGAGATGCACTGTCCTCAAATGCTCCGAACTCCCCGGGCCCACCAGTGGATCGATCACTCACGGAGTGTACCTAGGTAGCTTACTCCATCAAGTGAACGAAAGGAAAGCCGGAGACTTCGGACTGGGTCAGCCTATTGAAGATTCTCCTATTCTTCAGGAGAAAGGACCTTGAATTCAACTCATATACAGATGTGCGGCGTGTTCTTCCAGGTCTTGTAAGATCACCTTAGACACATTCTCACCCCCTGAGTCATGCCATCTGTGGACACTTGAGTATTCCAGATCCATAACCCACCCATTCACAACATCATACAAACCTGCCACCACCGCTCAAACTTTCTCCCAAAACCTCTATCACATATCAACACCAATATGAAAGAAAGCACACCACGGAAAAGGATCATTGTCGCCATAACAGGCGCGACAGGCGCCCAGATCGGCATTCGTCTGCTACAAACCCTACGCCGCCTTAACGTCGAGACACACATCATCATCAGCAAGTGGGCCGCCGAGACGATAAAATGGGAAACAGACTACACGCCTGCAGCGATAAAAGCCCTCGCGGATTACTCTTACAGTTCACATGACCTCGCCGCGCCCATAGCGAGCGGGTCTTACCGTGTGGATGGCATGATCGTGGCGCCATGCTCAGTCAAGACGTTGGCTGCGATCAATGCGGGGATATGTGACGATTTGGTCACGCGGGCTGCAGATGTGTGCTTGAAAGAGAGGAAGAGGCTGGTACTGTCTGTCCGGGAAACCCCGTTCAGTGAGATTCACTTGAGGAATATGATGGAGGTGACGAGGGCGGGCGCCATTATTGCACCGCCTGTGGTAGCGTTTTATACGCGGCCTTCATCTATCGATGATATTCTCGATCAGATGGTGGGGAGGTTGCTTGATTTGTTTGATTTGGATGCGAGGAATTTTGAGAGGTGGGATGGTATGCCGAAGAGTGTTGCGAGTAAGAAATGACAGAAAACTGTATCACGACCTTAAGTATACTACCACCATATTACCGCCACATATTCAATACGTTACATATTCTTCATGGAAGCTGTGGTATGTTTACCCTTGGTGTCTCCGAGGTTGTCTGAGAGCAGTTGGTGCTAAAATACACTGGGGATTGATTGTTGATTCAAAGTTTGGCGGCCAATTCCTGACACACCAGAAATTTATGGGCGAAGATGAAGCACACGATTTGGTGCAAGCTGTTCGGGGAAAATCTCTGCAGACGGACAAGAAACACTTCAATTTCTACCTAATCATATACTAGTATATACCTAAGCTACGGAACGCACATATGATCTCTATCCGTCATCAGATCAGTCAAAATCTTTAGTAGGCAGCCAAAATACCTCCGTGAGTCCCATAAACGCTGCCACAGACATAGGACGACTGGCCATCTGCCAGAGTTACATAAACGGGAGCCAATTCAGCAGGCTGCTGGACACGTCCCTGTGGCTCCAACTGAGCGACTAAGCCATCGAGATCCTTCTCATTAAAACCGGTGACAACCATCAGTGGTGTGTATGTGACACCCGGGGCGACTCCGTTGACTCTGATGCCTTTCTTGATAAGTTCGGCCGCGGCTCCGTTCACAAAGTTGCGGAGCGCGCCCTTGGAGGCAGAGTATGCAACTGTCCCAGGCTGGGGAGAAAGGCCAGCTGACGACACAGTGAATATGATGGATGATCCCGGAGGAAGTATCGGCGCAGCTGCTTGGGTGATATGCAGACCTGCGTAGACATTGACTTTGAAAACGTGGTCCCAATCATCCGGATCAGAAGTGTCGAAGTTTCCAACCTTTCCGCCGGTAACTCTGCCACGGAGTCAATACCAAAGTGGCATGGGGTCTCAGCGTGTATTCGTACTCACCCAGCATTATTCACTATGAGATCAAGCCCACCAAGCTTCTCCTTTGCTTTCTGGACGAGCTCGTAGCAAAAGAACTTGCTCCTTAGATCACCAGGGATTCTGATGAGGTAGTCCTTGACCTTGTCGTCCTTGGCCAGGAATTGTGCGAGATCCTCGGCATCTGGCTCCTCCTCAGGAAGGTAGTTAATCGCCACTTTGGCTCCCTCTCGGGCTAGAGCAATGACAACGGCTCTCCCGATTCCCGAGTCGCCTCCAGTGACTAAAGCATGGCGACCCTTAAGTCTTCCATGCCCAACATAGCTTGTCTCCCCGCAATCTGGAGGGTACCTGAAATTCGTTTGGAGGACCTGTTTGGGGTACGTGTTTGGGGGAAAGTCGAACTTGAAGTCCGCATAGCGAGTGAGTGGGTTGATAAGACTGGGGCTAGCTGAGTGGTCGGCCGATTCCATGATGAACTTTTTCTTTTGCAACGATGAAAAGTATTTGTTTCAAAAATGTAAACGATGTGTGTACTACTAGTCGGATCATTTCTTTTGCGCCGTCATGGCCGATTATATACTTGGGCTGTTCCATCGACAATTTGCAGACACGCAGGCTCATACTGTCGTCGCATCATGTGAACAACCATGTATCCAGAGTTGCTGACGTCAGAAGGAGCCCATTCTTGCGATCATCCTAGACGGTGTCTCCTGACACAGCTTCTTGCAGGTTGGTTGAAAATGCAGCACCATTCTGTGGGATCAAGTTCGTGCCAAGAACGCCTTCGAGGCTGATTGTGGGCTTGCAATGCCGTAAAAGGAACTTCGCGCGGCCGCCTTGTATGGGTCTTTTGTTTGAGTAAGCTCACGTTATCCACGTATCCAATGAGGATCACAGGGATGAAAGGTGCGAATACACACAGCTGAGGCTATTAGTGCCGTGCTAACATATTCCACCGTGGCCATTATCCCTTTTCGGCTTAATCGGAGGGATCAGGCTAGCCGCGCGGAATCTTCGTCGTTGCCGAGTGATGCCGTTTGCCTCGTACTTATCGGCCCGTAGTATGACAGTAACATACTTCATGGCTATCGCCGGCTTGTGCTCACTAATTATAGTCGGGCCATCTGAGAAATTGCACCTCTAGTCAGCCTCCTTCGTTCCTACTTTTGGAGCCCACGGAGCACGATTATAGTAACAAACCACTTTTTTAAAAGATAATAAATAATTTGAAACATATGGTAGGCGGTGGAACATCTCTTTCTAACATCGAGTAATTTAGAATTCTTCAATACGAGGTCCCCTAGCTTTAACTGCATTATGATCGGCTTTGGTGACATCTGGGAACCGGTCACTGGGAACTCTTGTTGTTAACTTGCGGAAGTCAATTCTGAGTTGGAGCGCAGTCTATGTCCTGAAGAATCAGATAGGAATACATGAAGTCAGAGTTCGGTTCTTCAGAATACTATTCGGGGGAAAGACTCGATTGGTTGCTGTCTGTTTGTCCACACACGTCCCGTACCAGATGATGCTATTGCTGCTGGATAACATGGTTACCTGAAGTATGTAAGCTAAGAGATGCATACCTACCGGGGGGAGGGGGGTAAATTAACTTTATAATATTATTATTTTAAACTAATACTAATATTCCCTTAAAATATAAATATACTATTAATATAACTATATAATATTTAAATATTATAATGTTTTTTAGTTTAATATGATTTTATAATTAATAGTATATAATATACTATTAAAAGTTTAATATATAAGTAAAAAAGAGTCTAATTTTTATTAAAATTAAGTTCTTTCTTTCTTTTTTTAACTTATTCTTAACTTAACTACTTTTTAATTATTATTTACCTTGACTATATATAACTTCTTAAAGGTTATAGAAATATAGAAATATAAATTTTAATTTATTAAGTTAAGTTATAAAATTTAATATTAGTAGATTTAATATTTTTAATATATATTAATATAATTTTAAAATCTAATATATAATTAACCCTTTAATAGATTTTATTTATAATAGTACTTTATTAACCTTTTATTAGTATTTAGATATACTATCTAGACTTTATTTAAATATTATTTTTTAATATAATTATACACCTATGTCAGAGACCCCCCCTCCCCCTGGTAGGTACTTAGTAAAAAAAGTCCTTCCGGAAGCCGCATGTCGTGCTCTCCGTCTCATATAATGGATGTAGGACTTCATTGTATTTTTAGTTTATGGCCAGAGACTTCGTTATCCGTACTTCTTCCCAGATGTTGCTGATACTGAACCTACCTTCATAGTGTCAAGTGCATGTCGCCGGCTCGGTTCCACGCAGGGTTGCAAGCAAGGAAGATCAACCTGCTTACCTTTTTGTTCTGCCAGACTTACTGACAACTTTAGACCAAGAACTACTCAAGTCCTTCAGTGCTTCGTAGAATAGAGCTCAAGATTACCTATGTTGCCTAAAAGCTTTGATCATGTACCGCGACGTGGCCACAGCAACATCCCTACCGTGTAGGGTTTATAGGGAAACTTCCTATAAGATAGCTCTCTAGCCTCTTCTAGGATACACTCCTAGCAGAATAGCCCCCTAGAGTACAACGTCCTAAGGGACAATGCCTTCGTAGATGGCTGGAAAAGTGTGTCACATATTGGTGATAGGGCGTATATGATGCGCTCATAAGTTGGCGGGCTGCAAGCAGAGACCAATCACACCGAAGTCAATTGCCGAAGCTGCCTAGCCCTGTTACATGCCAATGGAATTAGCTACCCTAGGGTACCCAATCAAAGTAGTCTAATTTTTCGTGGTGTAGTGGAGCTGACTTGTCCTGCAGGCAGGCTACTTGCCTCTTTTGCTGACACTCTTGGCCGACCTGCGAGTCTCCTACCTTGTGAATTCATCCATCAAACAGCCTGTAGACCCTATTCATCAATGGAACATGGCTTCAGAAACATATGTCTATCCCCCATTGCCCAGTCTTCGACATATTCGAGTCCTCAAACTCTACTCTGCACCCAGTTCTGACGACCCCGAGCTCTCTGTCGAGTTGCTCTCAGTCCCTCTCGACGATGCCCCACCTTTCGAAGCCCTATCTTACGCATGGGGAAGTCCTTCCCCACGGACCGAAATCCGTTGCTCCGGCATGAGAATTGAAATAGGACCCAGCTTGTACAGCGCTCTCTGCCACATGAGGCCAAAATCCCCGGGACAAATGCGGTTGATGTGGGTCGACGCATTGTGTATAAACCAGGAGGATATTCCAGAACGAAATGCGCAGGTTCGCATCATGCACGACATATACAGCAAGGCATCAGGTACAATGATCTGGTTGGGCGAGGGAAACGAAACCACGGCCCGAGCTTTTGACTCGCTTCGACGTCTCCACGACATCTTGAAATCCGACTACCAAAAATATCGCGACGGGGCGGAGACACGCAGAGATTGTTTTGAACGATACCGTGCCAATGACAACATTGTAGTCCGGAATCTTCTACAGGCTTCAATAGGGGGACTTTCAGCTCAGATTGAGGCATTTTCGGACATATGGTTGATTTTACGCCGTCCCTGGTTTAGTCGAAAATGGGTGTGTCAGGAGGTTGCCAGCTCAGTTGAGGCTGGTCTAATCCTTTGGGCAAGCTCCAGCACGGTGCCCGAGGTGGCTTTGAAATGCTTCTTGTTCTTATTAAATCGGAACCCTTGGGCCAGGGAACGATTTCTTGAAGCGCACCCAAACAAACTCGAGGCTGGCACCACCGGAACCGAGCACCCATACTTGTGCTACCAGCGATCAATGGCGCTGTCGGGGCCGGTACTTCAAAACGAAGCGCTGGTTCCTTTGCTTGGAAAGACATCCATGTTCCAATGCACCGACCACAGAGACCAAATATTTGCTTTGCTTAGCATTGCGACCGACTCTACAAAGTTCGACCACCTCATCGACTACAATACCACTATCGAGACACTCTGCGATAGATTCTCTCGCGCTTGTTTGGAAAGTTCTCGCGATCTCTCAGTAATGTGGTCATTACTTTCCATTGCGTCACCCGAGCGACCACTGTTAAAGTCCTGGGTACTAGATATAGAGGCTCTGACCTGTCAACATCGTCTGTCGATGGATGTGATCAACCTCATTCTAGGCTTTACTCGGTTGCTGAGAAGTCTGGGAGCACAAACTTGAAGATACAAACAGTAACTGAGGGTGACAGACTATGGGTCAGGGGTCGCGTTATTGACTCTATTGAGCAGCTGGCGACCAAAGTGAGCGGATTGACCGAGGCAAATGCGATGCACTGGAACATACACTCTGCAGACGACTTTGAGAGGGCAATGAGTTCATTGGACCGTTCGATTGATGACTGCTTGGCGGTGGCCCACAACGACGATGCTGCATTTCTCAGCGCCATCTTGTGTGAGAATCTGGTAAGGACAACTACCTGGGAAAACGATATGGACGCGGCCGTAAGCGGATTTACCACGTATCGGCGCTGTATCAAAGCGTTTGTAGCAGCTCAGGGCAAAGATGCCAAGATTGAAGCTCTGCAAAGCTTCAGAGGCGTGCAGTGGGCCAAAACCGCGTTGAGTATTCGTTACGCCTTGGAATTCAGGCGTTTTGGTCGTTCAGTTGACGGAGTACTTGGGTGGATGCCACGGTCGGCGCAACCAGGCGACTGCATCTGTCTCTTTGATGGAATGGCGCTGCCGTATGCCGTGCGCCGAGCAACGGGGCCGGGCGGAGGCTATCTTCTCTTAGGGGAGTGCCTCATTTCAAGCCTCGTGTCCTCGGACATTAGGGATGTGTCTGGCGTCGAGTCGACAATGATTTTGCTTGAATGATCGGGGATTTAGGGGCTCCCACGCAGTGTGCAAGCGGATAATTCTCCGTAGGCAACGGACTGATGTGAACTAGTAGGCCTGACATCTGACGAGGGCTCTGAAGAAAGTGTAACTCAGAGCGAAGGAATGTGTCTCGTTTGATGTTGGGACTAAAATACTAGTCTGATATCCAATTCATGCACACTTCAATAAGTGAATGAAATCTCCATTGGCGCGCGGACGCTTGTATTGCAAGAATAGCAGGGCATCGGGGTGTCCGCTGTGCGCTGTGCGTAAACCCCTAGATGACAAAATCCCATGCACTTCAAGTTGAGATTCCTTCAGAATCATCTCGAATAGAATAACGTCTGATAGAATAACCATTTACAGAATAACCTCTCATAGGACAAGCTCCTGTAGGACAACCTCCTCAAATCATATACTTGGGCAACCTTTTACCAGAAGCACATCATAGATAAGCAGGCCGCGGGGACTTTGTTATCCCATGTGATGACACCAAACAGCTTCTCGGCACCTGGGTGACGTGCCGGTTTATGGCCATAATAGCCCATGTGAAACTCCACAAAGATATGCTAAGCTGCTGATCTCGGACCGCAACGCCGCTTACAAAATTACAGTAATGCACAGAAAATACTGAGAGCAACAGGGCTACTCGTAGGCGTAGGACTCCCATCGAAGCAGTTTCCACGCGAACGTGATCCTAGGTAGCACAAGGCTGCAATGGCGTGGTAGGCGTGCGAGCCAAATCAGGCAGCGTTCCACAGTCGTGCGCTTCATCATTCCGGAAATTCTGTAGACACGAATTCCATTACGAAATATTGACAGACTGGTGCATGTTATCGGCCAAGAGAACAGACATGTACAGATCTATGTTCATCGTGTGCCCAAGGCGATCATCTGCCACATCTCGGTACAATCCATGGATACTTGTATTACAGAATCGATCATTAACAGCCGAAAAGGTTCATCGGACCGCTCCGCCACCTGCGTCGAACTGATGGGGAATGAAAACTGGGCCGCCCAACAGCATCCCTGGCTGTTGTTGTGTTGGACAAAGAACGACCATGGGGATAGCTGCAGTGCTGACAGCAGGTGGATATCACTTCGTACGAGCTGTCTCCGACGCGTGACACATACCTAGGTAGTTTCCTTCTCGCGCTGGTTAAACAGACTTGCCTCCTGCAATTATCCCTTTCGTGAATAACGCCTTCCCTTTAGCATCTCAGGAACCGTACCTCACATGCGCAGGTCACGGCCGTGCGTGTATTTCAATCCAGCGTTTACACGAAACAGGGCCAATTGCCGTTTGGGGTCTCGGAGCTTGTCTGAGTGTCAAATAGGAAAAGGATCTGCTCATTGCCCACTCTCAAGCGCCTGCCAAGCCAGTGCTCCGCTCTCCGTGCGCGCATGCGGACAGCCGTAGCGCCAACCAAGCCTTGGACAAGCCGGCCGAGGCGGCCTATCCTTGCACTTTGATATTGCGCCGCCCCTGAGATATCTCCAAGCCCCGGGTCGGGAGATCGGTCTATTTTCTCCGGGAACCCACCGCGCTGCGTGACGTCGTCAGGTAAGCAAGCAAAGACGTGCCACCGGGCCCGCAGGCCGAATAACCTCAAGCCTAAGCAGGGCTTGTGGTTTTGCAGAGAGACACAGGCTTCGAGGAACGCAGAAGCGGAGAGACGCTTCCGAAAGTACATCATGCCATCGCCCACATGTCCGCTTAACCTTGTCGATCGGCTCCCCACTGTCAACTGCGAGGCCCTGCGACTACGGGTGTTGTGGAATGCCCAGGCGGTTCAAAGGACCGGTTCCTAACTCAAAATTTCCCAAAAAGAAGTCGGAAGTAATGAGCAGGCCAGCCATCACTCTGCAGGGCGGTTGACGCAATGTCCTCAAAGTAATAAAAAGGCCCATGATGCCTTCCTTTCTGCCCTCGACCATTGGATTATCCAAGCATCGCACTCAGGCCAGCAAGCGTTCCACAGCCAGTCTTCCAACACCACAGTCACTCTCTTCGACAGCCGACCTCCATCATGAAGTACGCCTTTTCTTCGGCTCTGGGCCTGGCGGCCGCTGTCAGCGCGGCACCGTCGAGGACTTTGAACGCCAAGCCCAGGCAGGCTGGCGCATGCGCCTCAGCCGTGACACTCGACGCCAGCGCCAATGTCTTCCAGACCCACACTTTGCACGCCAACAACTTCTACCGTGCTGAGATTGAGGCTGCGGCGGCGGGCATGACCAGCCCCTTGAAGGAGCAAGCCTTGAAGGTCGCAGACGTTGGATCCTTTGTTTGGGTGTGAGTCTTGGCCCTCTCCAACGATGGACAGCGAGCCGTGGCACCAGACTGACACAGCGCGATAAAGTGACACTATCGCCAACATCGACCGACTCGAGCCCGCTATTGCTGATGTTCCTTGTGACGATGTCCTGGGTGTCGTGGTCTACGATCTCCCAGGCCGAGACTGTGCCGCGAAGGCGTCGAACGGAGAACTCGCAGTGGGCGAGCTCGCCCGGTACAAGTCCGAGTTCATTGACCGTGCGTTGAATCCCCACCCATCCAGTTGCTTCTGCAATCTATCAGAAGACGTGGTGTATCTAACAGTTACTCTCAGCAATCGCCGCGATCATCAAGGCGCACCCCAACACAGCCTTCGCCCTGGTCATCGAGCCCGACTCGCTCCCCAACCTGGTCACCAACATCGACCTCCAGACTTGCCAGAACAGCGCTGCTGGCTACCGGGACGGTGTTGCCTACGCGTTGAAGACCCTCAACCTGCCCAACGTTGTCCAGTACCTCGATGCTGGCCACGGTGGCTGGCTGGGCTGGAACGATAACCTCAAGCCTGGCGCTGAGGAGCTTGCCAACGCTTACAAGGCTGCTGGCTCGCCGTCGCAGTTCCGCGGTATTGCCACGAACGTCGCAGGATGGAACTCCTGGTATGTAAAGGACTCTTACCACTGGTATTCGGAAGGTGATTGAGAGGAAATACTAACCCAAAATTTACCAGGGATGCCACGCCTGGCGAGTTCGCCAACGACCCTGATGGGCAGTACAACGCTGCTCAGAACGAGAAGAAGTACGTCGAGCTGTTTGGCGCGGCTCTGGCCACTGCCGGCATGCCGAACCACGCTATCATCGACACTGGTGAGTTTCATTCGTCCCCGTGTTCGGCGCGCTCTCAGCGACTTCAGGCTACCGGAATTAACATATCTACCCAGGACGTAACGGTGTCCAAGGCCTTCGTCAGGAGTGGGGCCACTGGTGCAACGTCAACGGCGCCGGCTTCGGTCTCCGCCCATCCGCCGAGACTGGCTCTGAGCTGGCCGATGCCTTCGTGTGGGTCAAGCCCGGTGGCGAGAGTGACGGAACCAGCGACACTTCGGCCGTCCGTTACGATTCCTTCTGCGGAATGCCCGATGCTTTCAAGCCAAGTCCGGAGGCTGGAACATGGCACCAGGCTTTCTTCGAGATGTTGCTGAAGAACGCGAAGCCTTCCTTCGCATAAGCTTGTAAAAGGCCTATCGTGTTCATGTGCCTGGAAGGCACCTTATTGGGCCACGGTAAAATTGTTTCATTCTTTTCATTCAGTATATATTTTTCATCTTCGCGAAGTTGCACGGCAGCATCGGGCAGCAGAACCCATAAACTTGACTCCTCTGAAAGCATGTAAATGGAGGATAGAAACTGTCGAAACCCATGTCAATACACAGAGGGATAAACAACCAAGTTGAACCCAATTATACGGCAAATAACTGAGCGTGTTATGCCGGTTATGTAAACCCTATCTGCTTCTACCCCCATGGCCGCCTCGGGATGGTAGATGCTTAGCACAATTCAACAGCAAAACCTGCATTAGGGTATCTTACTGAGGTGTCCAGGACTACCTCTTGTGAGACCACCTACTAGAGACCAACCTTCCATTAGAAAATCTCTTGTAAAACGACATACCAAGGCCAGGCTAACCACGGGAGCACTGTGTTAATATCATGCAATTTTCAAAGATGTGGCGGTGTTGGTACTTAGGTAACGGTATGTCCACGTGTGACTCGAAAACTAAGCATGTCAGTTGCTCGTCAATGGCTTGCATGCTGCGGCGGCGATAATATTTCGCGCAATGGCTCCTCGAAGCCGCTTATTAGGAAGTTCCAGCGAGAGGCTCTTATTCTGCTAACTAGGTAGATACTTCGGTGCTCTGGCCAGGAGCTCGTGTACACAATGCAACAATAGAGGGGGAAAATGGTTAGCCGTCTCCTTTAAGCAGGTGGATATCAGGGTTACAGCGCGGGGCATGTTGTGATCACTATTTCCGCGCTGTGAGTGGCTCACCGGCTGGGCCGGCCACAGTCTAAAGAATAAGCATATCTCGTATGCGGCTATCAGCCTGAGATTCAGGGGTCCCAGGCACACCCAGGTCGCCAAGCTCGCAGTGGCAGTGCCACACCCAACGTTGCAGCGATTCAGAACTCGTTCCCGGACCGTCAGCTGGGTTCCGATACAGAAGCTTTTTGGCTAGTGATGGAAGGTTTGGTCTGATAATAGATGGCTGTCATGGGGCTTTTGAGAGAAAGGCTTGTCGTGTTCATCAGAGACGCTACTTAGCTAGCCTGACAGATGCAACTCACAGAGGTTTGAAGCGGGTTGGAGTACACTAGATACTTCGGTACTCGGCCGGGACCACCCTTTTAGGTGGATACGACCACAAGAATAGCACCCCCGTGCAGGAAATACGAGGGATGTGGTCGATTTTCGGCCCCAACGTACTGCAAAGCTTTCTGCCTTCCCCTTTAGAGTGCCGAATCTTCAAGGGTTGGAGGGATTGCCTCGCCGGCCTATGCGCGCTGTGCCGGTTGAGAAGATAATAAATGGCGACTTGCTGCCAGTGCAGGATGGGATGAACGAGTCTCTTGGACAAGTATCTCTCTCTTGCAGTCATTTGTTAATAAGTTTATCGGCCGGAAACTGCCGTACCCGTACAATATGAGGCACATCCTCCCCACACTCGCTTTGGCGTCTCTGGCGGCGTCCGAGTACGTATGGCCGTCACCTTACGATGAGATCGAGGACCTCCTCTCATTGCAAGCCGGCTATCTGCGCCGGGGCTTCATTGACGGTAAGTAACTTGTCATGACTTTTCACTCCAAGGCTAACAAGTTTAAGGCACGATGAACTGTGGTTTCGGCAACAGTATTCAAGGCCGTCAGAACTCGGCCGAGTGGATCCGGGCCGCTTTCCACGACATGGCAACGCATGATGCCGACGCTGGTACCGGTGGCCTCGACGCCTCAATCTTCTTCGAGCTGGACCGGCCCGAAAATATTGGTGGCGCATTCAACAACACGTTCGCCTTCTTTGCCGGGTTCCACTCTGCCAGAGCATCTGCCTCCGACCTGTTGGCTATGAGTGCCATCATAGCCAGCTTCTCATGCGGCGGAGCGAAGATCCCGTTCCGCGCGGGACGTATCGATGCCCAGGAGGCCGGGCCCGCCGGCGTCCCTGAACCCAGTACGGACCTCAACACGACACAACAAGCTTTCACAAAGGCCGGCTTCTCCACCGAAGACATGATTACGATGGTCGCATGTGGTCACAGCCTTGGTGGCGTGCACAGCACTGACTTCCCTGAGATCGTGGGTGTGGAGGCGGATCCCAACAACGACACCGTTGCGCACTTTGATGTCGAGTTTGCGGACTTTGACAATGGCATTGTGACCGAGTACCTCGACGGCTCAACCGACAACCCGCTGGTGGCCGGCACGAATGATACCCTGAACTCGGACAAGCGTATTTTCGGCGCCGATGGCAACGCGACTATGACTAAGATGGCGGATCCAGCGACCTTCAAGACAATGTGTGCGGACATCTTCACGCGCATGCTCGACACGGTGCCTGCCAGCGTGAAACTGACCGAGCCACTCGAGGCCACTGACATCAAGCCCTACGTTGAAGGCCTGTCGCTCAACGCGGATGGCAAGCTGGACTTCAACGGTCGCATCCGCATCCGCACAACCTCCGGATCGGGTCGCGACCCTCAAGACCTGGCCGTGCAGCTCACTTATGCGGACCGCAAGGGCAACACCAACGGCACAGCCGTCATCCCCACCAAGATGGCCACCTTCCAGGGCGGTGCCACCACGGGTCTGTGGGGCGAAACCTTCAAGTGGTTCGAGTTCACCACGACCCTCGACGCCGATGCCGGTATCAGCAAGTTCTTCATCGAGGTGACGAAGCCCTCGACCAACAAGACGGTCACCTACGACAACGCGGGCACCGGAGGCTACCCCATGAGCGACGCGCTGCTGTACCAGCAGGGGCAGTCCTGCCTCGACGTCAGCACCCAGACCGACGGCAAGTTCCCGCTCTCGGTCGTCGCCCTCGTCCGCAAGGACCAGGCGGCGGCGGCTTCTGCTGCTGACGGCCTGACGCTCGACCTCGTGCACAAGGTCGCCCGCCAGGGCGTCATCGTGCCGCAGCTGGTGTCCAAGACGCTTGGCTTCGAGCCCACGGGCGAGGAGAGGGGCCAGTGGTCGGTCTACAAGGTGAGTGCGCAGCTTGAGGCGGAGAGCTGGAACACGAGCTTTGACATCAAGCTGGCTGGGGACGAGGGTACCGAGGTCGCGTTCCAGAAGACGGGCGACTTGACTGGTAACACTTGCACGTAGTAGCCATTTCCTTTAGAATTGAAATTTAAAGCAAAATACCCTTCCTCAATTCTCATTTTTAGTTATTTTCACCTCGTACTAGGCTCAGGAAGTAAGTAAGTACATCTCTAAGGAGAATCACCCAAAGGCCCTACGTTTAGGGGGGTACAACTATAAGAGTAGCACACGGGCTGTCCGTTTCCTGACTTGTTGTGCTTCGGCGGCGTCACAAATGTGACATCCTTATTTACTGTATCTGGGTGTGATGCATATGCACATGGGCGTGCTGCTGAGCTGTCTGCATGTTCTGGGCGTACTGAGCCGTCCTCTGCCGCGCCTCTGAGGCTTGAGCTGATGGAGAAACGCCCCCATGGCGATTTTTCTGGAGTTCCTTCACAGAAAACCCTTGCAATGCTTGCGATTGAGTGAATTGCGTAGAGCCCTGTAAAGAATTAGATGGGCCTGTAAAGTTGTCGAAGATCTCACACGATGAGGACTCGCACCTTGTACATTATCCGGTGTGGAAAGTACCCCGAGACACGGCCTCCATCTTGGCTTCCATGGGCGTCCGCTTGTGAGAACAGATCGTTATTATCGGACTCGAACATTTCATTGCATTCGATGCGCCGCCAAAACTTGTCCTCGTCCTGGACCACCTTGATGCGCACATTTCGTAGCTTCTGGTCGGGCCCCCGGACCCAGCAGTTCAAATTCATCAGATGATTCGGCTTGCTACTAGTGTTACGAACTGTTAGATTTATAAGAAGTCCTATCATTCCGGCGATGCCGCAAGTGAGCAAATGGGCGGCGAGAAAGGCTACCAGCCGGCGAAGTTTTCTCCCAGCCCACGGTATGTGGAAATCGACGCCCATAGCTTGGTCTATCACCATGCCGCCCTGCATCTGAGTTTCTGTACGCTGAGACTTGGCGAGGCGCGGCTCAAACAGGACTTGACCTGATTCACGGAAGCAGCTGGGCGCCGGGGCAAGGAGGCCGCTGGTCTCTATCAGATCCGCCTTCCAAGCGAACATCGACTCGTCGAATATGGCTCCTGGTGGCGTCTCGATAAATATCTGCAGTTGCAGGCGGAGAAACTCGTCCCCACCTCGGCCATAACGTGGGTCGAGGAAGACACCGAAGAGACCGAGCATGCAGTACGCGCGATCCTCGATCTTGGTCGTGACTCGGTCCGATAGCCAGCTCATCTTCTGCGCGATGCTGGCTGTGCGGAAATCCCCCAGCAGATGCTCCCTCGCAATGCGCGTCGCCTGTACAATCTCGTCCACCAAACTCTGTTTCGAGCCGATATATTGCCAGTCCCGATCGTAGAACTCGATGTCCTTGGGTGCAAGAAGCTCTTGCAGCGTCCAACCCCTCGTGAACCACTTGCTGCCAACGAATTGCTCGTGGCTTCCATCCGGATCGTCTGCCTCGTTCCACGTCACGTCGAACAGGTAGACGTAGCACACAGCGGCAGCGTGATACCAGTTGAACATAGAGTTGAGAGCCGACGAAAGTTCCGTGATGTCATTTTTGTAGATGCAAACGGTGTCGATCCATATATGGCGAACTCCAGTGGTACCCTGCCGCACCTTCTCGCACGCTCCGGCAATCTTGTAGATAGATGCCTCAATGCCATCACCGACATCCTCAACAGCCCCAGTAGTCTTTGGGACTGGGTTTGCCTTGGCCACATTCCGAAGCTGATCCTTAGGGATCGTATCGAAGTCACCAAAAACTACCTCGCGGCCTACCCAGCGATGTGATAGGATCGCATAGGGAGGGATCTGATACGACTCCTCCGAAGAGGTCATACCCCAAAGCTCGCGCTGCACCTTGGCCTCGTCGGTCAGGCCGGCGGCTGCATCGTCGAAGCCAGACTGTATCTGAAGACTAGACACATCCAGCAAGCGCATTCTTTTGACGACGGAAGCTCCTTCTGGTGTTCGATGTAAATGGTGTGTCTCGCCAAGGGATTCAAGACGCCTGATTCTCAAGTTGGCAGCTTTCAACATGCTTCCGGTTGAACGCCGAGCCACATTTCCTCTTCCTCTGCAGTGCTGACGTGGTTAAATGTAACTCCGGGCCCACTTTCCCCTTTCCCTATGTTACAGCACATATATAATCACTACTACGGAGTACTTGTAAGATACACCCTAATGCGAAGAGAGTCCCATCTAGTAGGCTGTCTTATAGGAGCACTTGAGGCCATATTATAAACACTGCTTACAGGCAGATTACCTGGTCCTATGTGTTGTTCAATACTGCAAGCAGACTTTTAAATTACACACGCTCATGACCTCAAGATCTTTACAGTCTGGCCCTCGCAGGCGGCTCAAACCTCCTCCCGGTCTCATCGAACTCGATCTTCTTTCCTGTGATCAAACTCTCTTGCAGCGCACATCCGATTTTGACGGCATTCACCGCACCCTCCAGCTTCATCGGTGGTGTAGTGTTATTCAGGCAGCACTCCGTGAACTCGTTTGCCTCGGTGATAAATGCCTCCCGGAAGCGACCGTAGTAGTCAACGGGGATCTCACGGCGGATGCCTTTAGGCTCAAACAGGTTGACCAGGTTGAGCTGAGGTTGTGTGTTGACTGCGATCTTGCCAGCTGTGCCGAAGATCTCGGTCGTGTCCTCTTGACCGGCAGCCATCATGCGGGAGCAAAACAACTGCGCAATTTTGCCGCCCTAGAATAACAGGTTAGATCATAAAAGGGTATATACATAGGATGAGGGAACTAACGTAGAATTCAACAACAGCGACTGCATTGTCACGGTCATTGTGCTTCCTCAAATCGGGTTGTACAGCTGTGATGCCCACGGCAGACACGCTCTTGACCTTGGTGTCCTCGCCGAAGAACCACAGCGCGAGGTCAATGTCGTGAGTGGAGCAGTCGACAAAGATTCCACCGCTGAACTCAGTATAGGCGACGAAGAAGCCGGATGGGTCGAGCTTGTCAGCAGTCTGCGACTGGAACACGGACGGTGTGCCGATGGCACCTGACGTGAGGCGCTTGTGTGCGTCCCGGTAGGAGGCGTCGAACCTGCGTGAGAAGCCGCAGATGATCTTCTGTGCTGGTTTCTTCTTCAGGGCCTTGTTGTACGCGTCGACGACGGACTGGGAGATCTCGACGCTTGTGCTGATGGCCTTCTCGCACAATACGTGCAAGGCCCTCTCAATGGCCTTGATTGCCTGATCTGCGTGCACTGTTGGTGCACCCCACGTTTATGCCGCAAATACTTGCTAATGCAGCGAGCGTCTATAGCATATCCGAGTCGAGAATGCAACACAGGCCGCAGCGCCAAGATTCCATTTGTATGTCCCGTCTTAGACCTAATTCCCAGTTTGATAGCTAACCACCGTATTATTTGGAGTCAACGTTCCATCTGCTCGGTGATCTGAAGCGGTCGGTGCGGGGATGCAGAGGCCAGGATGACGATGAACATTAAGGTCGATGTCATTGATCAACCGTCCCCGCGTTCCTGGGTCTTTTTTCCCGAAATACATTCTTTTTGTTGGTGGCTCGATCTCAAAAACACTGCGTTCGATCGATTCCGATCAGACGAAATGAAAACTTCGATCTCACTGATGCTGTTGCAGATCCTGCTCTTGGCGGGAGTGGCCTCACCGCGAGCCGTCAACGTATCAGTCGATGTTTCCCAGACGCTCGGTCCATGGGGATCGATCAGCCACAGCAGTTTTTCGGCTGCGATGAGCCAAATTTCGCCTATTATCCTCAGGGCTCAGCGCTCATCAAAGAGCTTGGGGCCCTGGGCCAGCGCCAAACCTATTTCCGAACACACAACTTGTTGACAAGCGGTGATAGCTCCAAGGATCTTGTCGGTGTGCCTGGGCTCAAATGGGGAAGCACGAACGCGTACACCGAAGACGTTGACGGCAATCCTATCTACAACTTTACCATTGTTGACAAGATATTCGATTCTTACCTTGCTGGTAACGTCAGGCCATATGTGCAAATTGGGTTCATGCCACGCGCACTTGCACGTAATCCCGAGCCGTACTTTTTTGACTTCGACCCAGCTGCTGGGCCGGGCACCATTTACACCGGCTGGAGTCATGTACCTACAGACTACTCAGCGTGGGAGGAGTTGGTGTACCGATGGGCAAAGCACTCGGTGGAAAGGTATGGTCCCGAGGAGGTCAACTCGTGGTACTGGGAGACCTGGAACGAACCAAACATTGCCTGTCGGTCCCATTTGGATGCGCTGCCCTTTCGAGCTGCCTCGACACTAACGGCTTTTGCAGATTGGAACGGCACACAAGAACAATTCTTCGAGCTCCACGACCGCGCCATCGCAGCTGTCCTCCGCGCCATACCAACCGCCCGAGTCGGGGGTTGCGAAGTCGCAGGCGGAGCGGCGGGTTCTTACCTGGGCGACTTCCTCTCCCACTGCGCCAGCGGAACGAACTATGCCACTGGCGAGACAGGCACGCCGCTTGACTTCATCTCGTTCCATGCCAAGGGCGCGCCGCTCTGGATCAACTCCACCGACAGCCCCGGTGGCGGGTATATGCAGATGAACATATCGACGCAGCTGAGGCAGATCGACGAGGCTTTTGGGGTGGTCTCGTCTTTCCCTCAATACATCTCCACACCGATCGTCATGGGCGAATTCGACCCGGACGGCTGTGCGGCTTGCACGTCGGCGGCGTACGGGTATCGCAATGGGCTCTTGTATCCTGCTTACACAGCTGCCTCCTTCATGCGAGCCATAAGCCTCGCGATGGAAAGGGGCGTCAACTTGGTAGGGGCTTTGACCTGGGCTTTCGAATATGAACAGACGGCACTTCTGCCTAACCAGACGGGTTTCTTCGATGGCTTCAGGGTCTTGAGTACGCAGGGCATCGACAAGCCGGTCCTGAACGTCCACCGGATGTGGGGCATGATGAGTGGCGACGTGGTCGCGACGAAGAGCTCTGGCCAGGTGCCGATGGATGTGGTGCTCGCTGAGGGAATCAGAGGTCGCGATACAGATGTGGGAGTCGTCGCGAGCTTCAACAGCCGCAGCGAGACCTTATACGTCTTCGTTTGGAATTACCACGATCAAGACCTCGAGTTCCCGGACGCCGACATCACCTTCGAAGTCCAAAGTCTACCAGCCACGATTTTGGACAACCCCGACGGTGTTTCTTACACTCAATATCGGATCGACAACGATCACAGCAACTCATACTCCCGGTGGCAAGCCATTGGCTCACCACAAGCGCCGTCGGAAGAGCAGTACCAGGAACTAGTAAGTGCCGGGAAGCTGGAAACCACAGCACTAGGAACTGAGCCGGTGATGTCGATTGACGGGAAATTGGTTTTCAATATATCCTTGCCTGTCAGAGCTACTTCACTCTTGGTACTGCATAACGACAAGAGCGGCGATCTTGTATAGGTTTCGCCATCGTCTAAGCGTTTAGTGTCGTGGATATTTGCCTATTTATTCTACCTCCATGAACATTCAGTCTAAAGCCTCGTTTATATTACCTTCATGCTTTCGGCGATATGCCGATCCTATGCTGCAGGGGTTGGGTAGATCATATGTGACGAGAAACGGACTTTAAATTCTGCATCGTCAATGGCATAACGTTGTGCATGTGATAGGTTTCGGTAAAGATGGAAAGCATGGGTGTCTCACAAGCCCATAGCCAAGGACGTATGAGAGTAGAATGACGTTAACCCTACAGGTGAATACTCAGATCAAGCGGCACGCGTATAGTATGGATACGCATGCCTACTTACCAAGGTACTGAGGTACTTAAGTAGGTATTCGACTGCCTAAGCATGACGACCAGGTGGTAATTGACGACTCTTCCACATCTAATCCTTTCAGAAAGCCGCCGGTAGGCATAGACAGAAGGCAGCATGCTGAGACATCAATCGTGTGTTTCCTGCTGCGGTGCTTGGGTTTTGACGGGGAAGTTGCCTTCTCAATGTTGCCCAGGTGTTCCATCTGAAAAAGGGCGTGTGGACCCGGAATCCGGGCCCCCGTCTGATCTCCATCCAAGATCAGATTTGTTTATGCCCAATAGCACCTCAGATAACGCCCAAGGAACCTTGGAAGCATTGATTCCAAGACCCGTCAACCTGCATCTATTCAACGCACCAGCAACAACGATCGGGAGGGAAGCTGCCATGACTGGCTCCACATCAGTTTGCCCAACATGAAGTCGGTCTTCGTGTCGCTCGCGTCATTCTTTTTGACGGCGACGTTCTCTGGCTCAGCTTCGTGCTTTCATGTCAGCGCCGCCGAGATTCACACCCCCATCACAGCCAACATAGTTGACGACCTCGCAGTTCGAGCCGCGGAACAAGTTGCAGACATCAACAACCTGCCCACTGTGCAGACGCGATACACGACGCGGCCTGCCGAAATCTAGTGCACTGGCATCATCGCATCATCGGTGTCTACATTTAGGAGCGGAAAATCTCGAGTCGTATGATCGAAGCAGCGGGAAATCGAGCATGAGATATGGAAGCAAACGAGTATGAGTGTGCATCACCATCTCAGCCTCTGGCAACACGCTACTAAGTGCGACCATGGTTTACTGCCAATCTCGATCCAGCAGGATGAGTACTTGGACATACTGGACGGAGAAGAGCATGAATAGATTAGAGGTAGCCTGCCGGAGAGTGCGAGATATTTCACTTGGGATGTTCGGAGTTCATGTGTTGATCAACTTTAGAAATGGGTTGAGGCTTTGATAAGACCTGAAGGTTGCATATGCCCGTTGAGGGTGGCCGTGACCCGGGGCATACATCCAGGGAGGCACATCAAACCGGGAAATGCGTTTGGATTGATAGCAAAATTCTTTATTTGTTATCACGAGGCCAAATCACCATAGTATAGTAAAAGCTTAAGCAGGTACTCAAGACTTGTTCTTTTATTCCTCCACTGCCGCGTCTTTCCAGTCAGGTACCAGCGCACCGATGGCATTTTCAAACACCCTCTTCACCTGCCCCCGATACTGCAGCGCAATCTCCTGGTTCTTCGTCTGCGGCTCAACTTCGAACTCGACCTCGTTTCCCTCCTCGTCCACGCCCATCCCAGGGTCCGCCTCGCAGAACTTGTCATACTCCATGCCTAGCTTCGCCAGCAGCAGCTCCTTGACGTGGGCCACCACGGGCTCCACCTCCTGCGGCAGCGCCGCCGAGCCGGACAGCACCTTCTGTAGAGCATCGTGCTCACGTGCGCGTTGATACTCCGGCGCTGGCGACTCGGCCTCTCGCGCTGTGCCGAGGACCCTGTCGATGAAGGCGTCCTTCGCATCGTCACCACCGACGATGGAAAGGCACAGGTCCCAGACGAGGGCGTCCTCCACGTGAGAGAACTCCGGGCGGAGGTCGAAACTGGCTTCCTTGGCGACCAGGTTTCGGTTCTGCCCGACGAACGAGCTCGGGTTGTTCATCGGCCGTAACGAGACGAGGAAGTCCTTTGGTGCTTGTTTCTTTGTTGGGGCGATACCTGTTGCATCAGACGCTCCCGTGCTCTCGCTTGTCGCTGTGGCACTCTCCTTCTTCCGCAGGTGCACGTAGTCGTTGTGGAACCCGTCTGATTCTGGAAGCATGAACCCGTACGATAGCAGCAGCTCGCTGTTGGTTTTCTTGCCGTATGTGTTGAAGACTTGCTCACCGGGCTTGTAGTTGTCAAAGGTGATGAAGCGGCAGGCCTCTGAACCATCACCCTGTTGATCTGCCGTCCATTGAACGTTGGCTTTGATATCGTGGTTGATGATATCGTACACTGGAAGCAACACAGAGAAGTCGTCAATCTTGACGTTCTCGGGAAGCTCGCGCTTCTGGAAGGATGCAGGCGTGACGAGCGATGGGCGGAAGCTGCGGGAGGCGAACATCGAGAAGGCCCAGTTGAAGAGATGACGGGTGTAATCTTGCCAATTCTCAAATCCTTCCTCCTTGAGAATCCTCCTTGCCTCTTTGAAGTCTCTCTTCGTGTTGGCCTGAATTTCCTGTGCCGCCACGGCGGCGTTGGTCCCCTCCAAAAAACCAAAGTCCTCGTCGGGCCAGAACGGGGGGAGGCTCCAAGACGAGATGGAATCTGGCTGTGGGAGAGTGCTGATATATGGGTACCAGAAAGAGTCCTTCCCCAAGAGGTACTGGTTCATGAGATAGAAGTGCCCAATCACGTGTGGCTGGATTTCCATGAATCGTGGGGGGAAGGCAGGGTGTGGCTCAGCGCATTTTGATGACCCTGCGACAATGGGCCTGCCGGTGGCGGCATTGAGGAACGACAAGCTGGTGTTCAAGGGGCAGCGCAACACCTCTTCGCCGGATTTTATGAGACGTTCGGTCTCTTCTGTCGACGAAGGCTTGACTCGCATCGAATACCCCGTCACGTCGTCCTTGTAGATCTCGAGGGCTGGATGGATGGTGCCACCATGTTGTCTGCTCCACTCGAGGAGAGCGTTGAAACGTGCCTGCTCGGCCTCCTTCATCATCACTGGGTTGAATTTTGTAACCAAGGGTTTAAAAATGACCTCATTGATTGTTTTTCAGATCTCTTGTTCTTTGTTGGCAGTTTGAGACTTGAAAAGGAACCTTGGAATGGTGATGATGTCGAGCGAGTCGGACTGAAATGGTTCCTAAGGGTTACGTCATACAAAGGCTGAGCAAACAAATCTTGAAGGTAGTTAAGAATTACAAGGGATTTATCGGCCTTTAAATCTACTGGCAATGCAGATTCAGCTTATATCAATGGGAACCTGATATCCACAGCTTCTGTGAGGTTGAGTGGTCTCGCTGGTGTTGCTGATGAAATTTTAGAACCCGTGATTACCCGTGGGCCTTGGCTTCTACTTACCCACTCCTGGCGGAGTGGGTGCCAAAAACCCGTAACGGCCAAAACCTTACAATATTTATACCTACCTATTTTTACTATTTTTCTCTATAAAAGTCTACTTTTTAATTAAGTATATTTCCTTTATTAAATTTTATATTATAAAAAAATAAGTATCTTTAAAATCTTTATTTTATAAAGATTAATAATAAAATATTTTTAAATTTTTAGGATTAGGGTTTAAGATTTTAACTTTTTTAATGAAGGGTTTTTTAAAATTAGTATATTTATTTAAATAAATTATATTATTAAAAAGTAAAAATATTAGAATATTTTTAAAATTATTTAGTGTATATAAATAATATTTTTAAAAAGTCTTTTCTAAAATTAAGGTTATTATATTTTATTTCTTTATAATATTTTTAATATTATAATTTTTTAAAACTTTAACTTTTATTTTTTATAATTAAATTTTAATTTTTAAAATTATTTATATAAAGTAAATAATTTCTATAATATTCTATTATTTTTATTTTTATTATATAATTTAATTAAGTTAATATATTAATTTTAAAAAACCTTTAATTAAAAAGATTAAAATTTTAAACTCTAACTTTAGAAATTTCAAAATATTTTATTATTAATTTTTAAAAAATAAGGATTTTAAATATATTTAATTTTTTTTTATATAAAATTTAATTAAGGAAATATCTTTAATTAAAAAGTAGATTTTTATAGGGAAAAGTAGTAAAAATAGGTAGGTGTAGGTGTTACGGGATTTTGGTCGTTGCGGAATTTTGGTACCCCCTACACCAAGGGCGTAGGGGGGCAGGGAAGGCCTACCCCCCAGGTAGTCAGAAAAGCACCTCGTCCCATCCCCCAACCCTCGATGCAGCGTTGCCGTCTCGCCCAAGCCTGAACCTTGGAACTCAACCATCTCAATGTGTACTGACCCCGTATCTAGGTAGCTTATCGAAAGTGCACACTGGCAATACTATTGGCTTATCCGACCTCTAATCCAAAGCTTTATGGATGTTGGGCATAAGCACCTTGACAGTTATTTGAATTTCCATCTCTCCTTTCAAAAACCGCATGCTCATGCAAACTTGAATGGCTCAAGCCTGAGTGCTATTAAATTGAATAACTACCTAGGTACCTAGGTAGCTTGGTGAGAGCCTGGAGGTCATTACCAAAGTATGAGCAGAAATAGTGATGGTGACCTGAAACAACCTTGGAACCCAGATCTGCTTAACAGAACTTCAAATGTTAAGAGCTGTGTTGAGTTACCATTGGCTTTTTGGGTCCAACCAAGGATGTTCCACGAGTTTTTCGGGTGTTGGCCGCTCAGTGGGATCTATCTTCATCATAACCCTGAGAAATGACCCAAATACATCCCTCGTGGCCGGGTCTAGACCTGGCAGAAATGTTTGCGACTCGAGGGGTGGCCGGCCCATCGGCCCGGCGTCTTTGATCCTCCCTTCGTCGTCAAACCAATCCCGAATGGCAGCATCGCCTTTCTCCAGCAAGGTGCTAGGAAATGGGCCGAATATGTCGACCATCTCCGCCAAGTGTTCCTTGACTTCATAGTGGCCATCGGGCGCGACCCCTCCGTCAAACAAGCGAATGGCACGATACACCTCGAAAATCACAGCGCCGAGGTTCCACCAGTCGACTTTCGTGTCCCATGGAGCCCCGACGAGAACTTCAGGGGCCCGGAGAGCCACAGACTGGATGTTATCAGTGAGATGCTTGTCGGTCCAGCTGGAGACACCCCAATCGCCCAAGGCGATGTCGAGCTCCAACATCCGCCTGGGTTCGTCCCCAAAATAGTATCTCCGCAAAGACCGGGATTGGATCGGGGTGTATCGTTTGTCAGACTTGTTCTGCTCCGGGATACACTCTTTGACAAGGTACTCTGACTCGATACGATGCATATCTCGAAACTTGACAAATATGTTGTCGGGTTTGATATCTAGAACGCATTGAGTTTTACTGCATATCATGGCTTTCAGTGCAACGACATACCGGTATGAATCACATTGCTATCGTGAGCAAAGTCGAGGGCAAGAACTAGCTGGAGGGTAAACTTGCGCATGATCGGGGTGGGTACCATAAACTCCCGAAACCAGACGCCAAAGGACCGCAAGGTTTCTCCCATGAGTTCCAACACGAGGCAGACGTGGTTGCCGTTGGGACCCTCCATCTCGAAATCATCGACGAGGTGGCAGACATATTTGTAACCCGCGGAGGTACGATTACCCGCGCGAAGGTGAGTGAGAATCTCTCTCTCAAATATGGGACTGTCTTGACCGTAGCACTCCGCACTCAAAACTTTGAGAGCTCGAAATCGGTGGTCATCGTTCGGCCTTGATTTTACAGGCCGAGTCAGTGTGAGCCCGTTTATGAAGAGGAGAAACGTTGGGAAAGGGAGTGGGAAGACGATGGACTCACGGCTTTGAGAGGTCTTTGACCAGCCACACTGTCGAATAGCGCCCGTAACCAATCTTACTCATGACTTCATACTTGTCTGCATAAACGTCCCCAATGTAGACTGGATGGAATCCACCCTGTCGATATGCATCTCTGCCTTCTTCAATGTCGCCTGAATCGGTTGCCACCACGTCGCTTCGTTGCTCAGTCTGGGCCGTGTCTCCTGAACCGGTCACTGCAACATGGCTTTGTTTCTCGGTATCAGTTGCCAGGGCCGCATCATTGGTCTGGGTCGAAGCCATGTCAACAAGAGCGGAAGAAGTCTTGGTAACAAGTATTAATCCGGATGCAACTGCGTAGAGCTAGCTTGTGAGACAAGACAAATTGGCGACCAAAGAAGCAGGGATGGTTGTAGTTGAGGAAAGAAATTCATGGGTACCTAGGTAACCTCGCAGTTAATGGCGGGGCAGATAGGGTCGTACTGTATGTTAGAACCAACACCTGCATGCTCCCTGAACTTGGCGCTACACGATTTCATTGGGGTCTAGAAATACCCACCACGTCCGCTCGTTTTAGGTGCGAATCGACTTCTGCTCCTGGCTGACCACGCAATCTAGCATTCACGTGTGCCTCGGACATCACACGACGAAAGACTGAAATGGAGGTCGACCAGTCAGCAAGCTTCTTCCGCCTGGCGTTCGGATCTGTCTGTGTCGAGACGTCTTTTATCGCCACCTTCGTTTTTGTGGTGCTTCGGACCCCACCGCAGGCTACAAACAAGCGCATTGCCGGGCTGGTCGTCCTTGGCGCGGCGACCCACACGATGGAGAGGCTGATCGTACAGGCGTGCATGAGTAACGGCCGGCCGCAATGGGCTGCCATCCTGGTGTCGCTGCTGTGGGTCCAGCTGCTCAACGCGTCCGACCTCATCCTGGTGCTCCGCGTACATGCTATTCAGATTTCACAGCCTCGCGGACAGCGTCCTGGGGCGCTCGGGGGCGTGAGGTCGGCTGCAGGCATTCTCTTCAACTCACGCCGGGTCGGCACCCCGTGGCAGGTGAGGAATACGCCGTCCACTGCCGGCCTTGAAAGCCAACGCCGGACCACGTTTCTGCTCGGCCGGATCGCCATGACGATTCCGGCATACATTTTCGTCGACATCATGACCTCCTTGCCGCCGCCCGACCCGGCTTTCTTGAGGGCGGATAAGGCAGCTCTTTTCCCGGTCGACAGCTTGGGCGTCGAGGACATTATTTTCCGGCTCGCAACGACGATTTCGTACTGGGTGATCACTGGCATCTGCCTCATGGTGATGAACAACACGGGCGCGATCATCGGGGTCTTATTAGGTCTCTGCCGGCCTGTCGATTGCCCACCGCCCTTCGGTTCTTTCTTGGAAGCGTACACGATTCGTCGCTTCTGGGGGTGAGTGCAAATCAACTACGGGACTCGAGCATGATCGGTGGATCTGACAGTACCTTGAAACTTAGTATCAGTTGGCATCAAATGCTGCGGTCGTTTCTCACGGGGCACGCCGACTTGCTCGTTAGCAAGACTCTTCCCTTTTTGCCGCGCAACTCAGCTGCGCACCGGCATTCGCGACTGGTAGCTGCCTTTCTCATCTCCGGCCTGATACACTGGCGCGCCGATCAGGCTCAGGGTGTACCAAATGCTGAAAATGGGGCTTTGGTCTTCTTTTCCCTACACGCTGCTTGTATTGTTCTGGAGGACCACCTTGGGCCTGTCTTTGTCAAGTTGCTGCCCAGGCGCGTCCGTCACATACTGGGTTACTTCTGGGTTCTCGCTTTCTTTGCTTGGAGCGCTCCAGTTTACATGTACCCCAGCATGCGACTCGGATCTGATGGGACTGCGATGTTACCTGCCCGCATTATTGGGCCCTTCATACGCGCGTAAACAGAAATCACATGGGCAGGGCTTTTGCCAATGCTTGTGAACAGTGTAAATGATGCAGCTCATATTATCGACAAGTGGCTTTCAGTACTGAAACAGGCTTTTCATCGAACTGCAAAATTTTAGTGCAGATTTAAAATACCCAGTGCTAACATAGAATGAATGAAGAAACCCAGGCGAAAGAGTCCTAACCGCATCGCAACTTGTTGATTGCATACCTAGGTAGGTGTTTCCTAGAACCACAGCTCAGAAATGTGCTTCTGTCCCACCCATCAGAGCAATCCTGATGCCAGTGGAAGCTCCGCCTGGACCAAGTCTTACCGCCGAACTACATGGATGATAAACTCCTGCTATTCAGACAATTCATGATATACAAAAACGAGCTCCACTCGAATATCCGACCAGGGTGTTCCCCCCCCCAAGGACGAGATACCTTCCTAAGGAATAATATTATACAGGACTGGTTGTTTTCTTTTAGCTGCTTTATTAACTTGGAATGATACTAAGTGTCCTATAAATATAAGGCAATGTATCTTCCAAAATAAACAAGATCAGTCATCTCAGGTAGGTATAAGTATCTCTGTCGTGGCTTTCTTGTGTACTCTTCTATACAGTCTTTTATGGAGATAACTCACGTACCAAGTAGTCCAGGCACAGAAACGGCTATAACGTACTATCGTTTTAAACATGCGGCGGTGGTACGATAAAATGCACTACTTAGGTAAACTCCAGAGGGCGAACCACAAGAACTCTGGAATTAACAACGGGCCTGCTGTAGCCAAGACCACGTCCATGTTTACAGCGAGTCAAGATGATAAATCACTTCAATCGTAGCAACGTGTAAGGTGAGATTTCAGTGCCTGCAGACCGCTGCGTAAGCAGAAACCAAAAGCAGATGGCACGGTACCTGTCTCAGGAGGTTGGTTATATTCCGATTCCCTTCGGCACTTAAGGAAGCCTTGGCCGGCTACTTTCGTCTATCGAGATGGCAGTGCATCACTTGCAGTACCGACCTGAAAGCAGGAACTAGCTCACTCACACGGGTACCATTCATGCACTACCTACGATTCATTGGGAGGGCTTATGTTCCGACACCAGTCGGCATTGTTGCGAATGAAGTAAATATAAAAGCAACCGTGGACTCCGAGTCCATCAAAATTGAAACCCAGCACGACCCTTCCTCAGTCCTACCTCCATCGGCAACCAGCGCCATTTCTGTCATCCTAGCCCAAAGAATGTCTACTCCCTTTACCTTGCAAAACCCAGGTCGACCGATCCACGTCGGCGTCATTCTGATGGCTTCGTGAGTTCTTGGCAAAATTAGCCCCTTGGTCTCTTCTAATGTCGAACAGGACCACGGAACTATTGGATGTAGCGCCTATTGACTATCTCCACGCACTCGACAAGAAATTTTTGGGCAGCTTTCCCGATGCCATCTTCTCCCAGGATGAGAAGGCGGCGGGCTTGACCTTCGATTTTCACTGGGTTGCTGTGACGGACAAGGCTCCGTGTAAGCTTACGGCCGGTGTCCAATTGATCCCTACCGTAAGTAATCGCCTCCTACAAATCGGCGTCTTCAAAAGTTGAACGAAACGTGCTGTAGGATACGTTCGAGACGTGTCCTCCCCTCGACATAGTCCTCACAGGAGCCAATGATTTCAACTACGAAATGACTGAAGCAGAGTTGAATTTCATTTGCAAGTCCTGGAATGATTGCTCTGTATACCTAGCCATCTGTAACGGCCAGGAATCTCTTCTGAAAGCCGGTATCCTGGCCGGGAAGACAGCGACCGCTCCGTCTGACCTTCTCCCCATCCTTCGACAGCAACACCCAGAGACAACCTGGGTTGAGAAGCGCTGGCAAAGAGATGGAAAACTGTGGACCAGCGGCACGAATATGAATGGACTGGATCTAATGCGGGCCTTCATGTTTGAGACTTGGGGCGGAAAGAGAGATTTAGTCGAAAAGTTGAGCAGGATGGCAGCATGGCCTATGAGGGATGTCAACTTTGGCGATTGTTAGAAAGTTGCACTTGGCTATAAAGAGCCACCTGAGATGGGAAGGGGGTTGAATTGAACCCATCGTAGTGCTACTTTGCTTTGAAATGGTAGTAGAATGACCCCTCATTAAAGAGTCCGAATTGAAACTTGAAGACGTCGACGATTTCTTACACCATCTAATTCGGAGACAGCGGGCGAGGTTGCCGAACAAACTGTCACTTACAGTCTCACGGATTACAAAGTTAGGTATACAATGTGATTGGTATTATCACTTGAGACTCAACGTTTGGAATTGAATCTCGAACTCTGCATAGTTACTGCGATTGCACCGATGACAGGCTGTATTGTACCTCGATAGCTAGTTGCCCAGGTGTATCTAACTATAGCCATCAGATCAATTTAGTAATCAGCTTTCCAGTGTTTCCGCCCTCGAACAATTTGAGCCATGTCGCCGGTACGTCATCAAACTTCGCCTCAACGACATGCTCGCCCTCCGTGATGTCCAGCTTTCCTTCCTCCAGCGCCTTGGGGAGGACCTTCAGTGCCTCCTGCATCTTCTCGGGGTGGTCAAGGACGATGAAACCCTGGATACGCAATCTCATGCTAATGACTTGGAACCAGTTCTTCAGCCTGTCACTGCCATCACCCTCCGTGGAGTTGTACTGCGAGATGGAACCGCAAGCGGCCACCCTTCCGTTGCGTGCCATGCGGGTGAGAACGAAGTCCATGATTTGACCGCCGACGTTGTCAAAGTACACGTTTGCATACTCGCTGGTGGCCTTGATGAGCTGCTGTTCAAAGTCGCCGGCCTTGTAGTCGATGCACTCGTCCGCCCCGAGTTTCTTCACCCAGTCGCACTTCTCCTGCCCGCCCGCGATACCGATGACCTTCTTGCAGCCAACAACTCGCTTGGCGATCTGCACGACCATGGAGCCGGTGGCGCCGGCCGCGCCCGAGACGATCACGATGTCGTCCTTGGTCGCCTCCGCCACGCCGAGTAGGCCTATGTACGCGGTCAGCCCGGTGAGGCCGAAGGCGCCGAGGTAGTGAGTCACGGGGGCGTTTCCGGGCAGTGGGCTGCAGAGCCGTACGGCATTTGCGTCCAGCACGGCGTGTTCTGTCCAGCTGACGACGCCGCTGACCAGGTCGCCCTTCTTGAACTTTTCAGACTGGGATTCGACGACCTCGGCTATGGCCGACGAGCGCATGACGTCACCGATGTGGACTGCCGGGACATAGAGGCGGCTCTCGTCTTCATATCTGTCGATCCATCCTCGCTGAGCTGGGTCGTTGGAGAAGTATTTGACTTTTACGAGGATCTGGTCGGCTTTGAGGCTGGGGAGCTCCGTCTCAGTTTTCTTGAAGGTGGGGTTGGAACCACTGTAGGTTGGAAGCCCGCTTGGGTGGGCGTTGAGAAGCCATTGTTGCGTTTTGACCATATTGAATCGTGTTGGATATGAAGTGAGTGCTCAAAGTTGAGGTATGTGCGTCGAGACAGAAAAGTGTTATCAATGTTTGCAGGAAACAAACAATTAGTGCCAACTTTACACGTGTCAAATCGTATTGCTTCTTCCCGAGGTCTGTTATATGATCGCATTTATACCAACATGGCCAAGGGGCGAGAGTCAGACGCCACAGCTTGTCCGATTACAAAGCTCATGCCATGCCGATCTTGCCGCGGGGATCTCCGTTAGTGATGGCCAGTGAATTTGTAATTACCCATTTTTCACTGTGTCGCTGACAGCACTTCTCATGCAAACTATGAACATTGTGACTCATTGCCCGCGTCCTGCATTCTCTCTCTACTACTATTGGCATTATATTTTCTAAACGCTGGGTCTTGAGCGATTACCACCGTTTGAGGGCGCTATATGTGTCCCTAGATGTATGCAGAATAGAAGCGAAACTAGTTGAGTGTTTACTAATTTATAAAGGACTATATACCGTTAGGATGTTTGTGAATCAATAACAAAACTACCTACGTATGTATGACGAGACCGTGGACCAGCGACGTTGAAAGCGAGTCATGCGACACGGCTCAACCGGATGGAGGCAAACTTCCTCACCAAAACATCCATATGGTTTCGTTTCTAATCCCCATACATATAAAACATATGCGGCGCTATCATAAATTAGTAGACACTCAAGACCCAGCGGTTAAAAAAATACAATGCGTGAGCACATGGCCTCAGCCTCGTGCCGCACAGACAAGGCTAGGGGGCATCACTCCTGACGGACCGAAGCACCCAAATATGTGGCTCTTATGCTAGGACACCAGTGCAAAGACAAGTCTTAGGCTGAAGCAAAGGCAAATGTATGGTCACTATTATCGATACTATGTGTTTTTTGAACGCTAGGTCTTGAGCGTTGACTGCCGTATGAAGGCGCCATGTATGTCCTCGGACGTATACGGAATAGAAGCGAAACCACATAACTACAACTCTGAGGATAACTCCAGGTATTTTTCTGTTGACGTGCAGCGATACAGAGTATTTAGGAGGAATTGACCGAGTGTTAAGCCCTGGCTCCCAATGGCTCTTCTGAATCAGGCTATATTCTGCTTGTCGTGTTAGAGTCAGCTGCTTCACACGGCACATGAAGATTCCAACTGACTCGAACTCTTCCAAAGCTCGAAAATATGGCACGATATTTGACGTGGCTGAACTGAAATTTTACCCAAGCTACTACTCTTACAATTGCCTTGCTCTTCGATTGTCTATCAGCCATGTGCCAAAGTTGTTAGTGATGGGAGAATCCACGCCCCCGTTCCGCCTTGTGACTTATTGATTTCGGCCAGCTCACGCCAATCACAGCAAAGCCCTTGCTGGGTGTCTTCCCTTGGTCTGCGTGGCATTTCTGAAATGCGTATATGGTAGCAGTGGCTTCATCAAAAATTTTTACTTGGTTTGAACTCTCCCAACACTGGTTGTCGTGATAGGCAATATAGCCCGAGGGTTCCGAGCCCGGGCTCCACCCGCTGAAGAAATCCCACCAAGTCAAAACCTCACCCAAATCCGTCTGACCGCCAACAGCTCCTTCGTGTAGGACAGCTGAGGTCCAGCAAACCTTAATTACACCTCTGTCCCACCGAGCTGATCTGTCCGCTCACCCAGCTGTTTTCTGTGACTCGCTCAGTACAAAACAACAGCTGTGCATTACTAGTACTTGGAAGTGTCTTTTGAGACCCCACAATGTCTCGAAAACCACGAATATTAAGGTGGAAAGCCCTCTGCGCCCTCTGCGCCCTTGCTGGCTCTAAACGAGAGCTTAGAAGGCGCAGAGGGCTCCATATGTTAAGAATTATAATTTGTTTTAGAGTTTGAGACAAATTCATAACATAGGGAAATTGGTCCGAAGGATCCTTCAAATTACATAAGGTTTCCTAAGAATAGTAATCAGGCTTGGCACAACACCATGGTACGATACTTAAGTAGGAAAATAGCTCGGTGAGCGGACGTTGGCTGAGTACCACCAAAGGACCTGTCAGCTCAGCAAGCCGCCCGTCAGACGAAAGAAGACATCAATTAGACTCCTCCATCCCCCCTCCTCGCGAGCATTTATATCCTGGTTCTCGTCAAATGGGTTCAAGCGACGTGGCCCCGGCGCACGTGCCGGACTGGGTCGTGCCCCTATCGACGGTCGCCCTTGGCGTCGGTGTGCTGTTCTGGAACGCGACCTACATCCTCATGACGCAACGGAGCCTGCGCACCAAGTCCTACCCCATGCCGGTGCTAGGTCTCGCCCTCAACGTATCGTGGGAGATCGTCTACGCCCTCTACGTGTGCGAGGCCTTCCTCGAGACGGCCGGCTTCACATTCTGGCTCATCCTCGACATCGGCCTGATCTACACGACGGTCCGGTTCGCGCCGTACGAGTGGGAGCGGACCAGCAGCTGGGTCGGGCGCCACATGGCCGCCATCCTGGCCGTGATGACCGCCGTCGGGTGCCTGGGCCACTTCGCATTCGTGAGCTGGTGGCTAAGCAGGCCCGGGATTGGCCACGGCGACAAGTCCGGCAAGTGGTACTTTGGCCAGGACCAGTATGACACCACCGAGCTGGCCTACTGGTCCGCCGGTGTGGCCCAGATGATCGACAGTGTTGGGTCTCTTGCGATGCTGTTGGTCAGAGGGCACTCTGGGGGCACAAGCTACGCCATCTGGTGAGTCCTTTCTTTTGAAAACCTGCTTTTCATTGTGTCTGCCCCTTGTAGCAGCAGTCTTGTAGGCTTGTGCCTGTTCAGTAGTCTGCTGCTACAAGAAGCTCGCACTAGACATCGAGGTCCTTGTTCGTGGACTAGTCTAGAATCCTGGCCCTGAGATCGGAACAGGACTGTTAGCTCTGGCGTCTAAGCGAGACAAGCTTCGCAATCCCTTGGAAAGACTGTTGTAGCAATACTGTGTACATCCAAGATGAGTGGGTTGTGCCTGGACAAGTCTACGCCAAGCATGAATGAAACCACAATGTACCTATATGATGCACCTTCCTACTATGTCGCATAATCTCGCCGTCTTCATTTGCCATCTACCGAAGCCTCCTTCTGTCCATTTGCAGATAGCACTAAACTTACTGACAACCATTCCAAACAGGATCTGCAGGACGATCGGCACAGTCTCCGGTATGGGTGTGTGCAATGGCATCCTGTGGTACTACTGGCCTGAAGCACATGGCTTCTTCCTCAATCCCCTCGGCATGTTTTTGTGCGGCACGGCGCTTCTCTGCGATTTGGTCTACCCATTTGCGCTGTGGCAAGTCAGGAAGACAGAAGTTGCACTCCCAGACGGCAGGCTCGTGAGCCAAGAACAATTCAATCATATGCAGATGACAGGCAAGAAGAGGCTTTGACAAAAGCAACCGGTGAGCTCAGGTCTTGTCTCTGGCCCCAGGGCGAGATCTTCAGAGAGTGGGGGGGCTCTATTCTCCTTGTCCAGAACAGAGGCTAGGTACGCAAAGTGGCGCTGGAGTCGACCACAGACATTATCCTGGCAGCTGCCTGGGCACTTTGGGTGGTATACATTATGTACTTGTGGTAGACAGGTCTCAGAGCGGTGTAAACAGTTTCTACTTTGGGCAAAGTACATACACATACACGAATAGACATTTGGATACACACAGACACATTCCCACACAACTCATCCCAAGTCCGGAGCTACTGCACCATCAACGGCGCATAAGGCGGCGGGGTGGCGCCTGCAAGTGAAGTATCGACCGCATAAGAGCTGGCACCTCCGTCTTCCAACACCTCGCGGCTGTACCCGCAGGCAGAAGTGAGTGACAAGTCAGCTGCCTGCGAGAGCACGGTCGGCGCTGACCTCTTTCGAACCCTGGTCGAACGGCGGCGCGACTGCCCACCCCGTCGCCTGCGGACCACTGTCGTACAAGATCTGGGGTTGTGTGAAGGGCGGCAGGAGGTTACGCCCGGGGCCGCAGGGGCGCCCCCTGGTCAGGGAGAGGACAGACCGCATCGCGCTACGTTTCCCCTCTGCTGTCCGCCTGGCCAGCGCCGGCGTGCCGCGCCGTAGTGTACTTGACAAGTCGTTCACATGTTTCCTTGGCGTTCGGACTGCCGGCGAGGAGCCCATGGTCTGCCTGTTGCATCAGGGGGGTTCCTGTTTCGTCGACCGAGATAAGCGAGATCAGAAGCGGGAAGGTAGTTTGGGAGGAAAAATGAAGTCTCGGCTGCAGCTAGGCTTACTGGGGTTGACCAGACGCTCGGGACCAGCTGAGCTTCGAGGCCAAGCTGACACAAAAAAGGTACAAGTGATAGCTCAACTACAGATCACGCGGTTTTCAGGCTCAGGAGCGTTGAGAGCCAGAGATCTCGGCATAGTTGGGTGTTCCCCGATCGAGCACAGAATCACAAATCTCCGTACGTGAGGCTTGGCGAGTCTGGACAGGCTGGCCGGGGGGCGGTGGCTGCTCAGAGAGGCTGCGATCAACACGCCACACAGCGAGGCGCATACGGCGAGCCCAAGGGCTTGCGTAACTTTATAGACTGCCATGTGTTGCCACTGCCTGGTAACACTGACTTCATACGCGCCGCCGTCCAGCCAGCCGTCCGCACCGCACTTCGTTGCACAACTTGAAGTGCCCAGCAATAGGCCTTTCCGATACGGGCAACCCGTGACATCGATATCCCACAACGTTGCCGTCTCCAGGCCGTGTCTTAGACGCCTACAGTGCACGAGGCCCTCTCCTCAGCGGTTAGAGGCGGCGGAATTCATTCCTCGCATGGAGCACGGCGTCGCGTATTCTTTCCCCATGTAGTCTCCTCCGGCCGCATGTCGACGGGCAGAAATGAACTGGCACGGGACAGGCAGAGTCGGCGGTGGAATGACTGAGGCTCGACGGCGATATGGCTTTGATGGCGTGGGGGTTCCCGCGGAGACGAAAAACCCGACTAACTATCACGAACTCCCGGATCCTCGGCGAACAGGTCCTTGTCTTTTTTTTTCGCCCATGACCAAGACTAATTCTGGTCTATTCTCGTTCGAGCCTTGAAATGACACGTTAAACGGCAGTCTGTCTTTAGCGAGAGCCCCGCAGAAGATTGGGATGATCGAGGCACAGATGGTGTATCAAGCCAATCAATCTGCTTTTTGCTGGCCTTGGACGCCAGTGATAGACGTTGACGGAAGTGCAGGCCCGATGACAGAAGAGGATCTCACCGCATATGCCTTGCCGGACCAGCCCGTCTCGCGTTGCAGGAAGGACGTACTTCTTCTCCTCGGAAGCTCCTGAGCCCTGGAGGGGATGTTGCGTCCGGGGCTAATACAGTACCAGCCCGCAAGTGCTTCTGGTTCACCAGGAACGAGCTACACAGTAGCAAATTGTGTTGAAAGGTGGTGTGTGGCCCCATAAAAAAACGGCAAGTTACGTGCAAAGCGCCCTGTAACTACTAGTTTGATAGTCCGAGCATGGACGCCTGCATACTGGGGGGTGGTTAACCGATGGACTTCTGGGCTCGTACTGTGTAGGCGTGGTGGGTGTGGTCTCGTGGGCGCGAACCCCCACGCATGACCTCGCATCAGTGACCTGTCACTTTTATCAAAAAAGCACTCTGCCGCAGAGGCCAAGGCGTTGAACGTCCGCGGTGCCAAGGCATCCGGGATGGAGACTCTGAAGCATTTTGCGCAAAAGTCTTGTTGCTTGTCGGCCCGTGACCAAGGCCAAGTTATTCCCTCCTATTTCCTGTCTAGTACATGCACAGTACTTCTTTCTACTAGCGGCACACACTCACCGCCTGAAATACGGTCTTCCCTTTTGAGGGCGGTTTCGTCTTTTTCTTCCCCCTCGGCCCGTACAAGTACTCCGTACATATTACAAGGGATGGGCCCGGAGGTGCCGAGTAACAAGGGCAGAGCCATACCATCTCATCTCGGAGATATACCGGGCCCTGCCACCCCGGCCTGGTCGAGACTGCAAGGCTAGTTCACCGGCGTGGAGACTCTCGATTCCATCTCGTGCATGGGTGTGGTGGGTGTGTTGCGCGGTCATCAACCACCCCGTTCCAAGGGGCTGCGCCGGCGCCCGGGGCGCGAAGCCATCGGCAAGTTCCACGTGCACGTGGGAACCTCATCGGCAGTTTTGTGATTGCAAAAGGTGCTTCCTGATCGCCATGGGCTGGTGACTTTCCCATGCCTCGAGGTACCTAGGTATGCGGTCTCGAGGCCGCAGAGGACATAGACCGGTGAGGGTTGCACAGAAGACTGGCTGCAGAATACACCAACATCTCGTGACTTGTCGTGCGACATCAGGCGGTGTGTTCTAAAAAAGCACAGCCTTGATCAATGAATTGCAGCTCGTTATTTCATTTTGTGTCCTGCGTGGGGTTGCTCAGCTGGCTGGCTCGACATGGCCCCCGGGGACCTGCGTCGTTCACACCCTGCTACCGACAATAACTTCCCCTGGATGAGAGTGGGTTGTGTCGTAAGGGGTCGGTCTCGCAACACTGTGATGTTGCGATCAAGGTGTGCTGCGACCATGGTGTTGCGAGACGCCTACGCCGTCGGACAAGGGCGTGACCTTGGTCATGGCAGGGTATGACGCCTTCGGAGCCCAGATCAAGCACATGACCGGCGCTTGGTGCGCAGTGCCCTGCAGACCGGTCAATGATTGCGAAACATCGGGTGATAAGAGACGGGCTATGATTTCTCGAGACTGCCGCATTATGCCTCATCGAACGTGATCGACGCGTGCCCAAGAAAAGCCCACTACCTATATCAATGTCCCAAGATGGGCTGGCTGGGGTTGTGTTTTCGAGGATCGCAATCCCTGTCACGGTGCCGCCCGACTGTGAGGAAAGTTTCGAGGTTTCGTCCTCAGCCCCGAAAGTTTAAATTCTGAATCCACCTTCTGGCTGGCCATGCTTGCGATTATCTACGGAGTGGTGGCCCAGGGAGTAGAGTGAGTCCGCTGTACCGGTGCCCGATTCAGCGGGCATCCGAACCCGTGCCATGTGGCTCTCGTACGATGGGAAACAGAATAGTCAAATCGATCGAAATCGTGAGTCAGATCGATTCTGTAGATGGATGCAGAAGGGTTCAACCCCGTGGACCGGGAGTGGAGTCAAACGTGCATCGCAGCCCTGGAGGGCTGAAGAATGACACCGGCAGAAGGTGAGGACTCACTTGATTGCGAATAGGTCGGGCCCACCTGGGGCGCCTGCCCCCACCACCGGATGGATACTCACTCCACTGGCGTGGTTGATATCAGTCTCGGTGACCAGTTGAAAGCGCCCTCCACCGGTCCTTTACGTTTTGGCCTCCACGAGAGACGATGGCATGTCGGTGAACTAGAGGAAACAGCAGAGCCAGCCAGAGGATTGCCGAACAATAGTGGCAACCACGATATTTAGTATCCCACCACATTATTCGCGAAAATGTCCCATTCAAGCTCAGCGTGCTGCTGTATCGGCTGAAACGGGCGCTGCTAGGGGGGGGGTGGTGGTCCGTCCACTATATGTAGTAACAAGAAGTGTTTGCGCCCGATGCGGGCTTTAGGTGAGTCCCGAAAGCAACCGTAGTAACCGCGTATCTTGGGGCGCTTTGCCTATCGGAGATGAGATCTCGAGCTTGTCGCTTATGCGCACAACATAATTTAGTGCATGGAATATCGAGCCCGACAGCTGGTAGGCTTGAGGCCCAACGCCCAGAGCATTGTCCCAGTCGAGAGATTATCACAACTCCATGGGCATCGTGAAATACCATCACATTTCTGCCATGCTGGACATGCGTACACACCGAGAAGTGGGATAAATTACGATACCATTCAATCTGGCTAGGCGTTGTGAAAATTGTCACTACCGGCAGACCCCCGGTCATGATAAATTGGGCCAAGTGGGTGTTAGAGGGGGCCTTTGAGGGCCGAGACCGTGGGGCCACAGCATTATGCGATGAGCAAGTAAGCTGCGTTATGATTGTCGCATGGTGGAAGTCTTGGGGCTGGGCTGAGCTGGCTGGGTCAGTCTCCATCCCGACTGCGGTCCCAAATAGGGAGCATGCATCCTGGCATCCAGACCGCCTTGATGAGAGGGTGCTGAAGCCCGCCAACCCGCCCAAAAGAAAAGGGAATGGATGGGTGATGGGCGCGCGATGAAACCTGGCTCCCCCACATCCTTTCTGGACTCCCGCCGGTGAGATTGGAGAGACCCTGCGATGGCGTGTTCATCGCAAAGCTTGTCACACACCATCACCACGGCCAGGGGCTGCGGTGAAAAGGTGGTGAATCCTGGGCGTCTCTCAAGTGTCCGAAACTGCCAAATTGCCCATCCGCGTACCAGGCAACAGGGGAGCCTGAGACACGGCGTCGGCACACATGCATAAGTGTACGTGGAAATAGCATTC